AGGTGTGTGTCGACGCGGGAGTGCTTTTTGCAAACTCAAGATCCTCAATCTGAACTTTAAAATTTAGAAAAGAGATCATAAAGAGGTTTAAACTAATTCACCTTTGAACTCATAGATTAAGATTCAATTATATAAGACGAAACATGCTATGCTATTGCTTTTAATAAGGATAACTCAATTGTGCTAGCAGGATGTAATTCGGAAATGAAAGTATTTCAACTTCAATAAGGAAAATTGAATCAAATATAATTAATAAGCGAGCATCAAGACATTGTGTTCACTTTAAATTTTATGAATAAGACAAATAATTTTATATCAGGAGGCTTTGAAAATTTAATAATCATTTGGGAGATGATAGGAAATGACTAATGGATTTGTTAATTCAAATTAAATGCACATTCTTCTTTTATATAAAGTGTATTATTGAATAATACTGATGATCTCATTATTTCTAGTAGTCAGGATTCAACTATAAAATTTTGGACGAAATAAAATTTATGGTTATGTTCTTAAACTATATCTGAACATAATGATGGGGTAACTTCATTGAGCTTTAATGAGCAACAGGATAAGTTGATTTCATGTTCAAAAGAATTCATATTAGTAATTGAAGAGTGTTAGTTGGAAAGAAAATGGAGTGTATCATAAAAGATATAATTAAATTTATATGGGTATAGATTATGTTTTATTAATAATAATGTATTTACCTTTTAACCCTTTTGTAAAGGAAAAATGTAAGTTTATCAATTGGATATTAATAACAAACAGTACAGAATGGCTAAAGAAATAGCAGTAAATTGTAGTTTAAATTAAGATGAAATCTTTTTTCCATAATCTTACGTAAAGTCTAAATGTCTCTTAGTAAATAAGAATGGCAAGAATGTTAATTTAATGAGAGAGTAAGAAAATGGTGAATTTGTACTTTAATAATCTATTGAGTTCGATTGCCATGATGTTTTTGGATAATTAAGCAATGATGGAGAGTATTTGATAACATGGGATATTGGATCAAAAGAAATCTAAATAAGAAAGTATACAGAATTATGATTATTATTATATAAATTTATGAGATCTGTTAGAACAATTAAGGTCTACTAAGTTAAGCATCATCTACATTAGTAAAAGCTACTAAATTTAAGATAGTAAGATATTAATTGTTATTTATATAATATACAGCAAGATGATTTATTATTAAAATAAATATTTAAAATCACCAATTGATTTTCTTTTGTATAATTTAGAGTAAATAAATATATAATTTTAAGAATTTAAGTATTTACACTTAAGCTGTTTTGTCTGGTGGCTACAGAGACAACTTGGAGTTGGAGTCCAAGCAAAAAGGAGATGGTATGGCCTTCCTACTCTGTCAGTGCCGGACTAACATCCTGCCTGATGGAATTATCTGGGTCTCTTTCAGAGGCAGATTAATCTTAAGCGCAAAGGAGTAATGGATAAATGTTCTTGAGCACAGAGGATGTTACTTTAATGGTTATGTGAACAAGCAACAGATACTTATTTCAAATTGATCAATTTTATTCTTCATAAATTTAGTATTTAAAGTAGATCGAAATAATCTTTTCTTAATTTGGATAACCAATAAATTATTGTCTGGCTGAATTTAGATTGAAAACATTTTTCAGGTAAATCTCATTAAGTGCTGATTTCCAAACTGGAAACAGGTTTTTTTATCATTCTCATTTCACTAAGAAGTTGTATTAATTCTATTGTTACAATGGATTATTTTTTGATACGATTATAATGTAGAAAAAAGTCTTTCTAGGAGTCTTTTTCATAAATTCTATCATCTAGCTAATCTATTATAAGCCTCATTTTTAGATACATCAAATGAATATTCTAATAGCCCACTGGTAAAACTGGAAGTTTTCAGGATGGTGGAATGGATTACAAGGGATTATATTTTGCTATACTCATGAATTAACATCAGATTTCTGTTTATTAAATTAATTTATTCAAGGCCCTTCAACAAACATATGTATTCAATTTGGCCATTTCTTCCTATGTTTTGGCAGCATCTTGTTGAATTCTCTAAAATTTTCTTTAAAAACCTTAATCTCCTTCAAAAGATCATATCCTTCAATATTCCAATCATTCTTCAGCCGCTTATAAAAAATATTAATCCAAATTATTCTAATGTTCACCATTTCGATTCTAGACCTACCCAATGTCTAAGTTAATTGATGTCTACGTAACAAGTAATTTATTCTTTATAATTTATGTTGAGGAATCCTTTAAGTTAATGTCTGGCTGCACAATCTGATGGTTTCTGAGCATTTTAATTTTAATATTTCAAATTATATATCCACTCACTCACAAGAGTAAAAAAATAATCGTAATGCTGAGACCATGTTCTCATTTGATATTCTTAGTTTCAAACACTTACTTTGTACATCCACAAATGGGTCATTCTCTCTATGTTTTCTTCTTCTTCCTAAGTGTCTTTTTAAAAGAATAAAAATTGTCATTAATGTCCTACTCTCTCATATTCCTTTATCTTAATTGGTAAAAATGTACCAAATCCTGAATTACAATATTTTTTTTTCTAAGTAAATATTGTAGTTTGTTTTAGATCTCAGAAATTAAAATTTTATTGAATTAAGAGGTCTTTGTAAAATCCTTCCAATGAGAATGACCTTACACCGACCTCAGATTGGATACTCAAATTAGGTTGAAATCATCCCTAAGAGTAACCTTCCGCAACAAGCGTTGATGGAAAAAAATTGTCAGTTGAAACGAGATGATCTAATGACTTCAAGTTTCATCCAAAAACGTATACTGATTTTTAATTTTGGTTACAGATGAAGAGGATCTTCCTACCTGTTAGGATGGCGAATTTTAAATTAACTAATTTTAATATTTATGTACTTGTTGTTTCTTAATAATTTCTGCTTTCTAATTTTTAAGTTGATTATTTTGATACCTATTTTCATCTCTTCAAATATTTTTCCCTAATACCTAAATAGATCCTCGTAACTCTTTCTGTTGCTGTTTTTCACTCGTTATACTTCATACTTTCATTCTACTTAGGTGACTTTTATATTTCTTGAATTCAGTTTAATGCTATTTTCTTTTAGAAAATTAAATCATATTCAATTTCGTTTAAATATTTTCTATTATCAAAAATTAACATCATAGGATTTCCAGTTTTTAAAAGTTTTGAAGTTTCAGCAGGGCATTCTTCTCATCACAGTTTGAATTAAGCATTTCTATTATACTTATGTTATCATAATTATGACTTCTGAAATTAGTTTTGCTCTTTTCAATCAAAGATCTAAACTGTAAATCCCTCTAATTAATATAATTCAAGATTAAAATGTTACCAATATTTTTAATGAAAAATATATCTATTGAAACCTCAACTTCATTTCTCATATAATATGTAATGCCAATTTAGAATTTTGATAATGCAATATTCATCATTCCACCATTTTTATTTTTATCACTTTTATTTATGCTTTTATTTGAGAACAGTTAATCGAATTTATAGCAGAACAATGTATATCATAATTTATATATTATAATTTTATTAATTTTTAAATTTATTTTGAATGCTCTTCATCAGTCATTCATTCTTTAAAGTCGCATCACAGCTTTTTAGTCTCTTTTTATCAATTTCTCAATAACTTTTTATTTAATACAATTAGATTCTTTTGATAGCTACAACAGCTCTAATATATAAATAAAATGAAAGGCATGCAGTTGAGACTCTTTAAACTTATTCTGCTGATATTGAGTAGATATCTTAGAGCAAATTTTAATCTAAATTTTTTAGTTGGAATATAAAGAATGCATTTTTAATTATCTTTAAGCAAGCTGTCCAATTTACATTTCCACTTTTCTTGAATATGGGGTCCAATAAAATGCATACTATTGTCATTATCTTCTCAACAATTATTGGGGGATGAATTAATTTTTTAATCTCATTTATATCAATGAATCCGATTGCATTTTGCAATAAAAGTTTCAGTCAATAGTATATAATTAAAGAAAAGATCAATAAAATTAGTGAATATACTCAATTTAATTAAATAGACAGAGTTTTCTGAATAATTATAGTAATTAATATTAAAATTTATTAATTATATTAAATTCAATCTTCACAGATAACAAACATGCCATAAAATGCTGCGATTGATGCTGCAACTACTTCATCTTATTATAAATTAAACTAGATTATATAATAAAATGTTTACTCTTCCTTTTAGAATTTGCTTGAAGGCATTCAAAATACAAATAGGATAAGGTAAGACTGCAATAAGCAAATAGAAGAATGGTAAGTAGATGATTCCCATTATGGCAATTATGGTAAATTCTATTAAGCAAACATCTACATATAATTTATTTAATTTACAAATCACTCTTATTTTAGTATTTTCAAAAAGAAGATAGATTAATATTATGAAGTTCGTAATAAAATTACAACATATCAAACATTGGAATACAAAATATACCAGCACAGCTAGAAATGATATAAGAATTTTACATGTCCAATAATTGTGTACTGAAATCAATAGAAAGTATAATAGCCCGATGTAAAATAATGTATAGCAAAAAATAAGTCCCAATAGTACGAGTAAAATTTATTGCGACTACAATTTCATATAGTTATTACCTTTCTCTACTTTTAGTCAATTCCAAATTTAATCAGAAATCCAATACATACGAGAGAAGCGATTGCCACAACTAAATAGATTCCACTTATCCTAAATATACCGAACACACTAAACATCAATATATAATAAAGGAAAGCAGAAATAATTGTCCATAATATAAATATTCCCAAAATTTAAAAGAGAAACTGTTTTTATTATGAAAAATCTTTATCCTTTATTAAATTTGGTGTAGGAAATATTAATTGTTCATTAACTTGAATATTTGAATATGCCAAGTTGGGTGTCACTTAGTTATGACAATATTATTATTAGGATGAATATTATGGTTGGTATTAATTTTATCCTTCTGTTGGAATTATTATGGGTATAAATTTCAAATTTTAATTTCTATTATCAAACAACTATTATGATGGGGCTTACTGGTTTGTGTAATTCAAAGTTGGATAATTTGTTTGTGACATTTATTATAAGATTTAATAATAAGAAGTATTGAAAAGGTTGCTTTAATAAGGCAAATGCACAACGCAGAAACAAATTCTATAATCACCTATTTGTATTGTAATATATATTATAAGAAATAATTAATTTAATTACAATAGATTTACAATTCATTTTAATAAATGCAAAATGAAGAATTATACAATTGAATTCTTTGAATTCTCATTAATTATTAAACATGTATATTTAATTATGATATTTCATTTATGAGTATTAATAAATAACTATTCACTATCTTGATTTCAAAGGTTGAGTAAGGATAATTTTTAGAATTTTTTGAGAAAACAATCACATTTAATCATCTGCTTATTACAATCCCTCCTTGTTATTAATTCATATGAAGTTTATAAACTACGTAATGAGGGATGCAAAAATTGTTAATTTCTAATTGTAATTACCGTGATAGAGAATTTTTATGTTTCTGAGCTATCCCTTATTATGACTACATTTATTCGAATATATAATGGCTCAGTTTAACTTTTCTAGTCAAATTTTATAATTAAATTATATGTATTCTTGCCATTACTGATATATTAAAAATTCTGAATCTTTCACACCAAATTAATTTCTAAAAGTTAACTACTAAACATTCTAAAATTGAGATTTGATAAATTGATTAATGATTTTTCAAAATCAGAATTATATTTATCTTTTTTATAATTAACCTATAATAACGTTATAATTTGACTATTCATTGATGATTTAGTTTGAATGCTCGAATTATTTAAATTCTATTATATTTTACATAAATTGAAATAAACTTGTCTCCTCTATAATTACTTTACATTATTACTTTGTTACTTATCATTAAGTATTTTCAAAATCTTATAAATAACCAAATAAACACTTAGACTTTATTTCTTAAATCAATAGGTTAGTATTCATTAAACTAATTAATTTGAAAACTGAAAATGACAACAAAGAGACAAACGTCTTGTTTTGCTGTTCTTGTTTATATAAGATTAAATAAATCCATAATTTGATTTCTATTTAGAATTTTCTTTAAACTTAATCTGAAAGTTAATTAAATTGAAGTAATATGTTAAATTAAACTATGTGGTTTAAGTTATATAATTCACAAAAATATCAAATTCTATTTGTCTTTTTTTCATAATTCATGATAATCTAGGAAAGTACTAAATTTAGTGAATTCTTACAACTCCCTTAATTTACCCCTCTTATTATCATCTATTTTTATCTCATCCCAGGTCCCAACCTTTTTATTATTTTTATATGTTCCCTTGTAAATGACTTTAGACTTTCTAATAATACATTCTAAATTTACTTAAAAAATTTATTGCTCACCTCAATCCATTTACCAATCTTTAAATTATTCCCTTATTTATCATAGTACCCACCTCCACTATTAACATAAGTCTTTATTTACTACATCTATTCATAATTCTTTTATATATTTTCTCTCCAATAATAATTCCATCTGCCAACTTTTTTATCATTTTGATAGTCACCCTCAAAGGTTATGACTTATGCATCACTAAGAGAATGATATTTTTAAATTACGATCTGAAATTATCACCTTACTCAATCCAATATCCTATTTTTTTATTAGTTTCTTTAATATCATATGTCCCTCCACCACTAGTAAGGAGCAATGTAAAATTAATATTTACATCTTTTCAAATGTAGAAATATGATTCCATCTCCAATACGTAAGCCATAAACCAACTTTAGTCCCAAACTTATAATCACCTTCAAATATCACTTAATAATCACTAAAGTAACAATTTAAGTAAATTCTATACCTTCTAAAACCATCATTCAAATCAATCCATTTCCCTACTTTAACATTACCTCCATTTTCGTCATAATTTCCACCGCCACTAATAATATGAATAAGATATCGCATATTATGACATTTACATTTTGATAATTTGTTTATCCCAAGTCCAATAAGTATCCCAACTACCAACTTTTTATTCCTTTTTATAGTTTCCAACTATATTTATTAATCTCCTTCTAAAATTAATAGTAGGAAAAGTTAGGTTACCTCCAAGATCCTTCACTCATTTCTTCCCATTTTCCAACCTTACTACCTTGTTCATCATATACTCCAGTTCCCCTATAATTACAGTTATTAATATAATACATCAATTAGGTCTATTATTCTCCACAATTATTATTGTAATATGTATCCCATAAACCTACTTTTTTACCTTTTTCATATTAGCCACTGAAAATGACATAACTTTACCTAATTTAATTAAATAATGAATTATGTAATCAAATACTCCCAAAAAGCATCATTTATTACAATCCATTTACCAATTTTTTCACCTGATTTGTTATAAAATCCGCCACCACTACAAAAATATAAACACAAATCATACATCTCTTGATTTTTATACATATATATCCATTTTCCTGTTCTTTAACCATCGCAGTATTCTCCTATTTCGTACACTTAAGCCTTGCTTAATTATAACAATTATCAATAAAAACTACCTCCAATAATTCTTAATTAATTCCTTCCATAACCCTAACTTTTATCCATCACCTTTTTCAGAGTAACATCCACCTACACCTTTCAAAATCTCTCCCTTCCATTTTGCAATCCATTTGCCAACCTTCTTTAAATTATCTCCATATTCTCCTAGCCAATTTAGGTATTTAATCTGTTCTAAGTTAGTTAATATTTCTGGCTTGTCTGATATATCTGTTATTTAATCGCTTTAATTAAGTATAAGAACATTTACATTCTAAGGACTAATCCTTCAATTGTTGAATATTAGATTTCTTGTTTAGAACTTTAGTTAATTTAAAATTTAGTTCTACAAAAACGAGAATGATAACAATCCCAAACATTATCCTCATAAATTGAAATCTCTTATTTTTCTGTTGTTCTATAATGAAACATATGAAGGTATTTACATTTCTTTATTAAGGTTTTACTGTTCTTAGGAAAATTAATTGATTTACTTATTTCCCATAAGTATTAATTTAAAATATAATTTTTGGATTCAAACAGAATTTAATTTAAAAATTACTATTTGTTTTTATTATTTTATCATTCATGCTCATTTCATTTTACAAGTCAATAGAAGCATCAATTTTAGAACGAATTTCGTGTATTATTGTTGTATATAAAAAATTAAAAGCTCAAGGATCAAAATTCCAGAGAAAATCCAAAATGCTATTGAGTTATTTAATGAATACAATTGTTCTAAAGAATGATGGATGATAATTAAAATTTCTTTTACAAAATATATTTTTTTCCCAATTTATATTAAGAATTTGAATTTCTAGACTAGAATTATTTAAATTTTAACGACACTTTCTTTCTTAATAATTCGAATAAAATATTCTTAGATTATCGTCTTAAAATTATATAATATTATTATTTTCATACATATTTATCATCTGCTTTTCAATTGTAGTAGGCCTCAGCCCTTAATAAATGCATTTAATTATTGAATGTATTCCCACTCACATTTACTATAGATAATATTATTTTAAAAAAAAATGAAATTATACTCTATAATCGAAATCTTGAAACAAATAAATCAGGAAATTTTAAGATAAATATACTTTTTCCTGTCCCATCATAAACCAACTTCTCTTAATTTTCATTTTGAATGTATATTTTGAATCTGTAGATTCTGCTATCACCATCCCAAAACCAGATTTTTAAAGTATTTAATTCATATACTTGTCTAAGTTAAAAAGCGATTGATTATCCATGATAATTCCAAGTATAAATGTCTAAATCATACATTGAATCATTAAGACAGCTGCCATCTTTACCAGCTTTCATACCATTTTGTAATCTAGATGAAATGATTGCTTCTCCATTTTTTTGTAAAACATTCTTATAGTTACCTCTGATGATTGATAGAAAGTAGTTCTAATTTTTCAAACAAATTGAATTAGATTCTATAATCAAATGAATAAATATAAGTATAATCATAAACTCTGCTTTCTTTGCAATTTACAATTTTTAATAAAATTAATTAAATACAATGAACTTCAATTTTATAATACCATTATCCTATTCTAGACATAAAATATGATAGATTGTGAAATAAAATATTCCATGTTCATCGTGACTTATCTTTACATCTATTTTATAAATAACAAAATGTAAAATAAATAATGCAAGACTATTTTACTTTAAATTTAATTAATGAAATCAATGAATTTCTAACATTAATGAAAATTATTAAGCACATAGAAAAAATGTATCATTATTATTTTTATGAATTTTGATTTTATAAAATATTTTTCTTTTTTTGAACCAAAAATAGATGAAAATACAATATATATAATTTATTTGCAATTTTGTACCAAACATGCTTAAAATCTTCAGTTATTATATGCTATTATTGTTTCTTAAAATAAATGAAATACGTGAATTCTTCCTTCATAATACTATATTATTGAAGTACCTAGTTTAAAATAGTTTTTTAATTGATATTAAACTATCATCCTTTATTTACTAAAAAATTTTTTTTAAATTACAAATTCTTTTCAAACCATGACAGTTGAAATTTTCTCATAATCTTTCTAAAGGGGTCAATACAGAACTGCGAGGATGCATGAATAAATATGAAATAATTCGTACATTTCAGTATAATGATATTTTTCCTTACGAAATAGTCTAAGTTAAACACAGTATCTCATTCCATTTTATATATTGAAATTAAATTAATAAGTAATTGTTGATAATTCAGGAGTACAAATTGCAATTGATACATATATTAAACGTAACAATTAAAATCCTAGTTCTGAGTTATGCTTCATCTATTTGTAATTTTTATTTTAGGTCCTACTTTAGAAGTTATGATCTTTCTAATTACATTTTAAAAATCCATTGAAATTTCTATATTTTGTGTAATGCTGTTATAATATAAACACCTCAACAAATTGCTTTGACTTATTTGATTTAATGATAGTATTTAACTGAGTTTTGAGTAATAGGAGTAACCTTTGATAAATAGCAAAATAATTTGAAAAACTATTTTGTCAGAGAAATTGTAGCAACAAATTTCAAGTAAACTTACATAAAATTCTGTAAGGCACCTTTTATTAAATTTTTAAATTTCAATAAATAATCTTTTTAGATCAAGTTCAGAGATTTTAATTGTTTAATATTTCAGATAAATAAGCCTGATATTGAAGTTTATTGATAATTGTTTGAAAGGATATTCATTTTATTAAAAAATTATTTAATTTTAGATACTGAGATTAGCTCCTTATTTTTCCAAAAATTTTGTAATTGATTAAATTCATATTGATTCTTAATAAAATCACTTCACTAGTTAAGCATAATTTTAACTAGCTTCTTAAGCTGCTTCCCTTACAGAGCTGAATCTCTTCGCTGATTTTGTACTTACTCCAATATCGATTTACATTTAGAATTTGGTTGATATTTTATGAATGTAAATTCAAAAATTTGAAAAATTGCATCAAATATCAAAATCTATATTCAAAATTACATTTTAAGCCTTGATTTCAATCCCTTTTTAAGTAGCAAATACAGCATTGGCTCTTTAGATTCTACTTATATGGAATAATTCTAAAGCGATTCTATTCATCAAAAAAATCTTGCCCAGCTATATACAAAAATATTTATTCAAAATAATAGCTAATACAGTATTCAGAAAAAAAACATCAAATTTAGAATTTAATTCCGATAACAATAACAACCTTATAATAGCGTTGAAGCTCAAAAGAGATATTAACATTTGAGAAGCTTTGCTGATCTTTTGTAGATAATTAAATTTTATACATTAAATTCTAGTCATGATAATTTTTAACCAAAACTTGCCCACAAATTCTAACTTAAGATGATTAGAAGTTGTAGTTGTAGGACTCTATTAAGTTTCAAAAAGTTACTGTAGGGATAAAAAGGCAGATTATAGAAGAAATCCAAAGCATAATTTATAAACAATAAAAATATTAATTATTAAACTCAAAGAAAATGAGAAAAATAATAGAATTGAAAAATGAATATATTGATATTTTTTAATTGTAAATCCAAAACTATAAAGATAAAGCAATATTTATGTAGTCATGGAACAATTAAATAAAACATTAATCTACCATTTATTTTTAGTGAAATATTTTTGATGAGTCATTTCAAATTTATCCTATCTTATCAATATAGAAATAAATAATTTATAAACTCGGCAAATTTCTTAAATTTGAAGTTATGCATAAATTCAGGTTAAAATTAATTCGAACTAACACACTCTGATTTTTTTTTTTGAAAATTAACAAATAAATGCTTAATAAATGATTTACATCAGCAAATCGAAAATACAAATTAAAATTTTCAAAAAAATTTACTTAACTTTCATATCATAATAATCCAGGTTTATCCAAAAATTTCTCAATTCATAATTTAATAGTTAATGACAAAAATTCTTTATTTCCTTAAATAGATCTCTACTAAATTTAACCTGCTGTGATTGCTGAATAATATTAAGAATTCTTAAATATCACTTTAGTATGCTTAGGGAAATCTTAAAACTTATGCAATGAGAAGACTAATTAACAATTTGATGGTTACTAAATGTGGTTTATCTCAATATTAGCCTTCGATTTTAATGAGTTGAAAATTCCATTAGCCAATTACTCTTTAAAAAATGAATTAATAAATATTATGAATTCATATAGAGATCACCCTATTAATAAAAATATAAGATTTTTAATAGATAAACCACCTTTATGGAATTTATATCACAGAAGTATACATAATTAAATAATTACCTTCCATTCATTCGATAATTGGAAATTAATGAGAAATTTATACAATATTTAGAAGTAGTTTTAATACACCTAACAATCTCTTATGGAAATTAAATCAAATTCTCATTTTTTAAAATATAAATTTTTTATTGATGTAAATGTCAAAAATTTTATTTTTGAAACAAATTTTTTTATAAAAGTCCTTTTATTTTTAATAACTATCATAAAATTTATTTCCTTCCTAAACAAAATTAAAACGATTTAATTTTATGATTATTCTAAATATAACTTAGATTGACCATAACTTTTAATTATAGCATACAAAAGTTAATAATTGTAAAATATTATTTTTCTTATTTATCTACTATAATTTTTTAGGACTTACTACTAATAGAGCTGATGTTTACCAATTAATATTGCTTCATCAACCTTTTAATTATTTTTGAAATAATTTTATTAGAAAATAAATTTCAAATTCGATTTTTTATATAATTTTTTCTACAGGAAAGGGTTTCAATGTGAATTCAATTCAAGATTAAATTCTATGTAAAACCTTAAACACCTTGATGGAGAACAATTACATTATTTTACTTTTTTTTAATTGATTATTATTTTAACAAATGTGAACAGAATTAAAAGAAATTTAGGAATTGAATTTTCCCTCTCAAAATGTGCCAGACGATAAATAATACTATAATTTGATTAGTAAAATTGCATAAAACTTAGTATTTTTAATCAAATCGCACAAAATGAAAAATAAAGGAAAATTTAGTTATAATATCAACTTTTTGTAACTGTTTGTATTCAAAGTGAAAAAGATGAAAGAGTTATTTTTTGATGAAGTTAAGGTATCTTAACTATGAAAATATTTGACTTTAGAAATGATGACTTATTATTTTGAATCTGCAATTTAAAGATGATATTTGAATCGAAAAATGAATATGTTTTCTGAATTATAAAGTATTGGTTGATAAATTTAAAGATTATTTAATTATTCAAAATGATATCAATATATTTCTTGATTTGGATGTTGAAAGCAGTATATTCAGAATAATTAATACGATTGAATTCTGAATTGCCTTATTGGATAGAGGAATTTTCAATATTAGATTTCATTATTGATGATGGTGTTATATAAAGATGGACTTCATGGTTTCAATACCTTCCATTGAGTTCAATAGTATATTCTGATTAACTTGGGGTATTGGATAGTAATTGCTATCATTTATTCAGTTCGGTTGAAAAGGAATCGAACTAGTTAAATTTATTACATTATGATTGTTAAGATTTAACATCAAGAACTATCACAAAAGTAATATAATTTATAGGAAATGACGATTTGCAATATAGTTACGAAATCGATATAAGCATTTTTGAGTATGAAAATTACTGGTATTATTTTGATTTTATTTTCTTCCCTTACACCAATTAATTTTAAATAATAATAATTAAGAATGAAGAAGTCATTATGGATGAATTTTTACAAATAGTTCCATTTTCAAATGTTATTTTGATTCAAAAAATAGGAGGAAGTTTTATAGTTGAAAATTCAAGATTAATAAACATTGAAAAAGGAAGAAAGTTTGCTTCCTTCCCAGGTAGGATCCTTCCAGTCTCTTGTAATAATAAATTAAAAGATTTTGCTGCTTATGCAATTTAGTTTATTAGTCGAAGTAAATTATGTAGGTGTTAAGAAAATCCTTAAAATAATTTAGACGATTACGATTTTCTTGAGCTGAACACTCAAATTTATATATCAAAATATAATAATTGTAATTCATTTCTATTTTCAGGATGGTTTAAAATAAAAGATATAATATAGAGTGATGTGACAATGACATATTAATTTATTAAGTTGTCATCAAATTATTAAAATGGTTAGCTTTAAAATTAGAATTTATCTCCGTTTTAATTATTTTACAAGTTCGAAGAAAACTCGAAAAAATTGATAATAACAACCTACAGTTATTAATTTCCATCTGTAAATTTAGATTTTACGAACAACCCTTTCTTAATTACAAGAGAGGTCGACATTAATCATAATATTTAATTGTGGCATCTAATATATGTGAAATTAGAAGAGGATGACTTTTAAGTTAATATCAAATTTTTTGATATGAGAAAAATATACGAATACAATATGCAAATGAACATAAAGTAATTTCATCAAATATATTATAAACTCATATTGGGAAATAACTAATAATCAAATTTCAACTTTTTAAATATAATGGGGAGAAACTTGTATTTGGTTAATTGCGAAACAGTTTTTTCTTAATGAGATTGCCATTATAGTTGTGGTGAATGTGATGGTCCAACGGAGAAGGATTGTTTAACTTGCTCCGAAGGTTCATTAAGAGTTTATTTTCAAGATTATAAATAATGTATTTGTCCCTATTTCACAATTGATGATATTGATTGCAAGAACTATACGAATTTTCACTTGTAGCCAATCTCTATTAAGGAAGAAAATATAGAATGCAAATATGGGTAATTTGAATTAGATGGGTAATGTTATGACTGGTAATCTTATTTAATTATTAAAGTCCTGGAGTTCAAAATCAAGATGCCGTAACATGTTTAGAATGTGTATTAAATCCAAAAGGATGGAGTAAGAATCCTGAGTGTAAATCAAGTTTGTAGTTTCAGCAGGATGGAAGCACTTCGGCATTTGTGGAAGAAGAAAATGATGGATGGACCTAGTACTTCAATTTTAATGGAATAAATCTTGAATTCTGTGTAGGTTGTGTCAACTCTAGCATTATAGATTTAAACAATATTAATTATGATAATAATGCTAAATTTCAACCATTTATGTAATTTTGCTGGTCTACATTATTTCAAAATGATTGTTACTTTTGCTAGACATCTAATTGTTCTCTTTGTGCATTGTCTATAACAGGATAAATATGTATAGTTTGTGATTGGTATAGTGAACGAATAAATGGGTAATGTATTGCTTTGGAAATGGGAATTTTAGATGAAAAGAATTGTAGAACACCTTATTACATTACTTCAAATTATGATTGTGTATTGTGTTCTATAACTAATTGTGTGTATTGTTTTGAATATGTCTTTGATGATTTAACAAAAAGTACACTCTACCAGAACTTCTAAAAATTTAATGGAGAAGATAATCTAAAAGTAGGATGTGCATTGTGTGAGGATGGATATATTTTTGATTTTCAATTAGGCGAGTGCCTAAAAAAGAGTTCTAAAATAGATACATGTTTAAGAAGCTATATTAATTAGGAAGGTACAGAAATCTGCACATTATCCTCGAAATAAGATTTTTCTGTAGCAAAAGAAATTATTAATTGTGAACAATTAATCTCCAATTGTCTGTAATGTTTCATTACTGTATAATCAATTTTGAGATGTATAATTTGTAAAGTGGGTTATACTAGTACTACTACTGAAATGAACGGAAGATGTTCCCCTAATAAAAGATTCAATGCAAAAATAAGTATAGAAGGAGATTTTTATATATATGATGCATGGATGCAAAGAATACAAAGCTTTATGGGATCTTTTTTACCAAATTAATATTTTTATCCTAAATCAAATTCATATTTTGTTGATGAAGTAGCTATCTCTTGCCTAGAGGGTTCTGAAATGTATCAAAATAAAACTTGTCTTACAGCTTGTCAACCAGATTGTATAGAATGTAAATTGAGAACAGATACTCCAAAGTATTATTGCAAGAAATGTCCCATAGATTAATATAAAAGACCATAGAGAGTGCAAAGGGATGGATAGTGCTTAAATTGCCCTCCATTATGTCTATATTGTTAGGAAAGGACAGCTGAAGAAATATCTGTAATCTATTAATAATTAAATTTTAGCTAATTTAGCCCAATTTTATAGTTAATGAGAATAATCAATTGTATACTAAATAATGTATTCAGCCAATTTTTGATCCAAATGTTAAACTTTCAACAAAATAATATATTCCAATTTATTGTTTGGATGAATAATGTAGCAGTAATTTGGTATATGATTACAAGGGTCCTTGTTATTTGTATGATAATTCAATGACTGATTTATTAATTAATCAAAACATCAATTACCTAAATGTAATTGGAGCCTAAAGTATAATTATTCAACTTTAATTTACTCCACCCAATGCTTAATGTAATCAAGTTATTCGTATCAATTCTAACTAACTCAAAGAACAGATATTTTCTTTAAGAACAACTAATTTAACTATTTTGGGGAATGGAATCCGATATCAACCAAAAGATGAAGAGGTTAAAATCAACAATTTTGAAATAATAAATATTTTTAGTATTGACATCTAACTGTCGAATCTAACTTTTAATCTGTTGGGTGATCAGAAATTGAAATTTACTATGAAAAATGTTAAGATTCTGGGAATTAATTAAAATCAAGTTAATAAATTATTTAATTCACAGTAATTTGAAAGTATTGATTTAGTAAATATTACAATCATGAATATTGTCCTCAACGAATCATCATTTTTCAAAATTGAATTTTAGCTATTAGAAGCATAAGTGCAAATTAATTAGTTAACAATTATTAATAGTACATTTATTAATACAGATCTATTTTTAATTACAAACAGCTAGATTTCAATTAAGGTAGACAGTTTATTGATTGAAAACTGCACATTAATAAATTCAACTATTTTAAAAATGAAATAGAATCAAATAGTAGCAAAACTGACAACAATATCACACATTCGAATTAGAAATTGTCAATTATCTTATTCCTCTATCATAAATTATGATGACCTGACTTAATTGTAAATTTTTAACCTATAAATTCTATAAAACACTTGGTAGAATTCTAACTTTATGATTTTTTTTTACAATTTATCTTTAACAGATGCAAATTTTGAGGATAATATTTTAAATAATTCTATATTAATAAATGCAATTGATACTAATGCAACAAGTGATGTCACATTTTTCTTAGAATAACTTTCAGTTATCAATTTAAAACTAATGAATTCAAACTTAATTTATTTGTCTTCATCTTCATAGGTTAAAATGATAATATAATTTAGTAATTTTATACTTTAGAAAGTTGAAGGAATAGATACTTTTAATAATGTTTAAAATTTATTTAAATTTATCCATTGCTTCAGCTGCTCAATAAAATACATTTAGATTCTAAATACAAAGAATATTCCAATATTTTATTTTTTTGAAAGCAATGAAATCATTATAGAAAGCCTTATTTTTTAATAAAATACTCAAAAAAATTAAATTCATTACTGTTAATAGTCAGACGAATTTAATAATTAACTTCTTTTTGTTTAAGGATTTTCATTTATTAAATTAAATTAGCTTAAAATCATAAATTATGAAAATTTTAATTAAGCATTTATTGAAATACTTTCATCCCCTTAATAATTAGAAAATGTGTCTTAAAATATCGAAATAACTAATAGTCTATTTTAAAATAATATTATTAAAAAGGTTCTATAAAAAAGTATTATATCTATAATAAGTATATATTCAAAAAAACAATAATTTGTTAATTTTGAAGACTTAAATTTTTAACAAAACTTCTTCCATCAATATTTGGATGATCCAACTGAAAACTTTGCTGGTTTAATATATATAGATTCAACACAAGGTTAGATTAATATTAGTAATTTATATTGCAAAGAAAATGCAATAACAAATTCATCTACATCTTTTCTTGTTTTAATTTCACAATCAATCTTCTTTAATAATGCCACTGTTAGTTATCATAATGTCATCAGCTAAGAATTATGGAACAAATTTTATCAATTCGATCTGGGTTAATAGTATGACTAAGATCAGATTAACTAAATTATTCAATAACTTTATCCAACCTACGTTTAAGGAGGAGTTGCCAAAATAAATTGTGAGTAATTTGTCAGCCAAAATTCAAAATATCTACATATTTTAGCCTTGACTAGTGCTGTCTTTGATATTAAAACTTTAGGATAAGGATAGTTATAATTTATCAACAACACAATCTAATCAATATCTTCTATTTATAGATATGGAACAGATAATTTTGGTTGTATAAATATTAATTCCTTAAATAGTTATTTAAATTTAGAAGTCTCCAATACAAATTTTCTAAATGTATAAAATGGATTGAGTACTGTGTTATTTACTATCAGTCCATCACAAAGAAAAGCCAGCATATTATTGAAGGATATACAAATGATAAACTGTTTGTCATTCTTAAATTAATTAATTAAAGTCTAATTTCCATAGTACAAAGAATAAAGTTTATTTAAGATATCAATATTAAATATAAAACTAATTTTTGAAGAATCAGCTTGGATTAGATATTTTTCATAATTTGGAGCATCTACTGAAATTACTTAAATGAATTAAGATAATGGAATTTTTAATATTGTTGGAGGATAAATTACTGTTGAATAATTTGTTCTTAAAGGCATAATATTATCCCATATCTTTAAAATAGAAAATTCAATCCAATTGTTAATAAAGAATATGTAAATAATCGATGTTTTCTCTTTTTATCAATTACCATTAATATTTGTTGATTAATAAGTAAATTCAATTATTATACTTGAATAACTCATCATTTAACGATTTTCAATATATTAATTTCGTTCTGGAGAAGAGGAATTCTTTTATATTACACCCTAATATGTGGTTGTTGAATGCTAACTTCAATATCTATCTTAATAAGATGAGTAACATTAGTAAAATCTAATAAGTTAAAATATTTAATAATTACAAGAAGAATCAAATAATATAGGCTATCCATTACTCTACTTTATTAGTTCAAACAATAAAGCGAGATTTATTGTAAATTCTGTATAATTAATATAAAATAAATGTTTAAGTTGCTCAAAGGGAGGTTTATTTTTTGATCTCACTTAATTTAACTATGTTAAAATTAAAGAGTTTTTGTGTATTTATAATTAAATCAAAGAAAATGGTTGTTTAAATTTTAAACTTAACTCCTCTTAAAATAATTAGAACAAGGTTATGATATATAATTCTAATTTTATCTAAAATAATGCTAGTCAAGGAGGTGCCATAAACGCTGAAAATATAGCACTCTTTATAAGAAATTGCAAAATAGTCGGAAATAGAGTAACATAAGCAGGTGGAGGCATATATGCTGATATCGACAAAAAAGATTTTGAAATTAATAAATCGATTGTAATCTTAAATAAAGCTAAGGTAGGAGGGGGTATTTACTTTGCAAAATAGTATAATCTTAATGATGAAAACTTTTTCTAATCCGTTTTGCTTTTTAACTATGCTGATGTTTATGGAAATAATTTAGTTGAAACTCCTACTCATTTAAGTCTTTCGATTAATGATATTGATATAATGTCTGAATAATAAAAATTCGGGAGAAATACTATGTTAACTTCAAATATCAGACCTTATAATGTCATTGAATAAGGATAATTATTAAAGGTAAAATAGTTAATGATTCCAAGTAATTAAAAGATTAATAGTTATTAAATATATGTTCCAAGTTACTAAATATTTATAAATTACATCCACAATATACTTATATCTGTTAAAAATCGATTTAATGAAAAATTAGAAAATTAAATTAATTCATCTTGTTAAGTAAATGCAGCCATTTTTTATGAAAATAATCACAGTGTCTCATAAGAAAAAGTAACCTATAATGTAGAATTAGATTAAAATTAGAAAGCTTTCGACTTAAGTTCTCTCTCTTTTCGTTTTGATCCTTATAATTAAGATTAATCATTATTGTAGATAGAATTTAAATGTCTATTTGATTAGAATAGTGAATAGCTAGAATATCTAATTTATGCTAAAGCGCTTAAATGCTAATTGGGAGAATTCTATGTAGATAAAGGTTGTTAAATCTGCTAGTCAAATTAAGGGTTTTATTCTGTAACTTATAATACAACAAAATGTTCAATATTTGACAAATAAAAATTTGATAATATTTCATCCAATTAAATTAAATTGTAACCGGGATATTGGAGACCAAATTACCTATCAGATTATACCGAAAGCTGTTTTAAAAACCCTAAATTTTGCATTGGTGGGTGGGATGTAGGAAATGAATTATGCAGTTTGGGTCATATAGGAGGATTATGCGAAGAGTGTGATAATTTTGATTTAATGGGGAAGGGATAATTTTATAAAAATTTATCAGATTTTTAATGTTAAGAATGTAATGAAATCTGGAAAAGTATTGTACCCTTTGTATTGACTTCAATTTGGTATTTTCTTCATTAAACTTTAGGGCTTTTCTCTAAATTTTGATTACTTTAAGAAGTATTGAAAAATCAAATAAATTGTTCTCATCTCTTAAGGTGGGACAAAAATATAGTAAAATAATATTTAAGCTAAATTAAGGTAATTAAATATTAATATTACAGATCATGAAAGTATTCTTATCAAGATGCTACTGAATTATTTATGGATATTTACAGTTGTATTTAATATAAGTGTTTCTTTTTCATTCAATTTTATTGAATAAACTAGTAATACATTATTTGTTATGGTTAATAATTTGGATTGTTATCTCACTGAAATCTAAAATATAGAATTAATCTATTTAAGATTAATATTTATGTTGATGTTGATAATAATTCAACTTTTAATTATCTGGGCAGGATTCGCTATTCATGCTAAATGCAAGAAATAATTACTGAATAGAAGTTATATTTCAAATACTTTGCTCTATTTATATGTATCCAATTATGCTGCTTTAATTAAATAGTAATTAAGTATATATTAATTAGGTTCTGTTCCATCATTTCTACTAGATAAATTTCACAAATTGCATATATTCAAGGAGATGTATCCCTATTGTATGGTACTTCAAATCATATTTCTTGGATTATATTTTTTGCTATTCCTGGTCTGGGAATCTTAGGCCTTTTCATTCCTTTTTCCCTATTCTTTATTATGTATATAAATAGAGAACAATTGGATAACATAAAATTGAGAAGACATATTTGTTATCTTTTTAATGAATATAATAGTGAAAGCTATTTTTGGGAATCAATTAAACTGACAAAAAAAACTATTATTATAATAATCTTAACATATTTTGAAGGCAATATTTTTTTAAAAGCATCCCTTTTAGGATTGTGCTTATTAGTTTATTAATTGGCAGCTGTAAAACAAAAACCATATATTATTTCAAGTTTAAATTACTTAGATATTCAAACAGGGTAAATTTGCTCTATCACTTTATTCCTTGCTGGAGCTAATTATGTGTGTGAATAAGAAAATTATACAAGTATATTAATACCTCTATAAATTTGTATTATACTACTTTGCGTTAAATTATGCTACCCATTCCTTATAAACATTTTTAGAGTTTATTTTAAGAAATATAAAGTACCTTTTGTCTAATTATTATACAAAATTTCGAGATATATAAATGCAAATTGTTCACTTACCAACTATTTGAATAATCAACTCAAAATAATAAATTAAAGGGAATATCGCCTTAGGAATAATTTTATAAAAATACGATGTCATCTAATATCTTTATCAAAGGCTTAGTTAGGATATCAAAAGTATTATAATATAATATTATATATAGATAAATTTTCTCATTGATTAATTCCTAATCAACAATCAGATATCGATAGACCTTAGTTGATATAGATGTGAACAAATTGATAACTTCATGAACAGGCGAGCAGTAAATAATTGGTAAATAGAATAATACTAATTAAAGATTGACTTATAATTTAATTATATCATAAAAAAATTAAATTATTTACATAAAATAGTAATTTCAAATTATTCAATCAATATAGAAAGTGTTTATCTTTAATTATATAGAAATTTAGTAACTAGAATTTCTTCAATTAAATAAAAAATAAAACTAATTATAACAGTTTAATAATCTTATAATTCAAACTATAATATAAATTGATTAAACTCAATAATTTCATATCAGGGAACCTTCTTGTCTTAAAATTTAGTTTTTTCAAGATATTCAAAATTGAATTCAGTTATTGATCTATGTAAAATATCTTTAAAAGTGTAAAAAGAATACTAGAGTATTATTTCTTAGAAGTTCTCTATTAAATATTTTAATATTATCAATGTATGTAGGATACCAGTTTTCCAACAGTTATTTTTTGAATATTATTCAAAATCAAATTCTAAAATAGAAATCCTATCGACATATTAATTAAATGGGTTTGTTTTAAATTTTTCGAAACAGAAATTGATATTATTTGCCATAAATAAAGAAGCTCTTTCAATTTCACTTTCAAATTCAGAGGGAAATCTTGTGAAAACCTGCAAAGTTTACCTTAATGCATTAATTCTACTTTCAAATTTTTTATTTTTGATATTTTCAACTGAATCTAATGCAGAATTTAATAATGAGAATATTGTGCTCATGTGAGGTACAGATCCTTAATCTTGATCTTTTAGATTTTCAGACTTTGGTAACATTTCCAAGACTTTTACATAATGAATTCCAACATTTCTAACAGCTAAGTCTTCAGAAATTAATTTTACAGCATTGAAATAATTAAACAGATGCCAAAATAATGAGCGATGATACAATTTCCTACTTGGACTCATTTATTCTCTAAATTCCTAAATATTACTTTTTTTGGTTTGTTGGAAGGAATTAATTTATTTAATTTTTTAAATCAAAGTTTCTATGCCTTAAATCTAATTGGTCTCTAAATTAACAATCTCTGTTCTTAGACATATAATTTCTTCCATAAACTATTTAAGTTTCCTAAATTCTTCAACTTAGTTTTCTTTTGATTAATTTGGGACAAGTTGTAAAAACTGATTTTCAATTTTAGTTATTTTAAATTAATAATATTGATGCTAAGTTTATGAGATTTTACTTGTTCTCAACAAATCAGATATTTCTTCTTAAGCAATTTACAATTCTTTGTATATGGACCTTAAAATATCGACTTTTTATTAAAGAAACAACATCTTTTCCTTTGAAAGTTAGAATTACAATCTTTATTAAACTGATACTTTTGACGAATATTCCAATGCACTTTCAAAATACTAATTTGCTTTGCCAAATTGTTTGAGAGAAAAATAAAGAAAACCTAAACTAAAATGATACAATGGATTTGCTGCCAAATTTTCTAAGGCTCTTTAGTAATCTAAAATTGCTTTATCGAATAATTTTTAATCAGAATAAATAAGTCCTTGTTTTCAACATATTTGATTTACCTCTATTGTAATAAGCAAGTATTACTGTGTTAAGGATTTATTTCAACTGCTCTTGAATAATCTATTATTGCTTCTTAATATTTTTCTTAATTTTTATACGCATTCCCTAATTATCTAAATTATTCTACCTCTAATGTAGAACGCATCTGAATTTACCATTTGCAATTCTATAGCTTTAGTACAGTCTGAAATTGCTTCATCGAACTTACCAAAATTAACATAAGCATTGCCAAAATCTTAATTTATTAATAACTACCTCTATTATTATAAGCAGCAGCGTAATTAGGGTTAATTTCAATTGATTTGGAGTAATCTTTTATTGCTTCATTAAAATTTCCTTAATTTTAATATGCATTTGCTTATTCTCAAAGATATTATTTACCTCTATTATTATAAGCTTGAGCATTATCAGGAACCATTTTAATGTATTAGGTATAATCCATTATTGCTTCTTCAAATTTACCCTATTTTCCGAATAACAATCCTCAACATTAAGAAGTATTAAAACCTCTATTAAAGTAGGCTGCACTATATTATGGGTTGATTCTTATAGCCATACAGTAATCTCCAAGCGCCTCATCAAAATTCATCAAACCTTAATATGCATTGGCTAATATTTTATAAATTTTGATTACCTCTATTTTAATAAGCAGCAGCGTATTAGGGACTTTCTTCAATAGCTTTATTATACTCAATTATTGCTTTTTCAAATTTTCCCTGCTTTGAATAAACAAGGCCTAATAATAGCAAATAATTGATTACCATTATTTAAGAATCCGTAAGCAAAAATACTTTAGTTCATTGAATTATTTAATCAAAGAATATTCCAAATAAAATTTGGTTTTGTTTAAATTATGATCATTAATAAATATAATAGATATTTGAAATCATATTCTTTACTTTCATACCCAAACAAAAACAGTATTTCCTAAATTTGTTTTAGAATGAGTAAAACCATAAATATATCAAAAAGTGTGATGAAGTAAAGTAATTTTCTATCTATGCCAATTTAATCTTTTTATTTGATTGATTGTTGATAATGTATTTGGCAATTTACATCAGAGAGCTAGAATATTAATCTATCTTAAAAATTCAATAAAAATAGATCAGATATTTTGTCTCATTAAATTTCCTTATTTCCTGATTTGGTTAGTTAGATTGTATCAGAAGATAGAATGGCAATAGTAAATTTGTTGTTATTTTTGGGTTAGGAATTAAAACATTCTTTTCATAAATAGATAATATCTGAAGTTATATAAAACCACAAATCTAATAATATTAAATACTTTAAAAATTTAATTAAGGAAGAATGAATATTTCAAAAACAATGGTTGTAAAATGGCTTAAAAAAGTAATTAAATTGAATAATAAATAAAAAACCCAAATTAATATGATAAATTAATTATTCAATTCAAGAGTATAGCCAACTATGAATTTCTTTTGCTTAGCTTCTAATATTTGCACTCAAGATCAAATCAACTGGAATCAAAACTAAGATCTATCTTAAAGAATTCATCTATTTTTAAGCTAAATAAACCCACATAATGGAAGTAAAAGAATAGATGAGAAATAAACTATAAATATATTAATTAATTTAATACCTAATACCTAATCCTAAATAATATGCTTTAATGATGGACATAATTTGATTAGCTATTGATTAATTTTCTAATTAAAGCAAAATTAAAAACATCCTCATTACTTATAAAATATCAGTAGAATAGGATATCAAATAATTATTAAATTACTAAGTATTAATTTCCTAAAGATTTTCCGATTTATTTGGATAGTATTATTATGTAGTAAGTTCTATGTTGAAATCTTGATTAATAAATTTAATATAGCCAGCCACAAATCCCAAGGCTCCATTCTTAATGATATCGCTATAATCGTCCTTGCTATTAAATAAAAGTGATGATTACTCATAATATGATAGTTAGATTAAACCAGGTTCACACATTGATAAAACTGTGGAATTACTGGATATACACAGATCATTATTCAATAAATCGTCGAACCTGCTTTTTTGGTTATTTTAGTTAGCGTTATCTAACACAACAGTAGCCATATCATTTATGATAGGTGATAAATTATCTTTGAGATATGAAAATAACTCTATAATATAGGTTTAGTTGATAAAATTTAGATTATTATTAGGTAACAAACTCTCACTTTTTATCAAACCAGCCAATATAGCAGATGCGTCCATATTGTGTCTAAACTATACCATATTTAATGTAACCTCTAATGAAGGCTAGAAATCATTGTTGTTTTACATATGAATCAAATATCCAGTCATTAAGTATAATGGCCAAGTCAAGGCTAGGGCAAAGGTAAGAATTACATTAATTCTGTTGATGTAATAAGTCTTTTAGATTCTCGAATATAAGGCAGTGGTTGATTTGTAATTATTATTTATTTTATCGGTTTCTTTTTAACTTATAAGAACTGCTTTTTAAACTTTTATTTTTTCGGAATATTTGAACATTAAATCAGAAAAATTTGTCATTTTCCATTAATTATTACTTTCTAGATCTATGTAATATTTAATTGTTGATAATTTTTATATTTAATCAAATGCCTAAATTTCATTCAATCTTGATATCAAAAATAAAATGTGTTTAGTTATTTGATCAACGAATAGCCAAATTTTGAGTTAAATCCCAATGAAAAATAGGACGACACACATTTCAGCAAGCATTATTTATAAGAAATCTCCTTTAACTTAGTTTTAGGTTTGAAGAGTGACTTTCGTAATTTAATCAATTAATTTATCATGAAATTCCATCATAATAACAATGTTTTATCTAAGAAACCCTTGTGTATACAAATCTGAATAATCACAATTTTTTGTGCATTCTAAATTTCTTCTATATAGATCTTCAGCAAGCTCAAAATAAATAGAATAAAATTCATGTAAAGTAGTGTTTAAAGTTACTCTTTCATTATTTTCTACTATTTTACATGGAAATGTTGTGATATCCAAAGCCTTCGCCAAAATTGGGACATCGACTATATGATCAAACATAACCTCTCTTCCATATTCATACATGTTTACAAGTTATTCCTTAATTCTATTAGCTAAAAAGGGACTGAGATCTAAAATATTCTTCTCATGTAGTAATTAGGTTAATTACTAAAATAATACACCAAAATAAAAATAATTTATATTTAATGGTTTTCTAACATTATTGATTTAATCAATTTAAGTTAATAAATTATTTTCTATCTCATTAACATTGATAACATTAATGGTTAAAACACCACAACAGATTATTACTAATATAAGTGAAATTTTCTTCAAAGGACTAATCAATTTTTTATTATCGTAGAGTTGTTACACTATTGTAAGTGCCTCTTTTGATGTAGAACTTGTTGAAGTTCTAGATGGATTAGATTAAAAATCTCCATAATTATCCTTTTGTTTTCTTAATTATGACTTTTAAAATTTCTCTAGAATGTTGGATTTCTTTTTTTCACTCTAACTATTTGATTGGACAACTTCTAATTAATCTTCCTAATCGTAAAGGTTTTTTCTATCAAGTTCTTGCTGTTCTTTAAGTTATTCTTAATTTTCAATGAAATTCATTTCATTTTCAATATCATTCACTTCTTATAATATTTATATATCAAATTTCTTTGGTTAAACATACTGTGGCTAAAGTGTAAGTTGAGATTGCAAAAATAAATTTGAATTGCACCTTCTTGTATTAGTAGCAAGTGATATCTAACCCGCAGTTTATTATTCTGATTCATATACTCTATCAGTGTTGCCTAGTTTCTAAACTATTAATCTTGAATTTGAAACTGATTATAATTTAGATTAATTTGCGCTGTTGTTGTTGTCTTTAAAGTGTTATAAACTATTAAAATATTAAATCTATTTAATATCTTTTAACCCTTCATCAAATTTTTCTGAAATTTCCGAATTTACATTACTCATTTGTTAAGATCTGCTTTTTATTCCATTGTCACTTACAACATTAATTGATTATTGAATTTCTATAGTTGTTTAATTTGTTTGTGCTCCTGTTTGTGATAATGATTAAGTCCACTTTTTATACTCTTTAATAGATATTTGGAAATAGCCAAATTCCCCTTTTTTCATTTTAAGAGTTTTGTATTAGAGACTATAGTGAACTTCAAGTGAAGAATTCTAATTATTATTATAACTTATTTAACGTGTGATTAATTCATTGTATTCAGGATGCAATAATATGATAGGATTTTCATTAATCATAAGTAAATTTTTTAAATCCTTCGAGAAATCTTTGTCATCGTAATTTTCAATTTGTGTATTTTAAGAATATTGAGAATATCTTGATTACGTTTAAGATTTTAAGGATCTATAATTGGAGTTTTCTTGTTTCTTTTTAAATTAAGACAATATCAAAGTTGATGTTTGTAAACATTCCATATGATTATCAGGAATGATCCATTATGATTTTAAATTATTAAGCAAATAATTTGATGATGAGTTTATTTATGCTTAAAGTTCCTGTGTCTAACTAATAATTGATGGAAAGTAATATGCTATTAATGGCATTCTAATCAATAATTCTTGTACTAAAAGTGTTTAACGAGAACTTAAAGTTTAATCTTTAAACGCCTCCTCATAAAATTATTTAGTAAATCCTAAAATTCTACCATCTATTCCAAACAGAATTGTTTCATTTTTTGATTAAACTTTGGTCATAATCATGTTGAGTATGAAGTCTTATTCATTATCATAAAAGTTATATAAGTTTATATTGCATGGTTCCAAATAGCCTGTCAATAACTCATAAAAACTAGATTCTCCATGAATCATGAGTTTGGAATAACCGTTAGAAGTGTAATTATCCATCAAATTGTCATGGATTTAAGTTAAAAATTTAGGCATCAACTATGTGCAATGCTTTATATGCTTTATTGCCTCGTCTTTCTCATTTAAGAACTAACTTAATTACTTATTATTAACATCTATAAGTTCTCCTCTTTTTCTAACTAAACTAGTTTTCAATATTATTATTCTATCTAGAATTAAAGTATGCAAAATAAATACTTTCCACTAATTGAACATTGTCTAATGATTCTTCCTCTTTAAATCGTTCACTCTTTAATAAATCTTCAATCTATTTCTCTAGCATATAAGCAAAATAGGAATTAGTATAAACTCCAGAATAAAATATTTATAAAATTCTCATAGTAAGAACATCTGTTGTTTTCCCATTTTTTAATTTCATATTTTCAAAGTCAAATCTTTATTCAAATGACAATTTGCATTTCAACATCTTTTCAGTAGTCTAAAGTGTCTCACCTAATAGGTTATCTATATCTTGATATCCATTTATTAGTTTATTCCAAAATTAGATTTTGGCAGTCAAAGCCTTACTTAGAATTGGAAAAAGTAGATCATTTGAATTGGTAGTAGTATATGCAGACTCTGCATCCAGATTATTGGTATGTTCATTCGAACTTTTCTTTCCATTAAGTTGTTAAGCTTCTTATTAGAATTATTTAACTCTATCATTCAATAATGTGCACAGATTGGAATACGAAGATCGGTGATAAAAATCTTCTGTTTTAACAGTGATTAATTTGATCAATCCCTTTAATGGAGCGTTATCGGCTATATATTAACAATAAATTAAAATATTTCTATTCTTGTTTGATTATTCCTTAGTATTTGCCATTTTTCTTAATAAGCAATCTGTTATTGATTCAGCTCTTTTTGTCTTTCTTGGACATAAATGATTATTTGCTATAGTTTTGAGGATGATAGCATGTTTTGAATTTGTACCCATTTTTAGACATTCTTCTATTATCTAAAAATAATTATTATTATATTATACTTATATTGTAACAAAATTATCTTATTCTTTTGTAGTGATATAAAATGATAAAACATAATCTTAAACTGATAACATGATTGATACAAGTAGCAAACTTATCAATAGAATATCAAAAAATGATAATTTGAGTACAATTCCAACAGTTATAGCTGAGGAGATACATTCAATTATTACAAAGTGTTTTTCATTAATCCATTTTAGAGAAGATATGATATACAATAAATATTTAATAAGTAATAATATAACTCTTAAGGATTGTAATTGATTTGATTATTTTAAAGCAATTATTGAAAGTAAAAGTAAATTTTCCAAAATTTTCTTTGGAATTGATTAATCTAATTTTAAAATATTATTGTCATCCATAATGGTTTCACAACGAGCAAAATAAATATGAATTCCAGTTAAAAAAATCAAAAAAAGTAAATTCATAATAGAGAAGAAGAAACTTAAGTCTCTATTTGAATTTTCCTCTGATATAGTATAAATTGATTCATTAAAAAAGACGGCGAAACTAGTATATGCAATAGGTATTGTGAGTATCAACGGATAATTGATTAAAAACTTATGAGTTATCATTTGTGTTACTAAATCACGATGAATTGCAAATTTGATGATTAAAAGTGGCAACATCAAATGCAAAACAAAAAAGAGAATCATAACAAATCCTAACTAAGTCGAGCTTAGACTGTTAATTACGAAAAAGTAATCGATAAATTAAGTTAAAGAACTAAATATAAAAAATGGTACTTTGTAAACATTCCTGTTTTTTACATTATATCTTCAATCAAGTACAATTCTTAAATTTTATTAAGTATTGTAAACAAATAATGCAATGCATTTGATTATTTCTAAGAAGTTGGAGGGTGAATAATTTAGCAAATTAATTTGAATAATTTCTCAATAGATTATAACATCTTAATAATAATAAAATATATAAGTATTAATAAATGTATATATAAACTATTCAAAATTCTATCCATTCATCATTGTTTATCTCATAATCATTCGGCGCTTTTCTTCTTTGCCAACAATATATTAAAGAGATTATCATAATTGCAGCAATGATAGTATATAATCCATACAACCATCCTTCTTATGTTTCATACTAGAATTGGATTAAGGAAGTTGTACTGAAGTACGTGTTAGCTCCAGTCAGTCTAAATGTAATATATTTTTCCTTCGAGTATAATGGCATATCCAAACAAAAAGTAAATGTACTGAAATTAAAATTATAAATATTTTATTCTGTCAAAATCAGGATCTATCCCTTATTTCGATTTTCAGAAAATATCTAGAAACCCAATATGAAATTATATTGCATTTGCGGAATAATATACCCTCCCTATAATCTAATTGGAGATGATCTATTAAATTATGATAAATCTGCTAAATCATAAACCAAGAGCAAAAATTCAGTTGTTATCTTTTTATTAGATAAAAAAATTAGCAAATTGGATCCTGCCATTCTAGGATGCTATTATATTTCAAAATCTATAGTATTATAAGGAGCTATAGTAGAAATAATATCTTAAAACTTGATTTCAATGTCTGTGTTATCATGGATACCATAATTAACATTGAATAAGATAAGAAAAATTAATTATTGATTAGTGGTAATTAACATAATTATTTCTTTGAGTTCTTATTTGATAACTTAAAGATGTTGAATATAAAAATCACCGATATTGCTGAAATAGGTTTCTATAATATCAATAGTTCTGAAATTATTCTAAAATTGTATTGTATAGTTAATCTTACTATAATTGCCAATAATATAGCTTAAATATTTATCATTATCTTAACAAACATAAAAAACAGCGATCAGTAAGTAATTCGAAGCCTATTTAATTACTATGGGTTGAAAAGTATTTGTATTGCATTAGGTTATAATGACATTCTGTTTTGATTACAAATTATAATAATATAAGTATGAGTCAGGAGTTAAGTAAAAGAGCCCATCAGAAATAACAGATAAAGAAGTTTCTGATACATAAAGTTCATTATTAGGTAATATAATAATTTATTCATTTTGAACAATAGAAATATTATTGATTTAGAAACTTATTATGTAATAACTAGAATTATTTTAACAATATGAATAGAGAGTAGAATTATAAGCATACGATTAATAGCAGATTTGTGTGTCATTCAAATTGAATACAACATTAGTGTTTTGAATCATGAGTTTGTTATAATTTTGGAGTACAAATAAGTTATTGACTACAGTTAGAATAGTAAATTAGTCATCATTGTTAAGTTAACTAGATAATTGTATAGCATTTTGAAAGTTCTTTATAGATATTTGATGCCTATCATCTTCTGGTTCCAATTCAAAATAGAGGATTTATCCAATCGTTGATACGTTATCAAAAGTATAGGTATACTTCAAATCAGATTCATCCTCAATAACTATTGTAATATTTTCAATAAACATGTTCAATTAAGGATTAAGAATGGAAAGACTTTAATTATTGGTGGTGTACGATTTATCACCCCCATTTAATTAAGATCTTATAGTGAAGTTATAAATTGTGCTAGGGAGATATTCAAAGGTTTAGTATGAGTTATTTCGAATGAATTCAAATGTAAAGAAGGGAAAAAGTGAGTAGAGATTATTACCAAAGGCTAAAGCTGATAAACCCTCTACTACTATGCTGGAAAAATATGATCCATTAAGTTGAATTGATGTAAATAAGGATTAATGATATGACAACATTGGATTATAAATTAAAGTTTGTTTTTTATCAATTTTCACATAGTAGAACAGATTGTCAGAATAGCAAGTAACGCCATTTTATTAGGATATACTCATCAATTTTTTCTCATAGAATGGTTTTAATAAGTTCTAGGTATTCCAAACATCAAAGCATAATCCTTGATCACATTTATAAGATAATATCAATTTCTAATTAACTATGTTGATCTATTGGATTATGTAATCAACATAATAAATACCATACGGTATCATTCTAAGAGCAAAATCAATTACAAATATTATGAAATTGTATTAGTTACTTACAAATACAACTGAAGATTGTAGTTATTGATCCAAAGTCATTTCGGTAGGATTAAAATCCACATATTCCCCTAGATATTACTATATTGTCTCTTAATCAACTTTAATCTATTTAACATTATCAAAAGAATATAATATGATTTTATTATCAAACATCAAAATATAACAATTAAAAGTTAATAAAAATTGATTGAAATGCATGGTTGAAACAGTTATATTTGACAAAATTGTGAAATCTGCTTATTATTCTGTAACAAAGTAAAATAACAGTGTAGTTTAGTCAAAATTAATTCCAATAATTATGGTAACTTAAGATTCTTAAAATGAATATGCTAATTGTAAATCTCTCAATATTTAATGATCTTAAGTATCTAACTATATTACAGAACTTTAGTCTAATAGTTCAGGTAATTCAAATACAAAAATTGTCATAGATTTGTTCTATATTCCCACAATATATGTAGTTTCTATGTATATCATTTTCATCATCTCAAATTCTTTATTAAAATCATAAAGTTTGTAGAAGGTAATATTGTTAAATGCTCCTAAATTGTAATTGTTTTAATTATATTAGATCTCTAACAAAGGTCCATTAATATTTTTGATTTATTGCACAAATCTTTTCTATTCAAATGTGTAAAAGTTTTCGACTTAATTTTCATATAATTCATAGACATCATAATCATTCAAATTTAATGTTTTTACTTTTAATTTCACAAAGCAAATATCAATTCCAAAGTTATCAATGGCAAATATATAAATTTCATCCATTTATTTTTTTGTATCTGTAACCTAGAAGTATCCACTCAGTCTAGGTATTTCTAATTGATAAACATAAGTATAATAGTTAAAAATCATTAATTCATTACGTTATTGGTTGAAATATATTTAACTATTTGTAAAATTTTACATAGATTCCGCTTGACTTTATCTCAATAATGTCTTTGTTTCTAATGATATAATCATAAGCGAATTATTAGTTTATAAAATTAAAAACAGGTCATTTGCATAAAATTATTAAATTTCTATATTTTCGTCTATCTAATAAAACATCTCATCTTATTAATATAATTCCTAATCAGGTTGATCTTCACAAACTAGGAGGGAATAAATCAATGAATTGCTCTTTAAAAATAATTAATCACACTCTGAATACTTGTTTACAGATTAATAAATGGTCATTTATTGGGATGGAGGATTAATAAGAAAAAAGTAATCTGAAGAAAATTTCTCATCCTCTGTGATTTTTAACAAAATGATCTCTTGATTATTTAATACATAAAATGTATTAACTTCGATTCCTTTGATTGAAATTTCAACATCTTGAAATATGGAAGCCCAAGTTGAGACATTAATAAATTATTGATTTTGAAACGAATCATCATATTTTAAAAGTGTTAAGATTTAATACTACTTATAATATTATGCATAGATAGTATAATTAATTTAATTGGACCTAAAGGAATAGAGATTAGTTCTTAGCGGATAAGCTGCATAATCCTAAAAAACTAGTGATAAATTCAAGCCTTCTAAGTAATATATCTAAATCATATCACCAATATAACAATCTAAAAGAAACTAATCATCTAATGTAAAGACAACATTCAAACAGTTTAAGTCTGAACCTATATTCAGTATTTACCCAGTTTTAAGTGATTAATTTTACCAATTGTAAATATTTATTGTATTGTTATCAGAAAGTGCAACAAAATGAGAGTTATTATTTGCTATTGATCTAAATATATATCCTATAGTTATGATAATTTTTACCTGTATTAAATGGTTTTCCGATTAAATTCATCGTATTCCACAATGTGACATTTTCAGGACAATTTTTGCATTAGAAAATCATGTTATCTCCATTAAAAAGTTCATTCATATAGACATTATAATATTCTTCTTCTGTAGGAAAGAGGTTTCTCTCTTTTTCATAGACTTGGCAACCAAATACAATCTAAATCATAAAAGCCAAAAACATTTTGTTTTTTCTCTCCCAAAATAAGCGAATAAATATTAAATAAACATATATACTCAATACAATATTTATTATCATTATTAATATATATTCCACAAATATTTTGATTATTGTCAAGATGGAATTTCATATAATTTGTAGTAAATTATCGTTCAAATCATGTTCAATATATATTATTTGCCTTTTAAATAAAAAACAAAATTAGTTCTTTTTAACAAGATAGAGGATAAAAAATTACGTAATTTTTAATAATATGTTGTTATTAATATATTGTAAATAATTAAATGAAAAAAATAATTTAAAAAGCTAAAAACTTTCATTACATATTGCACTTCGATTAAGCCAACATAAGTGAATCTATTTTGCTATTCACAAATTTCTTATATTTTGCTTAGCTTTTGACTTTAGGAAAACATTTTCAACCCAACTCAGAAATTGTGTATGCATCTCTTATAATTTTAGAACCATTTATTCCCTTTTGAAAAGTACATTTATTTTAAATCTTATTCCAGAAAAGTACTTTCCTCATATTTAAATTCTTTTACTCATCTATAATTTGTCTTTAGCAATAAGCATACTTACTGTAGTACTGCTAAATATTAATCATAATTCAAAAAATTGGATATTATTAATGATTACTATTAATGTGACTTTGAATGTGTACCCTAATGTATTTTTCATTCCAAATCTATGGTTAAATATTAAATAATGTTTTACTTAAAGTATCTTGTATTTCTTTATTGCATTGATCAACATCATTTTTACACTTGTTATTACTTTTTTTGTTGTGTTTTTTCAAAGAGGAGATTCCTTAGCATAAAATGAAAATATTACTAATACTATTATTGTTACTCGAATCTTAATCAAACTAACTGAATTTATAACAGTTTACATATCATTTTTAGATGATACAATTTCATTCATTCTAGAATAATTTATTCTAGTTTGCATAATCTTGTTAAATCTATTCAAGTTAACATCAATATCTGCAAGTAAGGTTCAACTTGGAATATTATTCTTGATATTTAATCTATCCTTATATGCTGATTACAGAATGATGGATTATTTATTGATTAGTATACTAATATTATCATTACAATCATAGATTTAATTTAGTAAATTATAATAAATTCTGTTTAATTCAGATACCATACTTAGCTGTTAACTAGCAGAAAGAGTTTATAAGAAATGCTTAGTTGATAAATAGGCCAGAATTCAATTGTTAGTTTTCAAAAATAATCACAAATGTTCAAAATGTAAGGCTTTTTATGATATTATTGAATGTATATTAAAAAGGACTTGTAAGAACGAAAGAGATAAGATTATTTATGCAAATTTTATATCTAAAAAATGGCCCTTAAGAGCTTTGGTAGAACTATTGAAGGAATAAAATGAGGATTTCTATTTTTAGTCAGCAATTTTAACATTTCAGAAGACAAATGAGTCTAAATTTGATATATCAAATTACATTTATACATCGTACTAATCATAAATAGAATGCGAAAATATTAAAAGTAGATTGCTGTCTTTAATTACATTTATGATTAAATTTTGGAATTAAACTATTATGAATCAGTTTGGAATTAAATAATTTTATAAATAAGTTTAGTAAGTAGGCAAAAAAATAGATCAAATTAATAAAACTATAGAAAAAGTCTATGATGTAAAAAATTGCAAATTAAAAGGCAATGAATTCAGTGATGTTATTACTTTGAGATTATTGTAAATTTACTATTGTATTGCGAATGTTGACCTCATTAAAGTATATACCATTTTAAAATCTTAGGCATAATAAATGGAAGATAAAATTAATGACTTGTTTCGAAGTGACAAATTCAGATAATCTAATACAATCGATAATAATTAATTAGCAACGAGTAAATATTGTGCTAACATTAGATAGATCCATGCTTTTAACAACAAGTCTTATATACAATATTAATAAATTGCTTTAACCAAATTACTAATAAATAAGTTTATTTTTTGACGCATAGATTGAGGAAGTTAATTTTATTAAAACAAGTTATGAAGTTATGCCTTAATTTATATCTCATGTACATGATTAGTTAGTTGAAAACTTTATACAAAAAGGACAATCTCGTTTATGTTAATAAGGACAATCAACATTCTATTAAGATTTAAAGGGATATATTATTCCGTGTAATATCCATATAATACCATAATAAGGATAGAATGATTACCTTATTAATGCAATAATTACAAAAGATTTAAATTACAATCAATGTGTTGTCTTTGGTATGAATGGAAGGCTTTATGGGATGACTTAAGACTTTTTCGAATTTTCTTAGTAATCTATGCAGTTTGATACTTATTCTAAAAAGCTATCAATCAATGATTTAGTTGATAAAGGTTCTCTAGTATAATATTACATTGAAAATATATAAGAATAAATTTAACTTTTAAAATAGTCAATTGAGAAACATTAAAATTATGTAATTTCAGAGGCTTAATCCCAATGGCAATATCCAGATAATCATTTAAATTGTCTTTTCAATACAAATTCAATCCTCAAGTAGTAATACAATTCATCAATCAATCAAATGTTATCTTTTTCAAATTTTATGTCTTAAAAGACTTATTTATAAACATCAAAGTAAACAGAAAAGTCAGCTCAAATTTCTGATTTTGATGAATCAGGATCATAAAATAAAGAATTGATAGTTGATGGAGTTGAGTGGTCAATATTAAATTAAAGTTTTCACAATTCTATTAGATAGATGCTAGACTAATTTAGTGACAAATAGAAGACAAATAGAATTAGGTTAGTAATGATTTATTCTTTGACTTTTAAAAAGATTTCATTTGGAAAAAGATCATTGGGATATTTTGTAATGGAATTAAAAGATTATCGATAAGAATTCACTTAGAAAACAACATCTCAATATTTTACAACATATTTAACAAAAAAAACAGAATCTAGTCATAAAAATGTATCCAATTATACATTTCCTATGAGTGAAGTTGAAGAGATCTATTCGGAAAAACCAATTATAGATGATGATTTAGATAATCAGATAAAATAAATTAATCTAAAAAATCATTTATTGTATCTCAATAAATTAGAAATTGATAAATAAACTATCGTTTTAAATGAAAACCAAATATCTTCAATTAATGTAACCAAGTAGAAAATGTAATCATATGATTTTGAAAATTCCTCAAGACTATTGAAGATTCAAACTGACAGGTAACCTAAGAAACATCTTCTAACCACAAGGATTGAACTCCAAAGTATTAATATTCAGCATGATGATGACGATATAATGTAAGAAGTAGAAAAGGAATTTGATGAAATTGTCTTTGAGAGAAAGATGATTAATAATTAAGACTAAGATTAAGATTACGATGAAGATAATTTTGATATGCAGAGAGACAAAAACCAAAAAGATTACTATTTAAAATAGAAAACTAAAATTATTAATGAATAATAAAGCAATTAAACTTTTACTAGGCAGCTATCTGCTCTTAAAGACACATTCTAATATCTTGAAAAGATAAGCAGCAATAACTTTACTATAAACTCACTCAAAAAATTTACATATTTTTCTCTCTGTGTTATAATACTACTATTGATAAATGTTGTTATGGACTCCTTGAGGGCTTATACTCATGTATCAGAGAATGATAGCTTCATAATCTAAACTTTAGATGAGATAAAATATCATAGAATTTGTGCCATCAAATTGAGTTTGTTCATTACAAAACTTCTAGGGTAATAATCAATTATCAATAAGAATTAAGTAATATTCTAGTTGTAATAAAAGTAAAGTTAATACGTCTATGATTATAATATTTATAATCAATAGTATTTATTGATAAATAATTATGAATCAACTCAATAAGTAACTGCTGATCAATTTAACATGTTGATATAATAATTTGATAATGATATGAGAAAAAGTCACTAAAATGTAGAATAAACCAGTATTTTAAACTCCACCTTTTAATTTACTAATGAAACATAATTAATTTTTAATTACATTTATGATATTGTAATGCAAGATCTAGATAAGTATGATGACTAAAAATTGGATTATATTTCAGCATCTATTTTTATTATTCTCTATGTTCTTTTAATTGTTTATTAAATCAAATTTTTATACGCCAAGTAAAAGGTGATTATCAAATTGCTGAAATTAACCCATCAAACTAATATTAATAAAATACAAAATTAAATCGCTAGACTTTCAACAATCAAAGAGACTTTTGATTGTAATAATTCCAAAAATTGGAAATTAACCTCTTATGTACAAATTATTTCAGAAGATGTTTAACATGAGAAATCATAAAAAAAGCAAAATCATGATTTAGAAGGGAATATTGGACATTAATACATTTATCCGAATATTATTGCAATAGTACTCTTGTGCTTATTTGCTGCTATGGGGTTACTCTTTTAACAAATATATTATTAGTAAGAGTATCTAACAATATAGAAATAATTTCTAAAACTAAACATTATGATAGATCATAGTCTGATTTATGGAAGCCTGATAAAAACTTATTACATTTTATAGATATCGAGATCCTTAGATAATTCTATAATCGAGAACTTCAATGAATCCATCAATAACTAGATAGACGTAACAAATGAAATTATTGATCATTTAGAGACATTGTAAGAAAGAAGTTTGCTTGATACTTTAATTAATGATTAATGTCTTTATTATAAGGATATGATAGAATATTGTCAGAATAGTTACTATCAATATAATGAAATGTATTCATTAATCGAGAGAGGAATTATTAGTTTAACAAATAACATTCAAAAAGTAAAGAATACTGAATTCAATTAAGAATTAACAACTAAATAATTTTTGAAAGAATCCAAAGAATTAACAGATTATATAAATAGCTAGTCTTTTATTAATACGTTTTTAGTGTATTTTTCAGAGAGTGTAAACGTATTAGATAAGGAAATAGATAATGTATATTAGGTTGGATAAGATTAATTTAGTAGTTATGTTTTGATGATTGAATTATACGAGATTGGAGTGGGGATTAGGTAATAAAATAATTCAATATTTTTAGTCTTGGCTTAATGTATTTACTTTATGGATATCTAACATAGATTTATCATCGGTTAGATTTTAAAATTATAATACTCTTTTTAAGAACAATTCCAAATGAATAAATGTAGTTAAAAAACATTTTACATTAAATCAAGAATATAGTTTAGGAAAAATGAAAAATATGTTGATTTCATTTAATTTAAACTAAAATGTTATTTTTTTCATTCTTGAATTTTTTGACTGCTCTTTTTAAAACCTTAGTATTGGCAAGAAAACTAGAAATGTTTTTTGGAACTACATTGCCAAGTTTCCTTAATTTCCAACCTTTTTTGATGGCAATAAAAAAGAATGAGTATAGAGATGTTTCAGGATACATTCTTTTTTTTCCAAAGTGCTTCTACGCTCTAGCATATCTAATTCAAATCCTAAGAATTCAATAAACATACCTTTTAAGAACAGCATCATAATTATTCAGAGGCTAATAATATTGAAATATGGACATTTTATCAAAATTTGAAACCAACAAAGACAATGTGGGAGCAGGAAAATAAATATTATTCATAGTTGCATTTTCACCAATTATTGTAGGTTATTCTTCATTGTGAGTTCTAGTTCTATTAGTGATTTTTCTTGCTTGTTCTCTCTAAGATGAAAACTTGATTTCGAGATCGGACTGATGTTTTTGTTATGATGATTATTTGGCAACTGGTTTTGAATGTTCATCATTTGATCCCGTTCTTGAAAGTTATCTTTTGAGTGATGGTTTTTAGAGGTTTTCGTTTGATTTCTACTGTATTACATGTTACTTTGGGAGGACTACTTAATCCTGTTCTTCAGATGAATCTTTAGAATTACTTAATTCCTCAACATTCCAAGTAACTATTTAAGGGTAGATCAATACTTTCTCTCTTTTTTTAAGAATCAACTCCAAATCCAGCAGTTGCAACAGTTTATCTTTACGAAATTTGTCTTCTAGAGTGACTCTTAATATTTTTCTCATCATCATCTATTTCTTATTATTATGTTTATCTCTAACTTAATGTTCTCGATTAACTTCTCTATTAATTAATTGATGAATATTGATCTGTGTTTATAATATATCTAAATACCTTCTTCATCTTCATAAGCATCATTGATAGGCAGAGTGTGTGAATCAGCTTCATCAACATCCATTCCTCCTTTTTCTTCTTAATTGAGATCCTGCATCAAATCATGAGCTCTTGCTGAATGGTATTTCTGCATGGATTGAGATTAGGGTTCCTTATTGTTTTTTTATCTGTAAAACTTGGTGTTCCTTAATTATTCAACAGGGTAGAGTTCTTTCTTAAGTATTTTCTCTTGATCAGCACAATAATGTAGGATATGGCAGGTGTTGATTAGATGTTTATTGCTATTACAACTATAACAATTTAGCTATAACGTAGAGTATTCATTATAAATTAATCGATCTCTTACATCACAAAATTTCTCATAATCATTCGGAAAAGACTGTAAAATGGCTATGAAGTTTTCTCTTTTGATTTTGAATGCCTTAGTGAATCCCTTGGAGATGGCAGTAGCAGTTCTTGGGTTCCCTGTAAAGAATGCTACTTCACCAAAGCACTCCTGTTAAGATAGAGATTTAATGGAATTCTTTTTGATCAGATCTCCCAATTGATTTTTACCAGAAAACAGTAATTCCACTTCTCCTTTGGTAATGATGTAAAGAGAACAATCATCAATCTAATTGCAAGTTATAATTCGTTCTTCAGGAGAGAATGAGATTTCCTCCATTTATTATAATAAACTTTTTACACATTGTTCAGAGAATAATTTCACGATGACTCTACTATTTTTGAGAATGTTCCCTCTTAATTAATATTGTAATTCATCTTATAAATGTCTACTTAATTTCTTCATTATTGATCCTATTTCATCATCATTCATTTCTTACTCTTCTTACCATATATACTCCAGATAACTTCTAATCCTAGTCTATAGATCAAATTGAATTTTATTCTTAGACATAAAAGTATTTATCAAAGTAACTGATCTACTGTATTCCATAGTACCTTTGTACATATTTGATACAAATATTCCAATACTGTTGACTGAATATGCAAATACAATACTAGCAACAAACATAGTAATATTGTTTATCAATAGTTCACTATTATTTTAGGCAGTAATGTCACCATATCCGACTGTGGTCATAGTCATAGTTGCCCAATAAATTGAGTAATTGTATTTAGTTCCATTAGATCTTTCTCTTAAATTATAGGCATCGAGCCAAGAATAGCTGGTGGAATAATATGCCAAACCATGCCAAGTACAACCACATATATGTGCTATAAATATTATTACCATCAATAGTTTCATCAATCCAACCATGTCATTCAATGAACCATTCAGATTGAAGAATCTAAATTATTAATGATGTACTTACTCTTAGATTTAAGCGAGAATCTTATTAATTTTAGTACTCCTGAGAATGTAAAAGATTGCACATAACAGTATCTGGATGATTAAGGTCGTGTTGTCTTGACTATCGAGATTCGGAATGAAAAATTAAGCAGAAACTGTGAATAAGGAAACCATAAGTTATATGTAATTCATACCAAATCAACGAATGCGTATTAATTGAAATAATTTATTATTACTTTCTTCCTGTCTTTTATAATTTAGCCCTTGTAAATGAATGCCAGATTGAGGCCAACTACAACATCCAATGCCAAAATTGATAGGAGAAGCATCTCTATAATTTTGGTGTTCTCCATCTCGAATAAATCGCTAATGAAATATATTTAAAATGATATTTTATAAGGTAGCCAAAAGAATATCATTATGTAAGTCAAAATTTAGAACACATCCCAAATCACGATAAATTTACTATAAGGAGTGAAGACATCAATAAATTTCCAAAAGGCCAACGATTAAATAAAAGATTTAGTATTTTGATTTCCCACACTAGAAAATGATTCCTATTCCAATTATAAATCATCCAATTATTCTATCTAATACTTTGTCAATTGATGCAATTTCCTCAAATAAGATCGATTCCACAAATTATTAATGAAATTGTTTTACAAACTTTTAGCAATTATTAACCTTAGAAATTACGGTTTGCTGTCTTTTATCGATTCTACATCCTCCTGATCGTAGGCAGATTAATATTCTGATCTACGACCTCCCATTGTTTTAGTCCTTTCCATATTCCTCGGAGTTCGTACAGGTGATTACTAAATCACAAATTATTCAGGTACAGTAATTGATTTACTGCTATCTCCTTGAATATCTCCTTATTAAAAAACAACCTTGTTGCTTAGAAGTTGAGGATTTGGTCCTTGGAATTCTCCTTCTTAGAAATAATTCCTAAATAAACTATCAGAAGAATCACACATTTATATTATTATTCATTATAAAGTCTTTTCCAAACAATAAAGTTGGTTTCGATTTTCTATGTGGCTTTTTTGATGTTATTGGCAACTTTTAGGGTCCAGCACGATTTTATAATTCCTCTCCAAGTCTTCTCAATTTATAGCCTTTCTTTATTGTCAAAATAAAAAAACTATAAATGGAAGAATCAGGGAATACTCTTTTCTTGCCGAATTATTTCTAAATTCTGGCATAGCGTTTCAGAATAACATCGTAATTATTGATAGGGAAATAGTAACTAAATATCTACATCTTATCAAAATACGCTGCCAACTAACCTTCTTGGTTCAAATAACCATCAGTAAATTAACTGTGATCTTTGACTCCTCTAGCCGTTTTAGATCTCTTCTTTGTAGCTTAACGAACTAAACAAAATATCACACATTATTGCTATACATGTCTTCTAAAATTACTCAGACCCTTATCGCTCCTCTTGTGCCGCCTCCTTAACTAATGTAATTCTCTTCTTGGATGTCTTAGGATTAGTTCTATTATCCCCTTGAGGAGGCTTTACTTAATAGGTGTTGATCAATTTCTTTGATTCTGCAATCACACCCTCAATTTAAGGAGAATCATGTTGCTATTGTCTCTCCTATTTGTGCTATCCAAATCCAGCAGTCTTGATGGTCTCATGAGGTATTGCTATGTTTCTCTTATACTTTGGGATCCTATTATTATCCTCATCCTCAGTGTCATTTAAGTGTTGAGTGGCACTGATAGACTACGAGTTATCTCTCAATTGGGCTTATTCTTCATCATCCTCACTTGATTAGTATATACCATTTTCTTCATCATCGTTTTCCTCAGAATCATTATCCGTTATAGTATTTGTATACGCATATTATTTGGCTTTGTTAGTAAGGACATATTGGTTTAACCAAGGATGCAATTTGCTTGTGTAGCCTCTACGATCATAAGATTTCCTCTTTTGTTCAACTGGGAATTACTCCTTCTTTATCAGGGATTCCATGTCTGCACAATAATGATGGAAGTGACACTCATTTATCAGATGCTAATCACTCTTGCAACTATAACATGATATGGCTGATGCTACTGCTTATTTCATCATCAATTAGTCTTTCAAACAGCAAAACTTCTCATACTCATTAGGAAATAAGGTTAAGAGCTTTAATAACTATTCCCTTTTGATTTTAAACACTCTCACAAACCCTCTTGCAATTGCAGATGCACTTCTCAATTTGCCTGTTATGAATGATATCTCACCGAAGTAGTCTCCTGCCTTCAACCATTACAAACTGTTTCTTTGTAGCACATCTCCATTTTGATTGGTTCCTTCAAATACTATCTCCACTTCCCCTTTTGTTATTATATACAAAGAATTATCATCCTGTTAATTCAACTAAAATTATAGTATTCTTTATTGTACCGTTATTATTCTTTCTTCAGGAGAAAAGCTTTGTTCTTCCATCACCAATAAGAGATGTTGCTTGAATTTAAGTGAAAAAGTCTTGGTTATTATTTTACATTAATTTAATATGTTGCCCTTTAATTGAAAATTTAGCTCATCTTGAAGATGACTACTTAACTTTTAAACAATAGAACCCACTTGTTCTTCGTTCATCTACTACTCTTCTTGCCATATATATTGCAAATAACTTCGAATTCTTGTCTAAAGATCAAATTAGATATTGTTTTTAGACATAAATGTATTGATTAAGTTTACAGTGTGATTGTACTCTTATCTACTCTTATATAGATTAGATACAAATATTCCTATACTATTAACTGAATATGCGAAAACAATACTACCAATTAACATAGTGACATTATTAACAGCAGTTTCAATGTTGTTTTTTGCAGTAACATCACCATATCCTACTGTAGTCATTGTCATGGTTGCCCAATAGACAGCTACATTGTACCTAACATAAATATCAGTATCTCTCAATTCATAGGAATCTATCCAATTGGGATGACAATTAATATTAGCTATGCCATGCCAAACACATGCGCAAATGTGGATTATATAAATAATGATTGTAATCATCTAAACTAATGCAAGTAGATCATTTAATTTACCATTCAAATTGAAGAATCTAATAATTTATAATCAAATTTACTCCTATATTAGGGCGAGTATCTTTTCTATTTTGTTGAGTCTTAAGATGTAAAATACAACTGCAAATATAATTAACAGGGTGGTTGCTTATTTTGAATTGTCATGAAGAAAGAAATGGAAGGTCAATACTGCTAATGAGACCAAGATAATAAATAAAATAATACTAAATCGACAAATGCGTACTATCTAATATAATTTTATAAAATCCTCTTTCTATTTTTGATGATTTATCCTTTGTGAATAAAGGCCATATTCATTCCAACCAAAACATCGCATGACAAGATGCTAAGGATGATGATTTCCAAATCGTGTTTATTTTTATCATTCCAAAACTCACAAATCTCATTCATTCCGAATGATAATTTAAAAGGCAACCAAAAAAATATAAATAAATATAACACTATCTACGAAATATCCCAAAAGAATATGAATTTGCTATAAGGTGTAAATACATCCAAGCTGTCATAAGCTGACTCAGCAGAGGAACTGCTAAATCTTAAATCGTCTATTGTTTTTATTTGATACTCCGTCAATTAATGTAATTTTCGTAAGTATGACTTATTCCATAGATTATTAATAAAGTTATTTTATAAGCTTTTTGCAATAATTAATCTTAAAAATTCAGGTTTACCATGATTTGAAGATTCTTCTTCAAACACGCTCTACCTGCCAGTTCCAGTAATCAATGTCTTTTTTATTTAATTTTTAATTGGATTATTAGGAGAAAGTTCAACAGGAACAGAGTACGAATTTTAACTTGGAGGTTGTAGAAAATCACCTTCTTGAAAGCCTACGCAATTTGACATTAAAAGAGACTAAGGACCTTGGAATTATTACTCTAATATCGATTTAATGAAGTACTTTCAAGTGATTCCGACATTTTAAATAAATATAATAATAATGTTTTTCAAATTAATTATCTCGGAGATAGTTACCATAATTATTTCAGAAGAATCAGACACTTACTTAATTAAAAAGGGTCAAATTAATATAATCATTCCTTCCTGATTCCATCATAATATTTTTTGAGTAAGTCAGGATATAATTCCTGAACATATTTTAATAACTCTCCTGAGTTCTTTGGTTTAACCCCATTGGCTCTACAATGAGAATTCACAAATAATACCTTGGTTTCCATTCCAATATTGCTAACTCATACGAATCATTTGGGAAGATGATATTTTTGCCAACAGTCTTGACTTCCACCACCCTTTCACATTGATCTCCATTTATGAAACTACCCTGGTGACTAAAAGTCCCGATATGAAAAAGTTCCATTGGCAGAGAATCAATTGTGGTCGACGCTATTTTATTGAACACATTCTCGGGTTCCTTTTTAATTGGCACTGGTTTATATAATAATTTTGCATCGGATAGCTTAATCGTGTTACGAGAAGAAGTGCTAATCTATTGATGTTAACTGGTGTCTAAAGAGTGGGAATTATCCTCAGATTGGGAAGACAGATCAGGTTAACTCTCTTTAGGCTCAGTTCTTTCCTGAGTCTAGGGCTTACCCACTTCTGAGGACTGCTATTGCAAACGAGTTGATTTAATTTGATTCTATTCTTCAGATGAAGATAGTTCTTAGTGGTTTATCATTTTATTTTTTGTTATCCCCAATGAGTATAGGAAATGATATATTTAGGAAAATCCCTTTAAAAGTTGGAATCAACATTCAGAATTTGGATTATTTTAATTATTATTATTCAATGCAATTCAGAATTTAACTTAGCACTCCAATAAATTTATGTTCATTATTGTTATGTTAATTGTGTCGAATCAAGGAGTGGGTTGAATTTTAGATGGTTTTGTGAATTTGTATTGAGTTAGTAGAATTGAATGTATAATCATTATGATATTTAATTTAATTAACGATCATGCAGACTCGAATTCAATAGTTATCTTAGCTTCAGCCAGATAAAAGAATCCTCAACTACACTTTCAGTTAATAAGCTGTTATAGGACGTGGGTCCTATGGGATTGTATATGTTGGAATGAATATTGATACAAAGTATGTCGAAATTTAAATTAAAGTTAAGTTGTTGCTATTAAAGTTGTACCTTTGCAATGCGACCAGCAATCTCTTAGAAAGGAAATTGATATAATGAAGGATCTGGATTGTCCAAATATAGTTAAATTATTAGATGTAGTTCAAACTCCAAATAATTGCTACATTGTTAGCGAATTGTGCACAGGGGGTGATCTGAGAGAGTACATGAAAAGACATGGATGCCTAACTGAATAACAAGCCTTACCCATAATAACACAGATCTTAAAAGGGATACTCTAATCTTTCAAGAGAGGGATCGTCCATCGCGATTTGAAACCAGCTAACATTTTGATCACTGCTGAAAATATATTTAAGATAGCTGATTTCGGGTTCGCTAAACGATTCTAACACTTAGAAGGAGATCTCATGAGTTCATTGGCAGGAACGCCTTTGTACATGTCTCCACAGGTATTATTGAGGAAATAGTACACTTCCAAGTGTGATGTATGGAGTGTGGGTCTAATCTATTATGAATTGATTGAAGGCAGAACTCCATGGAATGTTATGGATATTCTGGATTTAATAAATAAGCAGAGAAATACCAGTATCAAATTTAGTAACTTTAATTATTAATTATAGGCAAGAAGATATCACCCCTGTCCTAATAATTCATTTTGGGCTGTTTATAATATGAGGAATAAAAGCGTTTAGGATGGGAACAAGTATTTACCCATCCTTTGTTCGACAATAAATTTGTGATGAAGGAGTTAGATTAGAAGTCTCAAAGGTCTCAGCATTCTACCTCATAGATTAAGAATGAGTCTGATTCATCAAATATCAATGCAAAATTAGTTGCAGTCAATTCGCCTCCATAAACTAAATCTCCTCTCTAAATTTACAATAGGTAGAAAACTAGTTAGAAGGAGTTATTATCAAAGGTTGATTCTCCTAAATAAGAAATTCGATAACTATTTCATCATAGTAAAACGATGATGATTCCGTAGACTTTAAAGAAAGATAGGACTATCAGTATTGGCAATCAGCCATAGAGTACAAGGAATAGTGGGAACAAGATGTTTGGAGAGAATTAGAAGGGATTTTCGAGATAGAGGAGTGAGAACGATGAATTGTAAAATAATAAATAAATCATTCAAAATTAAATAGAATTTTTGTTGTTGATGAAACAATTAAGGATCTAATTACTTGATTATTCGTAAGTCACCATTTAATAGACTACTGTATATAAATTGCAATTTATCATATTGAAGAATATTATGATGAAGACTACTCAATTGAAACACGGTTTGATTGATGGAAATGTGAATAATTTCGAATTAAAGGATTTTGAAATCTTTAAATAGAGCGATACTTTTAAGAACATAGAGAAGTAGATACTGGAATTGCATTTTGATAGTTTCAATAGTTTTTAGGAATGTTAATTGCTGTTAAATGAGAATTATACTCTGATAATGAATGATTTGGAATTCATGGACATTTTTAACAATAACTTTGAATATTCAATATAGTTTTGTAATTTGGCTAAGCATTTGAGTTTGTAGTTTATAAAATGTAATGAATTCGACTATATTTAGAATATTTATATTAAATAATTTTGGGATATGAAAATCCTAAGATTTAATTGTTCACATTTCTGTTGTGCAACTATGCGAAGTTCGTTGGAGAGTACACTTAGAATGTGGAACAATTGTTACAGAGTAGCAAATTATAATTAAGCAGGAACGAATGTATAAATTATATTGAAAAAGTATTATTTAATTGATTACTTATATATATTTATAGTATGAGATACATCATGATTGCTAATTATAATTTTTTAAATAAATATGAAATTTTCTAAAATTAGGATCTGCATTTACATCGTAATTTTATGTATAGTCTTCGTCATTTTCAAAAACTACTTGTTTGGTCGGAAAATACTTCTTGAACACTTGTCGATTACCTTTTGCATATTCAACTGCCCGTCTGATTACTTCTTCATTCTAAAGATTCTCTTTTGCACCCTAAAGATACAATTCATAACATACAGGAAAGCCACCACTCCTCATCTTATACAATTGAAGAAATGATTGCAGTTGATTTTAATGATCAAAATCATCAAATTGAACACCTCTTAAGTACAAATCCATATTATCCCAAACTGAGTGAATTTCATCTGTAAGTTAAGTGAATTAGGATGATACACTCTCATTTTTAGGTCTGATAGACTGGGATTCCTTTTTCGGTCTGATTTCTGGCTCATCTAGAGTGGGATCTTTAGCCTCTTCTTCTAAAGCTTATTTGTCAGAAGATTTATCATTTTCGATCCTTTCTTACCTGTTGTCCTCCATCTGCTTCTCTCTTTCAAGACTTGTTTTTCGAGATTGTCGTAATGATAATGTATCAATGAGAGTTCTGCGAAAGGAGAACTAACTTTTATGAGTAGAATCTCCTTCATCTTCAGACCTTGGAGAATTCAGTGATCCCAAAGTAGGCATAGTTTTTTCTGTTGGAAATTGTTTGAATTTTGGTCGTTCCTTTGGTTTAATGTATGTCTTGGTTTTTGTATGCAAACGAGAACTACGTATATGCTCAGAAGATCTTGTGGGTATATTCATCATTCCAATGCTTTTGTGGTTTTGGAACATAATACCTTATTTGAGGGAGTTTGAGGGTTGAACGAACAATGAGATTTCGATCAGGAGCCTTTGAATTGAAGGTTCTATGATATTATTACATTATATAAATATAGACTTCTTAACACTCAGGTTAAAATATAATAAATATTAAATAATCAGATGACAGAAGAAGATGATAGTATGTTCTTTCTTAATTAGATATCATTGCCTTTGAGGAAGATGATGACAATGTGCCACCAAAAGAATAGCCAAAAATATCCACCAGATTTAAACATAAACAAGTGAGACAACAAGAGATCAGCAATGAATAGGCCTAGGAGGCGAGTGAGGATGGCCCCGTGATCAATTTTACTAAACTATTCAAGACTAGTAAGGAGGCAGGAGCTACATAGGGAATAAAAGTTGATTCATAATATGTGGCTCCCATGGCAAAATCTCTGTTTCTTAATCCAGATGAAAAAGAAGAGGAGGATGACGACCCTGGTGTCTTGAAATTGGAGGATCCTGAAGATTAGCCATTGCCTCCAGAAGAAGGAGATGTCTTTATCAAATCGAAATCCAACCGTTCCTAGAGAAGCACTCCAAAAAAAGATGAAAGTATTTTGGATGTGATTCAGAAATACGACGGAAAAAACATGGAAAACAGTCTTGAATTTTCTGTTCATCCCATCGGAAAGGGAACTACAGAACAATTCCCAGCCAGTTAGGAAAATAGAGATGAATTGGTGGACACTATCTTCAGTCAATAATTGAAGATAGGCATTCAATCAACAGATCCCAAAACAGACTTTTATGGAATTTCTATGTTGACACAAAAAGGCAGTTTGTTTCAAAATGCACTCAAAATGTCATTAAAACGTGCTTTCATGACTCCCATTCTGCCATTTATTATAATCATTACCATTCTTGATTATACAATGACGTCAGTTAATGTAATTTTCTATTACTATTTATCAAGCAATTTTAATTCTTTATAATATACATCCTGATACTTGCTTCCTTGCCCACATTTTTATGGTATAGGGTATATAGACAGGAATTAGATTTGGAATTCAAATTTGATAGGCAATTAGTATCCGTGTTCGATTTCGCATAAAAACGATTCAGTACCAGATCCATAATTAGACTATTTCCTGGGTGCATAGTCTAATTAAAGAAGGGAGACAGAGTGCCTGCACCCATGATAATTCTAAGTGCAGAGGGCCGTGAACACGCTCAGGTCAATTTTGGAGACGACATAAAAACATATAAAGTGGCTGCTCCCAAATTGCAAGAGCCTGATTTGACATACATTGATGGATAATTGGAATTCAATCAATTGCCAATATTCTCAGAAAATACTAAGGCTCGATTGAGATTGGATTTGGTAGAACCAATTGACGTGCAACTGAACCATGACAACTTAGTGGAGGAGAATGGAATTGTAGAATCATCCGAATTGATTGGTGTCTTGCTTCATTCTTCCACTCGTTAAAAGTATTTAAGAGAAGCCTTATCCTTCAATCTACCCTTGTATTTAAACCCCTTGAATTCTGAGTTTTTCAGCATCGGTATTGCCATAGTACTCTCAATTACATTTTCAATTGCAGGATCTATTTGGAGTAGCAATAACAAAGATAAGCATCTTTATATCAGAGAATAAAGCAACTATAATTTTATATCCTTATTAATTGATAGATTGATAATCTTCAGCAACATAGTCCCAATATTTGTAGAAGTGTTCAGACCAATATTTTTATTGTTGGCAAGGAAGAAGGTCATTGATGATATTGGAATGGACCCTCAAAGATCAGGATAATTGACGAAGTTGAACAGCTATATAGCTCTGGATAATCTAGCTAATACCAAGTTTGTCAATTATGGCTAAGTGCTAAATGAGCCAAAATTAAGAGTTGGAAAGGCCACCTTATTAGGAGGACCATAAGGAGAGAAGAAAGATCTAGAGAAGAATAATGACGATGTTAAGTTGCAGGGATATGAACCTAAACCTAATAAGGAGATTATGGAAGATTAGATTTAAGTTAATTAATCAACTGCCTTTGAGTAAATTGATTTAGAATATGATGCTCAATGTGATGATAAGGAACGTAGCACATTTGTATTTGAAAGAGCATTATTGACACTACCATATAAGACTTTGAATCCTACTTAATTGGCCGTATAGAAATATTGTTAATTGGGTGAGTGTGTACAATTTTCATATGATGACAATCAAAGAAGTGTATTACTACCAAAGGAAGTGCTAAGAACATATACAGTGAAATTGATTGTTAATACTGAATAATGGGATGCTTATTTGTATGAGATGCCATTGTTGGAGGAGAAGGATTTGGAATCAGATGATGAAGAAGCATCAGATTTACAATAATTGCAAGATAGAATTAAGAAGGATAGAGAATTGTTTGAGAAAATGAATAGCAAAAGATATATTTGGGTTTTGTAGGCTGATATCGAAAGTACTTTATGTAAGGAGCATCCTCAATTATCACAATTTATGTAAGGAAAAGCCATCTTTGAGTATACATTCCAAGAATAAGAATATTAGAGATTGTACAAGCAATTGGGATCATCAGCTTTTAAGAGGAAGTACATTCAATTACCCCCATTTGCAGAAGAATAATTGATGACTTAAATTAAACCATGTGGAGTATTCTAATTCTAGACTGTTGCTCATCATAATTTCCACTTGTTATTAGATATGAATCTGGCTATCATTAGACAATGGTTCTTCATTAGAGACGTAGAAAGAGATTAAACTCTACAATATTTGAAATAGTATATGGAATGTGTTGAATTCACTAAGGATGATTTACATAATGAAATGAATAGTGTTAAGAGTCAAGCTGCCCCATTATTCAAATAATCCACAAGAGAATTCAAAGTGTTTGATAATTTGTATAAGATTGATGATAAATTCATAACTCTGATTATCAATTAGGAAGTGTTGGATTAAGCATTGTCAGATGGAGAAATGAGATCACAGTTTTACGAAGTCATTATGATTGCTTCCTTTGTTGTCTTCCATGATCTTACCAAAATTCAAATCGAATAACTTATCACATTTCAAAAGGATCAATCTAAAACCTAGGCTATTGTATCCGTTGGACTACATGATGAAGACTTATGTTTATGCAAAGTCAACACAATAAGAGCAAGTGTTCAATCCCAAAGTGCTAAAAACCCATCATTATTTTCTGCCATGAGTCATGTAGAATTGGTTAGCTTAGATGGATTGTCCAAACTCATCTTGACTCATGCCAGACAAACCCATGTTAGAACTGCTGGATTTTTGTTATTCATACTTTATAAGGGTTTCCTCATTACTATGTGCGAATTCTTCTTCTCATTCTTTAATGGGTACTCCAGCACATAATTATTCACAACCAGTTTCCACTTCATGTTCTAGACCTATTTCACACCGCTATATGGATTTTTGATCTTCTCCTTCTATTCTGATGTCAATCATAGAGTCATTAGAATGTTTGCTAGTGAATTCATCAAATGTCAAAGAGATTATTATTTCAACAGGAAGAAACTGTTCCTAATATTCTTTGATTCAGTTTATCAAGGTTTCATCATATTCTATTTACCTGCTAATGTAAGTTTACTATCATATATTCTTAGATTCTATAATATGCCAACAATTAAGACGGTATCATCGAGGGATTTTATTACATTTCGTTGGTCTCCTATTTGACAGTCCTTTTGACTACTCAAATGTAACCAATACTCTACTTGAGCACACTTTCAAAAGAATAAATGTATATCTATCTCTCTAATTTAGTGTTGTAATCATGTTCAACATTACAATCTGTATCTTGATATTATTTACTACATGCTCATCTGAAACTTGGAGTACAAGCATTGCACAATATATTCATCATTTAGAAGCCATTTTGGATAGCGTAAAGAGTGTTTTCATTGTAATCTTCCTTTCCTGCATTTCTTTGACTCCCACAATCATATTATAATAATTTGAGACTGTGTCTGATTCATAACTTATTAGAATGATCCACTATTATGAGGAGAAGGAAGAAGTTGAAGAAGAACCAAAGCAAAAGGCTTAAGAACAAAAGCCATCTTAACCAGTAGATACCAAACAATTATAAACTAAGGGAATGGAATAATCAATTATGATAGAATAAACTAGTTAAGATTAAATCAATATGTCCCAGGACAACTTGTTGCAGAAATGATTATTAAACATATTATTGATTATCTTAGTATTAGTTTGACATTATAAATACTATTTATAAAATGTCATTTTTTGGAGATTCAGTATAATATAAAATTTTTGATTTCAACCTGAAAAATAAAGAATTATATAAGTATATAGAAATTGAGATTATGTATAATTTTGATTAATATGAGACATCTGCAAAATATGAACTAAATTTTCTGAAATTAATTCAATAGAAAGGAATATTCTGATTAGAATTAAATAGGAATGCAAATAGAGAAATAAACACATTTAATTAATATGAAAAATAATACTTGTTGCTGAATTATATATACATTAAGTAAATCAATTTTGAGAATCGTCTAAGTTTTTAGTTTCTTATAATCCCTAATAGAATTGACTATTCTGAAGTGAGCTATGTTTGTTTCTAGGTGTGATATATTCTCTTGCAGTTTCATGGATCTATTTAAAATATAAACGTTACAGATTCCATTTCTTATATCATATCCAATATTTTTTATTGAGTGGGGAAATGAATTCCTTCTTTTTATTAGACGAAATGAGCAGTTGCCGGTACGAATTAATGAAATGGTTCTTCTAGGTCATTTTGAATGATTGTATCTATTCTTTTCACATTCGAAATAGTTTGTTCCAGTAATCTTCTTAACACTGCATTGTTGCTTGCTGCCGCTAGAATTTCTTATTTATCCAATTCCCCATCTCCATTTGAATCACAATTCTTAATCATTTCCTTAATGCTTTATCTCAATTAGTATTTATCGCTTTCAGAAACAATATTTGATTTTAAAACATTGAAGATTTCCTTCTCACTTATTTTACCTGAACCATCAAGATCACATAAATCAAAGAATACTTAAAGTTTAAATCATAAATACTTTTCAATTTCTCCTCTATGGTGTCATCTTTTAATACTTCTAAACCAACGATTAATTCTTTATAATCAACTGTACCACTTTGATCTTCATCGAAAACATAAAACAACTTTTCAGCAAGATTTCTATCTGCTCCCAATTAGACAGAATTCAAAAGTTCAGAAAACTCTTCTTTATTCATACCTTCTTTCTTGTCTTTGGCTTTTTGGATAATTTTCTGATAATTAGAAAAGATTTGATCGATTGCATCCTTTCGATTCAGTAATATCCATTAAATAGTTTTCCATTTCATTTTAAATTTAGACTTTGGGGGGATCTTCTTTTTAAATTGAGAGATGCTAAAGCCTTGATCTTTTTTTTATTTATTAAGCATGATGCTAATGGAACCATTTGGAACAGGTAGAGCCTATTAATGAGATTTCGGATTCAAATTATATTTAGTGGCTCCATGGAGTTTCTTTTCATAGACAAATTTGTAGATGGATTCTAATCGCAGATGCTGATTGGCAGTACTTCTGTGTTTGAATCCTGACTTACTTTACATAGATTACTCATGATTTCTTCATCAAAGGGTGTTTTGACAAGATCATCGAAAGCAAAACTATTTTCTGGTAATTTGCGATGAGTAGTAATCTAAAAAGACTTCATCCTATGTATAATCGGAGGTGATTTCGGACTTTACAGAGAAAGAGGTGTTCTTTAAGATAAAATGGCAGGAGTAGATAATTTGTCAATCGAATCAGGTAACTGTAAATGTGAAGGTCTTTTTTTTCGAAACATATTATATATTAATCATAAATTAGCATCCGCATATTATATTTCTGTGCTATCTTCAATTACTTGTTCATCCACTCAAAATTTTATGGTGCCATCCATCTCTTGCATTATGGTTGCTGTAATACAAAGACTACTATCAAACTAATAAAATATTTGACATGATAATTCCCACAACCATTAAAATGAATCCAATTGCATGGTCAATAATTGCAGTTCATTCAATTCATTTTCAATGCCAAAGAACTTTTAGGTCTTATTAATAAAAACAAATAGGAATAACAAATCATAAGAGTTAAAATAATATTTTGCTAATAATCTATTAGAATGAGTAAAAAGAATATCACTTTTTCTTAAACAACAATTGATTGATGCAAACTAAAGGAATGAATAAGATTGCGTACTTTTAGTTGGATATTTAAAAATCTTATTAGTATTACATAGATCGAAAAGCATAATTATTAGCAAGAGAACTTAAATTAATCAAATAGACCAGAGAATTTACTCATTCTATGGACGTGATAATTTGTTTATAATTTTTGATCCAATAATTCGTTTATATTATTTATAGTATCATATACAATGCAGTCAGATTATTTTTCCAATAAGTATGGAAAAAACCATCATTCTACTTAATAACTTAGGAGTATGATGTCTATGACTTAAACCATCTATTCAGTTCCTTGTATGAACTGCGAAAATCTTATTCCGATAAATGAAATTGATATTCACACTATGAAATGTTAGAGTGTTTCAAAGAATGTGACAGCAGTACTTAAATCTAATAAAATATTGGATGAAATCAATTTTAAGATATAGAAATTGAGGGAGTCTATTTTACAATTGAATTAAAAAGAATCCAAATCAGACAATATCAAATACCTTAATAGAGCAGATGAGATGTCCGAGTAAATCCTCACCATTCATAACACAAATTAAATTGAACTACGCAAGTTGCAGGATCTAAATCAAGAATTGAAGACAATCACTGAATCCTACAGGGGTTCTCTGGCTATTGCTCTCTATCTGGAACGTCTCCATTCTCTAGCATTACAGAAGTAAGCCTAACTAGAAAAGGAAATACGCATGCCTAAAGTAGATACACAAAAAATTAACCTTATCAATTTTAATAATAGTAATTACAATCCTTAAAATAATAATTACAGTAGTGTTCAATCATTTAGATATTAATAATAGCCTGAATAGAATAGAACTTCCCAATTACCTTTTACTTCTTAATTTCAAAGTCCAACCTATGGCAGACCTACTATGATTACTAAATTCTCGGGGAGCCAAGATAGAAATCAATTGAATGATATCAAAAGCGAAATTCTTACCAAAATTTCAACCTCACAATTTGATGAAAGTGAAATCAACTCAAATGAAGTTGATCTTAATAATTCAAATCAATTTAATTAATAATAGAGAATCTTTTATTCAAAATGTTTAGCCCAAAAGACTAAATTACCCAATACTCATCCATCTCAAAAAATACCTTTGTGCATCTTGCATAAGGAAATGATCCATAGGAAAATTTCAAATGGCTTGTGGGATAAATTTATTATTGATGCTCTAAACAATCCTCATCAATATCTTGATATGAATAAAGTTTAAAACACTCAGGGACTCAAAAATCAACTGAGATCGATGACTCAGGAACACTAATTCAAACAAAGAATTCACAATATCTGACGATTTACAAATTATATATAGATTGTAATATATAATTAATATCATATAATAATTATTTAAATCAAATCCTAATGTAAGGAGCACCAGGTAACTTTATATCGTTTTTACACTTTTTTTAGAAGTCCCAAGAAGATTTAGATTACTTGAAGAACTCCAAAACGGAGAAAAAGGTATTGGAGATGGAACTGTAAGCTATGGATTGGAAGATGGTAAAATTAGTATCTGACATTTGTAGCTGAGGACATGTAAATGACTAATTGGAATGGAACAATCCTTGGACCATACAATGTAATGTTTTTCTTGTATATCGTAGACATCATTTGAGAATAGAATCTATTCACTTAAAATCACTTGTGGTCCTCAATATCCTAAAGTTGCTCCCCAAGTCAAATTTGTTACTAAAATCAATCTCCCTTGTGTCCAAGCAAATGGATAGGTATTCATCATTCAATAATACTCAGATTGATATTAATAAATTTGGCATTTTAAAAAATTGGGTATCCAAAAATACTCTAGAAAACATCTTAACAGGATTAAAAAATGAAATGAGTTCCGCTGCTAACAAAAAATTGTAATAACCCCCTGATGGCCAAACCTATTGAGTGAAAATAAATCAATATATATATAAAAGTAAGGAAAGTTTATCATTTTTATTATTCCTAAACATTTCTCTATCTTTTATGTTTTATTCTCATATGCAAATTCAAGGACACCATGGACCCATAACTCTTCTCACAATTCTTTGAGAAACACTTGAAATTATAATTACTAATTTAAACTTTATATTTCTTTTCTATCTAGGTTGAGGTTCTCCTGACTCTCTTCACTTTGTATCTCCCTTCCTGCTGTCTCATTTGTTATTCCAATTTGCTAGTTCTATTTTTTAATGAATCCACTATCGATTTGATCTCCTTGATTTTCTAATTGTTTTTTAAATATATGTCTATCATTTCCTGTAACTGTCTTAAATCGCACCTCTCTTTCCTTATAACACATATTTTACATTAGTCTATTTCATTGTTCATCTAAGTTTAATTTGAATTCTTTTAATTGGTCTTCTGCACTTCACCACCATTTTTCGATGGTTCTCTATTTATCAGATTTGTATTCTCACTTATAGTGTCAGTTCTTATCAATATCACAATATAATACTTTTGATTAATGATAATAACTTTTTTTGTTACTTTTATTGATTTATTTAGCATAATAAAATTATTAATATGTTAAATTGAATTAATCTTTATAATATCAAATCCAAATAGCCTTCGATTTTTTCAAATTGTAAAAATATTTTAAACACTTTTAATTTAATATGTATTTTTACATTTATATACTATTGCTTAATATATCATACTAAAACAATTCAATATATATACTAGTAACAGGAAAAACATAAAGTATTATTGAGAATTTACTGCTTAAATATTTTAGAGGCGTTAGTTAAAATAAAAATATTAATATTTCTTAATTCAAAAACTAATAATTCTTAGTTTAAATCAAGGAATTTATTAATTTTATTATGAATCTAATTGCCGAAGAAATAGAGATATCTTTAGTGTTATTATGCAGATCTTTTCATAGATATTGTTTGGCAATCTGAATTAATGGAATATTTTTAATTTGATTTTTATTTCCATACGGTTTATTAGATGGAGAGATCAATTTTTAATAATTTAAAACTACATCCGAACTCTATAATAAAAGAATGAAATAAGCCTTAAATTAAGTTTTTTATACTATCTCAACACAAAAAAAACATAAGTACGTTATTTCTTCATTCTAAATTATTTAACTTAATTACATAATGAATGCAATGAATCCTGTAACTATATAATTATTATATCAATTTAAATTTATGTCTGTTTTTAGAGGATTTTCAGCCTATGATTATGGGAGAGAATATTTTGCCATCTTTGTACGAAGAAACTTTCAAACTTCATAAAGATGGTGTGAAGTCAGGAGTGAATTAGAAAAAAAGTTATAAGAATAGAAAAAAAAGCCTGAGAGTTCTTTCGAAATGGAGAGTGAGTTTGGAAATTTCTATTGCCAATTTGAAAAGCAAACAAGTTAATTATGTGCGTATATTTTAGAGTGTTACTTTATATTGTTGAGCAATCAGAACACAAAAAAGGAAGAACAATAAAAAGTGTTACAAACCATTATTGAACAAATAAAAAAGGTTAACAATTACATCAAAGTACATTATTATAATAATAAATTATTTGCAGCTAACGCGAGAAGAATTTGAATAGAAGTTGAAATAAGATATTTTAGATAGTTTAAGTCGAGCTGAGTAGGAGTATATAGAGACACATGGAAATTTGGATTATTTATTGATTTAACAGTCACAAGAAAAAAAGAAATTTAGAAAGGATTTGGCATAATAAATTGATAAAAAGGCAGAGCACAAATAAAAGACTTATGAATTAATTGAGAAATTGATAATAAAAACCAAAACTGCCGATTTGGAACCATAATATAAGTTTATGTTCAAAGGATTCATGATGTTTGATTATGTTCGACAATATTTTTTGATGTTGATCAACATAGCCATCCCAATTTAGAATAAATGGATAAATGATCGAAACGCTTTATAGAAAATAATAATGGATAATTAAAAGAAACCTCAAGAATTTATTTAATTAAAGGGGGAGGGAGGCTAATTTTATGCCAAATATCATAAAGAAAAAAGTATTCATTTCTTAAAATACATTCTAGAATGCTACTTTATTCTTTATACCGATGAAGTTATTGATTTAGAAAAATAAAAATAAGTTGTGGACCAAGTCTATCAATTGATCACTCCGGATGGAAAATATATAAAAGTATATATTTCAATCATTCTTGTAGATGAATAAAGAAGAAGTTGATTTAAAATACTCATAATAAGTCAAAACTATTTTACAATAAAATGAAAAGGTGGACACCGAATAACTCATGAAAATAGAAGGAAATAACAGATAAAAGACTATTTCCCCTGAGTAATAATCTGATATCAATGATCCTTTGAAATCCAATAAAACTGGATCAATCAATAACTAACAAAGGAACAATTTATATTTATAGGAAGAGATGAAACCACTTAATTAATGATATCAATATTATTTATCTATTATAAATCAAATATATATATCAAATTACTCCTTAATTCAGAACTATGTTATGTTTATATTTATTATTACATAATATATTTATATATTGAGGAAATAAAATAAAATGTAAGTTAACAAGTGCATGTTCTGTACTAAATTGAACACTGATGGATCTTTTCATTTAATTCTCACGAGAGCACTTTCTTCCAAATACTCTCAGTCACAAAACTTTTATTACCAAAAAGACATTAATGATATATTGGATGACAAATAAGTTAAATCTACTATTCGATTTAAAGATTATACCTAATTCTATCAGTAGACAGAATTCATGAGAAGGTAAATAAACAATCATACTATGAAAAAGATTTTATAGATTCTTTGAAAGTGATGATAGAATACCAGCTCTATTAGAATATTATAAGTACCACATTAATATTCCCAGAAACTTTCATTGCAAACCAATTAACAAGAGAATGCAAAAAAATAGGGATATACAGTATTGTAAGATTAAAATGGAGTTGGGTTTGTATGAAGAAGTCAAGGAATAAACTCAATCCAAAGTAAAAGACACTTCTGATGACTGTTCAGTTAATTAACTTAAATATTTATTGAAAGATCTCAAACTTGAATCAAATTAAACTGACATATCTAAAATGAGTAATACCACCATGCTCAGAGATTTAGTTCATATGATTGGAGACTCGTAAAATTAAGCTAAGCCTTTTGAAATATTTAATCAGAATAAGCTTATTTAAAACTCTTTAAAATCTACAATTGATGCTTAAAAACAGATCAATTCCAATTATTAATCAACTCTTAAAAAAACTATTGAGATGCAATTAAGATAGGTACAACTATTAAGGTCACCACCTTTAACTCAAAGAATCCCAAAGCCTGCTTAAACTTCAAGATAGACTTCAGCTTAAAAGCAAAGATCTAAAATCGAAATTCCTATAAAAATAATAAGAAAACCTCCTTAATTAAAATCAAGACACGCTTCTCTAGGAAATATTGAAATGACTAAATCTTGTTTAACAACTGCAAGGAATACTCCATAATAGAATGAATTGGTATTGGAATTAGCAAAGAAAATGTTTTCTACAAAAATGGTTTTCAATAATAGCAATTCAAAAAGGAAGGTTGCAAGTCAACAATAAAATAATTTTTTTGTAAAAGGAAGAACAAGCATGTTTAGTAGTTAGAAAAACTTTGAAGATCTTAAAAGTTCCATGAAGAGCTTAAGATCTAAATATTTAACTCCTAGCTAACTATGTTCTTCAAATCATGATACTCCAAAAATTAAAAAAAAATGATTAAAAGTGAATATAATAAGAATCTATTCATTCTTTTTGAATTTTATGAAAAATATACTATTTTGATATAATAATTTTAATATTCAGTATTAATATTGTTAGAATTCTTATCTTTTTATATGAATATCATTATAAATATTTTCACAATGATCTATTTTTCATTTTAATGTTATTTTAAACAGAATTATTACTTTTTTCCTCTAAATATAAGATTATTTTGATTTGTTTAATAATTATTCATCAACCTAATCAATTTTTATTCATCTTTATTGCTAATTATTTGATTGTTTATCATGCATATTAATTTACTTTATAATTAATATACTAGATATTCAATTTTGATATGATTTAGCAATTATTTGGATTATAATTAAGTTTCTTTAATTATTTAATTAATATATATTTAATCTATATGATGATTTAATAATATTCTAATTTTAATATTTTTGCTCTTATTCTATGTGCACATTAGTTTCTTATCTTTGTTAATGGGTCGATTATAAAACAAGAGCCTATCTTTTCAATCACTTTTGGATAATTTATGTGATTCTTATTTTTGGGGAAACAAAGACTGAATGAGATTAGTTCTGGTATTGTATTGTATTCAATGAAAGTTTAATTGGTAGGTCGTATATTAGAAGTATAATACAAAGTTTTAAACTCGATTTGACATTAAAAAGTCGAGATATCCTAGGTTCTGCTGGTATCATCAAGGAATCTAAAGAAATGGTTTCCAAAATATTCAAACCAATCCAATTCAATTCAATCTCACTTTGAACTAATTTCCAATTTAGTTATAACAAGGCTTATTAGTCTTTTCTCAAAAAATAAAATTCTTCTAAGAATCATTGATGAAATTTGATGTAATTAGAATATTTCTTCGTAATATCAAAGCTTATTCCATTTTGTCTAAAAATGATTGACACCATTTAAGAGAATATATTCTGAAATCTTCTGGATCAATCATTCCTTAGACTCTTAACTTACTCAATCCTTAGCAGTGAACAATATCATAGTAAATTTGCAATTAGACTTTAAGTTATTTACCATGAATTTAAACATTGATGTTATTTTCAAAGACTTTTGTTACTTAATTGATCTAACACTTATTATAAATGTAGTTTTATTATACAGTATAATGACATCAAGAGAATTGAATTCTTTTTAAGCATAGCTTCGACAATTTACAACAACTTTGATTGTTTAGAAATGATTATAAAAATATTATGTTACTTTAGAATAGGATCTTTAACAATTAATTCTCTGTTTAGAAGAAATTATCTGCTGGCTCTTTTGGAATTGTATTCCTAGGGTTAGATTAGAGTACTAAACAAGAGGTGGCTATAAAAGTAGAAAGAGAAGAAAATGAAGATGTTCGATCATTGGATAGAGAAGTGTAAATTTTCAAACATTTGGGTGGTATAGATGGCATACCTAAATTAATTTGGTCAGGAGAAGAATATGGTTATAATGTATTAGTTATGTAACTGTTGGGCAACGACTTAGCTTATCATTTTAAACAGTTGAAGCGCTTTACACTGAAGACTGCTTTATTGATAGCAATACAATTGATTGATGTATTGGAAAAGCTGCATTTCCAAGGTGTAATTCATAGAGATCTGAAGCCAGAGAACATACTCTTAGGTTCAGGCAAAGATAATGGTAAAATTTATCTGCTCGATTTTGGAATCAGTAAAATATACAGGGATTGCAATAACAAGCATATGTAAGCATAGAAATCATAGTTAGTCCCTTTAGAGAACATAGATCATTTTTGGGGACTACTCGGTATGCATCTATTGCTGCTCATCTTGGACATGAATTAAGTAGGAAGGATGATTTGGAGTCAATGATGTACATCATCTTATACTTTATTAGAGGGTAAATCTTAATTAATATCAAGATAGCTGCCTTGGCAAAATATGTAAAATGTTACTGATGATGAAAGAACGAAAAAGGTTGGTGAGATGAAAATACTCTTACAGTAGGAAATATTTAGAGATTAGCCTAAAGAATTTCAAAAGATATTTGAGTATTCCATTTCTAATTACATTAGTTATATACGTAAATTACAGTTTTAGAGTGAGCCAAATTACAAGATGATTACATTTGAGCTAAAAAAAGCAGCTGAATCTTTAAAATTAAATCTTGATGGATTCTATGATTGGAGTGAGATTAGATCTTCTACACATTATGATTCTTTGGTCCCTCATAACAGCATAGAAATGAAGAAATCAATTGAGAAATAATTGTCAGGCATTTTGAATCAATAAAAGTAAAGCCATGTTTGCTTATTGTATAGTACTAATCAATTATTGGCTCCACCTCCGCAATTCTCAAGTAGAAACAATCTTAATGGAAGAGAAGAGAATAAAAAACCCACATTGGCTTCCTTTTAAGGTAGTCTACTTTGAAATGTTATTAGGTAGTCAACAGTGTCTTTCTGTAAATCCATTCTACTCATCTTCTAGGAAAAATTCAGATAATTTGGACTTCGACACGGATCTAATCAGCTATCAAGTAAATGAATATCTGGGAGATCGATCTTTGTGGCAAAAGTATAGCAAACTCAGTTAGTTTCATAGAGAGTAATTCTTAATTGTATTTAGTTTTCGCTTATTATCCAGATATGATTAATGAATTGCAGGGATTATTTGTGATACTTATCTTATTTCTGTTTAATAATATTTAATTCATGCAATTATTATCTCTAAACTCAAACTCAAATATATAAATTGAGGAAATTCAAACCGATAAGAAATATTAAGAAGATACCAAACAATTACTCTAAATGGTATGCTATTTCAATTACCCATTAGAAGGTCTAAGACTTTCACAAGAAAATGTAAAAAGAGAGGAATGAAAATTTATTTAAAAAAAAAAGATCAATGGCTGCTTAGCCTCCAATTTTATAAGACGATCAACCCTATCCCTATGTACTTGATGAAAATGATTTTGAAGATGAGGAAACTTATCATATGAACAATTTTGAAGAAATTCAAAAGGAGCTCGAAGCATTTTACTCATATTAAATTTGAATATTCTAGTTCATAATATTTGTTTTTAATTTCAAAATTATTTGTCACATCTTTTACTCGAATCTCTTTATTGCATTATATACTTATACATCCAATAAACTTTCATGCGGTAACAATACTAATGCTTATCTAATTGCTCTAATTTATCTTTATAGTTTCCTTGTTGCAAAAATTACAACTGAAAATAACATTGCTGATGCTGCTATTCCAAAAATAATATAATAGATTAAATATTTTTAATAATCTGTTTCTAAAATATCAACAGATGTAGATATTATCGTTACGTAAAATTCTACTATCGCTTTATTAAGATCAAAAAAATATGGCATCAATAATTAAAGATTTTCAGCAGTCTCCAAAAAATTAACAATTTCATCTACATCTGTCTCCAATTCCCCATTTAATTCCTTTACAAATTTACTCGAAAAAAGAGCTTAAATTCTACAATATTTATATTTAATTTTACTCTTAGTACAATCCATTAAACCCTTATTTGAGATGCTCTCGATTGTTATTTATATCTAATGGCAATGGGAAATCTGGAAAGTATTGAAATTTCCCATTCTAATAAAAACAAAACGGCAACTAGTCACCTATATAATCACAAAGATCATCTTAAAATAACCCTAACAATAAGTGCTTATTATAATCGCTAATTTTAGTCGATGCCACTATATTATCATAAATTGAATTATATTATTCCTTCTATAAGTCTTGGCTAGTTTTGAATTGTTTTAAAAGCACCTAATTATTCTCCTGAAAAAATCCATCCGTTTTATTGTATTCTGGGTTTTTGAAATAAATACCACTCTTCCTCTGATATTCACTTAGTAATAACTAATTTTTTATCAACTAACTAATGATTAAACAACTGTCAAATCTTTATTTAAATCTCACAAATTGCATACATAAATTCAATTCAGGAAACGAATCCGTGATGTTTATATCCTAAAATAGATAGGATGATAACACATATGCTGTTAATATAAACCAAAGAAAGAACAACATCAAATAGATATGCAATATGGAATACTGAGTCTCCTAAATTCGTTAATTCAACTTGGCTCTTTATTATAATTTTAATTGTTTTTTTTCAACTTGATGTGAATGAGTAAGTTTTTGATTTCTTCTTAATTGCGATATTCTGCAAACAAAGAACTCTTTAAAATAATTGATCTATTTCCACTTACTAATATCATTTAACAAGACATCCTTAAATGTCTTGTACTTCAATAACAATAGTTCTATATCTTTCTCTTGTACTCTACAAATCATTAGAAGTATATTCTGTTTATAGACATATGGTTCTACCCATAATTTGAATTAAAGTAACACAGCTACAATGATTATCAATAGTTGAACAAATAGAAAAACAAGATATAAAAACTCATAATTATCAATATTAGAGAAGAATTCGCTCACGATATTTTCTACTACATTGCTTACAAAATCAATTAAATTATTGAGATTTGCCTTCAAAAATAGTAGTCGTATTTATTAATTAATTACAGACAACTCATCATTCTCATCAAGTAGTTTATCTAATGCTTCAGTATATTCATTGACCATTTAATTAAATTACAAAAAGGAAATATTTTAAACTTAATACACAAATTCATTAACTATTTTAATTTCAGCCTTGTTCAACTTTCCTTGTTAATCTAGAATTGAGAACTCTTGCTCTATTTAAACAATCAAATCTAATAGTTCCACTCTTAGACTATTGCTTTCTTGTTAAATCCTATAGACATAATAATCCCCATATTAAAAGCCAAGCAATCTCATTTCTAAATCAATTTATCCTAGAACAGTAAATGTGCAATACAATCTATTAAATTTATCTGGTAATCTGACAAGAGGAATTTGATATTGAAGATTGTTCGTGTTACTTCTTGCAATAATCAACTCAAGAATCACTAAAAAGAGCAGAACCAGAAAGAGTAGCATTGTATTGATAAAGACTTTAATAAGAGTAGTTTAATAGCGTTAAGTATATTGTAGGTTTCTGAGGATATTGAATACAGACATCTAAGTCCTATCAGATGTGGCACTAGATTAGGACTACTTAGCATTGTCTTTAAATTCCAATTCCATTTCTTTGTATTGTTATATTACCTCTTCAACATTCTATTTATTTTATTTTTATTGAGAGCTGCTCTTAGCAATTTCATAAGCCTATTTTTGTTCTTCTTCATCTTCTTCGTCGTACCCTACATTAATTAGGATTTCTTTATTTCCTCGTGGAGATATCAATTGTTATTATTATTGACTTTCATTCATATATGATTATTTTTTCTAATTTTCATCCAAATCTTGATTTTGTATTTTATTGATCTTGTTTATAATTGGGGGATTGAAACTGATAGCATTGTCAATAGCATCATGATCTAATTAGAATTCAGATTCGTTAAAGGGATCACTTGGAAGTGTTTTCTTTATTGTACTATAATAACTAGTAGAGGGATGGTTGATAGACTTCTTTTTATTAAGTTTTTCAATATCATTAATTTACAATACAAATTGAGGAAGGATATCACCACCTAATACTGAAAAGTACAACTAATATTTAATTGAAAATTGAGCATCTTAATCAATGTATTTATCCTAACTGAACTTTGATAAAAAATCATTAATAAATGATACATTTTATTCTCTAAGAAAGTGAATCGAATTGATGTTAGCTTAAGTGTAATAATGCTATTATTCAGTTTCATTATTTTCTGTGAAATAATTCTATGATTCTTGATTCTTAACAGTGCTGTTGGCTCTGCTAAAATCATGATCTTAACACAATTGATTGAAATTATTAATGGGAGATAACACATATGATTTAGGTGTTCCCCTTGCTTATAGTTCAGTCTATTGCAATAACAATTCCTTATCCTCATTAATTTATTGGAATATAGTCTAGAACCAAAAATACACAAATCCTCTACTTAATAATTAGTCCAAAGTGAATCCTTGACCTAGAATGCTAAAGAGCTATTAACTTACGCCTAATATCTTACCACGCCGATCAAAAATCATTAAGTCATAACTCTATTTGACTTTCTATAATGCTCCTGTGATTATGTAATCAGAATCGTTTTCAAACATATGCAGCAAACTGATATTAGCAGCTTAAATGAAGTTATTTTTCATTTTCAAATAAACTTCCTTTGAGTGTTCAATCAATAATGAATATCCTTTCTTCATGTATCTAAATACAATTTTATCATGAATCTATTAGATGTAGGTTGGCATTAACTATTCTATATAGAGTATATTCTAGAAATCCTTCTCATCCTTAAATCCAAAGAACTGAGCCAATTAGCCTCTATTCCTATTTAAGATTAAACTTCTTTATCTTGCAAAACTTGTAGCAACCATGACCAAATCATTATTGAAGAGTGTTAAGTTATTTATATTCTCAGTTTGTACATTCCTTTCAAATGACATAATCTCATCAATTCGTTATTCTATGTCCAAAGTTGCATGATAATCGTTCAAGATGGCTGAATATAAGATAGATAATAATTTTAACTCTAATATGTTGAAGTGTACTAATCGAGTTTGCAATTTCATTGGTTAAATGGCAAACCAATTAAACAATGCATCCCTCAATTTCCAGATCTTCTCACTTAAATTAAAAGTACTGAGAGCAAAATCTTCAATTCTCTAATATCCCTTATCTAAATCAATCCAAAATTTTATCTTAGTATCCAATATTGAAATCATTAAACTCAAGTTGTCTTCATACAACAATTCAGCTTTACGAATATCAGATAATTACAATTTCTTCTCTTGATCTCCAAACTGAAGTTACTTCTTTTTTTCTGCCATTTTCTCTTGCAATATATTAGAGATGACTTAGAAATAAAAAGATTATCTCTATGAATTAGTCATGTACTGTTTCAACTCTATGTACCCTAACTGTGTTTTCTTGCACGCATTGATGATGTACATTATTTTATAAAGTTGCAAGTTCTCTGTAACAAGGATATCCTTTGTTTTTATTTGCTCAATCACTAAATTCATTAAGCTCAGTATAGTTTATTGGATTTTTAAAAAGAAACTCTCACATTCAATCCAAATTCCATACTTATTTTTAACATGACATAATATGGAATGCAAATATATTGGGTTTGTTTTAGTTTAACTTAAAATATCGATGATTGCCAACATCTTTTCTTGACTAATGTTTGAATTATATATTTGGTTGCTAATTTATTGCTTATACAATTATGTGATTATCATAACTGATGATGTTGAAAGTAACAAAACAAAGTAAAATGTTTCAGTTTAGCCTATTTCAAACGATACTAGTTTTAATAGAGAGATAAAAAACATCAAAGAAGTTGCACTTACATATTTTGAATTGATTTCTTGACAGTAAGGTTGAATTATGATAGAGTCGATCAGAAATAGGAAAAACATTAGTACTAAGAAGATGGAGCAAATAAGTTCACTTACTATTGACTTTATGATCATTAATGCAACATCACTAATTATCAACATGGCATTGAAATAGGAGTATCTTCTTAGAAATACATTTTTCTGAGGTAAAAAGTAGTTCCTATTCACTAGGAAATAGAGAATGTAGCATATGAAGATAGCTATGAAGTTTAGGATATTTAAAATGAGGTCTTACTCATTTTGTAATTAATTGCTTAAGTGCTTGATTATAGGCATAAGCACTAATAATTAGTAATAAGTAAAGAAGCTTTGTAATGTATATCTTAATTTTAACTTTGTAAATATTATTACTAAGATCATCCATAAATAAACACAAATTATGTATGATAAAATTTGGTTTAGGCTTGAATTACCAATTAGTTAGATAGGAGTTTAGAGTGTAAACCAATTGAAGAAGTGTTACATAATTTGCAATTTAAAATCAATGTATGGTTTATTGGCAAATTTATCAAAATCGAATAGTAAACTTACCCTCTGAAATGAAAAGATGATCATAATCAACGTGCTATTTATTTCTGTTTAACTTTCATTCATAAATTCAATAAAGTCTCTTGATCTCTGCTTGAAATATTCAATGAGAAATAAGCAGTACATTAATTATTAATTATTTTATCAAAATCATAAATTTTAAATTAGACTATTAATTGTATCAACGAAATTCGAAAGAACATTGATCTTATTATCCCTTAGCACTCTTACAGACTTGTTTAATCTTTTCAAAATGGCATCCAATAATTAAAAATAAATATAGTATGTAAATAAAAGTTTTATTGATATTACTATGGTATAAACCAACAAAAGTAGTCTTTGCGTAAACATTTAGACAAGAATGTCTCGTCTACCATAACTACAGAATCAGTTAACCTAGTTTATTCTTGTTCTATTCAAGTCTAAATTTATAACTCCTTCACAACCAATAATTAAGAAATTAATATAAATTCATTATTATTTTATTCCAATTATTCCCAAAAGAACATTTCCTGTCTAGTTTATATTTTTGATTGTTTTTCATATGTTCACAATCATATTTGCTGTTGCAATTATTATTAAATGAAAATTAAAGCATTTTCACACTGAGTTTTACTAAATAAATAACTCAATTTTGATTTAATTAATGGAAAATACCTTATGTAAAATATATTTTTTAAAACACTCTACAAGTGACTACAATTATTCACATTCCACATTTTCTATCTGATTGGTTACTATGTTTCAATTCAAACTTTATCCTTTACTGATACTTAAAAATAATAAGAAAATTCATACTTCTATTTAAATAACTAATTATTTATTTCAAATTACATCTAGTTTATGCTACTATTGGTTCTGAAAACTTGATTTAATTTTCTCATATCTTGTAAAGTTGTTGGGTTTAAATATTTAAAAAATCTAAGATTGGGCTAAGTTTATAAAGTATGGAAACCATAAATTTAAATAACTTGATATGTTCTTTCCAATTTATAGAAGACAGTTTAGTTATAGAAAGTACTCAAAGCTTATATTCTTGATTTAATAAATTTATAAAGGGTTGCATGACGGCTTTGCGTTGATAAATTTGATAACAATTTGAATCATTGTGGAATTTTCAGACCCTCTAGTCACTTATAGGTTAGAATCAATTTGGAAAGTAATTTCAATAATCTTTATTAGTTCTTGATCTCTAAATAATTTTATTTTCTTACTCTTTAATTTCTTATTGTTAGTGATCAATTAGCTAATCAGAGAAGTCAATTAATATATTATTAATAATGAAAACAGCTGATAAGGCAATTTCAATGAGACATCGCTTAATATAATTAGTATTAAGAATCTATTCTTCAAGTCAACTTGTAAGTACTATTGATCACATAATTTTGGCAATTATCACATTATCAATGTGTTAATGGAGTTGTAAACCTCTCTTTTGATATATATATGCTATGTGGCACACTTTCTTCTCAATTAATTAAGCAATATCTATTTTTATACCTAAGATGATATCAATTGAGTTTTCAAATAGCAAATTAGAACGATAGAGGTCTTCTCCTGTCATTATAATCTTCTTTCACTTCAGCAGTTTGCAATGGAAACAATATTATATTAATAGATCCATGACATATTGTTACTTCTTAAAATTCGAGTGATTGCTTTTCCCTAGCATGGGTAAGGTCGTAAATGACTAGAATTTGTACATTTACTTTTTTGGAATTTGATTAACAATCTCTTCACATAATTTTATCATATAATTTATTATTCATTATGAGCATCCTTAATCAAACAAAGTAAAACATAAACTCCAAACTGTTCAACAAATACTGTCAATCTTAGAACTACTACTTCACCAGAGACATTAATGAAATTCTCAACGAAGCCATTACGAAGTCAACTGTCAGATTCAAAGATTGGAATTATTATGATGAACAAGTATCACTCTCATAATTATAAAGGATGAATATCTAAAACGTATCTATCACCTATCTGAATATCCTGTTAAGATACAACTGCTTGCCGAATATTATAAAGTACAATTGTATCATTAATATAGTTTCATCATGATATCGCAAGAATGTTTCAAGAACCAGTCGCGACTATCTTAAATAAATACTACGACAAGAAGCGCAAGATTGAATACTATAGAATTGCCAAAATTATCGATCAAGAAAACAGAAACAATCCTCACAGACCACCAAAAGGAATCATAGGAGAAAGACCCTCTCCTCTGAATTCACAACTAAGTCAACCAAATAAGGAATAAGATGTGCCTGAATCCAATATCAAAAATATTCAAATACTCAAAGAACTAAGCTGTCTCGATTAATTACAATAAGTAATTTTCATCTTCATGTTCTTAGCAAATTGATAAACCCACTCGAATTAAATTTGATGTCTCCTAAACCTTAAATGAAATATGTAAACAAATAGCCAATTGTCCTGACCAATCATCTCTCTTCATTCCCACAAACAACAACAAGAATGAAGAAATCAAATTAAATCATTTCTTAGACTTTATCAATTAATAATAATCAAAATAATAATTACCCCTTTAGAAACAATAAACCAAACTGAGCTAACCCCAGGAAAAGCTCATTCATTCTATCATCAAACAGAGACTAACCAATAAACAAAAATCAACTGACATTTAATCATTTTTGAAAACTCAAAACTTTGACTATCCTTCCACCCAATCTACAATCGATCAAAGATAGTCTAAAACTAACCTACACACTGAAGAAAACATTATTAAAATTGATTCCAAATTAAGTGAGTCATTAAAAAATAGATCGAAATTAAGAGTCAACAAAGAACCCTATAAATCAAGTTCACCTACAAATCAATTAAATTTCAATTAAAATAATACTTAATAAATACTTAAAACACAGCAATCATAATTCAAACTTAACGGCAATAATTTCATATCCAAATTACTTATTGAAGATCAAATTATTGAATCAGACTACAAATGGAAAACTGGAGCTTTAACACATCGTCCAACAACTGGAAGCTCTAATCACTTCAATTATAGTCCACAAATTCAGAAAATGAAACTAGATAATTGCAAACTTCTTAAAACCAAAACCCAGCATCAACCACCCTAATTTCATAATCTAAAAAGTCAACCAACCAACAGAAACAAAGAGATTTCCAGAAAGACAGCATCCCAAAATATCCACATTCGCCAAGGATCCAATCAAGAAAGAATTATCACTCTACAAAATGATCACCACAGAACTTAATTGACTAATCATGTTTTCAAAGAAATATAGCCATTCTAATCCTCCACTCACAGAAAACAGGTCTCAGATAACCGAGCCCTATTTTAAAAGGATTATCAGCAAGATTATAATTGCCTAACTGAAAGAAGACCCAATGTTGAATAGCTTTTCAAAAATAGCAACCTAGATTACAATAGTTTGATGAAAACTAATTATAACAATATCTAGTCAGGCTCCTTTTAGAATAATATTCTTAATAATTAATAATAGCAAAACATTTAATAATTGATCAGAAAAGTAGCTAAATAAAATCAATAACTATATTTAAATAACTATAAGAATTAACAAAATCATTCTTGACTTTTTTAATTTGTTTTATCATTCTATTTTATTAAAATTATCATGAGTAATCATTAGAAAAATTAGAAATTGCCAACCTCAAATAATGAGCGTCTGGAAACTCAAAGAGAAATGGACCAGCATTTGAGAACATCGGCAGCCAGGAAAAGCAGTTTTTTACCCTCTCGAACGAAGAGTTTAGGATAAAGATTGCTGAATTTTGTGGGAAAACAAATTTCTGTGGATTATTAAGAACGATTAGTATTGAAAAGTCTTTAGGCAGAAAATAATAATGCCAAAAAGATTTTTGAAAAATTACTTGCTCGTAAAAACAATCTGAAAAATCTTACTAATTTTCATTTAAGCCTTTTGAATGATAAAGCCATTGAAAATGTTAGTTTATTTCAAAGATAAACATCCTGTAAAATCTTTATTGATAAGTTGCTAACAAAGAAACTTTTGAGAATTTTTAAGCCCTTTGTGGATAATTTAACACAGCATATTAAAGCATTGCCTTTGTTATATCCAGAGAGTACGAAAATTGTATTATGGGATATACTTGCAATTTCATCCAAATTATACTTTTTGTATCTAATCCCTTTAGAATTAGCATGGACAAGTAGATCATTGCTTTACAATAGATACTATTCGTCAACAATCATTATGCTCATCATATTAGTTGTTGATTTTATAATTGGTCTTAATACTGCTTATTATAATGCAGGATCATTAATTACCAATCGAATATAAATCTTTAAACATTAAATCACAAAATCTCTTGGATTAGAGTGGATTTCAACAATCATTTTGATAATATTATTCATAATTTGCAAATCAACAGATATTATGATAAATGTGACTGAGAATCCTGTGTACTTAATTTTATTAAGTGTGCTGTCTCATTAAATTAATGTGCATTACAAAACAAGCCAATATGAATTAGCATTAAATTTATCTAAAAAAGTATCCAGTTGTTTAGAATTGCTCAAATTTTTACTGTTATTATTTTATGTCATTCACTTATTCTCCTGTCTGTGGTTTTGGGTACTAATTTTAAGTATTTATCAAGGTTGGAAATTATAGCAGAGAGAATTATGAATTCACATGGCTGGACACTCTCAAGGATCTACCAATAATAGACTGGACAGATGAATATTTGTAATCATTTTATTATGTTTGCGTTACAATGTTTACAGTTGGATATGGTGATATCACTCCTAAAAGTGGGTTAGAGAAATCAATCTGTATTTTTCTGATCCTTATCTCAAGTATTTAACTTCCTTACTCAATTAATACTGTGGGGTCTATCATTGAAAAGATATCTGATTATGGAGAAGAAACCAGAAATAAATTAAGAACTATCAATAGTTACATGAACAAAAAGAGGGTTCCTTATAATATACAAAACTAAATTAGATAGTATTTAAATCACTATTGGGAATCATTATAAGGATAAGACACAGAAGAAGAGAAAGTAATAATATCTTAATTATCTGAAAATTTAAGGGAATAACTCATTATTTAGGCTAACAGCAGAATCTTTGCTAAAGTTCCATTATTATAATTGAATTTTAGTCATTAATTACAATAAAGTCTGCTCAAAAAGGTCTAATCTATTTAATTGTAACCAGAATAAATAATTGAATTAGATAATAAAATCTCATGCTACTTTGTTGATGAAGGAGAAATCAATTTACTAATTGAATCTGGGTTGGTTATTTAAAAAGCAAAAAAAGATGATGTTATTGGTTTGGAGAACTTATTTTTAGGATTTCAAAGTAAAAACCAAAGACTAAAAAGTATTGGATTTACTAAATTATAGATCCTATCCAGATAAGATTTCTTATAAGATTTAAAAGATTTTCCTAATGATTATGAAAAATTCTGTGCCATCAAAGATGATTTGTTATTCAACTTTAAATCCTCCTATATCTAAAAGTAATGTGATTCTTGCTTTTAAACAGGACACGAAATTATCAATTGTTAAATGCTTCACTATGTACCTTAGAAAGATCTTTTGATTAAAAGATGCCAATATCCGAAAAAGTAAACAAGACGTGAATTTGAAAGAAGGTATTATAAATTATCTAGAATTGTTCTTCCTGAACTAGATAATTAGGAGTTTAATGAAACAAAGTCACAATTTATAAAAAAATATTACATACCTCAATAAGCTATCAATATTAATAATATTAAGATTAATGATAAGTTAAATGAATAAAATACTTTAAGCAATATTTAAGATGATGTGATTGAATAACAAGATTAAAAAATGGATAATCTGAGAGTTTCAACAACTTTAAATTAAAAATAACAGTTCAAGAGAGAATCAGTATTAGCAATTTCTTATATACCAGGGAATAACATTGATCAAATTAAAAGAAGTATAAATAACAACAAAAAAGTTGGTCTTAATCAATCTAACAAAAAATAATAATTAGATATCTAATTAGAGAGTATAGGACTCTAAAGACAAAATAGCTTAACATCTAGAAGATAGTCATAAGCAGTAAATATGATGAATATTTATCAATTAAGTTTGAATAATAATGCGTATAAATAAAACTATTTGTAAGAGTTGATTAGTACAAATTATGATATTAATTTTGATGAAGAGTTAAGGGCTAGGTATGATAATTTAAATTAAATAAAAAACATGAGTCCTGAAGATAAATAAGCAATTGAATTACTATATTTGAAATAGGTTAATAAATAAAAATATTAGAAAAAAGGCTTAATGGAATTTGAAACCATTAAATGCTACCATGACTATTTTCCTCAATATAATCTTAATAGGTAAATTAGCAAAGCAAACAAGCCAGGAAATCCATTATTAAAAACTTTAATTTAAAAGTACATCAATTATATACTTTACCCATCAGAGTTTGTTTCAAAGTTTAAATTACTTTAATCGGACCAATAAAGAATTCGTTTGAATACTGAAGAGGAGAAGTATTGATAATTATACCCAAATACATATAAATATATAATATTATTTATACCAGTTAACAATTGTATTCGAAAATTTTTTCCTTAATTAAAGAGATTCCACAATTTCATTGCGATATCGAATATTCAAGATATTATTCAAATCAACTATTTATAAATAATAGTTTAGATTGAATAAGAATTGTTACTCATATTTCTCACTTTCTAAAAATTTATGATGATAGAATTTTACTAAAATTATCTATTATAGCTTTTACACCAAAGATTTATTAAAAAAGGGATGCTTCAAAATATAAATTTATATGATATTTCTAATGGAATTTATACATAAAGGACTTCAGTAAATCATAATATTATCAAACCTGAATATATTCAAAAAGTGAAAACTTGTTTTGATTAAATTTTTTTACAAGTTTTATATAAATTATCAATAATAGTAAAAACAAACTGATTAATTTAGATTTAAACATCATATTTCTATCAATTAGTAAAAATAATGAAGATGAGAGAATATTGTCTTAAAAAATGAATATAAAAAATTTGATGAGAAAATATAATTATTCGTATAAATTATAATTTTCGAATATAAACTAAATATTATTAAACTAATTATCAGATTTACCTTCATTTTTGATTATTTCTTCTGATTCATAATCATAAATTACTTTAAGAATTTGGAATTTCATTGAAAAATTATTGAAAAAATTTATCCGATTTTAATAGTTCAAAAAAATATTTACTGTTTTAGATTTTTTCACTAATTCCCTTAAAAATTTTTGAGTATTTAAATTCAAATTATGATGTATATTTATCAATTACTCGGGGAGTTATTTTAATTATTTGAAGCTTATTTAAATATCTATTATTTGAAAAACTTATCAAATGTTAAAACACAAAATTTGATTATTTATTAAATGATTAAAAATAATATTCGGCCAAGAGCTTCAAGTGAAAGGCTAGACAGATTAGCTGCTTTGGAGAATTAAACAAGTCTTGAATGGATTATGAAAAACTCTTAAATGCTAGAAATGAAATCGAACATCAGAATGATTCCTAAGGACACATTGTCCCTTAATATTCATGTTCCAGAGCATGAAGGAGTGGCAACGATTTGGGCAGATAAGTGGTTTGGACAAAAGAAGATTTCACAGTTTAGAGGCTTATTGATTTATGATGATCAATTTTGCCTTGTTTTAAATGATTGTTTTATCGAAAAGAAAAGATATTAATCGTCCCATTTTAGAGCATATTTCTTAAAGCTTATTAATCAAACTGGATAGTTAGTATTAATATTCTCTCATCCACTATCTCTCAAATAATGGAATAACTGCATAAAGAAATTTTGCAAGAGAAATAATTTCAATAAAAAATTTAAAGTAGTAGAATTGATATGTTAAAACTTTTATCAAATACAGCACAAAAAGCAAAAGAAGTTAATGTCTTCACAGGTGATTAATTTAGCTAGCATTTAAAATTATGACTAAGCAGAGTTACTTGACAATTATTTAAAAATATTAAGAAATTCTTCTATAAATAATTATATTGAAACACTAGGCGTTTTTGAAGAAAAACAAATGCTATTTATAGTTTGCAAATATTTTAAAGGTAATTCACTTGATTAATTTTATAATTAATCTAAAAAATAATATTTAACTTAAAATCAAATAGCCACAATCTGTATATCAATTCTGCTTGCCCTGAAGTCTTTATCAGAAGAAGAATTGTTTCATGGTAAAATCTCTTTTGAAAACATCCTTTATTATAGTAATTTGAAAATTTAATTTGGAACCTATTTGATTAATTCGCATTATAAAGTAAAATAAATTATGACTTTAGTTTTATGACTAAAGTACACTTTTCAAGTACCTCTAATCTACTCCAGGATATTTAATAGCCCCTGAAATCAAACAAGGAATAAATCCATCAATATAAACGGATATTTATTAATTAGGAATGGTTTTAGGCTTAATCACATTTTTCAATTTTACAAAAGCATTCAACTAAGATTATTTTTTAGAGCAGTCAACTTCTTTAATGTAACTAATTGTATAATAAGAGAAATTAATAATAAAATAGAAAGAGTCTTATGATTATCCATAATTATTTAGTATTAATCAATTGGATTTGATCAAACAAATGATTTAACCAAATCCTAACCTTAGAATAAGTCTCAATGATGCTTTGAAACATGTTTGGTTAATAAACAACAAAGAGAAGAAAGTCTAGAAATTAATACCTAATCAAATTGCATTTCCAAGTTTACGAACAATAATTGAAATAAAGGATAGCGAGTGTGATATTAAGAAAACTATCAACAATTTTTCAGATGAAAATAGCTCCTATGTAAAATAATTGTAAGATCCAAATTCTCTTTTTGAGCAGATAAAGTATAATTAATAAGTCAATTCAGAGACTTTTGTAGATTCAAATGATGATGATGAGAATTTGTTGAATGACAAAATTGAAAAGTTGAATTAGTAAAATAATTTGGTTCCATCCTTTAAAGAACATTGTTGCATGTATCAATCAAGATGCATTTGATTTATTTATTCTTTTTAATCATTTAAAAGTATCCTTTTTATAAATATAATTAAAAAACAAGTTAATTCAATATTAATTTCTATCTTTTCAATAACTGATATCATCATATGATATTGCCTCATGCGACTTAGACAATAGGGAAGAAGTTTTGAGGAATTAGTTGATTATTCAGAATATTCTAGTATGCATTTGAGAATATCTTAAATTAAATTTAGTATTTAGGGGAGGAACTTTTATATAATTCATAAATATTTTTTTTAAATTGCCTTTGATATTGTTGTGATGAAATCAAAAATTCTTAAAACTGATTAAATTTTTGATATTTTAAAGCTTTCCAATTAAATGGATTATAGAGATTTGAATGACTCTATGGAAATATATACCAATACTGAAGAAAAGAAGACTGAAATAGAAATAGTAAAATACCTCAATAATTTGGGAATCCGAACAAAAACAGATCCCCTTCAGAAAGAATAAGAGTATTGGAGGAGGAAAAAATTAGAAACTTAAAAAAAAATGTTATCAATTTTATGTTTAACTGAGTCAACATAATCTCTAATACTGAATGAGTATGCATCTAAGTTACTACATCACAGAGTGTCCTAATCTTTTTTTGAGACAAGGATGATCAATAATACTCCTACTATGATCATAGAATGAAAAATATTTTGTATTAACTTTCATTATAGTTTCATTAATCATATAGGTTTTTTTCTATTATTAAACCTTTATCCTGATTACATATCATTTACTTGTCTTTAAGATAGATAAGGTTGGCTGTAAGTTAAGCAAACCATCTTTATTACTAAATTAAGTATCGATTGTGTAAATTAAAGTTCATTACTTTTTATGATTTTACTTCTGTTTGAACGATTTCAAGAGTTTAATTAACAAATTAATTTCAAATTTCGAAAACTTGAAATTTTGACTTGTTGGATTTATGCAATTCTAAAAATAAATTCTGCAACAATCTATTTTTAATTTGATCAGAAATTTTAATGATACTATGAATAATATAATATGAATATATAAATTTATTAAGAAATTATGAATTAGAAAGTACACCGACAAAACAGATTTAGTGGGCTGAGAATAAATGAATTAATGAATCCTCCACCAGTTGATGAATTATATTGATCATAAACAACTTTAAAATAAAGAAGCCTCATTGTCGTTCTAGAAATATTGGCTGTTTTAGTTAAGATATTGTATAGTGAATTTAATATGTTGGTATAAAAGCTAGAAATCTACAGAAAATCTAAAATTTCTAGCTTTAGGAAATTCACAGTGAAATTTTCGTTTATTTATAAACTAAAATGGTGAATCGAGAGGCACAGAAATTTACTTAAAAAGACCTGGGATTCGTCAAAATAGATAGGCATTAGGTTATACTTGAAAAGTGTTAGGGATTGAATTCTAATACTTGCTTAGAATTATATTATCTAATAAGAGATATAGAAAGATTGAAACAATTAGTCAATCAATTCAGAAGTACTTATAGATATACTAGATAATTATTATTGAAACATCTTACCTTAAGATAATTGCTTAAATTAGAAATGCTTAGATTCATGTTTTATTCAATTAATAATATTTTAATGAATTGAATAACAATAACATTTTAGCATGATTGACTAATTATATATTTTGATTGGAATTAATTCTAAAGTTGTTAATCTCCTCTGCAAATTTTATAACTCTTAGATATTTGTGAATATTTAAGTATCAATTGTTAAAACTTTATTAGCAAAGATATAACTGTAATGTAATTAATAATAACAATTATTTCTCTAAATATTAAATAGCAAAGAGAGATATACGTATCTATTAAAAGAGTAAGAAGAAACTACTTTCAGATCCCATTGTTTAGATAATGACGTGTTTAGGTATAAAAATCTAAAATTAATTTTTAATTAAAAACAATCTCTGGGATTGAGGTTTGATTTGTAGATCAAGAGTAATTTTGATTTAGATTTTACTAGACTTTTGGGTTAGAATACAGATTTAAATGTCTCTAATGCTTATAATTAAGTTTTCGATGTGCTTTATATCTTATAAAAATATTAATATCTCCAATAACTCTTAGGACTCAGTATTGCAGAAAATGTCAAAGGATTTCTAATGATCGATGCTTCTATGAAAATTGCATGTCAGAACTGAAGCATCTCACAATGCAAAGCATGGACAAAACCAATATATATTAACAGAAACATATTACGACGTTGAATATTATAAATTATTATTAAATATAAATGGATTTTGTTAGTCCCACAGTCAAGAAATAATACTCGATTCAAAATATCTTAAATGATGCAACATCCATGTTGAAGAAGGTATTTTAAAATTAACATAAAAGAATGGCAATAGGAAAGTTATTTTATTGTTAGATAAGCATTTTATGAGTTATTCTTAAAATGATGATGCTTCATTAAATATTTAGATTAGCAGAAGACTGTTGAAAGCATCATAAAATTTATTAATAGAATACATACAAAGAGATAACATATCAAAAGTGGATTTATTGCTTGATAGAAGCAATTTATACATAGCTGTTTTATATATTAATGTGTAAAGAAAATTGAAAAATGAGAAGGGAATAGTGTAATATGAGGAGTTGAACTCTGCCTAGCTTGAATAAAGGATTGGACTCAGCAGATTGAGATAAAGAATTAGACAGACGATATGTATACCAGGCAATTTAATAAAGGCTACTCAATTGAATCGGTTGAAAGAAAAGGATAAAAGTATTAATGAATCTTTAAATTAATAGTAAAGTTTTATATAAATGAATGCTGGGTGTTATTATTAAAGCAATTGATAATTTATGCTAAGATATTTAAATCTACGAATGAAATACCGAATAGTTTGAGAATGATGTTTAAAGTTGACCATATTTTATCAATTAAAGAATTCCATAAACGAAAAAATCTTGAGATCATGAAGGTTTAAATTGAACATTATTAAAACTCAGGTCAATCGTACCTTCAGTTACGAGAATTCAGACTCTCTTTGTAACAATATGATCTGGCTTTAAAAATTTTATAGGATTTGATATTTACAATTCTAAAAAAGAATAATACTCCAAATGTGATTGATGACAATGATTTAAAACCAGTACAACAATACATAATGAAAATCATTTTAATTCTATATCTAGAATCCTTATGTTATGAGTATTTGTCTGAATATTCACAAATGAAAGAATGCATACATTTATCATAATGGTTATGTAGTGAAGTATTGAGACTAGAGGATGAACATCAATTGCATATTTTGATTTTTAGTCGAGCATAAGACATCTAAAAATATTTTGAAGTCATCCTAGCGGAATGTGAGATACGACATATTATTTTTTCATCTTTTTGTGACAATAACTAAGCTGAAATGAAGGCTATATCTGCTCAAATCAAAGAAGACTACATTTAATTATTAAATGAAAAGTTCTTTTTAAAATTTCACCACTAAAAGCTTCATCGCTAACAATTTTTCAAATTAAATTTGAAATCTCCTTAGTCTTCTCAACCCTATTTACTTTACTCAGTTCCAAAAGGTAGTAGAACTGAAAGAGAAACCACTACCCAACAACTTTCCAAATAATATTAGTCATTTACAACTTAGGATGGTGTTGAATAATAATATTCGAGAAAATTCATACAGGTTGAAAGTGAAACAAAATTATTGAAATAAAATTCGTTGTCTTCATTTTCCAGAAAAACAAGACCTACAGATTTTTCACAATATTGCAAGACTGAGTAATCAGATTATCCAAAACTCGACTAAGAGTTAGCTGGTGTTATCGTGAATTAATTGAAATAAGAGAAACCATTTTTTATGTTATCTGATATCCAAAGGACTTGTGAAGATGAAATAAGTGAAAACCAAAGACAATAATAGGATTATGAGTTGGGAAAAGCTGTACTTATGTTTAAAAAGTAATTTAGTAGAAATGCTATTACTGAACCTAAGGAGGCTGATTCCTTAAAGTAATTAAACAATCAAATTAAAACAGAATTTTAATTAATTTCAGGTTATTTGGAGGCATAAGAACATTTGAAAAGAAAGAAATAGAAATAAAAGCTATTTGAGTAAATGCAAAAACCAAAATAAAAAAAACAAACTCCCTTAAGAAAGATCTTCTTAAAACACAGTAATACATTAGGATTTAAATAAATCAAGAAAAAACTATAGCATTTAGAGGAGGAATCCTAATTAATGAAATTGTATCACTTAATAAGTGATAAGAAGGAAGGAGAGAAAGAGTAGCCAAAAGAGGATTAAATACTCAGAAAAATGATCTAAACTAATTTGAATGTAATTCCATTTTTCACTATCTCAATAGGCCATTAAAGTTATCATGGATGAAAATCAAAAATAACAGGAAACGGCTTAGAGTTAACTTAGAAAGAGGAGACCAATCTCTGTATCTGCATAAATGAAACCTAATATCCATCCGTAAAGCCCTTAACTAAGGGATGTAATTACAGATTTGGCAGGATCAACTTAATACCTTAGTACTAAGGGATAATCAACCAAAAACGTTACATCCATGGTAGAATTGGCAAATTTAAAAAAAAAGTTAAATTCAATTTAAATGAAAAGTCCTATTAGATACTCATAATTATTTAAAAAATAATGATAAAATAATATTTCTGTTATTATTTGTAATTTTGTGTTATCTAGAAATAATAATGAAATATCTATTATTAAAAAAAAAAGTTTAAGTTTTTTGTATAAATAAACATCATAAAGTTCTATCAATTTTTCTTATTGTCATAATTATGGCTTAATCAATTAATGACTCTTATGGGATAAGTATTATTGCTTAAAGAACCAATCTAACCTTTCTCTGGAGTGTTATAGCTCTTATTAGAGTGACAGAATACAAGATTATTAGACAACCTATACCTGCGGCCATATAAAATTCGAAAATCATTTCATAATCGCTTTCCAAGATATCCAAAGTTGAGTAGATGATCGTATAATAGAACTCAAGTATTGCATAGCTTAAATCAAAGAAATACGGAAGGATGATTTGGATAAATTCAGAGTTCTCTAAAAAAAGATTAGCTTCTGTCAAATTCGTGTCTATGATTCCGTTTTTTTCTAAATTGTAATGGGTATTGAGAATGGAGATTATTCTAAAGATATTTTAATATGTTACTATTAATAGATTCCATTAATACCATACTTATAGGTTTATTAGTTATTAAATAATGATGAAGTAGAAGGGTAAGTTGGAAAATATAAAAAAACCCCATTTTCATATGCACAAAATGGAAGAATAGATGGAATAATTTGACACAGGTCTTTTTCATAGAGATTCAGCAAGAGATTCTTATTGTCATCACTAATTTTAGTTGATGCAACAATATCACCATAAATACGTGAATAAATTTCATCCATCTCTACAAGTAAAGGATTAAACTCTTCTATTAATTCTTGATATTATGTTTAAAAGTATTTATCTCTAGTATTCAACTCCGGATTAAAAGCAAAAGCCTAAAGTGTTTACTCTATTAAGCTCTATTAATTTTTAAGCAAAAAGCATATGATCATAATACCATCAAGATCTTATTTGAATTTCACAAATTCCATAGTTAATCTCAATTCTGGTAGGCTGGCATTCATGTTTTAATTCATAATGATATATGCGGAAAATGCAAATCCTGATAAGCACAACCAAATTAAAAGTAAAATTATCTTGATGTTCAAAATACTTAGGGATGTATCTTAAATTCTAGATGACTTTTTCTGTTTTTATTACACATTCTTCCCATTTTAATTATTTTTTGAATACTCGGATGATTTTCTTACACTCTAAAAACTGTAAATTTTCTTAGAATACCAAAAACAATCTCTAAAATAATTGATACTTTTAGTTTGATAAGGATTACTTATTATTCTATCAAGTAAGTATAAAGTCTTGGAAATTGTTAATTCGATGTCTTTATCGGATATTTTACTGATTAACAATAATACAACTTGCATATATTTGTATGGTTGTTGCCACTGATGTAATTGAATAATGAGGAAAATAAGTATGATCAATAACATAACAGTTAAAAAGACCAATTATTCTATTGAAGAATAATCAATAAAATCAAAGAATTCTCGCTCAATTTCATCTACCACATTAATAGTTATCTTTAATTAGGCAATTATATTTCCTTTAAGGAATTCTAATAGTGTTGCGATCTTGAAAACATCTTCTAAAGTCTAGTCTTACATTTGAAGATATTGGTTAATCTGAGAAGTATATTCATTAGCAATAATATCAAATTAAAGCATAGTCGTATTGTCCAATTGATAAATGTATTCATTGATGATTCTGATTGTTAATGGAGGCAATTACAAATGGGAGAATTAATCCTTGAGATCTGATATTAAACTTTAAATTTCATTTCTTTTTTGAGCACTTTCATTTCGAATTCGATATTCATAATATTCTCCATATGATACATTCAATAATTTATTCTGCAACTATAATTAGCCTATTGCTGTAAATGTACAATATAATCTATTAAATCTTTAAGGCAATCTGACCAGAGGGATTCTATATTATAATTCATCTGAATTGTTCCTTTCAACATTTAATTAAACGCCAACCAAAATTATTAGAAATGCAGAAAGACAAATAGTATTGCAAATAGCTTTAACTATACCTGTTTAATATGTAATTTTGTACTATAAATTTCTGATTAAATGATAGACCGAATTTTAAGTTCTGTCTGAAGTTGCACTAGATCTTGACTAATTTTCTATTTGGAATTCAGCCTATTTATTACCCAATTGTATGTTCTCTCTTTATGAACTACTCTTGATGACATTAGATTCATTTCCTTTGATATCTTCAGAGTCATCCTCAATAAGTCCTTTTTGCATTAAGATTTCTCTATGAGACCTTGGAGATATCAAGTTGCTTTCCCTGTTTTCTTTCTCCATCATGGCTTAAAAATGTTCTCCGTCCTGGCCATTCTAAATGAAGACTCTAGCATCTTCCCTCTCTTATCTTAGTATTAATTTATTGATAATTGTTTGGTTGATCACTAATTCTTGATGTAATTCATCCATGTCTTCGTTACTCAAAGAATTGAGATCACTTTGTTATGGAGGGGATCTTATTTTACTAATTGAGCTATATGGGCTGATTGTTCCTATGCTTTTAGGATTAATAAATTTTAATTGTTTTTCAACGAATTCAGTGACTTGTAAAATAAAAAGAGGATGTTATCCTTACATTTTTTAGAATTGCAAATTAAATGTCACTTAGAATCCAATTTAATTTTAAGTAAATTTTGATATATTCTCATTTATGAAATCATACATCTCAATAACATAATTTATCTAATAACATGATACCTTCAACGTTTGCTTTTATTCATTTTATTAATCTTATTCTGTCCTATTGCTTTTAAGGAATTGCTGTTTATAATATAAATCATGACATTATATTAATTCTTACAAATTTGTAATGGGTTGAATCTAAGCTGCCTATGAATATAATGTAAATTATTAAGTATAATCCAGCATAGATTCCATTTATTAATTAATTATCATTAGCAAATCTTTGAACCAAAAGTAAATATAGGAATTTAATAAAGACTTACTGAAGTCGGAATCACTGTAAACTAATAATTAAAGCATTTAATCTGACAATCCCAATATTTTACCAGACTCATCAAATATTATAAAATCACTATTTTCATAACTCTTCTTAAGAATAGCTGATAAGATATAATCATCCATTTCATCATAGGAGGGTATCAATTATAAGGTGACCAAAAATGAGAAACCTGAGTAATAGGATGGAAATACATCATGACTTGTATTAAATAACTTTGACTCTCCTGTAGTCAGAAATTCCTTTAAGAATCTATCATGTTTGGCTACCAAATATTCTGGTAGGAGCTGATTCAATTGAGAAATCGATTTAAAGGATTCGTCATTTGGAAATTTAAAATATTTCAAAATTTTAGTCTTGTCCTTATTTAATATCAATCCTTGAGTTTTCATCATGCTTATCTGCAAAATGATAACATCATCATTCAATAAAGATGTATTCTAAATGTCTCGAGATAACACATTACGTTCTTGGTTGAGTAAATCCTCTATCCTTTGTTCAATTTGAAATGTTATATGATAATCATTCAACACAGATCCAAAAACTAAAGATAGTAAGCGTAAATCAAGAATATTTAATTTAATTATTTGCTTTTAAATTACAAGAATATCTATTTCCATATCTTCAAATACAAGATTTTTCAATTCAACTATCTTACCACTTAAGTTGATGCATTTCTAAGACAATTGCCCTATTCTATCATAGCCAATAGATAAGGAGTCCAAAAACTTATTCTTTAAAATTAGTATTTCTATTATTAAAGGCATGGATTTCTCAACTAATGAGTGACTTTATTTTACTGATGATATATCTAATCTCCCCTAAGAAGATTTTAAATCTTAATTTATTTTGTGTAGTATTAAATTAGAGCAATATATTTTGATGATTTAAAAATATACAGACTAATGGGATGATTACATCTGATGTTGTTTCAATTGGATATAAGACAAGTTCAGTTTTTCTTGTGTCTAAAATATGAAGAATATTATATATAATTGTAATTCCTCTTCACTAGTTTTCTATTATTAAGAATAAGTGTCATATAATCTTAATAACAGTATAAAGATGTAATGATTTTGCCATTTTTCTGTTGCCTGTTTATTTGCCATAATTTTGTATTTGTTTTTAAGGATGAATAATATCTTGTTTTATGTTATGGGATTCATAGAGTAGAATTCATCTGCAATTTGAAATATTAATTGTTTGGAGAGCTTATTCTATTCTAGGTTAGTAGAGTATGTAAGAATCAAAACTCTTTTCATTAGCAAACCGAAAAGAGGGACAAGCATAAAACTGTAAAATAGATATTCTTTTTAACTAAAACTGACGGATAAACACTTTATTGCTGAACCAAATAACAAGATAGAAGAGCAAAAACAATAATTAAGGTTTATTTGCATTGAATAAGGCTAGTTGAATAAGGCATCTATCAATTGAAGTAGAAATAAGAGCATCATTACAGTGGTTTGAACGATTTCCTCGAAATAAGGTATGGCAATAAGAACTGTGATTTCAATAAAATTCTGTAAGTAATTTTATATCCTATATCTTTTTGTAAAAGGGTTTTGAATTGGTAATAAGTAATTTCGTTAAAAATACGAAAATATCATATAATTTATCAATAGTGGTATTGTACAACACCAGGCTAAAATATTATTAGGGTTGTGATCTTAAATTTGATAAATATGTATGAAGGAGGGATAAAGTATTAAAATTTGAAAATATGTGTAAAATATATTTTGGTATTGGTTTAAGAAATTCGATTATTTAATCTCGAACACTATCATAAAGATAGAAAGTATGTGAAAAGCAGCTATAATAATAGCAAGTACACTTTTAATGGTGATTAGTTGGATCTAACTTATCGGAGTTAATAAATGAGACCAATTAATAATATTTTTGACAAGGATCAATTCTTGGTCCTAATCGTTATTGGAATTAAATACTTGATACTCTTTCTCATTAAATTGATCCAATCTCAATATGAGACTAAATCTGGTTCCTGTGTACATGAGCCAAACAAAGTCAGGATTTAAGTAGGTCTATTATTTCTATTCCCTGATGATCTCATATAAAGTACATAATTTTCGTTTAATTATTATAGTATTCATTAATTTAATCAATATTATAGCTTTTTCAGATTATAATTATTTTCTGTCTTGAACTCTGGATGAACTTTCGAAAATGACTTGTGATTAGTCATCAAAATCTGCTACCTGGATTATTATTGCATAATGTTATAATGATAACGATAGATTGAAATGTCAAGTTGCTTGGCAGACATACTAACCTAAATATATAAAAATAGTACAGCTAATTAATTTGATTCATTTCAGAATTTTGTTGTTGTTAATTTTCTATCCAAATTCTTTTGGCTTCCTCTGCAGTAACTGGATTTCTTCTATCATAATCATCCAAGAACGTGGGACTCCTCGCATCATATGACTCTTCGGTGGCATTATCTATTCCTATCTTCAAAATGAATTCTAGGACTCGTTCTTTGGGAAGCAAATAAAAGATGGAACAAATAATAAAAGAAATCCATGTTGACCAATGCATTGTCTTAAATATAGTGTATTCCCAAACACAATTGCCTAACTAAATCTTTAATAAGCAATCATTACACTGTAGATAAGAATCACTAGATCTATATAGAATTCAACCATGGCTTAGGCCATATCACTGCCTGTAGGCAAGGGTTTTGAATCTCTTCTCAATAGTAAGATCTTCTCAATCCAGTAGATTCCCATAATACTCGCAAGTGCAAAAAATGAACATGCTGGCAACAAAGGAGCGTAGAAAAGAGCCATCAATAAAGTCTTAGCTATTGCAGGATACTTCTCGGCCAAATTAATCATGGGACCCTCAAATGCTCTTCTTTAAGATGATGAATGTACTCATTAGCTTCCTTTTGTGTTAGTTTACAACTGGACCCCAATTGTTTGATCTGTCGACGTATGTATAACTTCTTTATATGTTCGAAGTCAACGATGAACAGAAACCAAGGCATAAAGGAATCTGTCATAAAGATCCACATCACATCTGAATTCAAACCTCCTTTTTGATACATAGTATTTATCGTTGTTTCGTTTTACCCTTTGATCAAGATGTTAACCAAAAGAGTTAGGATTGCTACATTGATAAACTCAGCCAAACCTATCTTCTTAGCTATACTAATGTCATATTCAGTTTTAGTTGAATGCTATTCTCTGATGATTAATTTTATAATGGTAGATGATAAAACACTGTTTATAAAGGAAATGATGAGTGAGGCCAAGAACCCTAGAAAATTGATAATCACAGCAGTCGTAGTAGGATCGTAATTCACTTAAGCGTTGATGTATTCTTACATATAAGATAGTCCAAATATCATGGCAAATCCTACAGCCAATAGAGCTGCTGTTACAACATTTGTAGTTACTATTCGTTTATATTGTTCTTTGATTTCGATGCCCAGATTTTCCCATAGCACATCACCAGGCAAAGGTGCCTTTCTAACTATCACTGAATTTCCAAGGAACTTTCGATTCTAGTATTTCTTCAAATTGAGTTGCTCTAATAACAATTAAAATTTGGTCTATTGAAATTGATCGCAAACTTAATCAGCATGCTTTTCATAATTGAAGGATAAAAAGATAACTCCAGTAAATCTGAAAATAATTTCCTTGTACTTCTCTACATAATCAAATTTTTCATGAATATCCTTAATTTTCAAAAGGATTTCAGCTTTTGATTTAGAAGACTTCTTCTTTTATCGTTCCAAATCCAAAACATGCGATAATTCTGCTTATTGTTCCTCCAATTCTATTTTTAATTACAAAAAAGGCTTCACTTCATAAGCCATACAAATCTTTCTCAATTCCAACTCCTCCATGCCTTCCTCTTACAAAAAGTAAGATCTAATGTCTTCTTTTTTACAATTTTTTGGAGCATTATAGATCATAATTGAGTAATCAGATGCCTCAATTTCTGCATCATCAATCTCCAAACAAATTTTATTAATATGTCTACGGTAGATCAAATTAGAAATTATCAATAAAATGATTGCTGCAAAATTTAAGTAACTAGCCACAACATCTAACTCTCTTAATTATTTAGATGCTCATTACTTATACACATTAGATCTTGAAAACTTATTGTAGATATCTTCTTCGCATCCTGAAGCTGTCCCTTTGTTTTCAATCTAGCATCTGAACCCTTAACTATTATCATAAAATGTGTACACTCCTACTATTGATCTATATATTGTATTACACTAACATGTAGATTAGTAAAATAATTTGTGAGTAAATCACAAAATCGAAGTACAGAACTATCCCTGATCCGATGAAACTGAATTCAGATATAGAAACGCAGAGTGGAAGGATTTAGTTTTTGTATGGATATCCGCAACATGGACATACACTCCCCTTATCAAAATCAGTAAAAGGCATTGGAGCTGCAAACCTTTTGGCAATCCCATGTTTTTTGGCTTTCAATAGGTTAGGTGGTCTTTTATACTCGTCATGCTCTATTTCCCCTTTCTTCATCATATTTTTGGATGCAATTTAATAAAATTATTTATATTAATTAATTATAGTCCATTATTTGATAACTGTTTACGCACTTTTTGTGATTAAATACATACTTAAATCTAAAAATATATATTAAACAAATGAAATTAAGATTTTTTATTAAATTTAAATATAATGGAATTTGTGACAGCCCTAGTGTTCATTTTCATAGCATGTGCCTGTGGTATAGTTTGGGCTATCTTCAATTGGATGGCAGTTCATAAAGTGGAGATTCATCACAAACATGAGGGATTGACAGAATTGTTATAGGGTGCAGAATAAGAGAAAATAGAGACTCTGTTAGAGATAGGAGAACACATATAAGATGTAAACTTTGACAATATTTAAAAAAGGGAGCTCAAGCCTTTTTAAGAGAAGAATACACAGATTGCAGTGTGTTTTTAGCGATCATGGCTGTTTTATTGATAGTATGAGAAGTACATATATCCGATAGTTTATTTCACCATGGTCTTCACTGGCATTTGTATTGGGAGCAGCAACTTCAATGCTTTGTGGATATTTGGGAATGGCCATAGCAACAGCAGCTAATTATAGGACTGCATTTTCAGCAATCACATCATTAGCGAATGCATTTTAAGTAAGTGAAGTATTAAAGCTATAAAAGATGGCATATAGAGGTGGTTGCGTAATGGGATTTTTATTGGTGTCAATATCGCTTTCAATTTTAACATTAATAATAATAATCTATAATGCAATAATAGTGAAGAGTGAAGACAACAATTTTGAGGATTTGGTCACAATGTTCGATTACGTAGCAGCCTATGGATTGGGAGGATCAACATTTGCATTGTTCGGCAGAGTTGGTGGTGGCATTTACACCAAGGCAGCCGATGTGGGAGCAGATCTCGTAGGTAAAGTCGAGAAGAACTTACCAGAAGACAGTCCAAAGGTATATTGATTCATACATAATTTAAAGAATCCAGCCACTATAGCTGACAATGTGGGAGATAACGTTGGTGATATTGCTGGTATGGGAGCTGACTTATTTGGTTCATTTGCAGAATCTACTTGTGCAGCTTTGGTCGTTTCATCTACCCAATTAAGAGTTGCATAAGGGGATAGTTATGTCATTGATATCAGTTAATTGATGTATCCATTGATGGTTTCAGCATTTGGTATCGGAATTTGTATTTTGGTATCAGCTTATGCTGTTTATATTTCAAAAGTGAATCACATTAATAAGATTGAATCCACTCTGAAATTCCAATTGTTGTTATCGACAGTTGCATTATCTCCAATTATTATAGGTATTGCTTATTGGTGTTTACCTGCTGACTATGTGATGGTTGCTGCAGATGGCTCTATTTAATTGCAAGAACTTAAACCTTGGCATGCTTTCTTGTGCTCTCTTATGGGATTATGGTCTGGATTGTTGATTGGGTATTTCACTGAATACATGACATCCCATTCTTATACTCCCGTCAGAGAAGTAGCTAAGTCTTGTGGAACTGGAGCAGCAACCAACATTATCTATGGTTTAGCCTTAGGATACTTATCAACCATTGTCCCTATTGTGGCTATAGCTATAACTGCCTTGTTGTCTATGAAGATGCTTTCCTTCTATGGAGTTGCCTTGGCTGCTCTAGGAATGCTTTCCAATCTTACCATAGGATTGGCCATTGATGCTTATGGACCCATCTCTGACAATGCAGGAGGTATTGCAGAAATGAGTGAATTGGGTGAAAATGTCAGAGAATCTACTGATGCTTTGGATGCTGCAGGTAACACTACTGCAGCTATTGGAAAAGGATTCGCTATCGGATCAGCTGCCTTAGTCTCTTTATCACTCTATGGTGGATATTTAACAAGAATATAAACCTACAAAGTAGGAGATCAATACCCATTTGCTGAAGGCGCCAAAATCGATGATCCTATCATCTTCGCAATGTTATTAGTTGGTGCCATGTTGCCATATGCATTCTCTGCCTTCACTATGAAATCAGTCGGAAAGGCTGCACTTCAAATGGTTGAAGAAGTTCGTAGATAATTACATGAACATCCAGGTATTTATGCAGGCACAGAAGAACCAGATTTCAGAGCCTGTATTGCCATTTCAACCAAGGCTTCATTAAAAGAAATGATTCCTCCTGGACTCTTGGTACTCATTTTCAATTATTTAAATTATAGGTCATTGTCACTCCAACTGCTGTCGGACTGTTCTTAGGACCCTATGCTGTTGCTGGTCTATTGCCAGGAGCTTTAGTTAGCGGTGTTTAGATGGCCATTTCAGCCTCTAATACTGGAGGAGCCTGGGATAATGCCAAAAAATATATTGAAGCTGGATTCTATAGAAATGAAGCTGGAGAAGTAAAGAAGAAGGGATCTGATGAACACAAAGCTGCTGTTATTGGTATTAATTTGAATCATATCTTTTAGGTGATACTGTTGGTGATCCTCTTAAGGATACTTCAGGACCATCATTAAATATTTTGATTAAATTGATGGCTATTTTATCTTTGGTCTTGGCTGGTGCTTTTTGTAGAACTGGGTGGTTATACAAACCTCAATGAGTTTTATTTATGCAAATTATTAAATTAAATGTTCATGTATAATACTTTTAATGTATGTATGCTTATAATCACTTCTCAATTTTCTAAAAGAAGGGCTCAATTTCCTCATTTAATTGCAAATACACCTTCTTGAAATCTTTCTCTCTATAACGACCTCCTTTTGGCGATCTCTTTATTGCTCCCATATAATTAATTGTATTCACTTTATCAACATTCAACCCATACACTTTCTTTTAAATATTTTGAATTACATTGAGTAAAGTATTGCTTTATTTCTGGTTTATTCAATGAATATTTATATGGTTATAATTTGAATGCTACAACATTTTTCTCCAATTGTTTCTCTGCCCTATGCAAAACCACAGATTGATCAAATAATGCTTCAACTGGTGTAGCTCTCTTGAAATTAGAAGTAGGTACAATCTTAATTCCTTTCGGGTTCAAAAAATACTCCCTAAAATTCAGAATTTTTTGCATTTTATATTATATTATTATTTATGTCAAATTAAGTCATTTTTAACTTTTAACTTCTCCATATACATCCATATATTTATATTTTGTTACCTTTAACAACAGGAACAACATTGAAATCTGGATACTACCTAGTTGAACAATATCTGAGTAAATATTTTAGTACTCCCTTATATAATTTTCTTATTCTATTTAATCGTCCTTTTATTCAAGTTTTAAGCAAATCTGATTAAATTTCATTCTTAGAATCGGTAAATTAAATCGAAGTTTAAATTTCTCTATTTTTAACCTACATTTATTTTTCTCTCTTCCTCTCCTATAAAATTTCTCTTATGAGGTTTACTAATTAGATGTCTTAATATCACTCCTTATCTTTCAGGTACATAAATCAATCTATGGCACTTTAATGCTAGGTGATTCACGATTCCGCAATTATATCATAAAAGGCTCCAAACGTGAAAATCTATTATTCAATAATTAATGATTGATTTCAAAGTATTTTTCCTAATCAATTGGATATTAATTCAGACACATTAACAAGTTTTATCTTTTTATTTTTATTAGTTTTTATCCTCCTATGCCCTAGCACCTGCCATGGGAGCAAGTCCTGAAAAAATTGAGTATTCACCAGCAGAATGATTACTATTTAGCATTGATAATGAGTATTCTTTATAATTGGATTCTACCTATTCCTCTAGATAAGAATAATTCAATTGATCCTTGATTTATTATGAATAGTGAACAATGATCCAACTCATTCTAAAGAATGATTAATTCCTTTTTAAGAATTTTTACGGTTTCTGCAATTGTATTTTCGATATTCAAAGTTATTATTTACCCTATCCAATATTTTCCATTATTATAACTTTTTAAAACCTTCTTTTTAGGTTCTTCCTAATGTTGGTATTATTGGGGTTCTGATCTTTAATTGTCAATCTCCTCTTAAATTCTGAAGAATTTTCTTCTGAAATATCATATTCTTATTAACTCATTATTAAATTATATATCTCTATTATATAGTTATAGCGTTCTCTATTTACAAATTGAATATGCTCTTTTACTCTATTAGTATAAAGTATTAAATCTCTTTCTCTCTTAATTTGATTGTCATTTTCATATTACTAAGTCTAGATTTCATCAATTTTTATGAATCCAGCGTAAGTTTATTTAGTAATACTTTTATTTTAAACCTCTTTTGTTTTCAAAGTAGCAGAGATTACTTATAATACAAATATTTGATATTCTCATATAAGACATCATATGTTATATAATTAACATGATAAAATATCAAGAAACTTTAATTGTAATACTTAATTTTATAGATCTATATTTATCTTGTTACAAATCAGAAATATAGTTTAAAAAGATCTTTACAAACTCCATTAGTAAATGATTCAGCTGAAGACAAATTATGGAAGATGAGACATTGTTAACAGAATTTTTGTATTAGATTTTCGTAATAGAGATTTTTATGAGGAATCTAATTTTCTGAAAGGAAAAACTGATTTCAAGGTTTAAATATATGAGTTATAAAAAGGATTGTTTCTCCCTTATAATAACAGCCAAGATCAGATTCTTTCACCTTCACACGATTAGAGTGAATCTGATTTGATTTATAAATTGAATGATTCGCTCCAGGAATAAAGATCTCAGTCGATATAGCATGAGGAACAAACCCTCAGCAACAAATCACGTTTGTTATTCAAGGAGTTTTAGTAACAAGATGCCAATTATATATAATTTTTGCAGCAAAACCTAAATAAAATATAAAAACTAACAAAATTAGCCAGTCATGTTTAATAAATAATTGCCGAGATCATGGATAAGAAGAATAACATTCTATGAGGAGCCAATTATCCTCACTAAAGTTGATAGGATAAAACCCTAATTAAATTTAATTAATTGTTGCATCAATAAGATTTAGGGAGCATAAATGCTGTGTGACATTTTTTTTTTTAAATAACATTTTTAATTAAATTAACAAATACAATGGGATCTTGTTCCTCAAAAAAATTTCAAACATACTATTCTACAACTAATTAAAGTCAAATCACGTAGGATCACCCTTTTCCTAGAATGTCATGGGCCAATAAATACATACAGTAACCATAAGAACGAACAATTACGCCTTACAATCCTAACAGTAGATATTAGTTTCTATCCATTTAGGTCTTGAATATTAGTATAATGTCGAAGTAGAAGGTGTGATATTTGATGTTATTGCTCCTCCCGACTTTCTTGATGATGATAATTTGGAGCCATTCGAAAATGATGAGTGATTTTCCTAGTTCATGATGCTAATTATTTTGTTATTCATTTATCAAATCAATATTCCACCTAAACAGATTCAAAGTCCTTTCTTAAAATTCTAAAAATATATTTAGAAATAGCATATGTCATGTTCTTTGTATAAATTTATTTCAAAATAAAATCAAAATACATGGATCCCACTAACAAATTGTTAATTAGATATCTCATCATTTAAATATATGTATTCTTGTTAAACATTTCTAAAATTAATTAAGAATTTTTAATATTTACATCCAAATATAAATTATGAGATTTGTTAATCCTACCACGATGTGCACAAATAAATAAGAAATACTAGATGGTACAATTAGATCATTTCGCATATTACTCAGTAGGCATGCAAAAATATCAGTTTAGAATAAATCTAATATGTGAACATACTTAAATATTTCATTTTAGAATAATTTAAGTTTTATTATTGGAGGATTGAAAGAATCAGAAGGTGCACACTTTCAGTTTAAATACAAGGAAATATTTTAAAAAATTAGCTAAAGTCAAATCGCAAATTAATAAGTTAATAATCTTTATTAGAAAGAATATTCTAAATATTCTTTACATTAATTAATGATATATAAAATTCTTCAATTATCAATAGAGTAAAATAAAAATATTTCTTAACATGAACTTCGTTGTTTGAATATGTGACCACCATACTACAAAAGATAGCTTACAAATTACCCAAATCTCATTTTCTGACCTCTTTATTCAAAAACTAGATCTATAATCTGAAAATTAAGAATATTTTAATTCTTAATATAATCACTTTTTGATACAATAAAATGATGACAGATTATTTTGTTAGAAATAAGGTGCTATATATATATAGATAGCTAATAGTGAATATAATTAATGACTAATGATAAAACTATGAACTATCTCAAAAATAAATACAATTAATAGTTAGACTTTAAAATAAAAAATTTCAACTAGTATTGATGTTTAAATAATATAACAAAATATATTATATATAATAATTAGTTTTTATTCAGCTTTATATATAATTGCAGTAAAAAGCTTCAGTGATATTCCATCTTGCCTCCATATTATAGGTTAGACATTTGAGAATAAAATCTTTGCAATCTTGAGATACATTAGGCTTTTAAGGGAATTTAACTTAAAAGGAATTTAAGATAACTCTTTCCTAAAGAAGTTACATCTATTCTTACTTGAGCAATTCGTTCTTAAGACATTCCTTCCCCAAAAGGTTTTCTACCAAATACCATCTCAAATAGGATCACTCCTATTGACCACACATCTACTTTTGTACTGATTTATATATTTGGTTATTCCATGAAACACTCTGGAGGCAAATACCAATAAGTTCCCAAACCTTGAGATGTTAATTCTTATCTAGTAGTGTCCTAATCCAAAACCTTACACAATCCAAAATCTGTAAGTTTAACTTCTCCTTTGTGAAATAAAATGTTTTGGGGTTTCAAATCATAATGAATAATTTTAGTTAGACTGCAACTCATGTGATGTAAGGCTGCTAAAACCTGTCTCAAAATCAATTTTGCTTCCTTCTCTGCAATAATTTTATATTTCTTCAAATGCTGATTTAAATCAGTCCCATCACAGTATTCAAGTACAGTGCTTTTTCTTATTATACATAAATGTACCAAAAAGAGTCTTAATCTATTTCTTAAGTGTCATATAATGATACTATATTGACATGTTTCAATCTCTTATGAATATCATTTTCTCTCAAAGCATGCTTGATGTAATTATTTTTTGCATTTTCATTCCATTAAGGATTTAAATAATGAATTTTGCATGCACATAATCTGTATTCTTATAAATCAAAAGCTTTATAAACTTCAGAGAATCCTCCCTTTCCCAATAATCCCAAAGTTTAATATCTTTGAGCTATCAATGGCCATCTTGGATCTGCTCTATAATATCGACAACTAAAGTTTGAATCAAAATTACTTCTATTCTTCCATAAACCTTCTTGTTTTATATGCTAATTATTGTTTCTCTTCTTCCAATTTAGTTAGCTTTAATTTCAACTCTTCTTCCTCCTTTTTTAATATGCTTAATTAGAATTGAATTCTTAGTTTCTTTTAATTTGCATCTAAGTCTCCATTTACAAAATCTAATTCAAATAATTTATTTTGCTTGTCCTTCTAGTTTTTAGTCGATTATTTATCTTTGATTTCATTTTTCTGTTACTCCAATGATGTTCTTTCATTTTCTAACTTTTATAATGATTCTTTCACTTATTTAATTTCATAACCATCTTACCATTCTTCCACAAATCTTACATTGTTCCTAGAACTAACAAACTCTCCTAATCGATATCTTTCCCTCTCTAAATATTCTCTCATTTTTTCCCGCTTTAATTCCTCCACTTATTTTAATGCTTCTGCAAATACATCTTGAGTACGCTTTTTAAAAGCATTATGTTATAAAATTAATTCTTAACGTTCACTTTCTAATTATTACTTCTCTTATCGTAATTGTTTCTCAATCTGTTCCTTTTCTAATAATTTCTATTACAACTTATTAGCTTCCTCATCTTAAGGTTTTTGAATGGGTTACTGCACTATTTTAACTTCTTTTGATTTCATATAATTGGTTATATCATTCGTACTCATTTTTTATTTGCTTTCCTCCAAACTTTTTTACATTTAAGTCTTCCCTACATTGCCCGCTTCATTACAAATTTCTTTTGGATTTTTTAGATATTTATAGATCTTTTAGCAATTTGGTAAATTTACTGGTGCTTGAGGAAAATTATCATTGGATGATTCTTCATCACTTTTTGATTTTGTATTCATTTTTTTTTTCGAAATTTCATTTTCAATTTTTCTTTTTTTCATTTATTTTAATCTATCCATAGAATTTTCAGGATTCTGATTAAAATAATTGGTAATCAGCTACTAACCAGAATTTGATTATTGAATTTCTTCTGACATTTTAGCTTGTATTTAATTATTAAAATTAAAAAGTAATATTATTATTCTACACAAAGTAGGATTGGAAACAATTCTACAGAAGCACACATCAATTGCGTATAATAATAGTTAAAATGATTAAGAAAATTCAGAACTTATCTTTCCATTGGATTCGAATCCCTTCACACCAAACCCCTGTTCTTGCAAAGTCCTTCGCTACCAGCACTCCATCTCCATGTTACTTTCCACTCTTCCAACTCCCCTTATATCTGGTGTTTTCGTCGATAATAAACTCGCCCTCTCCATCCTTCAAATCATGTTTGTAATCTCCCTTATATGATCTCCCATCCGACCATTTAAATTCTCCATACCCATGCATCTGATTATTTTCCCAAGCTCCTTTGTATTCCTTCCCATCACTCCACATCAAACTTCCCTATAACCGTGAATAAAATTATACTAAAATTCCCCTTTGTAACTTAATAGTAATTTATTAAAAATACTAATTTTTATTGGAATAAAAGCACTCTCCTTGTCCATGCTTCATCGAATTTAGAAATTGACCTTTGTATATTGTTCCATCTGGATATTCTTCAGTACCGTCTCCCTCTTGTTTATCTTCCACCCAATTTCCTTTATAAATGGTGCCGTCACTATGTGTATAAACGCCAAAACCATGACATTAATCATTTAACCAATCTCCAATATAAACATCTCCATTTTAATGAATTAATCTTCCTATCCCACATGCTTTATTGTTTTACCAAAATCCCTCATAAACAGAACCGTCTGGCCAAATTTATTTACCTTTACCCCACTTAATTCCATTCTTCCATTGGCCTATGTAGATAGCTCCATCGATTAATCTATGCGGTTCTAAAAATGGCAACTTTTTGTCTTCATCTGTAAATTGGAAATTCGTAGATCTTTTATTCGGATCATCCGAGTTGATAAAATCATTGTAACGAAATGGGCCAAGCTTATACAAGGCTTTTTAAACAGTCAAAGCGTAATCTGTGGGAGTTTGACTTAGTTTTTAGGCAATTTCTGGTTTGGGATGATGAACAACAGGAGATTCTTCTGTTTTGATCTTCATTTTATGATATAATTTTCTAGCTTTATATCCTTTGTAATGCTTTTAAATTTTAAGAGCGAATTGGTCATACTTAATTTCCTCTTTAATGAGTTGAGGGGGAATGAGGTTTTCGAATTTTACATTTGAGTGTGTGCAACAGACACCCATATTTGTATCTGTTTTAATAGTTTAAATTTTAATTATTACTATATATAATGACAATAAAATGTCTATTTATCATAAAATCTAGCCCTACGCTTTCAACATATTAATTTCATTTTCATTTATTTATATTTATTATTTCAATTATTCTACTCTCTTCAACCTCTGTTATCCAACCAAAAATAGTTAATTCATCTTCTCCTTCATCAAGTTCATTGATTTATAGAGGCACTCCATCTCCTCTTATTCACTCTCATGGATGTCTGCACAAGCCTCGCAGATCTCCACCTATGATTGCCGAAATAGACTAAGCATTTAACAAACTGGACACAATGCCTCAAAATCCTTACCCCCAAACTATTAGAAACATTCATCACACAACCCTTGAGAACACTTAACACAAACCAAAACATTTTCATTGCTGTCACATTATTAGCAACATTATTATTTATTCATTTAACTTATTAATATTCATTTTGTAAATAATGATCTTTTCTAGTCTTGAAACTTCAATTAATGCACTGCTTCCTCATCCAAACCCCAAACCTCAAACTCTTGGATCTGGAAATTAACCTCGCTCGACAACACCTCATTATCGAAAGTTTCACTCGGATTCGATTCCCCTTTACTAAACGAACTGCTTACAAATAAACCATATCTAAAATTCTATTGTCATTCACTTACTTATCTCCTGCTCCAATACTGAACCCAGTCTCATCAGCCATTTGAAAACACCTATTTTTCTGGGATCCTTTGAATATCCTTGTATGATTATATAGACAGATAAACAAAAAGGATTCTCCCTGTCCGAAAAACTCATTCTTAGACAATCTCCAAGAACTCAACAAGAATCCTCCAAATACCTTCTTGCCTTGATCCTTAATCAGAATCACGTGAGGCCCAGCATATTCTGTTCTCCTCAAAAATTCCTGATACGAACTACCTACATATTAACTCTCTCTTACCATGTCTATTGATAGAAAATAATAAGAACCATGGCTTCGTCTACAAATAAGATGGCATACCGTCTGCTATTTCTAACACTTACTTCATAGAGATTATTCGACTCTCCTCACTCAAACTAACCTTTGCTTATTCTTTTGGTTATTATTGCTACCTAGCCTTGCAAACCTCCATTGACCCATTCTTTTCGTTTATTTCAACATAATTGAAATTATACACGCTACTCAGGCACTCTATATTGCTCTCTCCTTTTTTCACTCTCGTATTGAACGAGTCTCCAGTAACAGATTCATGCTCATGTTATAGTTGTTGTATCAAATATGTAAATGCCTCCATCGTTATCATTCTTTTGCTCTTGCCTTTCATTTACCAGAATTCCCTTACAAATGCCTTTACTGCCTTAGTTTCTCCTTTTATAGCTTTTAATTCAATGAGAAGTTTCTTTTGGTTTTCAGGCACTCTGTTACCACAAATACCCCATATAATTATTTACATTAACTCAGCTATTGGATTGAATATTATTTTGTAAATCTCATTTACATATATAGAAAAATTTAAATGATCTTCCTTGCCTTTATGCTCCTTACTCAATTTCTTTGAATTAACAGTAAAAATCAGATAATCATAGCAGATCTACAAATTACCCTGTATATGATCCCTATCCCACATATAGAGAATGGGTATTGAAATATTAATGGATTTGAGCAAATCGCGTTATAAAACACGCTTATTATCATATTACATTATCACCTCCTAGCCTGGGATCAAATGGCAATGTTCTAACTTATTTGCCTTCTTCAATCTCCACACATTGCAATTATTGATAATAGCTAGATCGATCAAGGTTTGGCCTGGTTAAGCAAAACATTTTTAATTACATTGCATTTTTATATTAATTAATAATATGGATCCATTAACGAGGTACAAAATGAAATTAGAAAAAGATAAATAACATTTGCAAGAGTATGAAAGAATTCAAAAGCAAAAAGAATTATAGAATGAGATGAAGTTGAAATAAAAGAATGAGAAGTATAGCAATATTCAAAAGGAACAGGAAAGACAAAAGGAAATAGCTAGACTCAAAGCTTAGTTACGAAGAAATCATTTCGAGAGAACCTTATTTCAAAGTTAACAAATAGAAAAAGAAAAGTTAAATGTATATGCGATATTCTAGATTATTTAGGGGTATAAGAAAAAAATAGAGAAGACCCTAGATTGCTTGGAAAAGTATGAGAATGGATACCACAAGGAGTTTATGACCTCTTTGCACAGAAAACTGTCGAATCATTCTCATCAGATTGAGTGCGTATAATAATAAAGTGAAGCGATTTTGGAAAATAAGATTAATAAAATCAACCAATCACTAGAACTAAGATTCAAAAAATCAGAGGATGTATTAATTTGAAGAATAGTTTAGGTTCTATCGAACCTTTCCAAATAAAATAGCGAAAGAAAAAAGAGTGAAAAATTGAAAGTTGAAACTTATTAGCAGTTGGTTCAGAAACATTAAGAGAAGTTGTAATAGTTAAGGGAATTTAAAGCTTAATAATTTGATGACAAATTGAATAAAGTTGAAAAACTTCAGAAATTAAAAGAATAATAATAAAGAGAGAAATAATTATTGAGATTAGAAGCGGATAAATTAAAAGAGAAAATGAGCAAAGAATTTGAATAGGAATTAGCAGTAAAAATATAAAATAGTATTATTTAGAAAATGAAATCGAAGTAAATTAAACTAATACAGAATTGATAATGAATATAGTCATCTATCATTTTACACTAATCTTTTTTATTAAAATTTGATCTAATTAATGATGAAACTTCTCTTTTTGCGATTTTCTCAATTAAAATTAATTTATTAATAACTTCTTGCAGTTACTTAATATAAAGAGCAGTAGGTTAATTGGAAAAACAATGCCTCAAGGATTTTTATTTTTTGCGAACTATTTGATCTATAATTTATAATTTTAATACATTTTATAATATTTGTTTGCATTTTTTAAATATTGTGAATAATAGTAAATTATTTAATTAACAGACAAATATTGCTATGGATCAAAAATATAAGGTTCAATCATTAATGAACAATTATGTAAAGAAAGAAATCAATAGGTCAGGAGTGGTGAATGTAAAAATTTACTTAAACAATGAATTATAACATTCGATCTAATTTCCAACTTTAAATCAAAGTACATATAATTTAGTCAATTATTTAAAAAATTTGTTAAATTCACCACTAGTAGTGGGATTTTAAACAATTGATTAAAACATACCCTTGGATTTCTACTTAACGTAGAATTAAGATTTAGGATTCCTTACAAATTAGACAATTTAATTAAAACCCTTGCATGCTATACAGCAACCCCTAATATCTTTGGACTCATTCTATTTCTTGCAATGCATAGGTGTGGGCGGCTTTTCAAGAGTTTACTTGGTGAGATGTAAATCAAATGGTTAATTTATGGCTTTGAAAATGATATCAAAATAATTCATTTAAGAACATGATAAATTTTAAATCATATAGAATGAAAGAAACATAATGGTTGCTTTAGCAGAATAGAGTGATTCACATCCATTTCTATGTAAATTATTGAGTGTATTTGAAACAAAGAATTGGGTCTGTTTTGCCTTAGAATACTGTCCAGGAGGCGAATTGTTTCAACAATTGAAACGAGTAAAAAGGATGGATGAATAATAAGCAAAATTTTACTTTAGTTAAGTTTGCTTAGCTATTCATCATTTACACGAGAATGGAATAATCTATAGAGATATTAAACCAGAGAATATTCTAATAGATTAGGATGGTAACATCAAATTGGCTGATTTTGGATTAGCCAGACCCAATATGAAAGATGATTTAATGGCTTTTTCATTTTGTGGATCTCCAGAGTATATGGCACCTGAAATGTTACTAAAGTCAGGTCATAACTATTAGATTGATCATTATTGTTTGGGAGCCTTACTTTATGAACTATTGACTGGTTTGCCTCCATATTATTCAAATACTCCAGAGTAGATTTATAAAAATATACTTTCACATGAATTAACTCTGCCAACTAAAAATTGCAGTGTTGAATCCAGAGATCTTATGTACAAATTGTTATAAAAGGATGTTTTTAATAGACTTGGAAAAGATTATGGAATTTATGAAATTCTAAAACATCCTTGGTTGTAGGATAAATCTCTTTTCAAAATTCTTAATAGACATTATGAACCACCATTCAAACCAGACCTTATGAAAATGAATTTTGATTAAAATGAAATAACCAGAGGAGAGAATAATTTTTAGAGGGATCTTCAAAAATCTTTGAATTCAGAAAGTGAAAATGTCTTTACTCCTTTTTTCTCAAATTTCTACTTCTCTTCAATTACATCAAAAACTTAAACCAGATCATCCTCAATAACCTAAATAAGTTCATCAAATATCGATGAAAAAATTAATAATTTATTAATCAATAGCAAAGCCAAGAATGTTATTTAAACTCACACAGCATCCTAACCTAATATACATTGTTAGTTAAAACAAAAAAAGGTTTCTTAAGAAAGAAGTTCTGATAATAACAAAGAAAATATTATGAAAAATTTTAGTTCTTTAATTACTAAAACATGCAAAAAACATAAAAAGAACAATCAAAGCATGCCTGATCAAAGTTGTGCAGTCTCTTCTGAGATGAGATCACTATCAACTCAGAAAATAATTGAAAATTAAAGAGTGCCATCGACGTTTAACACAACTCTATTAAAATCATAATTCACTGAAACTGATGATGATTCAAGTGTTAATAAAACACACAAGACTCTTTTTGGAGAAGCTAAAAGTTTGAATAAAAACTTCACTAATTAATGCACATTATTGAGATTTTTCAAATAATGAAATATTTCAATTAAATATAGTATAATTATTGAATTTCTTTCAGGTTTTTCTTCTTTTTTATTATATATCTCTATCTTCTTAAATTTATTAATCTAAATTTTATTTCTTCTGTTAATCTCTCTTAGGATGGAATATTTTTAAACCTAATTACTTGCCATTTTGAATTACCCAATTGAAGGCTCCCCTCAATCTAATAATATATCAATTATTAAAGTATCTATATCCATATAGCTTATATAGATTGATCTTATAGATTAATACGTTTGATGATAAATGGTTTAACAAAGTGTTCTGATATTAATTCTTAATATGCCAATTTATAATTCATAACAAGATTGGAATACATCTTAGATATTAATATCATTGATCAATCTAAACTTTAAGAATTCCAATTTATAGGGTAATTAATTTTATATATCAAACAAATCATTATTAAGACAATTGTCGAAAATAAATACTCATCTAAATTATAATTTAAATATACTTATATCTAAATTAATGAATCAAAATTACTCACATCCTTACTTTCACTGATTTTGGATGCCTTGTAAATAAATAAAAAATGTAACTAGTACATTTAAGGAAACTATTAGTTATTAAAGTTTTGATATTTTAAATCTACTTAAAAAATTTAGCTAATTTTAAAATTATCTGATGAAATTCATATGGACTTTTAGATTTTTGAGATAATAATTTAATTTTTCATAGCTTGAAATTGTTGAAAATATATTGAAATACTTTTTTTATTAATTATCTCAACTACTATTAATGTAATAAAAACCATAATTAATGTTGTCTTCGAATGATAACTTAGAAGATTACAAAGATCCTAATTTGGATATAAGCGTTGATGATGTTGCTTAAATCAATGATGATTTTTATGAATAGAAACCTTAAGTCCTAAGTATTCCTGAAAGTTTAAGCCAAAACATGTTAACTTAAATTTAAGAATACTCTGGATTCCCTGCCCATCAAGAACTCAATATTAAAAAGGCAATGACCTAAAAAGAAAATAGGAAATTTACAATTAGAGTTTACTATTTTGTAAAGAGGTTCCTGACAAAATTATCAGTGAGCAGAAGGCATAAGCTGTTCTTTAAAAGTGTGCATTTCTAGATTGTGGGAGATAAGGCTAGTGGAGAAGTTGAGAATTTGGTGTCCAATTCATTTTCAGTTAGGAAAAAGAAGAAAAACAAACAGAGCTTCATATGTTATAATCCAATAACAGAACTATTAAGAGTAATGCCCATCATATATCCTCAATCAATATCAAAAATCATTTGGGACCTCTGTTTATGCTTTGTACTAATTTATTTTTTCATAATGATTCCCCTTTAATTAGCATTTAATACATCCCTAATGTATATGCAGTCCATTTGGTTGACAACCCCTTTTTACGTATTCTTAATATCGGACTACCTAATGAAGATGAACACAGTATATTACGAATACGGTCAGCCCATTGTGGATCGCTACCTAATTTTTAATAACTATCTCAAATAGGGTTTGATAATAGATGGCATTTCCCTGTTGGTGCTCTTATGCGGCTATTTTAACGACTATTTCTTATAAAGCAGATGGCTCAATCTATCATTAATCATTTTCATAACTCAATATCACTACTTTGCCAAAATCATAAGGAATGTGGAAGAATCAATTCATCTTAGCAAAATTCACTCATCAATTATGAATTTAGCCAAATTGCTATTCACAATTTTATATTTTCTGCACATCTACAGTTGTCTTTGGTATTTCATAGGTTCATATGCCAACGACATAGGCATGGTAAATTGGTTGGACAGCCGAAATTTAACAGACGCCTCGTATGAAATCAAATATTTGGAGGCCTTCTATTTTTCAACTGTGACAATGATTAGTGTTGGATATGGAGACATAGTTCCATTAAGTATAGAAGTTTCATTATTAATTGTTAGATTCATTAGAGAAGATATGTACAATTTTATTTATGTTTACGACATGCGTATAGTTATCATTTAGTGTGAATACTGTTGGAGAGATCTTGAATTCAATAAGTTTGTCTGCCGAGAACACCACTGACAAAATACGAATAATTAATAAGTATATGAATAGGAAGCACATAAGTTTTGAATTACAATATCAGTATCACTATTCATTTAAATTAAATAGGATTAGGGAATACATTAAAATATATTGGAGCCAACAAATGTAATAGGAGAACGAAGAAGAAGAAAAGCTAATTACTTCATTGTCTGAAAACCTGAGAAATAAATTGATAAACGAGGCCAATTTCTCGATTATTGAAAAATGCGACTTGTTCAATTAAACATTTAGTTTAGAGACAAAAAAAAAACTAATTAAACTATTTAAGACTGTCCTTATTACTCCTGAATAGATAATAACATGTGAATTGCCTCATTATAATGAACCTTGTTTATGCTTTATTGATTATGGTACATTAAGTATTTGTACTAATTTTACAGATAGATCTGATATCATAAAATTTTCTTAAGGTTAGTATTTTGGATTAGATGAATTATTAACTGGGTAATAATCAAAGTTGTAATTGTAATCTCAATCTTTTGTAAAATTACTAGTTTTAACAAGAAGTGATTTTATCAATACATTACAAGACAATCCTTAAGATTTTGAATCATTTTGTAAAATGAAAGATGAAATAATGATGCATCTGAGGGACTCCAATACCAAATGTAAATCATGTAGTTGCTATGGTCATGATATCCAAAATTGCCCAATAGTCCACTTTGTTATTGATAAGGAAAGAGTCATAAAGTCTCATTAATTTTATACTCAATAGGAGAGAGTCCCAGGTTTGCGTAATAGGTCAAGGATCAGAAATCAATTTAATGCAATATTTGATTAATGGTTCTTGTAAGAAATTGCATAAATGATGAAAAATCAAGAGGATTTGCCAATTATTCAATTTTATAATATAAAGCAAATAGATCCTTCTGAGCCTACTCAATCTAAGAAACCGGTTTTGCAATCTAAAGATTCTTTGATTGCGAATGAAAAGGAGTCATTACAATATGTAGAATCAAACACTTAAACAAATATCAGTCCACCAAAAGTGAATGACCATTAAACCTTTTGTATTTTATCTTATTTAATTAGATCCGTAGAATAAAATAGTTCGTAAAAATTATACAAGACAGAGTATTCGAATTAAAAACTAAGGAGTCAAATTAAAGTTTTAAAGAATTATCAAAAAAGTTATAAAAATGCAACATTATTCTAAAATATTCACAAAGAGGAATGAACTTGAGGCAAGCCAAAAGTTTAATAAAAACATAAAGGAAATAGTAGATAATTATTTTGATAATCCGCAATTGAAAATATACTTAAATAAGTTCGAATTTGAAGATTTGTATTTCCTTCGAATGAAATGTAATTTGATACAGCATTCAGAATACGCCTTAGTAAAGCCTTTTGAAGTGCAAAAGGAGTATCTCATATATAATGTTCAAAATAACCTATCTTAAATAATCAAGAGATCAGATCTCTATCTAGATTAATTGAAAATTAAACAATTTAGAGTTGATATGTATAACAGTACATAGATATTAATGTTGAGTTAAGACGAGAGGAAATCCATCTTATAGGAGAGTCTCATTAAATATCTGTCATATCCAAACATTTACTTCAAAAAGTATCACGATGTAGACAAACCAAATGAAAATTCCGAATCAATCGGATAACAAAAGGCCAAGGCTCTGTTTAAAGCTTATAAAAAAAGATAGATCATGAGATAAAATGCATTTCTTCTGCCAATTGTCAAAAGAAGCTTTACGAGAAGTACTAAGTAGACTTTGCACATAAATGCAAATGTAATTGTGCCTATTAGCTGATATAAAATTAATTCACAAATCTATTTCTTATTACATAACATCTTATGATGATGATTGTTCTTCTGATGAAGGTGGTAATCCTTGAACTTCCAGTTCGCCATTTGGCAAAACAATAACAGACTTATCAACTGTACTATATAAGATATCCTTGATGCCCTTATACATTTGTTCTTGTGTCAATTAAGAAGCCCCTTCAATAAAGAAGTCCAAGTCCTTGAATTTTTAGAAATAATAATCTTTTTCTTATTTTAGTGTCTCTATCTGTATAAGTAGGTCCTGCATTGAGGGTTATTTCTTTTAGTATGGTTCCATATGAGCGAAAGAATTCGTTTTGGGAATGCTTGAAGAAGACTAGAGCTGATTGGGACTATTGAATGTGTCTCTCCTTATGCTCGTTCTTGATCTCTCTGGATTTCTTTTCGGTATAATCGCCGCCTAATCATCCAATTCTGCATTCCCTCTTTTGGATTGAGGATCATAGTCTTTTGGTACAACATGCTAATCCATATACTTCTTTAACCATTATAGAAACTCCAGATTATCCTAATATTTGCATTTCGTTAGCTTCTCAACCTCTATTGGTTTTTGAATTCCTAGTTTAGAAAATGTTTATTAGAGAACTTTGAAATTATTAACGAATTCATATTCTTGTTTGGCTTTCCAATTTATCTTATTCATGGCAACTAAGCATGATAAACTGATGAATCCTTACCTTTACCCGGATGAACCGCATCAACCAACTGACAATAGACTGCTCCAGTTCCCAGTTATTCAATCTTTTGGAGCTATAATTTCAAGGTGTCATTAACCCATTATAATAGTTCCGCTCTTGATATTTCTGTATTCATATTAATGGGAAATAAAATCCAAATCCAACTCAACTCTAAATTCTATTTTCCAAACCAAGCCATATAAGGTACATGATACATCTATGAGAGGGATTGTTATTATAGAGGAATCTGAATATACTTTGAAGGAGATCTCTAAACTGTATGTTCATTTGTAAGGCGAGGAAACTTGGGAAAAAGGGTTAGCATGTGTCGAATCAAACAATTTTAACATATTCTACTCTCAATTCAAGTTGCTATTAGATATCAATGATGAACGGAACCCAGAGGATTAGAAATTGAAAATCACAAAAACGATTGCAATTCCATTCACTTATTCATTACCTGATAATCTCATAGGTTCTATGTAAAGAGAAAAGGATTTCAAATTAAGGATTGATTACAACATATCTTTGATTGCTGAGACTTTAAAATTAGATCGGATCACTCTCAAGAAACTGCCAGTCATCATCAACCAAAATGCTGTTAGACAGAATATTGTTAAAAGTATTTCGAATAGTAATGTCATACGTGGATATTTAAATAAGCCATAAGGAGTATAATTTAAAACAATTTTAGATATCTAAATTAGAGTGTAAATATAGTGGAGAAGAATTTTCGTTTGGTGATTAAATTAACTTAGAAATAAGTATTGATCTGAGGGAAAGCAAGCAATACATTTAAGAAATAGTAATGTCATTAAATAAGAGAACCACAATTATGGCTAAAGAACCAAAAGTTATTGTAGAATAAATATCCAAATTGAGTTTACCAGGAGTTATCTAAGGAATTGTTTAAACAATTAAAAAGTCAATCCTGCTCTTTGATTTTCACAACCGGATGGAACTTTCAACAACTGGATAATTAATCAAAGTGGATTACTTAATCAGAATACAAGCCTATTCAACATTATTCAATATCAATAATAATGATTTAAGAATTGATATTCCTATCAATATCTTCCAGAGAATAATCAAGTTACCCGACCTAAAGTTTGAACCCAATTAGATTAAGAATCTATCCAAGCTCTATGATGTAAACTTAAAATTAAATTTAGGTCGTAAGACTTTGATTAACATAGTATTAATATAAATATTATCAAAAATTATGAATAAATAAATAACCAATCTGATTTTTAAGGCAATTTATTAATTATAGTATAATATAAAAATCTACTCGGAAATCAAGTACTTAGTCAAGATTTGAAATCTACCAGAAGAAGAAATTAAAATAAATTTCATCATTTTTTTTGCAATATATTTTTATATTATATGTTAATTAAGAAACATAACGAAGAATATAATTATATGCAAATAATAGATCCTCTGAATACAATACATTATCTTACAGATTCTATAGCCATAGTGCAAATAAACTTGATTTACAAACCACATCTACAACTTCTATTAGAAGATGAAAGATTTCACTTCAAAATTATTATTATAATTTAAATTATTTATACTCAATTATTTGTTAATTAATTTAAGTTCAATATTGTAGTAGATTTTAGATAATTTTTTAAGCATCAAGCACTGTTTATTCAGCTTCTTTCATTCCTTGAACAACATCGAATGATAGAAATCCATGAGGCATCCATTTATATTCAGTGATTTTAACATCTTTTCCTAATTTCAATAACCTATCAGCAAATCTAAAACTCTCATCATGTAATGGATCATTAGTACCTAATACCATTCTAGTAGGAGGAAATCTAGCAAGGATCTCATCGCTAGCAATCGATGGAGACATCAATGGATCCAAAGATGCATCAAATTTTTCTGGAACATATGATGATATGCATAATTTCAATACGGTGTGGTGTAATAAAGGATCATTTAAAGAAATTAAAGAGCTGGGAGTAAACTTTTTAATGTCCAAACACAATGCAGGGTAAGCCATTAAGATACCATCAGGGATTCTTGCTCCAGCTTTAATAATATAGATGGTTAAGGCGGCCACTAAATTACCACCAGCACTATCTCCAACTAAGACTACTTTCTTGGGTTTGATATTGAAATACTTATCAATGTAATTCATTATAAACATGTAGGCTTGCCAACAATCATCTAATCCATAAGGATAAGGACTCTCTGGAGCCTTTCTATAGTCGATAGAAAATATTGGCACTTATAAATTTTTAGCCCATTTTCTAGTATAAGTTTGGTGAGATCTTGATGACATACTTACAAACCCTCCTCCATGTATATGGATGACTATTTAATCAAATATCTTTTGACCTTGTATCAATTTAAGAGTCTGTTATAACAAACTTAAAGTTTATATCTCTTATAGATTATAATGACATAAAACTCGTACAATTACTTTCTCTTTATTTTTTAGTAGTAATTCTTGGCAATTAGGTAGGTTAGTGTTTAAACATTCTCCACAATCGTTTTAAATGCGATTAATTTTGTTTTCCTTATATTGTTGAAGTATGTTGTCTTCGACTAAGGGTTTAAAAAGTTAAGGAATATATATCTTTCTGTTATAAGTAATCTAAGGAAAGAGAAGAGGTAATAATTTACTAAGAAATCCACTCTCTCCCAAATTCCATACTTTAAATATGAGATTTTTGTTTGGTTCAGCCATGAAATGATTAGCCTTCAATTTAGCTTCTTTTTTGGCTACCAGGTAATATAATGCCCCAAATCCTTACATTACTTGTTGAGCAGCTTCACTACTAAATTCAGATCCCTTTGATATCATGGCATTAGCTAACATAATTCCATCAGCCAATTTTCCATATGATTCAGATATCTATTCTCTTGGACCCAAAACGACTTCTGATATAATGCTATTTAGACCTTACCATCTGGGATCTGATCGATCATAACAAAAGATGTCTTCAATATCCAATTGAGCAGCACAAGGCAATTATTCAAAGCATGTTTGTAACTTAGATAAGTAGATTACCAATTATCTTAGTTCGTATTTTTCTCTTCTCACTTCAATTGTTTCAAACAATACTGCAAGATGCGAAAGTATATGAGTGATTAAAAATTCAACTAGTATGCAAATAGCCTTCTAATTTAATTTCTATCTATTCGAATTGATATTATATTATTGATTGATTTATTTACTCTCAATATCCTTGTCATTTGTGATTAATCCAATTTATTCCAGTTATAAAATGCCTATAAATGTAATTTTAATAGCTTAGAAAAAACGAGTGAGAAAATCAGGGACCTCATTAAACTTTTTAGTCAAATCAATTGCGTTCTGGTGAATTTTATTCAATAGGTAATAGCATTCACTAAGATTTTAATATAATTCTTTAGAAATGGCTGCCTAATTAAAAATGGGGCAATTCCAGACTTTATCAAGTACTTACCATGTAGATTACATCAATTCCTATTACTTGAATTGGATCTCTTTGTAGACAATCTTAACTGGATCATCTTTAATTTTTTCTTGCATTTCAATAGATTACTCTTCTTTGGTTAATTCTAGATTGATGTCCTCTGTAAGATTTCCAACAGTCAAACACAGTTTGATCTTGTCTTCAATAGTTTGCATTTAAATTGTTAATTATAATATTCTAATTTATTCATCAATTTATTTGTAAAAGATTAGGTAACGATTCATATAGAACTAGAGATTTTGTGGAACAAATTTGAACTAGGCTTCTTCCATTTCCTACTTTCCTTTTTGGTTTACTCAAGTTTTGAATTCGATATTTTTTTTCGATTAATTGTACATATTCATGAAAACTTGTAGGATTTGTAAATTTTTTTAAAGTCTCTTTGGGTTCTGTTTTGATTCGCTATTGTTGAAATCTCAAAGTAGATTAATTGTGTTATAATTCATATAACTTTTTCTGCCTACTGAAACTCCATTCACTTGATTGCCAAGTTGTCCTCAATTTTTGTTTGTCCATTATAAATTAATATAATATATCATTTATCATTTAACATGATTTGAAACAATTCCTTTACATTTATTTTTTAAATTTCGATATATTATTCTTTGGTAAATTCTCCCATCATTGGATCATTGTTTTATTTGGATTCAAGTTCATCGTTCTATATTTAGATTAAAAATCTACTGATTGTGATTTGAATTTTAATTTGTCTCCTTCAAAAGCTGCATCACTTTCCAAACACTTTAGAACGTCAATCATGTGATCGTAGAACTAGAGTGCTTTGGTTTCATTTTAGCCTTCCATTATTTCAGCCTAAGTGGATAAGCAATAAAAATAGTTCAACACAATATTAGTATAGTATGACCAATCCATTTCTATTTTAAATATAACAATTACATTTAGAGTTTTACATCTCATTGAGTACTTTTTCATCGAAATCTTTATACTCTTTTTTCCTCCTATTAATAAAGGACTCTAAATTGAATTTAGTATTTTCATAATATAACTAATACACATAGTAATTTTCTTCTGTCTAATTAAAATAGTATAAATAAAATACTTCTTTGACTATTAATTGTAATGGTTTGCTTTGTTATTTTTACTGATTTTTTAGTTCTTATAACAATTATTCCAATATCCTTGATAGAATAATTACCCGTTTAGCAAGCATAAACTAAACATAATATTAATTTAAATTTTTAATAACTTTGTAATCCTTTCTCAAACTCTCACTATTGCCCAGAGTTTCTTAAATTTTTTATTACAATTCTTTGATCATTTTGAATTTATTCATGATGCTCTAGAAATATTAATCAAAGGGTCCCAAATCCTTTTATTGTCCAAATTCAAGATAAGGATCCTAATACAATTGTTCCCAAGTTATTCGTAGATTTGGATCCTTTGTCAGCATCCTTCTAAGCAATCTCTTGGCGTCTTCACTAATCTTCACATTGGATTTAGCAGGTGCGAAGTTTAAATCCTTGGCCTTTTCAATATTGTCAAACAAATCCTTCTCATTCTATCCCACGAAAGGATATTGCAAATCAAAGAGCATCTGATAGAAAATAACTCCCAAGGACCAGATATCTGCTTTATTATCATATCGAATCCTGCCTCTGCCTTTGAAAACTTCAGGAGCCTTTGTGTAGGGTGTTCCCACCTGAGTAACTCCCACCTCTCCAACCTTGCTGAGACCGAAGTCAGCAATCTTAATGACTCCATCATTGACGAGAATGTTTTTTAGTTTGAGATCACGATGGATGACAAACAAATCTTATAAACCCTTGAAACCATTTAGTAATTGTTTTAGGAATTCTTTCGCTTATCGTTCAGAAAGCGGTTACTTATTTTTCTCTCTTAGTAGCTTGATATAGGAATCCAAGTCTCCACCATTACAATATTCCATAACCAAATAATGCTTATCTTTAGTTTCAATGTGATCCTTCAAATTAATCACATTGTCATTATTGACCATTTCCATGATTCTCTTTTCAGTTTAAAACAACTCTTGTCTTTTTTTGACTTTTTCCAACTCTGATTTCAATGCTTACTTAATTGCTACTTGTTGTTTCTAGACTCATTTATGTAAGAATTACCGTTTAGAGGTTTTCAGCCAGATAAACTTCTCCAAATTCACCCTTTCCTATCACTTTGATAATCCCATATCTGTTTTCCAAAATTGATATATATTTTGTTGCCATTATAATTAATGTTTTTACGAATCGAAATATATAGGTGTAAAGGATTATAGAACATTAATCAATTGGAAATGATAATTTCGATTGGCTGCAGGGATTAAGAATAAAAGACATTTCACTCTCCATCCCTTAAGCAAAAAATGAGATTTTGAGTATATGGAAGTAAAACTCATCAAAAATGAAGATTGGATAAGAAATGAATTGACAGATAGATGCAGTACATCGCCCCCTAATTCTGAGTGTTGGAAATTCTATTGCAAATGATTTTTTAAATAAGTATTCAATTTCATAGATAAGAAGAGGATTGGAAAGAAATACGAGATGCTGAAGGTTAAATGCATTGAAACCAATGAAGTTGAGGTTGAAGTTAAATAATTACATATGATCTGATTTAATTTATGTTCTTGGAAATGATAAGCCGATATATTATAATCACATTATTTATATTTTTTGGTATGAAAAAAGTAGAGTCAATCAAATATACTGAAAGGAGCATTATCAATAAGGAAGTGACTTAGAATTCTGGTAGTCACGGCTTAAATGATAAGTTTTTTTATTTGTAGTATGTTAGAAAACATCAGAAAGGTCCTGAAACTCCTGAAAGAGCAAAAAGCTTGAGCGTTGACAGAATGTAGAAATAGGGTCAAAGTTCTGTTGATCAGTTAAATCGAATCCAGTTTCATGAGTATAATAGTTGATCAAATTCATAGAGAGACGATCCCTTAAGACTGCAACCATGAAATAAATTAGGATAATTCAAAAATGTCCGAATATTCGCTATAAAGCATTGAAAGAGAGGACATGATTGAGGATAGAATTCAAAGACATACACTTCATAAGTCTATTCATGTCTATTCCAAATTTGTCTCCTCAGCCTCTCATTAACTGAATATGCAACAAAGATCGGAGCCAGACCCAGAAAAACCAGGAATCGCTTTGAATCTTTTGAATGCATTCAATCAGCAACAGGAAGTGTAATCTGAATATTTTAATGATATTGAATATGATAAAATCACTCGTCGACATTTAAAGTTAATAGAAAGAAACACAATGAAAGATCCTTATTACGTTAGATTAGTCAAGTTGTCAGAATTTTAAAGATTAAATTATGAATTATAGGTAAAACATTCAGTTTATTTAGAAATATAATGATAATTTGGCTCTGTTAAACTTGAGAAAGGCTTTTATTTATGTAATATATAGTATTCCGATAATGGCAAGAAAAATAGTAAACAATTTTTTATTTAAAATCCTGATGACATTCCTTATCTTATTTAATGTGGTATTGTATATTGTAGTTAAAACCAACGGAAGAACAGATACTGATAATATAGAAGAAGTAGTTATGATACTATTTATTTCTGAAATCGGATTAAGAATTATAGCGAGTGGAATCTTTTTTAATGATTATGCCTTTTTTAGAAATATGGAAAACATTTATGATTTTGTGCTGATATTTTTCACTGCTATGAATCTCTATTATCCCGAAATCATTATCATTGACATATCTCCTCTGAGATTAGTTACATTATTAATGTATTTGACCAATATCTTCCAGGGATTAAATGTGATGATGACTGCACTCAGATAATCATTTAAGTTCTTGGTAGAAGCACTAATGATAGTGATACTGTTTTCATTGATCTTTGCATCAATGGGTATCTTTCTATTCCAAGGATTATTCAATTACAGATGTCAATATGAAAATGGCGATGAAACTGAAGGGTGGATACAATGCAATTAAGCTCAATGTCCCTCTGGAATGCATTGTATGTATAGTGATTACACACCCAAAATGCCAACTTCTTTCAATAATTTGATAGGTTCTTTAGGATAAATTCTAAGAACAATTACAATGGATGATTGGAGTTGGGTTATGTTCTTTACTATGAGAATATTTCATCCCTGGGTTTGGTTATATTACTTATTAATTATTTTTATTGGAGGTTTTTTTGGATTTAACATAGTTATTGCAGTGTTGAAGGTTCATTATTCCGAGGCAACCGAAGAAAACAAGAAAAGGGAAGAGGAGAATGAAATTTAGAAAAGATTGAAAGAAGAGGAAGAATATCCAGAAAGAAATCTGTTAGAAATCCTAGATGTTGCTCATTTGAGAGAAATTAAAATCTATAAAGTAATCAAAAAATACAGAACTAATTTAAATGAAGAATCGTTGAAACAATATTCTATTGAAGATCCTAACAGCTTTAAGATGAAATAATATCAAACCGAAAGAACATTGTCAGCTAAACAAAAATAATTGGAAAGTGGAATCATTAAACTACCATTTATTGAATATATTACCAGTTTCACTTGGAAAAGGTTCCTTTTACCAAAATTTGATATTCTAGATGCTTTAATTAAGAAAATCAAGGTAAAAAATTATACTGAGGTTGAATTCGATATGAAGGTTATTGAAAAACTAAAAACGATTAAATTTTCAAGATTACAACCATAAGTGAATATGAACGTCAAGCAAAATTTTACTTCATCAAATGATGTTCTACTTAAGTTGATGTAATTATAATTCTATTAATATTTAGAGATATATAAGATTAGATTCAAAAAGAGAAGAACTTCAATCTTGAAAAGATTAGATCAACCAAATTCTAAATGATCTATCATTAAATAAAGATTGAAAAGGATAAATTGTATGGCAAAACTCAATTTGGAAAGTCAGCCTTCCCAACTAAAAGTAAATCGGTGTCTCCCTTTATGAGTATTTACTAAAAGAAAGTTGAATAGAGCACAGATTCAATTGTTAATTTTGACCAAATTAATCTAAAATCATTAAATAAGATGAAAGCTACCTAAATTTTAGAAACCAAATACAAAACCTTCTACGTTGTTAGAAACGGAAAACCTTATATACATATTTAGGGATACTATACAAATTTTGATGGAGTCAAATTAAAAATTAATCAAAAAATCCCAATGATAGTTCATGATTAAGTCTCCAATAAATTCAAATATTAGAGTATGAGAATGAAAGAATATTAAAATCACAGAAGAATTACCAAACATAATTGGTCAGGCAAAGATGTACTTGAAGTCACTAAATTCAGAATGTAGTATTTTCATGTAGTTTTATCTATGCTTAATAAAGTTGATATCATTATTTGGATCAATGGAATAAGAGGAATTTACATAATGTCATAAAAATACGCATTTATAATTGTAACTAGCAGATTTAGTCAATTCTTCTTTGATTTAGTAATACTTAACAATTTTACATTTTTATCGCTCTAAGGAATTGTAGATATCAATATCATATCCACAGTTGAAGATATCTCTACAATATTTTTATGCTTTGAATTGATGATGAGGTTTTTGGGTTTTAGATTTAAAGATCTTCTGAGATCTCCTGATTTAATTTTATAATCCGTTATTGTGATAATAAACTTTTTCGAATTAACCATAAGTGATTACATGACAAATTATTTGAGTGAGTAAAATTTACGATTAATAAGAGGAACCAAATGTTTGTTATTCTATAGATGTCTTAAATACAATAAGATGGCTATTACAATTGGTCATATTGCTTCTATGACTTTTGATTAATACATTTATTTGACATTCCTTATGTTTTTAGTGATATTTATGTATGCTCTAACAGGAATGGAAATGTTTGTAGGAAAATTTGATCAAAATGATTCCCTTGGATAATTACATTCCTATGAAAATATCTTTAAATCATTTATGACAATCTTCAACATTATGACAAACGATGATTGGTATGGTGTTTATGTGATTGGAAGTGATATTGATTTTACCTTTTCAATCATCTATTCCTTTTCTCTGGTGCTTATCTTAAATTATCTAACTTATGGTTTAGTTATGGCGGTCCTATTGGATGGTTTTGGGAAGTATCTAGATTAACCAGTTGAAGAAATTCAAAATGAAATCCAGAAAAATATTAATGAATAATTATAGCATATTACATAGAATTCAGACGAAATACAAATGCAGTTAGTTGAAACAAACTAAGATCAACAAATGCCCAATAAGAATTTGTCAAATGATGAGATCAATAAAAGTAAACCCAATTTAATCTACAATCTAATTAAGTCAATAAGTAAATATACAATTAATATACAATTATAGAATAAATTAATAAGAAATTGCTATCAAAAACACCAAAATTATATGAAGGTATAGAGTGCGAATCCTCTTTGTTTTTGTTTGAGAAGGACAATCTATTTCGCATAGTCTTGACTCATCTGACAACATCAATGATATATGTCTACATCATGGATATAGTCACTTATCTATCTATCATAGCTTTCATCCTTAAAACCTATAACGATTATGAAACAGATAGTGAGTCGTATCCAGACACTCTTCAATTCTCATGTAATATCATTCAATTGGCTGATACGATATTTAATGTTATTGCTAAAGGTTTGTATATGGATCAAGGCTCCTACTTGGTCTCAACATTCTAAGTGTTTGATTTTATCTATCAAGTATCAAACATCATAGCGTTTGGTAAGGATCCAGAGGATTTTAAGCCTATTTTAAAAATTCTCCTTTATTTAGGTTACTTTAGGCCAATGAAATTGATGTATAGATTGAGTTGGCTTACAAATTTAAGAGAAGCCATCGGAAGATCCTTATTTGATATATTAAACGTTATAATTACTTTATTATCAGTTTGGATAATGTTTGGAGTGTATGGCATTATACTTTATGAGTAATAATTTGGATATTGTGAAGATAAGATGGCATTTGAAGTTAATAAACAGACATGTCAGGAGGAAGGGAAAATATGGGTGAATTACAAGCATAACTTTGATAACATTACAATAGCAATTCCTACTTTGTTTGTGACAGCCACATTGGATGGTTGGGGTGAGATTTATTAAATTGCTGAGAATAGTTAAGTGGCTTCTATAGGTCCACAAGGATTCAATTCTTATATAGTCACTTACATCTTCTTCTTACTTTTTGTTTTCATAGGATCCATGTTTTTCTTAAGTCTTTTCACAGGAGTACTGTATACCAATCTAAAGAAAAATCAGAGGGAAATTGAAAATACTGAAGTCACTTAATCATAAAAAGAATTTAAAGAAATATCATAAATGTTGATAAATGACTTCCCATAATTTTCTACTCCACCCACTAATGGAATAAGAAAGATGGCTTCTGACATTACAAGCAGTCTAACGTCTTAAAAATGTTTATTTTTACTTTTATGGGTGGATTTCATAATATTGTTGATGTTCACATCAGATATGAGTGATGAGTACTTTAGAAGGATAAATGATGTTCATAATGCATTAACTGGAATTTATCTAATTTGGGTTATCTTATTGTTTTTGGCATTGGGTGTGAATAGATTTTTTGATAATTCTTGGAGAAGATTTTATTTCTTTTTGATAGTGATTGCAGTCATAGATTTCGTTGCAGATTATTCAGTAGATTGGATTATGATATATTATAAATCCACTCCTAATGATGAGGGATTTTAATTACTTCGCTTATTCTTCTCTTTAAGAAGTCTAAGAATAATATTAATATTCTAAGGATTCATCAATTTACAAAGATTGATCAATGTGATTCTATTTGCTTTGCCATATTTAGGCAAGATCTTTTCTATTTTGATAATCACCATGCTAGTATTTGCTTTATTTGGGTGTCAATTATTTGGCACAATAGATAAGGGATAAGTGTTGGATGACTAACTTAATTTCATGACAGCAGGCAGTGCCATGATGACTTTATTCAAATGTGCATCAGGGGATGATTGGAGAACTATCATGACAGATACTATGCATTACAATCCTTTATGTTGGGAAGATCCTAAATATTGTGGATCATTTGCAAGTTAAATATACTTTTTCTTATTCATGTTCTTTTCCACTTACGTTCTTCTAACACTATTTTTATTAAGTTTGGTAGAATAATTTGAATCTTTTTTCTAATTATAAGCCTCACCAATTTAATCATATGTTGAAAATATCGATAAAATTAAAACGATTTGGTGCAAATACTCCTCGGATACTTAAGGATAAACGATGCATTATAAATTCTTATGCAAGTTTCTCTTAGACATTGGTAAACCTTTTGGAGGAGGGGAAGAGGAGAATCTTTGGGATGTTGCTAAAATAGCCTCCTCATTTAAATTGAAATGGTAATTCATTTAATATTATTGATAGTGATCACTACGGTTACATTCAGTACAACCAATTGATTTATGAGTTGTTCAGAGTGAAATTCCATGCAGATGTTTTTAAGGAGGGTACTCCTGATTCCATCAAATAAATTAAATAATTCAACAAAGAAATGCAACTGCGCTTGATGTACTACAGGAAAAATAGGCACATCGAAAGATCGAACATAAGCTCAGCCCTTCAATTAAAGGCTAATTTTAATATTCTCCACGATTATCTTACTGTCTTGATTCTCTTCAAAACTTGGGAATCCTACAGTAAGATCCTTATTAGAAAGCTAGCTATCAAACAAAACCAATTCTCTGATGATGCTATATCCATCGATAGTGAACTGTAACAGAAGTAAGTGTTCCTCATTATTCTTTAATTAGCAACAACAATAATGTAAATCATATTATGGAACCAGATATGTTTGAAGCCTCATGTGAAGAAGCTACCATCAACTGTAATTTCGAAAACAAAAAGCATCATCATACTAACGAAAGTTAAAACTTATCGCATATAGAATTGCCAATCTTCAAAAGTGCCTCGCCCTTCTCTATTCAAGGAGAAGATATAAAAATGATCTTTTCAGCTGCTGGTGAAAAGTAACCTATAATATGATTTATATTTTGTATTCTGTTATTAACTCATAAAGTTTAAATTAATATGATACTTGATTAATTCATAATTATAATAAATGCACAAAGCAAGATTGCCAAATTATCATTATGAAATAAAAATTTAATGTGAAAATAATACGCAACATCATCAAATATATATTCGTCAATTAGAACACTATTTTTGAAAGAAAAATAAAATTAAAACATGGATAATGACTATTATGACTTTCTTGATCATTCAATAGATTATAAGCCAAAAAAGAGAGGATAGAGAGGTAGCATCTCAAATCATAAATTTTAGCTTTGACTGATTAAGAAATCATATTGAGAGAAAGAATGAAACTTGTTAAAAATAGAGAATCAGCAAAAAATAGTCGAAAAAGAAAAAAAATGTATGTGGATATTCTAGAAAATAAAGTAGTTTTATCATAAATCATTAAGGTAGCTGGTCTAAATTAATAGTTAGAATAATATAAATAACTATAAGAGTCAAGTTAAGAAGTATTACGAAGCACTTAAATTTAATTATTGTTTGGAAAACCACAAAGCTCTTAAAATTAATTGAATCATTACTTCAATGAAATTATTGAGCAAGCAATCCCTAAAATAGCCTTACATTTAAAATCAAATAAATCAAATCCAGGCCTGGAGTTGTGTTTTTAAAATTTTTATAATTGCTTCAATGATCTAAATATTATCAAAGAAGAGATGATTTAAGAATTAAAATAAACGGAGGAAACTATGAAAACTGTAAAAGAAATTCCAGAATTCTAGAAATTTATTGAGCATGTTAATTAGCTTGATTATAAGGTTTAATTAGACAATATAGAAGAAGTAATTTTATGATATATTTTAGGAATTGGGAACAATCATTAAATCAAATGATTTAATGCTCTCTGTTAGAGAAATCTATGAGTTATACAATTAATCCATACAATTTGCAAAGAAGCCTAAACTAAATTGATAATATATTTTATAAGCACTACATGTATCTGATTTAATATTTAATATTTTTGTAATGAAAAGATAAAATAAATCGAATAGAAAAATTGAATTTTTAATTTCGATATTGGTATTATATTAATTAAGAATTTTTTAGAAAATATTATAGGTTAAAGTTCAATAAAGGAATGAAAGATATCTTGCTGATATCTTTATCTCTTAATTATTGGATTTAATATTTAAGTATAAATTAAATTAAATGAATTTGAGAAGTACTTATGTTATAATAATTTATAAGAGATAATCTGTTGACTACTTATGATTTGGGATGACTGATATGAAATATTTTGGTTATTAATTTAAATGGAATTAATAATAAATTTATTTTAAAGTGAAATTAAGTGAATATTATTTAATTTAATTTAAATCATAAAGTGTGTATTACTTATAATTCCAATGTTACAATAGATGAGATTCAACTTCCAGCAACAGATAAGAAAATCTAAAATTGAAGATCAATTAAAAGATGCAAGGAAAAAGTATTATAATTACGGTATTAATTTAAATGATCAACATATTTTGAACTAAAATTCTAGTTCAGAATATTAATAAAAAATTCAATATGAACTTAAGAACCTCGAAAAATAAATTGAGGATGATGAAAATTACATAATAAGTTTAGCCAAATCACGATTTTTAGAGGAGATTGCCACTCCTACTCTAATCTAAAACTTTTAAGCAATAAACTCAATGTTTTTTTAGATTTTTATCAAAATGATTGAATTTGCCAAAAGAAAGAATCTACTTTGGATAATCCTTTAATTTAGACACTCATAATTTTTAAACTGTCTTTAATCTTTGGAACATTCAAATGATTTTCAAAGGTTTATTAACTCATTGATATGATTTTGAGTATAATATATATTGTATTATATTCATCAGGAATTAACATTAAATCAAATTCAAATCAATAAAACATATAAAAAAAAATAATAAGGTTAAAAACTACGATTAGCTTTTGAAAAGAATATGAAAGTTCATTTTGAATCAGAAATATAACCAATATAGGATGATAGATTGATTAGATAAGTAATTCAATCTTATTGTCAGGATTTTCTATCAATATTAAATTCAAGTTTTTACAACTTTAGATTTAAATGAGTGTTACAAGATTATTAGTAAACATAATACAAAGTTAATATTATTGATCAAATTGATTGAGAAGATACTATTTTTGATAGTTAAGACACTTACTATATAGACATGTATATTTAAATAATAATAATAGAAGTCATTCGGAAAAATCAACTAAATTTCCATTTCTAAATTCCTATTTAATAACATTGCCAGCTCCATCTTTAAATGTTCCAACTCCTACTCTTACTCCACTCCTGTATTATCCAGTATATATACAGAAATTATAAGTAAAAACACCATTGCCATCCATTCTGTTTCTAGACCAATCTCCATTAAACTTATAATCCTTGTATTCAACTATTCCTTGTCCATGGATACAGTCATTCATCCATTATCCTGTATATTTCAATCCATTATTGAAGATAGCAGTTCCTTATCCCTCTCTCTAATTAGCGATCCAAGAACCCTCATAAGTGTAAAGTGAATATACTTATTTTCCTTATCCATGTTTTTTATCACTTACCCAATTGCCTATGTACTTGGTACCATCTTCAACATATTATCCTGAACCTTCCCTTACATTTTCAACCCATTAACCAATGTAATATTAGTCTGGTCCCCAATGAAATTCTCCTTGTCCATACCTCTCATCATTTTCCCATTCTCCTTTATAATATTTTCCATCCTGTAGTGTCATAATACCAAACCCTTTTCTTGTGTTACGACTCCAAGATCCAACATACTTTTTGCCATCGCTCCAAATATATGTACCTTCTCCTTCCATTTAACCATTAAAAAATTAGCCATCATAAGAACAGCCATCCTTTTAAGTAAGTTTGCCTTTGCCATGCTTTAAATTATCATACCAATCTCCATAGTAAACATCACCATTTGCATAGCGATATTCTCCTTTTCCAGATTTTTTATCATTCAACCATTAGCCTTTAAATGAAGACCCATCTGGTAAATAGGCAGTGCCAAACCCATTCCTTCTATTATCTTTCCATTGACCTTCATATTTATTTCCGTCTGGACTAATATATTCGCCTTGTCCATTCTTTTTGTCATTCTTCCATTCTCCAACATATCTTCTGCCGTCTGCACATTGAAATGCCCCTTAGCCATCTCTTTAATCCAATTTCCATTATCCATTATAATATTCGCCATCAGTCCAAAGATAAAAACCTTTACCATTAAATTTTCCCTCAAAAAATTCCCCTTCATATATATTACCATTCTTAAAAAAATATTTACCTACCATCATTTGTCCTTCCTTAAAGTATCCTTCAAAATAGGAACCCGAAGCCAGGAATAATTTACCTCTACCATGCTTAAGGTTATTTTTCCAACAACCTGAATAGACATCCCCATTAGAAAATCTATGGGGCTGCAACTTAATACAATCCGAGTAATTTTAATCTTACAAAAATTTGAATGATCCTAGCTTTTGTATCTGCTATTGTACGATCGGATGAAGATCAGGTTCTTTGTCTATTTTCTGGCCTTCAACATTAGAATGAAAGGAGGATGCAGCCTTATGGACACTACTACCTCCGTCTCTATCTCTTCTTGTTGGAGACTCAGAAGCAAGACTAATGGACTGGATTTAAGTGGATCTTTCAGTGAAAGTTAAGATGTTTTCTGTGATCTTCTCTTCTTTGAAAATTCTTGAATTCGATCTGGCAGAAATTCGAACGGGTGACTAATACAAATCTTGACGACTTTGAGACTTTCGAGGAGATAAAAATACTGTGATAGTGCTTTTTCGCTTTTAAGATCTCTCAGTTACAGGAAAAAGTATGGTGATAATCTCATTTTCACCCTCAATCATTTTCTGGGTGATTTCCCTTATTTCTTAGAAATCAAGAGGTTTAACAATCGAAACAGATTTACTACATCCCATCTTCTTTAAAAATAATGGGAACAAATTATATTTATTTTGGAGAAACCAAATATTATTGATTATTATATTTATTCAAGAACATGCTTAGCACTCTTACAAAGATTTCGACTATCTCTTTTAAATGGCAGGTCAGAGGGTGTCTGGCAACATCATTTAGTGAATTTAAATTGTGCTTAGAATCTTGCTATACACTCTTTGGATGATTAAATAAAACTGTGTTCAATTTGAGTCAAATGATTGTATTTCAACGTAGATTACTTTATTTATAATATTTATAGGTGCTCATCAATGGATGTCGAGAGTATATTAAAATAGCAGGTAGATTATCAACTACTCATAAAGAATCCTACTTTGAAAGACTATGCACCTTAAGATTCTAATATAATCAAGATTCTAGAGATAGTCTCATTCTTATGGCATTTATATAACTAATAGGTAATTTCGATAATCCTATATTCTAGCAATAGGTTAGTCTAATTTAGTATTTACTCAATTACAAATTTTATCAAAATATTGAAGAAGGAACTGATAAAAATTGCAGACCAAGCCTTTGAAGTTATAGATTGTATAATAGGATTTGCTTATTAAAAATACTAGATAATTTATTAAGAGATCATTTAATGAAATAGAATATTTGTTATTCTATCTGTATTATTTAACTTCAAATTTCATTAGTCAATTTATATTCTAATTAATTTAATTAATGAACTACTTGCTCCAGTTGATATTTGCTATTCTAACCATCTCCCAAGCAATTACAGTTTACCCGAATCTGGGATCTTCAAAAGTATAATGGGAAGAGTAAATATGGATGGATTGTAAAAGTGAACAACTCATAGTGCCAACAAATTGTAAAAATAATGATCAAAATTGGATTGAATGTTATGAAATACCAGAATCAGGGTTATGTCTAAAAGATAAATTAAAAATATCAAAGTAATCAACATACAACCTTATCTTCACCTTTTAAAATTTAAGTACTCAAACACCTCAGATTTTAATAAATGATAGTAAGTAAGAGTAGAAGTCATACCCAAATAATTAAATAATTATAAAAACTGTTTTAGATTAATAGAAAATAAATATTAAAATTTTAGGAACAAATTCTAAATTATAAAAATTTGCTTTGACAACTGATTGTCATTTAAATTGTAAAGAATGCGATGCAAATTTTGAATGTACAAACTGTATTGATCATTTTTCAATGATAAACTATTAGTGCATACCCGACTCTTGCTTTGACACTTTAAGTGGTTTAACCACCTAAAGTGCTTATAAAGCAAACTCTTTAATTGATAAATAAGGAATGTATTAAGTGACAGTTGACTTTGATGTCAATTTAGGCTAATGTTTAATTCCTAAGGTTTATATTATATAGGAAATAAAATCTAATAAAATAGAATATGTCTTGGCATCCAATTAAATTTCACTCAATAGTGAGAAACAATTGTCTTTCCATTTGACTTAAGATTAAGTTACTTAGTATTGTAAAATAATGGTTCAAGATAAAACAAAGATTATTCGTCAATGTTCTTTAAGCATTGCATTGACTACAGCTCAAATTGCTCAATATAATTTATTACTTTTAGGTGATATCACTACCAATTTAGAGACATCTGCATCCATTTCTACCACATAAATTATTACTATTCCTGAAGATGGGAACATTCAATTAGAAGTTACTAATGAAATAACAAAAGGGTAGGTTAATAATGATTTATTAACTATCACTTAAGCTATATATAATGAAGACTTAAAAATAGAGAATGTAATGTTGAAGGAGGCTTATCTTGAATAAAATGGATAGGCTTATGATAGTTTAGATTTTATGCTCTCATTTGTACGAGATTAAAAGATTACTTACAAATTCAAAATAAAGAAATCCGACATCAAATTTGATCAATAAATTGATCTGGTTCTATCGTCTGATTTGCTTGCATCAAGGAGAGTTCTAACTTAAGACAGGTCTTAGTTGAAAATCTAGTATAAGGCAACAAATTCCATTAAGTTTTTACCAAACGAATTATCTTAAATGAATTCAAATACGGACTCTAAAGCAAATTATCTAATTTATGGAATTACAATATTTTTAGTTTTATCCTTACTTATTACTATTGTATGGCATAATAAAAGCAAAAAGAATCATTATGTTATTGGAGAAGAAGTGAACTAAAAGAATATTTGAAAATATAATAGTTTTTTTATGTTATTATTGATTTTGTTATTAAAATGTATAGATTGTTCAATTACGGAGACCTAAACAACAAGACTTAGGTAGAGTTGTTAATCAAAAACAACAGGGTACTACTGGAATGGATAGCAATGTTTGAGATGTAGATCACCTAATTGTTAATGTGAGAGTTAAGGCGGGTGCACTTCTTGCATCGATAACTATTATTATGACAAGGAGGATACAAGCTGCAAACCTTGTCCAAAAGGCTGTCAGAATTGTTGCAAGAATCCTTTATTAACATAATATGTTTGTACATTATGTCAATCCGGATACAGGAATATAAACGGTGTTTGTGTCTTTATGGGACGATGTGCTTTGATATCAATGCACGGGAGATGCTTAGAATGCGATTTAGGATACTATGTTGATTTTGAATTTGTTTGTCGATAATGTGGAGAAGGATGCGAAGACTGCGCTAATTTAGCATTTTGTAACAAGTGTTAGGATGGCTACTTTTTGACCACTTCACAATCAAATCTTGTTTGCAAACTTTGTAGTGTTAGTGGTTGTAAGACTTGTGAAAAAGACGTATGTCAGGAATGCTAAAGAGGATATTTTAAGGATGGTTCTAATTCTTGCATTCAGTGCATTAAAGATTGTGATACTTGCGAAAATACTACCCTATGTAACGTTTGCAATTACTATTCTATACCAAATGATGACAAAACAAAGTGTAATAGGTGTTAAGATTTATTTCCTAATTGCATGGATTGCACTACTCTATTTAGAGATGATTAATCTTCATATTTTGAATGCTCGCAATGTTTAAACGGCTACTTTTATAATGAAGATGACAAAAAATGTGATACTTGCATTGTCAACTAAGAAAACACAGCACACATTAGGAGATGTGAATCCTTGGAGATGATCACATAATGTCAACCTGGCTATTTGTTACTTTAGGATAGGTATGTAGATCTTGAAAAAGAAATCCCATACCTTTTAAAATATACTTGCATTAAAAATATTTACAATTGTGCAACAATAAATGATTAGAATGGATATTGCAAGACTTGTTTAATTGGCTTCATTTTACTTACAGAAAATTCTACTCAAAAATGCATAACTTGCAAAGAAAAAACACAAAATTGTTTAGATTGTTACATTACTCCAAAAAATGTATTTTAATGCATTTAATGTGCAGATGGTTACTTCTTAGAATTGGATGGGAAAACTTGTTCTTCATGTGGAGATAATTGCATCACATGCAATGAAAAAGTGAAGTAATGTGAAACTTGTAAGGAAGGATATATCTAGTTAAATGGAGTTTGTGAAAGTTGTGAAGTGGAAAACTGTAAGAGTTGCCAAGTAAAAGGTGTTTGCACGGATTGTGAAGATGGTTATGGAGCTATTGATGGACAATGCAAAATATGCTAATTTGGATGCAAGCAATGTAATTTTAACTAAGAATTATGCTAATAATGCATGGATAATTACTTTTTGTACATGAAATCCTGTGTGCCTTATCCTAGTCATTGCCTTGAGACTAATGACGATGGATTTTGCTATTTATGCTAAACAATCATAGACTATGATACTAAATTGGATTAGTTTGTCGATGAAGGTAGTGTGCCTCCTACTTATTAGGAATAAAGCATTTCCATATTTTTTAAAAGTGTCAACGGCTATTGCTTAAAATGCAGTGATTATGATACTGGATAGTACTTCTGTCCAGACACTTGTTTGAGTACGATTCATTCATCTGAGATAATGCTTGTCTTTTTCTGGTTATTCCACATTATTTTATGAGGACTCTTATTTTATATATTCTATAACATTAATCAATTAATTAAATAATGAATCGCGAAGTTAAGGTCGTATTATTGGGAGATTCAGGAGTGGGCAAAAGTTCAATTGTGCTGAGATTCTGTTCTGATATATTTAAAGTGACTCATGAATCTACTTTGGGGGCTGCGTTCATGGCTAGAACCATAGAAGTCAATGGAATCAATTTTAAATTTCAGATTTGGGACACTGCTGGATAAGAAAAATACAAATCACTCACTCCCTTGTATTATAGAGGTTTAGTGCTCATTTATTTTTAGAGGCTTAAGTAGCATTGATAGTTTACGATATTACACACAAAGATTCCTTTGATGTGCTTAAATCTTGGGTAAATGAATTGAAAGCTCATGGTCCAAAAAAGATAAGTAAGATCTCATTTAATTTTTAGTCTAAGTTCTCGTGGGAAATAAGAACGATTTGATCGAAGATGAGAAAGTTTCCTATGACGAAGCAAACAACTATGCTCAGGTAATGACAAAAGCCCTATTTTAGCAAATTGGAGCTTCTCTCAAACTTACAAGTTGTAAGGAGAACAAAGGAATCTAAGAATTGTTTGTGTCGATAGCTGAGTAGATCCTGTATGAGGAACAAAACAAATTAGTTGAAGGAAAGAAGGTAGATAAACCACAAAATGCCAGCGTCAGAGTTACAGCTGATGATCAAACTAAAAAAAAGAAAAAGGATGGAGGATGCTGTTGAATTCAATATTGTTTGAAATTATAAATATCTAATCTTCCTCAAATCATGTGTTTCATCACAAATATCATAACATATCCAATAACTGCCAATACTAAAAATAAAAGTCCGAATTCCAGATAGTGCTTCTCAACTTACTCACTCCCAGTTGCGAACTTGGCCAATTCATTCTTTTCTGACAGATTCCAAGTTAATAATATTTTTATTGCTCTCTATTTCCATTCATCTTCAGGTAATTCAATTGGGAGATGTTCTGCTATATGATCCTCTATTCCTCTTAATGTTTGGTTCACTTGACTCACCAACGATGGTTCCAAAACCAGTAAATAATTGGGATTCTTATCCATTTTCTTGAAAAAAGGAGACTGAGCTTTATTTCTAGTTCTCTCATATTCCTGTTCACTTCTTAAAAACTCCTTAACATCAGAGTCCTCTATTTAAGCTAAGCTTTACTTCTTCAATATCCTTCTATCCTACTCCCTAATCTCAAAATGGATGAGTCCGATAAATATTAATTAAGATGGTGAAGCCATTTTAAATTATTAAAATTAATGCAATTTAACAAGAACGATGTGTTTTGGGGCAAGATCTAAGGCTACCCCTATTGGCCATGCACCATAGCATACGATTAACCAGATAAATAAAAATGCAGAGTCTTTTTCTTTGGAGACAATCAGCAGTTAGTTTATATTATCATTTTAGAGGTGAACTTAAATATCAAGATCTTAAGCCTTTTGAAGAACACTTTGAACACTATTGCAGTTAAGCCAAAAAGAATAATAACCTCAAGATATCTATTGAATAAGCCATAAATAAAGAAACCCATAAACATCTCCTACCAATCTACGAAAGTATAATTAAATTGTATTTAACCAGAAATCGTAAAAGGTACTAACCATTCAAAAGTACAGGAATCAAAACAAAGCAAAAACAATCCAGAGATTAAGATTTAGTCAATAAAACAATCATAACCAAAAAAAATCGAAATTTTCATCCAAAAGCATTTTAAAGATGTCAAAGGCGAAGTTATTCAATAAATTCTAGAGAAATGCAATAACAACGATAAAAAAGTAGTCAAGGCTATAAAAGTAAAGTTAATTCTTTAATAAAGGCTTATTCTTCATTATAAGCAGGAATAGTAAACAAGATATTTAATTTTGAGTCATTCGAAAACTATTACGATTCCTCGATCAATATTATAAAGAATGAAAATTATTCGATGCTTACTTAATTGCTTGAACCGAGTGAAATTAAAATATTTTTTTGATATTATATAAATGCTAATTACTAACTTCTGTCTTGCATCTGCATCATGTGCTGCATTGAGGGCAGTTGTTTTATTTAGAAAGGAGAAAGTACTTTCAAAGATGTTTACAGATGTTGATAAAATGGCTCTCTACAATCTTGATTACATCAATAGTAAAGCAGATCTACCCATTAATCAATACCTAGTTTTGACTGGAAAAATCACTTCCAATAATTTACAGTACGAATGCTTAGAGTATTATTAGACCGACCTTTTCAGATAAATCAGTCAGGGCTATTCTATCTACAATTGTGCCTACAATTAAAGAAAAGTAAAAAGATGTTGGAGATGGACTCATGATTAATTTGGGATAGGTAATTACCTTTAAAAGAGATCATTTAATATCATTTACTCTTGGAAATGATAACCACTAATTAGAAGTAAAATATTTGCCAAATCGATCCCTTGTATTATATAATCTTCCAAAAATGAGAGAGAATATAATGAAAAGTGAATTGTCATAAATTAAAATAGCCAACCAACACGTTTTTCAAACTACATATACAGAATTTGCATTGCTACCAAATTAATAGGTATAATTAAAAATAAAATTAGTATGGTGTTTGTGGCAAATTATAGCAGGATGGTGTTTTTACTCCTTTGATTATTTTAGGATCATCTAAAGAATCGTTTATTGATAGTCTAGAGGAGGAATTATTAAAAATAAATAAGGCAGCCAAATTTTGGTTATTATGTAGTGGAGGCATCACAATTGCAGCTGCTATTTATGCCAGGATGTACAAAAGATCAAGGAAACATAAAGAAAACCAATGAAATTTCAATGAACTTATAAGTCATATTTGAATTATTTGTTTATAAGTATAATCCTATGGAATTTTATATATAGAAATCAAAGAGTTCTGTCAATCTTTCTTATCGCATTTAATATTGATTAATCTTAAAGTGACTCGTGAGGGATTATTATTAATGCTTATCTAATTGATTAGACTCTCTACTAAAGTGTAGTGGCCCGAATAAAAATAACTAAATAAAAGGTAATTAAAGCCCCCAAGCCAAAAGTGACCACATATATAACAATCGTTTGATAATCTTCTTCCAAAATGTCCAAAGAGGCTTGGATAATAGTATAATAGAATTCTAATAGTGCAAAACTGATATCAAATGTATAAGATAGAATGACTTAGATATATTCTGGGGATTGTAGGAATTAATTAACTATAGTCAAATTTGTATCTTTAATACCGTTGAGTTCAAGAGAATAATGAGTGGTAAAGATGGATTATATGCTAAGTTATATTATGATTAATACGTTTAAAAGATCCCATTAATTCCATATCTGTAGAGCATACGATTGTCATCCATATCCTCTGCTGATGGGTATGTAGGGAAATATTTGAATTGACCATTTTCATATTCACAGAAGGGTAGTTGAGAAGGTATAATCAGACATAAGTCAGTCTCATACATTTTTAAGAGTAGATCTTTATTTGCTGAACTGATTTTTTTGGATGCTACTATATCATTATATATATGTTCGAAAATTGAAGTAGAATCTTCTTGGAGAATAACGAACTATTTTAGCAATTCAGCATATAATCTAGTAAAGTATTTATCTTTGGTGCTCAATTCTGGATTTAGACGGAACACTCCACTTGCCATGGTTTCATCAATTAGGATCTATTGGTTCTTTAGTAATTAACTAATTATCATAACTCCATCTAAATCCTATTTGAATCTAACATATTCCATGGCCAATCTTAGTTCAGGCTGAGAATCCTCCATATTCTGTTTCATAATTAAGAAGGTTGATAGAACATATCCAGACAATAGAACCCAAAGGAAAAACAACATTAAGTAGATATTAAGAATTGAAAAGTTTGTTTCTTGAATTCTGGACACTGATTTGACTCTAGTGGAACTCTATTTCGACGTTTGTTTTAATTATGATACAGAACTTGAGGTATATTTGATTGAATTGTGTGTACTTGTTCTTGAGAACCAGAAATACTCTCTAAAATAATTGATATGTTTCCATAGTTGTTTATCTTTATCCAGCATATTCGAAATATACAACATCTTTTGACAAGAATATTCAATATCCTTCTCTGATATCCTACTTATGAGAAGTAAAACAGTCTACATGTATATATACGGTTAATGCCATTGTCTAAATTGCAATATCAACATAAAGAATATAATCCAAAGTAACACTAAGAGAAATATAAGATATTCTGTCTCAAAATAAGTGATTAAATTAAAGAATTCATTTTCAATTTCTTTCACTAACTTGATAGTGAGATTCAATTGATTAATCAAGTTACCCTTCAAAAACTAGACCAACACTTAAATCTTCTCTACGTAGCTAATTTCATCCGTACCTTATAAGTATTAGTTAATTCTCTCAGTGTATTCATTTACCATAGAGTCAAATTAAATCATTGTTATATTCAATTCCTAATATGAAAATTCATTAATTATTCGAACTGCCACAACAGGTAATCTATTTTCTTCCTCCAATTTTGCGAATTCATTTTTGAGATCCGTCATCATACTCAACATCTCTTCTCTTCTAATTATGCTTTCATTTTTAACACGATATTCATATAGAGCTCCATAAGATTGATTTAATAAATTCAATTACAGATCCAATTAACCTAAAGTCACAAAAGTACAATAAAGTCGATTGAATCTCTGAGGTATTCTCACCAAAGGTATATCATATTTCAATTAATCTGTATTAGACCGTGCAATCTACATCTCTGAAATTATTAGTACCATCATAATCAATGTCAAAACAATACAAATAACTATGCTTTTGATGATTGAAGTTTGCATCTATTCCGAATAAGTAAGTTTTCTAATCAAATTATATACAGAGTTCTGGGTTTTATCAGATGTAGCACTAGTAACAGATTGCTTATTTTATTTATGTCCATCATTTTACTCCAAATTTTGTTCTCTCAAAACAACTTATAAAATATCTGCCCGTTACTCTTTTTAAGAACTGCTCTTATCCACCTTTGATTTTTGGTCCCTGCCTTCCTCCTCTTCGTCTTCATAATCATATTCTTTTTAAATCAAGATCTCTCTGTTTCCTCTTGGAGACACCAAATTGCTTTCCCTAGGGTCAATAGACTTCTATTATGGCAAGTTTCGATTCACATTAGCTTCTTAGTAAGTCTCATCATCTTGATCATTTATCAATAACTTATTAACAACCGGTTAGTTGATGACAAAGTTTAAAGGTCCATCATTTTCATCCAATTGAAAATCATCCTCGACTTAGTCGGTTGTTTTCATATTTTTGGACTGATAAAAAGAGCTAATAGCACTATTGGACAATTCAAGACCTTATTTTTTTACATCTTTATATCTATATTCAGTAATTTGCATCAAAAAATATGGATACTTATTTTTCATTACATTTAATATGAGATTATACACTATCTGATAATAAGGATGCACGGAGTTTTCTTTCAAAGAACAACTGGAAACAAAATCTTGGGTCTATTATATATAGTTTTTCTTAAAGCACGTGTATTTAGGTTGTGATTAAACTTAATGATAAGTATTTTCTTATTATTCCGTCTTCATTCCACTTGTTTAAGTTATCAAATGAGATTTTCTGTAGGTTTCATGTTCCCTTAATATAATATCAATATCCGAAATTGGGGTGACAAACGTCTTCTGGGTACTAATCTTAAATGTATTCAACTAATCATTTTGCTATTCCTGCTAAAACTATTAGACAGAATCAAATAAATTATGAAACCAGAAGAAAATGTAAGACTTTAAAATTTGCTCATCAAATTCCTACTTACTATTTGATAACAAAATATTTTAAATGGACTTTGATATCCCCAAGATTCTTCCTGTATCATCAAAGATAATAAAATCAGTATTTTCATTCACTTACTTTATTGCCGCAGTCACTATATAATCATCTAAATTATCATACGAATGCACTAATTACAGAGTAGAATTGAATGAAAAACCTGTTTAATATATAGGGAATACATCTCTACTTTATTCAAATATAAATGATTCTCCAATTCTCAGAAAATTGTTGACAAATTCATCATGTCTCTCTTGCAAGTATTTAGGTAGCAATTAATTTATATGTTAAATTTGCATGAATGAATCTTCTGTGGGATACTGAAAGAACTTCTACATTTTAGTTCTATTGCTGGCCATAATCTGCCCTTAATTCTTCAACATACTCACAGATACTAAGATAACCTCGTCATTCAAAAGAGTAGTATTTAAGATATTTCGACTTTATAAATTTCTTTCGAAACTAAGCAGTTCTTCTATTCGCTACTCAATTTCTAATGTTATATGGAAATCATTTAAGACTCCTGAGAATATGAGAGACAACAATCTCAAATCTAAAATATTGAGTTTGAATAAATCTTTTTGTATTGAAAAAACATTAATTTATAGTTCACTAAATACTAGATTCTTTAACTTAATTAGTAAATTACTTAAATTTTCTGACTGTTTTGCCAACTCTTCAATTTTTGAATATCCTTATTATAATCTCTCCCAGAATTTCAGTTTCGTCGATAGTATTTATGCAATAACAGTCATGCTTTTTTCATGTAACATTTAACTTGCTCTTATTTCTGTTAAACTTAATGAATTTTGAGAGTCATCTGTTTGTTGAGTTATTTTTTTTTTCATTTTATTCTTAACAACTGAAGAATAAATGTTATCTGCTAGAATCTGAAAGTATAATGACTGAGAATTTGTTGATGCCTAAAACTTTTTCATCTTAATGTATCCTAGATTCTGTTTTTCGCATGTCTACAAAAAAAATAGGATCTTATAGATATAAAAGTCCTCATCTTGATATCTCTCTGAGATATTTTGTTGCTCGATGATTTTAGTGAATAGTTGCATTATGCATTACTACAACTACAAGTCAATGTCGAATTTCTCTTTTATCACTATTTAGAATTTCGTACGTATTATATACAGTATCTTGTTCTTTGTGATTTCATTTCCTGAATAATACATGTCTACAATTTGTAACAGCAATTCTTTTTATAGACAATTCTAAATTAAATTATCTTCTTGTTGTTATTGAAAATATCCTTATACCACAAAGCTCAACAACGGTATGAGGTATATACCTAAGTAGAAATATTAATATGTATCCCAAAAAAAGGCGATCAGTTTAAACAGGGATGCAAAAAATAGAAGACTGCTCCAAAAGCAATATTATAAATTTACATAATATTAATAAGGATTTACGAACAAAGCATCTAAGAGCTGCACAAAATATATTAAAATCAATAACACACATTGATATTCTTCTGATATGTATACTATTGAAACCAATCCAATCATTTCTATCAAAGAAATAAGATAATTTGAAATTCGATGTCTTTTTACAAAAGGGTTTCTGGTAGGTAGAGAGTAGTTACGCTGAATGTAATTTTAAATAGTTGAATTGAAAATGACAGGGATGATGGAAACAATAACAATTTCATTAAAATCACCAATAAATTTTAAATTTTGTATGTGTATAAATGTAGGATAGAGTAGAAGAGAGCTTAAGTAGGTGAAGTACTTCTGGCTATAATGGTGTAAAATTTTAGATTCAAAGCTTCCAAAAATAATAATTAAAGTAGAGATCCAATGAAGTATGCTTATTATTATTACAGAGATTATTATAATACTATGGTTATTCATAGAATTTATAGGGCTAAGCACTGTAAACCAATTTATTATTGTTTTTAATAAGATAAATTTTTCATCCTTGGAAATAATCAAAACAAAATGCATACATTGTAATTTTCATTCGCAAATTAAGATGTGGGCAATAAAATACTCAATCTGATTCCTACATAGAACAATGATAAAATCTTTAAGTTTATCTAAGTGGATGCCTTGGATTCTTTGAGCAATTATTGCATTTCTCTAAGTTAATTTTTAATGATTTTCCCTATAATTTGCATAATTTAAATTATTTTTAATATTATTATAAGCATATTCTAAAAATAGTTTCGTTATATATCTGTATTTAATGTAATTTGAACAATAACAGTACGATGTTGAATAAAATGAAAAATTATAAAAGTAGCCCATGCTCTAAGAATGCTCTCTATCGAATAAAAAAGCCAAATAAATTAAGGTGGAAAATTAACCAAAAATTATAAAGTCATGGATTTTTTATAAAGAATAATTAAGAATCTGGCAACACATATATGGTATCCCAGCTATATGGTTTGAAATCGAAAAAAAAGTATATTAATTTTATAATTATTTGTATGAATCTAAATTTAGACTGTAATTTAATTATCTATAACTTAAACAATCGAAAAGATTTAAGACCCATTTAAGATACTAATTTAAATATATTATGATTAGTTTAATCTGGGAATTCTTTCTTGTTCTTCCAATTATTGTTTAAAATGATTACAAAAATTATTGATTAAGTGGAGTTAAAAATAAAAAATATTGAAATTTTTCATTGGTACTATCTGTGATAATCTTTCTTAAGGAAGTGAAATAAAATCCATACCTAAAGATTTTGATTAAAAAGTAATTATCTATATAAAATTAAATAATGAAAAAAAGGGAGAGTCCGTTCCTTTGCATAGATCAGCCTATCTATAGTTAGAATATCACATCTCCTCGATTTGAGGAGCTCCTACCAATTTACTCTAATGATAATGAGGCAGAGCAAACGATTGACGAAGCACTGAAACATAAGAGAAAAATATTTGATAGCATGAATTTCCGAGCTTTGAATGATGGACATAAAGGAGAAAGTTCAGAAGATGATGATTACTTGAGCAGTGTTAGGTATATTATTGTTGGAGCATATAAGCGATAACAGATATGATCAAGAATCTGCAAGATCACGAACAAATACCTTCATTAGAAATCAGAGAATCGCTAATAACCAATACAATAATTAGGGTTCTAACAGAAAAGCACATACTGGATTAATAATTGATTCTAGATTCAACTAATAAGTGTAAGGAGCAAAGTCATGCTCCAGAATAGATAAATACTAAAGTTTTGTGCAATAATTTGAATTGGAAGAAGTTAAGTTAAGAAAGACGAAGGAGCCATTGAAGTAAAAAAGTTATCAAACCAATGAGCTTTCATCAAAGAGGAACAGTAGAAGAAAAGAAGGGAAAATCGGGTAAAATTTAAAATGATTAGTAGGTTAAATAATATCTGGGCTGTTAAAGGATTTATAATAATAAGATTAGTATCGAGATTTATTCAATAGCTAAAAACTAAAACTGAGACCATAAAATTTAAACTTATGACAAGAAAAATATTTTCTATTATAGGAGATTTGTCTAGTAATTTTGAATATATCTTAATTTCTCGGCAAATTAAACAGAAGCCTAGTTTATTTTTAATATTGAAATATAATTTTCAAAAAAGAGCAACCAGACTCATACATTGCTTGGAATATGGATTAGAATTATTAAGTAGAATCATAATAGTCATAAGACCTGATAGCAAATTTAAGATTGTCTGGGATATTTTGTTATTACTCTTCATTGTGATGAACATATTTTACATTCCCATAAACATCAGTTTCAATATTTAAACTTAAGGAGTATTTGAATACTTATTTGATTTGTTACCATCATGGATATTTATAGCGGAGATAATAATTAATTTTAATACTGCTTATTATGATAAGGGTTTGATGCATGAAGATAGAAAGTCTATAGTGAAACATTATTTGAAAGACAATTTCTTTTGGGATTTAGTGGTTGTAATACCATTCCTGATGTCAAATATGAACATACCTTTTGTTAGATACACATTATTATTTCGATTGACGAGACTGACTCCTTTGATGCAAAATATTGAAGAAATATTGAATTTGGAAGTAATAATAAACTGATATGATTAGGAGAACATCCAAATTGTTGTTGATCTTTTAAAGCTTATCTTTTTTCTGGTTTTGACAGGTCACTTTTGTGGATGTGCATGGCATTTTGTTGCATTAACAGAATATGAATCTTTTGGCATAACTGACAATTGGCTAACTCATTATGATAGATAGGCTTTTGATTATCATTGGTTTGACAGATATATCATATCTCTATATTGGAGTGTAATCACAACAGTTACAGTGGGTTATGGAGATATTGTACCAGTCACAACTTTTGAAAGGATTTTTGTTATCGTTGTAACATTGCTACTTTGTGGAGTATTTGGATATTGTATTTCAAATATCGGCAATATTTTTAAATAGATGTCTGATAAAAAGACTACTTATAAGTTTAAATTGCGTCAAATTCATTCACATATTAGAAAACGAGGTCTAAATCTTAATCTGTCATTAAAAGTAATGGTTTAATTTATCCTCCAGGTCAAGAAGTATTTTGAATACTTTTTCCAACTTGAACAAGAGGAAGATAGTCATGCAGAGATATTTATCAATCAATTAACTAAACATTTGAGAGAGGAGGTTTTGACAGATTTATATAGTAATACTCTTAAGAAGTCCAGATTTCTGAGAGAAAATTTTAAAGAACTTACAATTAATAATCTATGTTAATTTGTGAAGGAGAAAAAAGTGTTACCGGAAGAGGTGTTGTATTCTCGATTTGATCAACCAACTAAAATTTGGTTTGTACTTTCAGGAGCCTTAGAATTCGTAGCAGATCATAAGAGTAATTATATATACTAATAGTAGATGAAAATGAATATTATGAAGCCACAGAAACTTTTCTCAATAAGGTCAATTCTGGGTAATGCATATGATCCAATATTAGAGCAGTTTTAGGAGAGAGAGAGTTCATAACATAGCAGCCGTATGAATATAAAGTAAGGGCTTTAAGATTTACTTAAATGGCTTATATTGAGTAATAATTTTCTTCATAATCTCATTAGTTACGAGGACTTTATTAATGTTATTAGTGAAAGTGATTAAGAATATGAAATATTTTGTATGAAGAGGGATAGATTGTTGTTTGATCCCTAATTTAAAGGTACTGGAAATGTATGTGAAGTTTGTGGATGGACTCACAATTTTATCCAGTAATAATATTAATGTATTTAGATGTCCATTTGTATTTTTGTAACCCAACATTAATAAAATAGCTAGTAGTTTCAAAACTGTCAGATTGAATAATAGGCTTAAATTTCCTTATCGACAATCGATGAAATCAAGAACTAGAGAGGCTCTCAATAGTATTTAAGAAGGAGCACTAAAATTACTAGTTGAAAATATAACTGAATAGTAAATAATTTAAGTTATTATAGAGAATATACAGACGAGTACTTGGTATCTCTAGGATTTTAATTGAGCAAAAAAATTGAATTAGATTCATCAGTTGCAGATGAGATTTCTAAAAATCTGTAAGATTCTCCAATTATCACAAACGGTGAAATTTAAAAGGCATTTTAAAAGAAAAGCACAAAAACGTTGACAGGAGGAATGACAACTGATTTGAAAGATATCACACCAACTCATGAGCTAAAAAAAAGCCTCACGTTATTCTAGAAAAATTAATTTGGAAAAGAAAAATACAAAGCCTTCTAAGTATTTAAGAAAGAAATCTTAGAAAAAGAAACTGAAGCATTAGAATAATAATAATCATAAATATATGGTGTTGCCAATAATCAAATCCCTACTTCATTTAACAATAAATTATACCATAAGGCACTCTAAAGTAGTCCTAGAAGATCATGTAATTTTGATGAACTCAACAATTTTTTCTTGTCCTAAAAGTTTGGAAATCTAACTTATTAATTAGATTAAGATAAATATTTAGTGAAACAGCTTAGCAGGACTAGTGAGTAGAGTGATATGAAAGAATCATTAATCAAGAAATAGATTGAAAATTAAGAGAGGAGAATGTAAATTGGAGGTGAGAGAAGAAGGAAGAAAAGAAAAACAACTTTATAGTTAGGTCAGCAACTCTAGCGAAAAATTAATTAATCTCAATAAGTAAACTTAAGTCCAAGTCAATAATAAAAATAATAGCTGTTTGCAACACTTGATTAGAAATTAGGAAGAGTCAGCATTCGAGAGTCTAAAAAAATGGGGTAAGCAAATCCTATTCCGAGTATTACTTAAATTGACCCGGTAAGCTAATCTGCCGAATATATATAAGAGAATTATTTGCAATAGAAGATTCTGGATATTGTTCATCCAAATCAAAATATTGAGATTGATTGTTGTAAATCTACTCTTGTGTATTTCCCTGAATTTAATATAGATGAAATTCTTAAGAAAATCACTTATTATTATTCTTATGTGAAGGGAGTTGAAAAAAAAATGTATAAAAGAAGTAAATCGAATCGTAACCCATTTGAAAGAATCAGGCCATCTAAAAATGTATCTATGAGAAGTTTTCATAATAATTCTAGATTATAATAGGACGAAGTATGAAAAGGATATGAATCTCAATTCAAAATTTATACTTTGTTACATATTAGAATTAATCATAATAATAATAATCAATTCAATTTATATATTTTTTATATCCTCTATATTTAACGCGAATGATAAACTGTTTAAACATTTCCTTCCTCTATCCCAAAACTACTTTTTCTTTTTAACACAGGTTTTGGCTAAAATAAGATGAAAAATCATACGTTTATGCAATCCCCTGGTAAATAGTCATTAATTTATCCTTGCAATGAAACTCTCTTCATTCTACCCATCCTTCTTTTTTGATAAACAGGATTATCATTTAATTTTATCCTAGATTCTTAACTCTCAATGCTTTTCAGTGTAATAGAATGTCTGATAGGTTCAGTATCCCTTACAGTTCTTTCCGAGAAATATTATTAGTCCGTAATAATGTTAGCAATTATGTGATTGGTATATGATCTCCAGACTTTGAATGCAACTAACGACATCAATAACATATGCATTATATTGCCATTTCCATCTAATTTAAGTTGAGGTCCAATGTTTTTCCTTCTCTATCTAAATCCTCTTCTTCGATAGTAGGCTAATCTAAAAATCATAGTCTTATGGAACTAAGACATCTTTTGAGCTGCCATTTCTGAACATTGGTCGAAGATCTGCTTCTAATATCGACGATGAAAAATCTCGTATAGCAATTAATTATAGGAGATGTTATCTCCAATGTCACAAAATAGATTAAATTGCAAACTCAATTTGGCAGCATCCCACACATTATCATAGGGTTTACAGCCGAGTGGTTCTTTGATTTCAATCAATAGATGAGGCAAGCATCTAATGCTTAATACTTGTCCATTCTAACTTGAGAATTTGAACCATGCTTTTCTAAATGAGTCGATATTTTCTACGTATGTTTAAAGAATGGAATCTTAATTGTTAAAGAAGAATTCAAATTATTCTATCATTGCCAAAACAAACAAATTCAATAGGATATAATTAGATATGAGCATAAAAGAAATAAAATAGATTTAAGCATAGGGTGAACCACAATATTTAGGGTCTTCTGAACAATAAGGATTGTGATGCATACAGTCATTCATAATGGATCGAAAATCATCACCACTAACGCATTTAAAAAGTGTCAACATTGCCAACCAAAAGTTTGAAAAATTGATTAGATCATTAATGACTTCCCCCTTGTCTATAGTTCCGTATAACATCACTCCATAAAAGGCAAACACAACCATTATAATTAGGAGGATGAAAAGAATCTTAAGTAAGAATGGAAATGCAAATGACATTACTCTTACTAATCTTTAGAGCTTCTACAATCCTTGGAAGATGAGTATGATTCTTAAATTTCTCAGAGTGTACAACACTCTCAGCAATTAATAATGCTAAGTTAATTAGGTTGAGTAGCAATACAACCGGAACCAATCATATTTATAATCCAGAATCAAATCAACAACTCCTAAAATAATAACCAAGGATGTATAGGTTCTCCATAAATTATCCTTAAATCTATTGATTCCTAAGATCAAAAATTGGAGTAGCAACCAAGTCGCAAAAATTAAAGTACAAACATGATGAATCTTATTGATCCTTCCATTATAAAGATCATCAGCTGAATGATAAATCATCATTATAACAACGCAATTTACTAGCAAAATAGAAAACATGCACAAATCCATGTATTTATTCATAATGAAATTACTCAAGATCCTCCTTAATTAAGATCTAGGTAAGGAGGCTCTTATGGGATGATCATGTAGAATGATTTCTGAAATCTTAATATACTCTAATTGTGCCTATGTTAATTACTGGTTCTCCATTAATTTCGAGTTGGCCTTTAAATTGATGAATAACACACCAGTGAACAACTACAGGAAAAACATTGATCCTACAGTGCAAAAGGCCACATAAAATAAATATGATGGAATTTAACTGAAATAAGGATGCGGGCCATTCGAAGCTTCTCTGCTGTTCTGTGACACCCATAAGACTGAACCCCATCCATCAAAGGTTGAAATAATGAATAATACAGGCATTGCAGTAGTAATATTATCAAAATTGTGCTTATATACTCTCCATTCTTTGCCTTGTTTCATACACTCCTACTACCCCACATCATAATTTATTTATTCCTCACAAAACCCCATTTTACCTGCAAACAGCATCATTGAAAAAACAGCAAACATTAGCCACACTAAAAGCAAGACTACAAAAACATTGATAATATCAAATAAGGATTATGTTAAAGCTGCTCTCACTCGAACTACCCATTTTATTCGATAAAGCAACTTCAAAGGTCTAAAATATATAAAGGTCTCTATCACAATAAAAATAGGTAGATTGGCAATTTTAAAGAATTCCAAATAATACACAATTATATATACTAAATCAATCACCTTCCATGTATACTATGAATTATAAAAATAAATACATTTAGATATGATCCCTTATCAAGACATGCCCCAAAAGCGATAGATTTAATTATAAATTCAATAAAAATTGTTGAATTCAAAATAAATAATATGGTAACCCACAAGGGTGTTTCCTAAATATCCTGTGGTAGAGCCAAATAAGTAATGGAGAGAAGCAATATCAAATCAATAAAATATTTGGTATAAGCACTAACACTGATTCTAAAGAAGAGTTTTCTTAAAGAATTCGATCTACTAAAGCAATAGTAGGATTGCAAGCAATCAACCCCAGCATACAATTTATGATTCTGTTTGAATGTTTTCTTGTAGACCTGTTCTAAATTATCTTACAAATATTTAATAGTTTTCGGTTCAGAAGACTTCACCCTTAGCATGTTGACTTTGCCCTTTAATCTTCTAAAATCTTCTTTTATTTTCTTTTTCTCCTCCTCCTATTAATCCATTTTTCTAGTTCTGGCCACTGGGAATTGTAGAGAATGAAATATTTTTTCTGTGAAATTACTATCCCTCTTTAATTACTCTCTTAAATTATTAGAAGATGCTAAGATATTGTCAGGGGACATACTCTCCTTTCTTACATGATATCTATTAGTAACACTTTAGACATTGTTAGCTTAATCCTAGTATTATTGTATTGAGGATGAACTAGAGTTTGATTCGGATTCTGAATCAGAATCATGTTCTGAAGCCTAAGAATTTAATTGCTTGTTGAGTTTATTTATTTATTTAATCTTATCTTTCAGGAATTCATTTTAGTCGTTTGTGGATTCCCTTTCTAAATATTGGCTAAATCCATCCAATAATATAGCCATCATGATTCCATAAATAAAATAGTTGAGTGTAAACACCAACCCAATAGAATAAGTTATTGAGAGTTCTGTCTACACTTCTGTACCAATTCTATAAACTCCAAACCAATCATCATTTGTCATTATATTAAATACTGTCATAAATGCTTTCGCTGGATCATCAAATGAATGCATATAACCTTCCTTGTGATAACTATCGAATTTATTAGCATACAACTCCATTCCAATCAACCCAAAAGTAAAGATCATAAAGAACATAAGAAAGGCCAAATAGACATAAGACTTGTATGTAATTTATGCTATGGCTCCAATTATTCGAGCCATGTAGATGTAGGCTATGCATCTATAAAATAGAAGGCATTTTGTAGATCTCATTAGTCTTAAATATTGTTCACTTACATTCAAATAGCTACTAAACCCGAATTCTATCAAACTCAAGATGACTATGAGTAATTCAATTACAAGATGTTTGTTTTTTGCAATTCTTCCTAATACTTTTATAATAAATTACTTGGTTTATAGACAATCAATTATAGAATGATTTCAGTCGATAATAATATTGTGGCAATATCTTCTACTTAATCAATTATGCTTCTTTATATTATACCTTGTAAAGCTAAAAATAGTGTATTAATAAGAATTGTTAAATCAAAAATAAATTTTGTTAACTTAAAGTGCATTATCAAAAATGCATATTTTCTCAAAGCCATCAAAATACCACTGAAAGATTTTTGCCAAATTTCAATATCCCTTAGGTTTAGCTATTAAAAAATATCATTGAACTTTTTTATTAAAACCCAATTATTGGCCAATATATTGTTCCCAGACCAATTTCTTGATTTAATGAATCTCTTTTGAAACTCTTTTCTCTTGATTTTGGTGTATTCATCTTAAAATCTTAGTTCCTCTTCCTGCTTAAATTTAATTTTGGCTTTTATCCTCTTTTAAACATCTTCATAATCCAAATAATTCCCATGTAAAAGTACTTTCAATTCGCCACAATGATATATCGTAAAAGGCTTATACAAAGTTTCTTTAGGAACGAACTTTTATTATTCACTAATAAAGTAAGGGAACTTCCTTCTCTACTTTTCAATTTCTTTATTATGAATTTCTCCCACATTTGGAGAATAAGACATTGAACTAGATTTTACACCATGTATTTCTGAAGGATTTAAACTATTTTTTTTTATTCTTTTTGAAACTTTTATAGGTAATTAAGCAAAAGATCTCGGATTATTTGCTTGTATTGCTCCTATTGATTCAGATTTAAATGATTTTCCTTCTCTTTAAATTCCTTATTTCTTCCGTTAAATTGGTTAATAGTAAAACACTTTTTTTTTATAGGCTTTAGAATTTTTATTATCTGTGGTTTTAAGGACCTGAAAAAGTGAATTTCTTAGTATATCTAATTGACTTGTTTATATATATTGATATTTATAATCTACATATTTTTCAAGTAAAAACGACGATTTGCTAAATTATTTAATAGTTTCTTAAATTTTTGAATCTAAAGTAAATTTCTTGATGTCCAAATTAAGGTAGAATTTTTAAAGAATAGATAATTTTGGCAGGAGGTAGAATTTGAGTGAAAAGTTTTTTATTTAATTTTTTAGGTGAGAAAAATTGCTTTCATTCATTCGATTTTCATTTAAGACACTTCCCAATAAAATTCTTGGTTATAAATCAAAAAATTATTGTATTTTGTTTGTCTAAGGCTCATTTATTATGATATCAGGAGAGTCTGAAAGCAAAAATTAATTCAACTAAATTATGTAGTGATAAAATCCAATTCTAGTCAAATTAGATTTGCTGAGTACATTTTCTCTTTCATCTTAATGTTTCACCTCTCTAAATTGCATTTCGCTGAAATGAGTCTTAAATACTGCTATCGGAAGATTGAATCCGAAAAACCCCCCCACAAATATTATCAACACATAATATATCCAGACAATTGGATGAAATGCCCTAATTGTATAATACATGACCCAGCTCCAATCATCCATTGTAACTGTTTTTAAAATAAGGCCAAAAGAATAGATGATATTGTTGAAGTTTGTTGGAATATTATATGATTTGTCTGTCATCTAACAAGTCATTCCATCTGGACATAAACCTTGCTAACATTACACCCATTCTGACTCATCTGATGGCAAGCATCTTTAATTAAGCAAACCCATAAATAATGAAGTTCCTAGAGAGGCAAAAAATAAAGCAAATAAAATTACAATTGCTGTTGATTCCAAAATAAATTTTAAGGATTCTATTAATGCTTCAATCATTCTTTATAACCCTTTTTTATATTATGAACATTTACGTACCAGCAAAAATACCTCCGAGATGCTTCAACAATCTTGTCATTCTCAATGGTGTTATGTCCAAAATATTGTCAGAATAGCTTAAATGATAATAAAATAGAATAATTAATGAAGCATCGATCACTCTTGATAGAAAGATTAATTTCGTACGAAACAATCCGAAAGCACACAGTTATAACACTATATCTACGACATAAAACCATAAAAAAACTAAGTTTTAAATTATAATATTTACTAAAATAAATATCTTTATATTTATTCTCTTACTATTAAAGATGTTCAAACACATAAATAGTTATGTTTCCTAAGGTAACTAAAGTCAATATGTATTAAAATAGTCTGGATCTTACAATAATTTTAGAAAGTCTCTTTATTATCAAATATAAGTAAAGCACATATTTTCTAAATTTTAACATTTTGTAATTATCTATATAAGAGCTCTCAATTATTTTTGATTATTACATAAATCAAATGGTATTTACGGAAGCTTTCAAGTTTTCTATATTTGATAAATTACGCTCCATTAACATAAGATAATTTTTAATAAATCTTGTCGAATTAATTTGACAAGTTTTATAATTGGTCAAAATTCTCCTAATTAATAATTGTTTCATACATCTTCGGAAGATTAGGATGAATGACTAACTTACAAGGGACTAAAACCAGCTAGGGATACCCGTAAATTAGAGACTCTGGGTTTGAAATAGGTAGACTAATAAAATTTATTGGTTTACACTAAATTCAGCATTGGGAGTTTAGATGGACATCTTGAGACTATGGCACGAATTTTCTCTCTGTTGTGAGATTCTCTATTGGTCTTAAACTTCTTCGATCTAAACACTTGTGTCCGAATTATATGATTGCTTATCTTCATTTGAGAGGTTAGAAAATATTTCAAACGAATGTTCAGAATCTTACCCATCCTTTGAAAATTGATTGCTTCTCTTAAAAGGCTAGTCAAATTTTTCTAAATTTTAGTGGAGTAAATAGTTCTCTGCTGTAGCTTTGTCAGCCATTCTTTCAAATAATTTTTACTAAATTTCCTCTCTTAAATCATAGGATATATTCTTACTTTTGCTAGTCCTTTTGGCTTTCCGTCTTCCTTATTATAGTCGAGAATAAGTCTTGTGTGTATTAATTAAGATTTCCTCGTATTCTTTTGGATGAGCGTGGTCTGATTGTTTTTGCTGATTTTATGCTGGATTCAGAACTTTCAGATTTACCAGACTTTCCAATAGAAACATCGCTATCAGATTCTGAATCAGAACTATGGTTGATCTTGGCTGCATATTTATTGATTTAAAATGCGTCCTATTTATCCAAGAAATTTCCTCTTCTTCTGGAGGATTTGTCCATTTTTTATGATTTTTATCTCTTGTTCCCATGATCGGCAGATTAAAACAATTGAGTGTTCTTCTTGACAACAAAAGTTTTAGAAGGATGCTTCTTTCTAGCTATTGGAGATTACATAATTAAAATAATATACACAAATTGATTCATTCAATATAAACATGAGATGTGCTTACAGATAAAAACATAAGAATAAACTATCATCTGAAATCTCTAAAATTCAATAACTGAGTATTAGCCAAAAAGAACTTTTAAGAATTGTTCTTAACAAAAACCAATTCCTTTAAGGTTGCATGCTTTAATTCTACAGAAGACATATAGGATATCGATAACGAATAAAAATAAGTCATAATATTTATAATTTTTAGAATGAGTTCATTCTAGTTCGTTAAAAATATACAATTATAATAAATACTTCACTTTTGATTATGAATATAGTTAGTAATAAAATAAATCCCCTAAATCTCTGTATCTATTTTATATCATCACATTTGCTTATTCAATATTTAGATGTATATCCATCCTTTCTAAAAATGAGCTAGTGTTTCCAATTCAGCAGGAAATTCTTCAAAGACCTTTTTCAAAAACATGAAATAAGTTTGATTATTAACTTGATGTGATTTATTATTAAAATCAACTAATATAAAAAATATTAAAAAACAATATATATGATATTTTTGGTACATCATTTCCTTGATTAAAACAATATTTTTCCTGATCTCCTATTATTTTATAATTCATTAATTAGTTCTTACAACATATTTATACCAAGACCCCTTTAATTAGTAAATGAAAATGCGATTTGACGAGACTCAAAGTTTTTTGGGTTATAATTGAAGGGGATCAAAATAATAATGTCTAAAATGTATGTTCCTATATGGCATACGATTATTAATCATATTGGAATGAATGTTCAAGGAATTTCATTATTTTTTTAAACTTCTACATATTATTGAAATTTATTAAATACGGCTTTCTTTGATATTTCAAAAAATGCTCATAATTAACATACAACTCTTTGTGCTATTGTGAAATTTGTATTAATCTAATATTTATTTTATGTAATAAGTTAACGCTGTAAAGTAGCAGAAATAAGTATCTGTGTTTTAATAACCTTAAAAAGGTAAACAAGCCTAAAAAAAGAATAAATGGGATGCTCAAAGCGATCCGAAACAAGAGCAATAAGATTAAAACAAATAAAAATTATAGACAGCTTCCGTAGTGTTGGATAAAAATAAACCTGAATCATAGCTTTCAAAAGGAACTTAAATGATGAAGGAAAGTTTAAAATCATCGCAAAAATCTCAAACTCTGAGGAGTGATAAAAAGCGATTCACATAGAACAGAACAACTCAAAACAATTAGACTCTAATTTTACTATAGGAAAATCAAATTTATGAGAAACCAGCGAGAGATGAAGAGTCAGCATCAGAACAGTATAATACCTATAATATAGAATAAGAGCACTCAATGATTATTTTAAATGAAGCATTAACAAGATAAGCATCTAAAAAGGCATTTGAGCAATTATTAAAAGAAAATGAGTCATATAGATTGGATGCCTCCAATTTTGGAGATTGCATCGATGAAAGTTAAACTAACAAACAGTAATAAACAATATAAAGGGAAGTATAAGATAATTAGGAAGATCTCAAGAAGTAATTTCAAACAACTAATGCAGAAGAAAAACCTGAGGAATAGGAAGAAAAGGAGAATAATATTTTGTTAATGCTCCATGAGAATCTATATAATGAAGAAAGTTAAAATTATAACATCGAATTGAAGGTGAACCATAATTTTAAATGGTTATTAATGGAGATAAAATACTACTAGGACAATAATAAATTGCTGTATTTTAGGAAAATATTGTTTTTTATTGTAGTTGGTTTTGAGATTTGTTGTTATCGTTTATTGCAATGGACAGCTTTTGATCTTTATGAAATGTTTCTGACATTAACGAATATCATTTTGTTCCTCAATAGATCATCTACTTAATAAAATGAAATCTAATCGTATTAATATATACTATGTGCACTCTACTTCGCAGACTCATTAATTCATTTGGCTGGTCAAGGATTTAAAAAATACATCTCTTCATTTTGGAATATTTATGACTTAATAATTTTGATATTATATTTTCTATTCCTTATAGAAAATGATTACATTCCTTTTGATGTTTCAACCTTTAGATTGATAAGGATTCCCTTTTATGTTGGTAAGATTAGCAGTACCTTAAACATTATGCTTATGTCAATCCAAGAGGCCGTAAAACAGATAGTTGAAAATATATTGATTCTGATATTGTTCACAATTCTCATCGCTTTGATTATGTTGTATGCATTTAATGGAGTCATCAGATATCGTTGTATGAATGAGGAATTGGGCATATTTTCATTAGAGAAATTTGAAGAAGATGTGTGTGGCTATGTTGAATGTGAACATGGATATATTTGTGCTCGACAACTAAGTAATTTAGATACTCCAACTCATTTTGATGATATTATTTTCTCTTATTTCTAAACTATCAGGACTAGTGTTGTGAATGATTGGACCATCTCTATGTACGTATTAATGAAATAGTTTAATCCCCTTGTTTGTATCTTGTACATTTTTATCATCTTCGCTATCAATAAGTTTTATTTTCAATTGTTGATTGCAGTCCTAAAAGTAAGCTATCACAAAACTTAAGAATATTATGTTAAAAACCCTATCAAACCTGAATCTTACGAAGATCAGATTAGTGTAAATCTATAAAAATTAAAGGCCATTGGCATGTGGTAGTACTACTAAATATCCTATAAGAATTATTTAAAAGGGAAATCTGGTAGATTAAACAGTAAGTCATTCTCAAACAATTCTCAAGATGAACCTCATATAAAAGGATAAAAGCACATATTTCCCGAAACTGCTAATTAAGAAAAAACAAAGTTGTTATCAGCAAGATAAAAAAATGAAATGATAAATGAAAGACATTTAATTTAACAATAGTATACATTTGGTAGTTGGATAATTTACATCCTCTTCCCAAATCATAAACTTCAAAATTAAATGAAAATTATAATTTAAGCGAATGAAAATCACTTTAACGAACTCTAACTCTATTACACTTTCTTAAGTATTGATTATCTCAGTCTTAATAAGTAAATAATTAAGGGAACTCCCAATTAATTCAATTCTATGGAAGATTTAGAAATATAACCTAAAGCACCTATACCCACACAAACCAAAGCCAAAACCAAAAAAATTCCTAAAATATTTGCTACTTAAACTTATGTAGTTGATACACAAAAAGACCCAGTCAAGGAGAACTCAAAAAAAGAGGAGCATCTATTTCCAATTAGAAGATCGAATTTCGCAATGCATTATAATTAGATTCAATAAGCCAATGAGGAAAACAATATATCAGTGAGAGAATTGAGTGAAGATGAAATAAGTTCTAATCTCGACCAATCTAAACTTGAAAAATACCCTTAAGAAATAATATAAATTAAAAAGGGAAAGAGCTTAAAGCATATGTATTCCTAGAAATTTCAATAGAGCACCTAGTTTAGCAAATCTATACCCTAATTATCAAGATACATGTTATTAGATGGGATATAATTACCTTATCAATAGATAGAGAAGATTATAAATGCGGAATTGAAAGTAGAAACTTAAGAAATTAAAGATTACGAGCAAAAATATTACGATTAAGATTCTCAAATAATTGAGGGTTTTATAGAAAAGAAATGGTCAGGGAATGATCTAATGAAAAATTACAAGGCTAATTCTGTGATACAAGACTTAAATAGAGGATGGAATTATTATTTTGCAAAAGGATTTATGTTTTATTTAGAATACATTAAATTCTATCTAGGAATTTTCATTACTCAATAATTTGTTATGGTAATAATCGATAGTTTCGTATGCATTGATACTTTACTCATTGCATTCTCAGATTATTATGATTCTGGTATTTCAGATTTCTTCGATTTATCAGTGAATATCTTATTGGTATTGGAGATCCTCATTAAATCAATATGCATAAAGGGTTATTTATACAAAGTGAGTAACATTTTAGGGTGTTTGGTTATCATGATTTCAGCCATTGAAAGAATTTTGACTCTCACAATCTATTAGGATGAAGAGGTCTTAATTGAAAGTTTCACCTACATCAGAATTTTGAAATCATTATTCTTCTTTAGAGTCATCAAATACAATACGTTTGCTCAAAATATGATGGTGATCTCATATTAGACATTCCCTAATTATGCTATGATGACCTTGTTGTTATTCTTTTTAATATTAAATTATGCTGTGTTTTCATTGCAGATCTTCAATTTTCCAGATAGTGGAGAATTGGCATTGTTTCATTATTTTGGTAACATCTACTAATCTTGGATTGCAGTATATGACATTTCAACAAGTGATGACTGGTATGGAGTAGTCATACTAAGTACTTAATATAGTGCTTCATACATAGCATTTCTATTTTGTATTTCATTAGTATTTATAGTCAACTATTTTGGATTCGGCTTAGCATTTGTTATAATTCTAGATGGATTTGCTAGTTATTTAGAGAATGTTGAGGAGATCGAGGAAGAAAAAACTGATGAATAGGATAATCAAACTCATACTTCAGCTAAGATAAAAAAAAATTTTACTCTCAATAACATCTTGTCTTCATTAATTCAACCAGAAGAGAATGAGAAATTCAAAAATATCAAAAATCAATATTCTTTATTCCTTATTTCCAAAAAGAACAAATTTAGAAAGTTATGCTTCTCAATTACTGAAAACCGATTCTTTTAGTCATTAATGATTCTAATATTGTGGGGCAGCTTAATAAACTTAATAGTGATTACCTATACTGATTAATATCGACATGAAGAGTGGGGTATTTGCGAAATAATTAAGTTGATCTGTAATTTAATCATCCTCATTGATGGCATCTTGTAAATTATAACATATGGTTTACTATCAGAGGATGGTTATTTCAACAGCATATGGGTATTTATCGACTTTGTTTACATAATCTGTTATTTTTTGCACATAGCCACTCAACATGAAGCCCTGGAATGGATGCTCTTTTTAGGTTATTTGCGACCATTAAAAGTCACATCAACATACGGTTTCTTTATAAATGAGCGAGGAGCTATCATGAAATCATTGGGAGATATTATTTCAATATTTTATGTAGTGTTATTATTTTGGTTCATATTTGCAATTTTCGGTATGACAATTTATAGAGGGAAGATGGGTTATTGTGGTGAGGCTACAAATTACGGAGTTAGCAAAGAAGAATGTGAAGAGGAGAAGGAGGAATGGATTGTTTACTAATATAATTTTGACAATATTTTGGAGGCCATGAAATCGTTGTATGTGTTATCTACTTTTGATCTTTGGGCTTAGACTTTATTCATTTGTATCAATAGTGCTCCTGAAACTACGGGGCCAATAAGATTCAATAATGAATGGATTTCTTATTTATTCTTTTTTTCATTTACTTTTGTAGGGACACTATTTTTCCTTTAGTTCTTTGCTGGAGTTATATTCGTAAATTTCCAATAGAACAAATCACAATTGCTTAATCCAGACTTAACCTTAGATTAGGAGTTATTTCTGAAATTATCTGATATAATCATGCAAGACACACCAAATTATTCTAAACCTCCAAAGAAAGGGATAAGATTGGGAGCAAAGAAATTGTTAAGCAATTCCTATTATATTTTTGTAACCAAATACAGTTTGTTAATAAACTTATGTAAAAGCAATATAATTATTTTTAGTCATTCTAATGTTATTATACGAATCTGCAAGCAACCACTATCTCAATATTCTGAATGGATTCCAACACTTTTTTAGTCTCATCCTAACAATAGATTGTGTAGTCAAGTTGTTCTCATTAAACATTAAAAGATATTTTGACGATGTTTGGAGATAGATGCAACTGATATTTGTGATATGTGCAATAATAGACTTCTTTTTGGATATCCAACACAGCATATTTATCAGATATGTGAGAGCAAGCAGAGATGACCCTTATTTTGTGTGGCTGAGATTATTTATACTTCATAGATGTTTACGAATGGCTCTGATCATTCAGCAATTCACAAGGATAAGGAAGTTATTGAATGTGATCTATTTTAATAAGATGGCTTTGTTAAGGATCTTGGGTCTGTTTGTAACAGTACTATCGTGTTACTCTTATATTGGTTGTGAATTATTTTCAGATATCGAAACAGGTTTTATGATGAATGATCAACAGAACTTCACCAATTTTTTCTATGGGTTGATAGTAACATTCAAATGCACTATAGAAAATGGATGGAGATTTATTTATTAGGATTCGTAAGAGTATATGAAAGAGCACCATCAGCCTTGGATCTTGGCTCAAATTTATTATTATAGTTTGATCTTTGTGGGAGCAAGAGTCTTACTTAATTTAATAGTTTGTGAACTGGTTTAAGAATTTGAAAAGTTCTATGACACCAGTAGTAGTTGTGTGGAAACCTATGTTGAAACCATCGACACCTTTAGAAATTTGTGGTGCAAATACTCTGAAGAATTCTAAGGAACAAAAATACAAACCAAATATTTGGCTCATTTTCTACTTGAACTAGGAGAACCATTGGGAGCACGGAGAGGAGATAATATATGGGATGCTGCCAAACATGCATCTGAGTTTGAATTGAAGAAGGATTTTGATGGATGTCTTACTTTTAGGAATCTTCTTTATGAAGTCTTTAAAGCAGCGTTCAAGGAAAGCATATTCAAAATAAGTACAAAGGCTGGCAAAAAAATAATGAAGGACAACGACAAAAAGGTTAAGTATCGACTCTACAATCAAAGAAATCCTCATTACAGAAGAGAAGTTGTCAGTTAGATTGTGGATTTGCAAAGCAACTTTAATATCCTTCAAGAGTATCTATACTTATACATGACAATCAAAGCCTGGAAGGCTTTTTCAGAGCATTTCCTTAAGGCAGCAGAGTAAATTAGAAATACAATTGAATGTACAGAAAGTGATGTTGATGTGGAAATCGAGAAATTCAATAAGGATTACAATACAAATGGGAAAGGGCGCATTTATAATTAAGATGCTGATGACGATAGTGGAGAAGAGGAGGAAGCTATGTAATTCAATCCTGTCAGAAGATAAAAGAAAAGAAGACCTACTGCGGAACATTTGAGGAGACCCACCGATGTCTACATTTTACCCTATTATGACGAATTGAGAGGAATAGACAAAAGAGCATTTGATGCTGATGGCAACATTGACAACTCCAAATACATACTTAAACCAACCGATTAAAAACAATAAAACAAATTAAAATCTATTACTGTAATCAAGAAGAAGGAATAATTAATTAAATATAATGATTATAACAAAAGAAGAGACGCAATAGACAAATAAATTTAATCAAGAAATAAGTACTTATATGGGTATCATGATAAAATGGTTCTAAGATAAATTGTTGATGATAAACAAGTCATGTCACGTTTGGATCCTATGAAAGTGCCAAGCAATTACAACATCATGAAAATTGGTTCAAGGCTAAAATGAATACATTACAAGGCTATTTTCTCTATTATATATATATACATGCACTAAAATGTTAAGCAAAATTGAATTAGCATTATTATATATTTAATCGCATGATTTATTAAAAAAAGGGGCCATACGGGAGTCGAACCCATATCTGATGTACCCGAAACATCCATACTACCGCTATACTAATGGCCCTATAATTATTTTAATTTAATGACCTAATAAATATTATTGGTATCCCTGTGCATCTTGTTTTTGTAGAAATGGCTCTTTGAGAACACTTTGGTCTATAAATAATATGATTAAGTCAAGGATATTATCAAATAGATGAATACTTTGACCACCACCAACTTTTTCAACAACAGGGATTATTATACAAGTAAAAGATTATATCGATTCGACCTATCGAAATCTTAAATATATCTGAATGACAGTTACTGCAACTAATCGGATACGTTCAAATTTTATCACCCTGATGTCGTTTTAAAGGACATTCACACCACCAGAGATACCGATGATTTAACCCAAGAAATTGTCTAATCTATCAGCTTTATCAAGATCACCAATTACACCGAAGGTAAAATAAGGAATAAGAGTGTCCTACCCGAAGCCTTGACAATTCCTTTTAATTATTATGACTCCTATCTCACTAAAACAACTACAGGACTATGTAATGAAATATCTAATTTATCTAGCTGCTATGTGCTTGTTTTAGAAACATAACCACATGAGAGGTCGATAACAACTAGCATACAAAAATGAATTGCTAAATAACTATTATTTATATGTGGATAAATTGAAGACCATGCCTGAATTCTGTTCAACAAATGTTACTTACATCCCCAAATCTTACAGATTATGGCTGAAAGATGAGTGTTCAGCATTCTTTGAGTTTATTAACACTACGGAGTACCAATAGAAGTTCTAAAAACAAGGACCACAATTCATAAGTAAATTAGGATTGGAAGTACATAGAGGGGCGGGGATTACTATGTTATTTTAAAAAGAAACTCAATAACTCATCAAAGAATACTAGAATGGTTAGAATTGCGGTCTAAATTCAAAGTATATAATCGCCTAAAAATATATCAATAATCCCTATCTATTCAAAGGACATAAAATTGAATTTAGAATATATTTCATAATTGCTTCTACCTATCCCTTGATTGCCTATGCTTATGATAGTTCCTTAATTAGAAGATGTGCCACGCCATTTGATAAGTTTTCCTTAGAAAAATCCTCACATGTTTGCAACACTGCGATCGTCAAAACGAAAATAGAGGGCCAAGATTTAGACGAGGATAAACAATTTTTTATTGAATGGAAATTAGATTACCTTTAAGAATTGCTATTGAAATAAAAAAAAATAAAGAACAAGAAATGGTTAGAAGATTACCTCTATCCTAAAATACACACTACCATCTAACATCTAATAATGAGCACCTAACACTTTTTTGATAAAGATAGTAAATTATCAGAATTCTTTGGAGTCGATTTCATGCTCACTGATGATTTGCAAATCTACGTCTTAGAAGTTAATTCGAATCCTTAATTATTAAAAACTATCCCAGAAAGAATTGTACAGAATACAAAATTAGTTAAAGACATTGTTGAAATACAAGTTGCATATCTAAGGAGCAAGTACGTTAGATTGAGATCATTAATCACAAGCTCCCTCTAAAGTAAATCAAATCCACAAAAGTTTGAAAAAGACTTTAACGAAGCTTACAAGGATAAACTTGAGCCTGAATTCCCTATTAGTTCTAATAATTTGTTTAGAAAAATCATTGATAAAAATCTGAAAGATTCAAAGGCTTACAATGATCTAATTTAGACAAAATGTATTATATGAATTTATATAACATAATTTGCTATCTTTAAATAGTATCGTTTTATAGCAACTTAGATTCTAAATAAATAGTTTGAATCAAATTATTTGAGAGCGATGACCTTAATCATCTAATTTATCTATCCGCTTTTAATATAGAACAAATTCAGGCACATTTATATGATATCATCAAAATAAAATGGGAGAATTCATATTCACATCCAGATTCAAAACAAAATATCTAATCATCAAAGTAGAGGTATTTCATCAGAGACTAACATTTAATAAGATGTCTTAAAAAGTAATTCAAATCTCCTAATATCAAATAATTAGCAACTCTTATAGCAATAAAGGAATATGGCTCGATATGGCATAAATCAATTTAGCTTCATTTTTATTAGTTGCTTCAACACTCTCTGATAGTTTAATTTTACAACAAACCGAACACAAATAATAAATATTTTTTATATGAATAAGCAATGTTGAAAATTAATTATAAACTATCTAATTTTAGATGTATCATTATTTTTTCTTTGATTTTTCTCTATTATAATTTAGCATTATAATATGTTTTAAATTAATAATTATGAAAATTGATAAAGATGCACATGATTATGAATTTATTGATAAATAATCTATGTTATTTATAAATATTAACTATTTTCATAAAATTAAAAACCCTTAATAATAATTAAATATAATCCTAATCAGCCTATGAGAAGATATATTATATAATGATTTTAGTTGAGATAGTTATTATAATATATAAAGACAATAGGAATGTAACAAATCTTTTAATTTTATATAATAAATAAAATAATTAATTTCCTATGGATAACAATATTGTGATTAAAAAATAATGGTTCATAAAATCCTCCACAAGTAAAATTGAAGATGCTTATGAATTTGATCACAAGAAGGTATTAAAATGAATTCATTCAAAAAGCTGCTTGGTTAAGGGACTTATGGTTAAGTGGTAAAGGCAAAACTAAAGGGTTCTAAATATTATAGAGCAATCAAAATAATTCCCAAAAGCAAGGTTAGAAACCCTGATCGATTCAGAAGGGAAATAGAGATAATGAGAAATTTAGTATGACTGAATGTATATAATTAGGATCACCCAAATATCATTAAACTATTTGAGACTTTTGAGGACAATAGAAATGTGTACTTAGTGATGGAGTAAGAATTGAAATCATCTTAGATTATGCGAAGGAGGTGAACTCTTTGACCGAATAATAGACAAGGGTCATTTTTCTGAGAATGAAGCTAAGATCACTATCTTGTAAATTATGCAGGCAGTCAACTATTGCCATCAGAATGGAATTTGTCATCGTGATTTAAAACCTGAAAATTTTTTATTGTTGACAAAAGCCGATGATTCACCACTAAAAGTCATTGATTTCGGTTTGTCTGTTATATTCCACGACAATCACGTTGAAAAGTTGACACAAGGAAAAGTTAGTATGACAACTAGAGCAGGAACACCATATTACATATCTCCTGAGATTTTGGATGGAAAATATGATGAATCTTGTGATATTTGGTCAGGAGGAGTGATCCTGTATATTCTTTTATCAGGAGTACCTCCATTTTATGGGAATACAGATCCTGAAATTCTAGATGCCGTTAAGAAGGGCATTTTCACATTTAACAGTATTTGATGAGAATATTCCTTAGTACCTGAGTTCAAGAAGGTGTCAGAAGGTGCCAAAGATTTGATATCAAAAATGATATGCAAGCCAGAGAAACGATTGAAATCTCATGAAGTTCTTTAGCACCCATGGATGAAGTAACAAACAGCTGGTAATTCCTCTTTAAGCGTTAATTATCAATCTTTAAAGAATTTCACCAACTTTAATAAATTAAAAAAGGTACTTATCATTATTGAATAATCTAGGTTACATTGACTTATATAGCATCTTAATTATCGGAGTAGGAAATCTCAGAGTTAGGAAAATTGTTCAAACAATTGGATAAGAATGGAGATGGTGTTTTGACTATGGATGAATTGACTCATGGATTGACAGGTCTCAAGAAGGAGTCCTAGAATGAGATTATGAGTGTGATCAAAAGCATTGATACTGATGGTTCAGGTACTATTAATTACACAGGTACATTTATTTAAATATAATCACAAGAGTTCTTGGCAGCCACCATAGAGAAAAGTGTGTATATGAAATAAGAGAGACTCTTCTAGGCATTCAAGATGTTTGATTTGGATGGAAGTGGTAAGATCTCAAGGGAAGAATTGAGATAGGTTTTAGGAAGTAATTAATGAATACATTAATTTTAGAGACTGGCTCTGGGTTTGATGACAACACTTTCAAAGCCTTGATTGCAGATGCTGATAAAGATGGAGATGGAGAAATTGATTACAATGAGTTTATAGAGATGATGGACAAAATGAAACCATGATTCGTAGTATAAATTATTTTCTATCATATAATTAAATTCGTATTAAGTTAAACAGTAATTTCTACAATTAAATATAAAATGTATAATTATACACATTTCTTATATATTTTTAGGTATATCATAAATAGTACGCTGCCTTCATCACTAATTGTTTTGTGATCAACTTTGCTTTACTGTTCTCCTTGCATAATTATTCAATTTATGGTCTATAGTCACCTACTTCTCTAAAGGCCAAAAGAATAATCAAACTAAACAAGGCTGCTCCTTTTATATTATGTTCAGGACTTTTGCAAAACTCAATCAATGCCTTGATATAGGTCTAAATTAATATTATCATTAATATTACATTCAAATGATCTTATTCCAAATTTATGGTCATTATCATTATGATTTTTTCATTTTCTTCCAGATGGCTCGTCTCAAGTTCACTTTAGATTTCATTATTTGACAGTTGTCTTAAATATAGGTAAATCAATTTACTTTAAAAGTGGTGCTTGCAGTAAGTTTCCAATTGGTTCCAAAGCTAACTTGCACACCTATCTAACCTGAACACTCTCATCTAACAAATGAAGCATCACTGATACTAATGCTTATCTTAAATAAGACATTAATTATTCATTCATTATTTCCTCTACAAAACAAGTATTGCACAATTTTGAGAACAAGGAAAAAGCAGAAATTCTAATCTTAGTCATTGTCTTCTCAAAATTAGCTGTTGTGGTAAAAATCAATTAATGAAGGTATGCTATAAAATCAGTTTTAGAGTCAACCAAATTTTATAAACTGATCATCGCACTCCTCACACAAATCTCTTGTTGATCATCCAATAAGTTTATTAAACATTCGATAATCTCTTACAATAACTCCTTTTCAATTGTCTCATCAGCTTTTAGATAATATGATAATCCTCCCAATCCAAATGCCACTTAAGCTCTCACATTATCACTGTCATCTTCAGCTGATTCTAATAGGGTTTTCAATAGATTCTCATAAACATTCTATTAAGCATACTCCTTCTTATAACTTCTTATGAATTAACTAATAACAACTATTGCCCCTAATCTATATGATGCTTATTCCTTTTTTGTGAAACCTTCAATAAAGTAAAATAGTTTCTGTTGATCTTGGAATGAAGCCCCTTTACAATATATCATAACAATCTCTTGAACTCCATCCTCAACTTCCTCCTCGATTAACAACTTCTTAAAAACGTGTTGTGATATTCCTTCAATGTTGCAAATAGTCAAAAAATTTTGAAATGCCCAAATAGCAGTCTAGACTGACTAAGATGATCCAGATAATTTAGGATCATGACAAGTCATAAATCTAAGCAAGAAGGTTCCCAAAATACTGGCCATTGATTTGTGTAGCATCTCTGCTAGAATTTTGTTCTCGTCAATTAACAATTATCCAATAAATAATGAAGCATTAACTAAATAATTTCCAATATCTCCAGTGATAACTAAATAATCGAAAAAATTGATTACTTCCTTCTGGATTATTTAACACATCTGTTAAAAACTTAAAGCTTTACACCATAAAAGTCTTTTTTTAACTTACACAATTAAGAAACAATCTCGGAAACATACTCACTGGAAATTCTGATTGATTATCCAAAAGAACCTTCAAAGAATCACTCAAATTATTTTATGCCAATAAATCCATTGCTTTGCTGAGATTAGAATTACTAATTATAAAAATATAATCTTACATCACTTCTTCAGAGGAAGATCCGGCTCCCTATTGACAAATGGATTATAATAGAAATAGAACTTTATTTAAATCACCATAGTCACTTTGATATATGCATTGAATAAGAGAGACAAATCCATGTAGTGAATCAACGATTGGCTCAGTGATGAGATTCTATAATTCCTACATCAAGACTGCCAATTCATTGTGATGCAGTTTCTCTCTTAACGATTTTATTACTTAAGAATTAAACTCTTCATCAGTTTTTTAGTAGATATCCAAATATACTCCCAAAGATAACATTACCTTTTCTAAAATCAAGACAACCGACCTTTTTGCATTTGTATTACGATATTATATTGAAAGTAAAGTCAAAATTACCTTAAAATAATTCTTATGATTTTATTCCATCTTTAGTTTCACTCTCTAAATACTTTTCTACAAAACTTCTATCAATTAATCATTATCCTTAATTGATTTTATTAAATACAATAGAGATTGCCAAACTGAAATACTTTAAGAGTCTTCTTCCAATTTAACTGTTCCCAAAAACAACAAAAAACAGTTTTAAAACGTAAGACTGACTTATTCAATTGAAAGATCATACTTCTAATCCAAATGTTAACTCAATAATTATTTAGCCTTATTATACTCAACCGGAGCCAAACGATATTGTAAATTAATTGTATTAAGATTCCTAAATATATTTCCTCGAGTGATATTTTTTTAACAGTGATTCAACACCTATTCTCTATATTTTTAGTAACTCAACAAAAATGAGGATGCAGCAGCTTCATCTGTATTTTCAATAGATCTTTCGATTGCTTTGCTTATGGATTCTAAAGAGATCTAAAGAGAATTGAACAATTGTTCATGTCCAATAAATGGCATAACATTTGGTAGGATATTCTTCTCCAATGTTTCTAAAGAAACTTATTTTGCTAAACATCCATAGGCTATTAGTAGCGTAGCTCTAAAGGAGGCCAAATATTCATCACTGCCATTTTTTTAAAAAATTGATAAAACACTCTCCTTGAATGAACCTGTATTCTTCTTTTGAATCACTTCGCAATTTAAAATTGACTTGACTTTATCTAATACTAATTGAGTGTGTCTTTCTCCGATGTAACCAAAGCATTCAGCTACACAAAGTCGAAGATTGAAGTCTGGCTCTTAAATTGGGACATTGAGATTTAGAGCTTGATTTGTGTATTCTTGATGACAAATGCTAAACAACTTATCTAAATTGTATTTAATTGTTTCCTAATTAGTGAGAAAACTCATTAGAGTTGCTTACATTTTCATTATTGGCAATCTCAAGGCTTGTGAATTTAAATACATGCTTAGTTAAACCTAAAAGTCCTCCTCGATTTAAGAGAGTTCTTTATTTTAAATGAATAATGATAAGCAAACCTTCCAAATTTATTATACCTTCTCCTCATAAAATTCATCCAAAGGCTTTTTATTTATGAGATATTGTTTCAATGCTTCTACATTTTAGTGAAAACTACTTGGGACCTTCAAATCAAATGTCTTTATCAAATATGGCAAGAAATTAACAGCTTCAAATCCTAAATTTGGAAAGAAGTATGGAATCTAAATTAGCAGTAGCATTCTCACAACGATAACATGTTAGGCAACAGGGGAATTAGGAGTGATAATGCTTAATTTTTGCAAGATCTAAGTGTAACATTTAAAAATATGAGATAATCCTGGAGAAAACTTTTGGTTATTAATAATTTCCAATCCCATCGGCCATAATAAATCATAAAAATACTGATCTTATGAAAGTGTTGTCAATACCTTTTAAGCTCTACTCTTCAATAGCTTTCAAAATATAAATTTGAATCTTACTTCTAAGGTCGTCTCGAATGGTGCTGCCCTTTACTTTCCGTATTCCTCCAATTCCTTATCATGTATCGATACCTGATTAAACAAATAAAAGAGGAGAGCTTTAACGTCCAAGTAGGTTTAATTGATTGGTAATTCTTCATCTTTTAGTTTGTAGTAGATTTGTAAAATGATTTCGCAAATTGAATATCTCACTTCGCAATCTTATTCAAATTATAAATTTAGTAATTATAACACTAATTGTCTTTTGTATGGTTCAGAGATCAGTTTGAAATTTCTAGACAAAATGAAATTGCAAATCCATAGACATGAAACTCTCTCTATCTAATCCTTACTCTAAAATATACATACATTTAATTACATTAATTCTACCAATAAACAGATCTAAACAATTATCTATATTAAACTTTGATACTGTCTGCAAAAGGGTCAATAAGTCATTCTTATACTTCAAAGCATTTGGATCAAATGGGTAGTTAGGAGAGAAGATTGGATTCTTGTAAAATTCATACAATGAAACCATAATCGATTTTATGATTCCCTCGTATCCAATTCTGTCCAAATGGTATAATCTTTCCAGGAACTTATTGAAACCTTCAAACAATGGTCTTAATTAATTGCTTTTTTGTTTCAAAACACTCAAATATACAGATGTCAATCTTTCTAGACTTCGTTCCAATCTATCCCTTGATATAAATTAACTCATAAATCCAACCAAAGACAACACTTAAACTTAAGTGGTAGTTTGCATCCAATCTTTGATGATTTAGTCAAAAATAAGCCAACTTACATTTTAAACCTATTCCTGATTAATTTAAATCTGATTCTCTTCGAAATGAGTTAGTGTTTTATAAATAGATTGCAACAATGAACAATAATCTAATCTACATTAATCAGTCTTCACAAGAGAGAGAGATGATAAAATCTTTTATAATATTTCGTATGAAAATTGTCTAAAGTATTCTTTACCTAAACAAATTTAATTAACTCTTTACTTTATGATTCGAAAATCTGCTAAATGATCTTCAAAATAACTATTTCAGGAACACGTCCAGATTCAAAAAAATCAGAAATATGATTGATAATCAATTCATCAAAAACATCCATTAATTTGATGTGGATATCGGTGAGCAATTAATTCAACTCCTCTGAAATTTAAGGTTGACTCAGAATTCGATTTATAATTCGTTTTAACACTTGAGTGCATTATATGACTCCTAATTTGGCCTCCTCTGTTCGAGTTAACAACCCAGAAACCTGAAGTGTTAAACGAAGTACTCTGATGTATTCGCTATTTATTTCAGTCATCTAAAATACATTTAATAAGTACTTCATCTAAAATCTCAGAACATTTGCACAAGTAGACAACAGGATGCTTTTACATTACTTAACGACTTATTTGTTCACTCTGCTTCTCCTCTCCATCCTTTATAAATTGTTAAATCAAGTCTAACATAACACCAACATCTTACCTTCCAGCAGCTAATTCATTTTAATTATTAATAAAAAATATAAATGTCATTTAAAGAACACATTTAATCTTCACTAGATAATTTCACTATTAGAATTATTAATACGTGGACTACATAAAATAAATTTTTAATCCCAATTTTGAACTTCTTAATAATACATAATACCCAGAAATTTGCAATGCCGAAATACTACAAAAAGAAAATATTGAGTGATTATATTAAATTAAACAGACTTTTTTTAATTTAACAAATTTAAACTGAATGCAACGAGTACCACAATATGTTCAAAGACCTGTAGTTTAAGACTCCTTTCGTTAGTCTTTCAAATAGACACCTGATAAGGAGAACTCATATGCATAATTGCAAAAACGAAAACCAATATAAGCTTACCCTCAATATCAATCCACTTAGACCCTCCAAAAACCAGAAATGCGTCCCAATTCCTCCCAACCCAGACAACCATCAGTATAGGCAGTGCCAAGACCATCCTCAGCTTCCAATGATAAAAGGGCATTTTCTAACCAGAAACAACCATCCAGATGCTCATTCAAGGAATTAAAGAACTCAACCTACATTCAACCATAATAAGCCACTCCTTAATCAAGATATTATTCATTAAAATAGGTTCCAGATAATTGTCTAGTGAAATCTTAATCTAATTAACAGTTGGCAAACAAATAAATTGATTAATCAGAATATAAAAAATTACACGAGAAATTGTTGTTTTTGGAAAACAAGATCAATAAAATTAAATCCAATATAGAAATAAGCAATTCCTAATTACAGAAATAATCAGAAAGAGGAAAGCAAAAGCCAGTAGGTTTGGCTGCTAAGTTCTTTTAAAAAAAAGACTAAGAAAATAATGAACCCAAAGAAGCAAGCACTCCAAAAGAATTTAACCAAATGTGCAACTGCTCTGAATCTATAACTCAACAAGGCTTTAAAGCAAAGTCAAATTGGTAAAGAGAAATAATCAAGTCTCAATCTTGATCAATTCGTTACATAAGTAAAGCAAATAAAAAAACCAACTCAACCACAATAACCACAATAATAATCCTAAATTAGCAGACACTAGTCTCTAGAAATTAGTTAAACAGCCGTTCCAATTATCAAAACAGTCATTAATGAGAAGTCATATTCATCATAGAAGCCAAAAAAGGATGAGAATGTACACATTTAATCTGAAAATAGTTCCTATATTATATTTCCAGTGTAATGAGAGCCTTAGTCTAAGAATAAAGTAACAAAAACGATGAAGTAGTCAGAGATCACATTGTGCAAACTATCTAGGTATGCTCTTATCATTATAAATCAGGGTTTAGAGTATGCTAGAAATTTACAATTGCAATTTCAAGAAGACAAAATTGTGAATCTACCAAAATCTAATCATTTCAAAACATTGGTTTTTGATTTGGATGAAACTCTTATTCATTGCAATGAAAGTATTGCTGTCCCTGGAGATATTGTGTTACCCATCTCTTTCCCCACTGGAGAGACTATCTAAGCATCTATCAATATCAGGCCATTTGCTTAGCAAATTCTTTAAACTTTATCTCGACATTTTGAAATCATCGTATTTACAGCTTCTCATTCATGCTATGCTAATATAGTTTTAGATTACTTGGACCCAAAAAAACAATGGATCAGCCATCGTCTGTTTAGGGATCATTGTTTACAAACTGAGGAAGGAGCATATGTTAAGGATTTAAGGTATTTCAGTTCTATATCCCTAGGGTCTTAGGCAACAGAAAATTATCTAATATTCTTTTGATTGATAATGCTAGTTACTCATTTGGGTAATAAATCGATAATGGAGTACCAATTATTGCATTCTATGATAATAAATAAGATTAAGTAATAAAATTATTCAAACTTAGGAATTATTATATTTACAAAATTATTTAATGAAATTTAGGATGGTCACTGATGTTAGAGAGCTAAATTCATAATTATTGAAGATGAATTCCTACACAAACTATTAAGATCCTTTGCATTTAGTTTAAGACTTATTCCCTGATTATTTACCAAAATGATTTGTTGTACTTTCATTTATAAATAATAATATTATATAAATCATATCAATAAATCAATATTTTACTATAGAAATATCAATTAAAAATTTGTAAATAATATTTAATCATCAATTAGGAAGGTATTTTTATAAATGAAGCAACAACTATGGATTCTTTACTTTGACTAATTCATGTATCTGAAATCACAAAATATAATTACATCTTTTATTTTTGCATTTAATATCTAAAACTTAGATTTTACTGCACCATGCTTGTAGTAGATATGCTATTTTATGATTTCTTCATCCCCAGCAATCATTTCAAATGTGATCAAAGTCAAATCTTTATACTCCAATGTTTAAACAATACTCACTTAAGCTCTTGCATTTTGTTAAATGTACAACACAGGAGCAAATCTGCCACATATATTACATTTATTACTGCTATTTTTCCAATAAACATCTCCTGAATGTTTTAACGCATACTTCTGGATACCCAAAGAAATCTGTGTTGAGTTTTTAATTAGTTTTGACAACTTGAAAATTGTCTTTATCGACTGTGTGAAAATAATAGAAAAATAAATCATTTTCGCTTGATAACTCTAAAGTTAATTGTTATAAATCTTTTCCATTTCCCTATTATGATAATTTAAAATTTTCATACCAAAATCATGATTCTGACTCTGATTATTTCAATAATACTCTGATCTTCTTAGTCTGGAAATTTAATCATAAAAGGGATCTCTTGATTGAAAATTATCTTATATCCTCCTTGTATACAGGGATCCAAACTTTCTATTTATGAGAAGTCAATTTGAATTAAGTTTTCTTACATTTAACAATAATTATATTATGAAATTCGTTTTAGTTGTTTATCTTTTTTGTGTTATTTTTGTGAACTGCTCAATCAGTCAAAGTACATATATCTTCTATTAAGTATTGAGTCCAAAATCATCAAAAAGGTCATAGATGGTGAGGATAGATGGTTTGAAGGTATTAAAGAAATATCCAAAATTTAGAAATATCTTAAGAATATGAAGATGCCATATACGAATATGATGCATATCCTGATGAGCTGAGTTTAGGACACTAGTTAGATTTAGGAAGGATGATTGATAATTATGATATCCCAGAGGACTGTTTTGAGGAAGTGATTAGTGTATATGAATACTACGATGTCGATGAACCTGATTAAAATCAAGAGAAGAGTAATCCTAACAATTTTTAAGTACATGATATGGGAGAGGAAGAATTTCTCAAGCTAGAGTAGGGAGTAGATGAAAACGGGAATGTGCAAAGTGTCATAGTTAAACAATAGTAGAGAGAGCAAATGCAAGGCACTCAAGGAAATGACAAAAAGAGTAAATAAAAGAAAAAACAGAGCAGCATGCACTTACGAAAGAAACAAAAGAAATGAATTTTAATAAATTTCAAATTAGAATAAATATAAACGAGTCAAATTATTTTCACTAGCAGTATGATATACAACTTTGTTAACATCTTTTTCTGAAATTCTTATAAAAATCAGTCTCCAATATTATAATTCAGAAGTTCCATCATTCTCCAAGGATGATATCCATTTGATGTAGTGGCTTATTCTTATTTAAGATATAAACCAAAAAATTATACACAAAATCAAATGAAAAAGAGGATATTAATATTATAAGATCTCCTTTAAACAAGATTATTAGTGTCTCATTTCAATTTCATAACTTATCCAAATAAATTACTAAAGTCAGATTCAAGAATTTTAAGAATAAGCAATCTTATATAATTAATTTCAGTTCAAAAAATAAATCGTCCATTTTCTACGCTTATCAAAAATGACAAAATTGCAAAAGGCAAATTACTTATTTAAACTTATGAGAATACATAGTAGAATTCAATATAATTGTTATTTTTATACTAATTACCTTTGTAATATCTAGATATTTAACATTCAGGAATGTTTCAAGAGATTACATTCTCAAATTCTACTTCTAAGCTTATCGCTCATGTAATAGTCATTTCTTAAGATTATTTGAAAAGCTTTGTCATTAATAAAATTAATTACACTTTACTACTCAATCAAGAATTCAAATATTATAAGAAATTCTCTTTTTTAAGAAATGAGAAATAGGTAAATTTTAATCAATTTAAAATGTTAATATCTACTTTATTTTCTGCTTATTCTTATTTTATTGATAATTATATTTAACATTATATATAATTCATGCAAATATTGAACCATGTTCATTTCCTCTTAAAGCATGCTAGATTTTTGGCTAAACGCAAGCTTCAACACAAGTCACCAAGTCTCTATAAGGATACATCTTACTATAAGTAAAAATAATACGCAATTCTTTTCAGGATCAGCATTTTTCAAGGAAAGGAATGCCTTTACACATCTGTCGTATTTATCATCATACCATTTGCATTATGGACGACACATTTAAATAACCATGTCTTTTGGATCCTTTCCGTTTTCAATCATATTATGTATTTCAGTCTTATAATTTTCACTATTCATTAAATTTATTTTAATATATATTTATACATATATTTGTTAATTAATTGTTATACAAACTTTTTCAAAGAATCTTTAAAATAATCTAAATTGTCATAGGCTATGTCAAACTCTCATTTTTAATCAGTTTAACGTATTTTTCATATTGTTTAATTAAAAACAAGTTACAAAAATTATTATATTAATCTAAACTTTTTTATATTTTATTCCAACTATTTGGAGGAGTTATTAAAAATATTATTATATCTAGATATATTTTAAGAGCTTAATGTAGGATACCTAGTTAATCTTGAAATTTATAAATAGTAAGGGTAATAGATTTTATAAAAAATTTACTATAATTCAATAGAATTCAGTTTCAGATCTAGATTCTGCAAACTGGGCATACATTTTTTCTTTCAAGCCAATCTTAAATACAATCTGAATGAAAGTAATGTTTGCATTTAAGTGTTTTTTTATTCCCAACTATTTCATTCATGCATATACTGCATTCCTGAATTCCTGCTAATTTTTCAAATTTATCCTCTATATACATAAGACACTCTTCGAAATGGTCATTAATAAAGGCTCTGACAATACTATCACCGCAATAAGGACACTGAATTTCATCAAAATTTGTTTCTTTATAAACACATTACTCTTCATGAGCTTTTAAAATGTGTCTTTCTATTTTAATTTTACAATATTCGCAAGTTTCCACTTGGTGTAACTTATCGAGAATATGCTCTAGTTCATGATCTTAATGATTTTCATTAACTTATTTGCCATTTAAATTTAACATTTATTCTTTGAAATCTTTAATTTTATCCGAGTGACTTCTCCTATGTTATTTTTATTAATGTTTAGTTTTTTAAATTTGCATTTATTGATTATTTTATTGAGAATCCTTTTAAATCATTTGTTGATTAAATACTGGCAATTGATTCTAAAACATTTATTATTTTTCCTGTTTTTTCTTTTGTTAGTATTATCTCTTCTTATCTTATTGTATAAGATCTTTTATAATTTCAAATGAATCTTTTATTTTGTAAAATTAACTAAAAAAAAATGATCTATAAATATACTTGTCGAAGTTGGCATTTTCATTTTCAAAAGAAAGGCTATTATTTTCAGAAAAATCGGATTTATTACTTTTAAATGTAAAAGATTCTTATTCATTATCATCTTCTACAATGGAACTCAGACTATTGAAGTTAGACATATTTATTCTAAATTAGTGAATGAATTAATTTTATTATCAAAATCATAATTCTTTTTTACACAAACTTAATTTTATTATGAAAATTCTATCATTTTATAAATATGTCGTTATACTATATTCTATATTACAAGTAAAAACTCAAGAATGAATATATTCATCATTTAACAACTCATCTATTGTTGCTCTCTCATCACTCCTTTTTTTCAAACATTTAGATATAAAATTTTTAAGTTTCTGGTCAAAATGTCTCGGATATTATACTTCCTCTGAAATTATTCGTCTCATTTATAGCTTTTAATCTCTATCTTTGATTGGAGGCTCAAGATTACTTAATTCGTATGTCAAAATCCCAACAGACCAAATATCTATGCGATTATCATAAACTAAATTAAACAAATGAATTACAATTCTAATTTATAACTTCTGGTGCCATATAATCTAAGGTTCCGCAGAAGGATTTACTCTGCTTCTTTATGTACTAGGCAATCCCAAAATCTCCTAATTTTACATGATTGTTATGTAAGTAGATATTTTCTGGCTTAATATCTCTATGCATAATTCCTTGACTGTGCAGATATTTTAATGCGAGTAGAACTTCCTTAATAATTTGTTTTATTTGCGTTTAATCAAATTTTTAATTAAAAAGTGAACCTTAATTGCAATATTCTAAGAGCAAGTAAACATTCTTCTCGTCTGAAAACTCTTTAAATAATTTAACAATATTCGGATGATTGAGCTACTTCATTATTTGGATTTCTCTTTATAAGTGCTATTAGGTCTGAGTCTTGATTGTGCAACCTTTATTTATTATCTTCAATGCAAATTTTTCTCCATTTAACCTACTATATTATCAATTTATTACATAGCTAGCATCACTTTACTGAATTTCCCATAACCAATCTATTGAAGAACTTTCAGTTAATTGAATGAGTTTTCTTTAGCCTTTTCAAATAACCTCTCTGAATTCGGATTATTGTATTCGGATTGAGTAGTTCTATATCTTGGAGTTACTAAGAGTTAAGGTGGGGCTCTTTTTTAGGCTGAATTGAACATAGTATTTATTAATAATATTAATGTTAGTTAGTTTGCTGTTATTATATATTTATTATTAGAAATTTATTTTCAAGATGAGAATCGCATTATTTATAATACTTAGGATGGGAACTTACGAGAAATACAAACTTTAAATATGAATAATTGAATATATAATCGCTATATTAATTAATTTATAATGTATTAGTTATTTTTTATAATATGCATTACGCTCAGCTTTCAGAAAAGAATATATTACAACAAATATGAAGAGGATCCTATAAATTCATATGAAAAATGTTAACAAAAGTTCTGTTAGAATTATGCTGACTCATGCTTTTCTGATGCATCTTGTATGAAGACATAGCATAATTGTTTCTCTAAATATTACCCAAATGACTCTTAAAATTACAAAAAATAAGTACTAAAAATAAATATTAAACTCATATTAGTATTATTAATGCATAAAATCAAATATCAAAGCCAGGGCATATATCAATTGTATGGAAATTTATTGCTAATAAGACCTTGTATTTATATTATCTAGGATTAATAAAAACATTTGAAATTATTAATGATTAATTAACTGAAGATTTTATACATAATTATTTTTAAGGATTTCTGATTTGATATCATTATCTAAATACTGTACAATATTATTTTTGACTCTTACCTCTTTAATAACGAAGAAATTTATTTAAATATTGGATGCAAAATTAATTCAGTTTATAAAAATATTAACAGCTGTTGTTATGTAAACCTGACAATTTATAACAGTATAAGTATAATTAATAAATAAATAATATTAAAATGAATAAATTTTTATTGATTACTCTATTGTTATTATGTATCTCTGCAAGAAGATTCCATAAACAAGATGAAGGAAATGGATCAGGATAAAATGGTGAAGATGAATAACCATAAAGCTCAAACGGAGAAGATTCATAAGGCGGAGAAGACAGCAGTTAACCATAAGATGATTGGCCCACTGGAGAGGATGATGGAGTGGATAAATGGTCAAGTGATGGAGAGGAAAATGGTGAAGAAGGAGAATAGAGTGAAGGAAGTGAAGGAGAAGGAAGTGAAGAAGGAAGCGAAGGAGAAGGAAGTGAAGGAGAAGGAAGTGAAGAAGGAAGTGAAGAAGGAAGCGAAGGAGAAGGCCAAGGAGAAAGCGAAGGTGAAAGCTAAGGTGAAGGAGAAAGCGAAGGCGAAGGTGAAGGTGAAGACGAAGGCGAAGGTGAAGGCGAAGGTGAAGGCGAAGGTGAAGGCGAAGGCGAAGGCGAAGGCGAAGGCGAAGGCGAAGGCGAAGGCGAAGGCGAAGGCGAAGGCGAAGGCGAAGGCGAAGGCGAAGGTGAAGGCGAAGGTGAAAGCTAAGGAGAAGATGAAGGCTAAGGAGAAGATGAAGGCGAAGGTGAAGGAGAAGGTGAAAGCTAAGGAGAAGATGAAGGCTAAGGAGAAGGTGAAAGCTAAGGAGAAGATGAAGGCTAAGGTGAAGGAGAAGATGAAGGCGAAGGTGAAGGAGAAGGTGAAAGCTAAGGAGAAGATGAAGGCTAAGGAGAAGATGAAGGCTAAGGAGAAGATGACGGCTAAGGAGAAGATGACGGCTAAGGAGAAGATGAAGGCTAAGGTGAAGGTGAAGGCGACAACGGAGATAACGGAGATAACGGAGACAACGGAGACAACGGAGATAATGGAGATAACGGTGACAATGGTGATGAAAATAGAAAGGAAAAAAGAGCTCACAAGAAATAAAATTTACATTTCAGAGGAAGAAATTGAATCAATAACATTTGATTATAAGATTTTCTAACAGTAAATTTAAAATCAAAATTTATTTTTTTTTAATTGAATTTTTTTTTCAAAATTGGCAAAGTCAATGAGATCATGTTTTCTTTGGCTGATCTTTTAAAAAGATTTAACTTTGTTTTTGTATTTTTTTCAATCCTGAAATTCAAAATTGCTCATTGTCATAGACAAAATATTTTTCATTCTTAACGGCCAATTAATTTTGAAAAATATGAAATCTATTCAAGTATAGGTATATTTTGGAATTTGATGTAGGACATTTATTTAGAGTTGTTAGTACATAAATTTAAGTAATGATAAAATAATAATTTACTTTTCTCTTAATTTAGCAATTATTAAAATATATATAAACCATGAGGGAAATTTTAGTATTGCAATTAGGAGGCTTTGGTAATAAAATGGGAGTTAAATTTTGGGAAGAAATGTATATAGATAGTGAATTTGAAAGTGATATTGATTTACAAGAACAAAATAAAAATAATTTGCTTAATTCTTCTAATATCTTGTTTTATAATTTAAGTGAGAAGACACCACTTCCTCGAACTGTATAAGTCGATTTAGGATAAGATTTACCCTACTCAAATACAGATTTTAATCCATGTAATCAGTTCTCATTTAATTATTCATCTGGCAATAATTTTGGATTTGTAAAAAACAATTGCTGCAATTAAATTGTTGACATTATTTTTGATAGGATAAGATAAGAGATAGAATAATGTGATTCATTGTAAGGATTCTAAATTTTTGCATCCATAATTGGTGGTATCACTGTTTTAATAATACTGGATCTGGTTTATCAGCAGTTTTATCTCAAATGCTAAATGATGAATATTCAAATGCCATTACTTAATGTAACTTATTAGTTCCTTCAGTAAAATTAAACGACAATTGTGTGGTTTCACCTTATAATTCTGCTTTAGCATTTAATTAATTGATAGATTCGGCTGAGCAATTAATATTTTTTGATAATGAAGGATTAAAATAAAACCTTAGTAGATTAGGCATATAATTTGATTATTAAGATGCAAATCTTCATGTTGCTTAAACAATATGTTGTAATTCATCACCATTCAGAAATCCTGGGGATATTAATTCAAGTTTGAGAAAACTTTCAACAAATTTGAGCCCTTTTGCATTTTATAAATTATTTACTTGTAACATGACTAATAATCTATACAGCGATTACTACAAGGAATACTTAAAGATGGATGAATATTAAATTTTTAAGGAATTAATATCATCAGATCACAACCAAACTAGCGCTGTATATACCTAAGGAAAATTTGTGTCAGCTGCGCTTAGCGTAAGGGGAAAAGTATCAAATAAGGAATTTGATAAATAATGCTCTTGTTTCGACTATTATCTAGAACACCAGAGATATAGAACAGGGGTTAAAAAGAAATTCGAAGGAATAAACATGTTTTTTACCAATATATGTTAGAAAAAATATTAAAATTATGAATTTTTTGGAAGTTCCATTATTCATTCTTCTAGCATAACTTAATCCCTGAAGAGTTTAAGTGAGAAATTTAAGAAAATGTACCCTAAAAAATCTTACGTCCATAAATATATTCAAGAAGGAATTGAGGAATCAGAATTTGTGGGAGCTTAATCTAGGCTTGATGATACAATATTTTTATATCAAGATACTTTGGACACATATTAAGACGAGCATTTTGAATATTAGGAATGAAGAATAGCATTATTATTGAATTTTTCGGAAAAATTCAGTATTTTAAAAATTCTTTATTAATCTTCAATTCAAATCACAGGATCTAATTATCTAATAGAAATTCTGTCATCTTATTCTGATTATTATGATTTGAATAAACTTGGCAATTTCAATTATCTGAGTATGGTTTATCTTGAATCCCTACTAGAAAATTAAGGAATTCGTGAAGTAGGAGGAGGGCCTGGTGAATACAGTTATTGAAACTGTATTTGTTGCATTTTTACTCTTTTGCTGGGCTCAATTTGAATCAATGGATTATTTAAGTTCAATTTCACTTGATTATCTTTGTTAAATGCAGAGACACATTCACAATAATTTAAAATTTTCGATGATTGATGAGATATATTGCCTAATATGTCTAAAGATCTTTTAACTATTTTGCTTCTATTAGTTTTACAAATAGGTTGATTTTCTGTTTTTAATCTTTATAAATAACTGTCACTTTCAGCAAGGTTCAGAGACAAAGATTGATTTGATTACTTTAAAGCTTCCTGGTATAAGAAATTTGCTTTTTCAAAAGTATATTCCATCTATTTGGACATTTTGTCTAAGACTTTTTAAGACTACCCTTGACAACAATACAATTTAAATCTCTTGAAATTAAACAATAATTACATCTTCATCTAAAAAGAGTATTTTAACTTTTTCAGTTAAACAAACTGCTTTTGTTTCTCTAGCTTTTTTATTTTATAAAATTTCCAGAAATCCAAAGACTTATCCTGCAGAATATCTATTCAGTACAATCTATTGTTTATGAATTAATTGATTCTATTAAATTTTATGATTTGATTTGCTTTTTTATTGTATTTCAACTACTCCTGAGACAATGAAATAGACTCCTTTAATCAATTCTCCTTCTCTATAGATAACTGTATTCATCGTGTATTCAATATTTTGTAGATGATATTGTATTAATCCTACATCTCCATCTGACCAATCTGAGAAAATGTTAATTGATTTAAGAAACAAGAAGTTTTTATTTTAAATTCTTGTATAATACTCAGCTATAACATTTATTAAATAAATTACATAAAAACTTATTAAAAGCTTCCCTTGATAATTTAATAAATTAACAATTTTCTGCGCACACTATTGTAGCCTGTCTAGGCACTGAATTAGTTAAAGCTATTTCTCCAAAACTGCCTCCCTACTCTATCTTACCTACCTTCATCATATTTGGGTATTTATTTTCAAGCATTTTCTCATCTTCCAAATCTTCATATTGATCTTCATCCTAAGTTAGCCATAAAGTATACTGATTCTTCTCCTTCATCAAACTCTTTACCAATCTCATGTTTTTTTTCTTGCTTTTTATCATATTTTTTATCTGGCTTCTTTTCCTATTTTTCTAATCTCTCATCTCCAAGTCCACTTCTACCAACCAACACCTTAAATAAATTTCATGATTACCCAAACACTGCCTCTCAAAATTATATAAAAGTTTTTGCCAATGTCACCACATCTGAAAAGTGTCCTACGAGCAGGTAAATTAATGTATTGCAACTCCTTGTATAAATTGAGCATTTCATCGAAACTTGTAGTTTTTAACATTTCATGAAAGTATTTTATAGTTGAAAGTGCTGAAGCCAACACATTTAAATCATTTTAATTCCTCTATTTTTCATCTTTAGATAATATAGCAATGATAATCTATTTTCATTCAGTTTTACTTCAAAATGAAATGGGTTTTCAATATCTATCTCTCCTCTCTGCAAAAGTTCTTTGACTTATTGGCTCAATTTCATCTATTATTTTAGCTTATCGATATTCGACACTCGTCTAAACATATGTTTAGTTTACTATATATTAAATATAAAATAATAAAGTCATCCCAAAAAAAGAGTACTAGATGTACTCTTAGTGTATTTTGTATTACATTCATAACTATATCCACTAAATAAATTTTGGACTGAATTCTTTTTTAGTAAAAGCTTATTTTCTTTAATTAATTCATCCTAACTATCATTATCTTCGCTTATTTAATTCAGATATTCCACATTATCATCAATTTACTTATTAGTAATAAAATTTTACTTTCGGAATATAAGGAGACTCGATCTCTTTGTTCAAGAGTTTTTACCATGGGAAATTACGAAGCCAAGGATGATTTTTCACTTCCTCAGGTCCCTTAAATCCTAATCTGTTCGCAGGCTTTCTCTAAATAAGCTTGTTGATGAAATCTGCAGCCTCCACCGACCAATCATCAGGTATTTCAGACCTTTTGATTTGCACTTATCTAGTCAAAATTTGATCACGAATTTCTTATCTTGATCTTCCATTGTACGGTCTCCTTCCTAACATAAATTCATAGCCCATTATTCCCAATGCAAAGTAATCCACTGCTATAGTATGATTTTATCTACACATAACTTCAGGAGCTATTCAATTAGTTACTAAATATTACCCATATATCCTGGTGTTCCACTTGTATCTTGAGAATTCTCTGATTTCCACACTCTTGCAATCCCTAGATCCGTCAATCTTGCATACCCCTGTTTATCTAAAACTAGGTTTTCAGGTTTTAAGTCTCTATGAATAATATTATTATTATGTAAGAATTCTAGTGCAAGAAACACACAGGCAATAAAGAACTTTGTTTGATGCTCTTTGAATCTTCTCATTTTTCCAATATGATATCTCAGATCTCCTCCAGTCAATAAATCCATTACGAGATAGAGATTTTCTCTATCTTAAAAACAATAATTCATATTGATTAAAAAGGGATGTTTGAATTAAGCTAAAAGATTACGTTCATTCATGACAGAATTAACACTCCGTTTCGCTATTATTTTAGCTTTTGACATCTCTTTCATTGCATAATATTATTTGCTTTTTTTCATTTCAACTCTCCACACCTTTCCAAAACCTCCCTTGCCAATCACGTAATGAAATTGAAAACTATACTTGTTGATTTAGATATTGCAATCGACAATCAAAGTTTCCTCTTCATCATCACTGGATTGAGGCTTCTCTTGTTATCTAAAAATGCTCTTTGAATTTTCATTTCTCGAAATATGCGATATGTGCTAAATACTTAACATAGAGTTAAATAAATTATCAAGTCCTTTGCTTTATTTAAATTGGCTAGGCACCTGAAACTCTTGCTTTTTTATCTGGATTTACGGAACCTCATGATTGATTAATTGATATGGTTTATCTGCAGGTTTATTTTCTTTGACCAAACTATTTTATTGCTTTATCTGATGATCTGGGTATTTGATGTTGGTTGAACTCGATTGTTTAAGATTAATAAAAGGAGATATTTTTTAAATTGACGTATTCGGAGATTGAGAATTTTTTCTTGCAGTATTCCTATTGATTATGTCTAAATTATCGTAAAATGCTGGTTTAATAGGGGATTAATCTTTGGATTTGCTTTACAAGTCTAAATTTGAAGCCTACTAGTGATGCAACTGGGAATTGATTAATAGTTTTGATTATTTTAATTCCTATTTCAAAAATGTTTGAATAGGACTGCGAGAACTTGTATTTTAGAATAAGTAATCTTGTTTTTCTTTAAAAAATGAATTACTTCTGCTGCTATTGATATTCGATGCACTCTAATTTCGTAAATGCTTAGATTGAATTTAGATTTGTGATTAATCTTATTTTTGTATATTTAATTGAACAATTTTTATTTTTTAAGGTGTTACACTTCTCTGTTGAGATTATTTGTTTTTATTTTTAGATGACAATTGAGCTAATTGAAAAAAACTTGTAAATTAACTTAGACCCAAAGGTGATTTATGAGTTTACTTTGTTGTTTCACTTTGTTGCTAATAATATTACCCCAATAAATTACAACTTTTGGTTTCATTTAATTCAATTTTGAGGGAAACAAATCCTTCAAATTGCGGTGGTTAGACATTTTATATATATTTATAATTATATATAAAATTTCATTTTATATTACTCAATAAAATCAATTTTGTGAAAGTTTAACAAAGAATGATAACTGGTTCAATTGGTAATTTATATTTGTTTGGTACTCAAATGAAATAGTTCTGATCTTGTGAAGTCATTATATAGGTGTTTATTAAAGTATATATAAAGTATTCTATAGGTTGATAATATATCATTCTTTTTATAATAATCATATAGAACTTAGTTTTTATTTAATTATTTTTAATTGGATCATTAAAAAAGTACAGTAGAATTATTTGAATTAATTTTTTTTATATTTCCTTTTATCAAGTGCACTTCATATCTCTATATATATAAATTATGAAATCATTAAATAGGTTCAAAGAGATAGATTGATTTAATTTTAAAATCAAAATATAATTAAGTGTTTTAATTAATCAACTTATAAACAATCGAAAAAAACATTAATTACAAAAATATAAAGAATCAATCTTCATCTTCAATCCATCTAATGCGTTTGCCATCTTCCCACATTCCATGTTTTTCAATTTTATCAACTATTATTTTACCTTTGCCATGTTACTTACCCTTCTTCCAGTTTCCAGAATATCTACAAATTATTTTCATAGTTACTTCTTGCCATCTGGCCAAGTAAATGTGCCAAATCCGTGCTTTTTATCAAAATAATAATCTCCTTCATATTGTTTCCCATCTGGAGTAGTGTATTTACCATGACCATGCATATTATTATCCAACCATTCACCAATATAGCATCTTCCATCTTTCCAATGACATACTCCGTATCCTGTCATTTTGTTTTGTAACCATTAGCCTTAATAAACCTTTCCGTCTGGCCAATAATAGGTTCCAGTACCATCTTTCATTCCATACTTGTAGGTTCCCTCGTATTTGCTTCCATCAGTCCAAGTTTCACTTCCATAGCCATGTTATTTATCATCCTTCCAGAGTCCTTCATATTTGGAACCATCAGCATGAATATAAATACCATAGCCATTTGCCTTGTCATTTTCCCACTCTCCATCATCTAAATACTCAATAAACTCATTTACATATATCACCATCTGCATGTTTAAAGACTCCCTTCCCTTGAGCTTTATCATCCTTCCATTGTCCTTCATACTGGGCTCCATCTGGCCAAACTTGAGTACCAAAACCATCACGACATATACCAATCCAAAACAAAATATAAAATAATATTGTACCATTCTCCAGTATATTTTGCTCCATTTTCATAAGTAAATGTTCCTCTTTTATCTCGAGTTACTTCGGTTTCTCCAGTCATTGGAGCAATTATCTCGGCGCTCTTAGGTCTTTTCGAATCACTAGGCAAAGCATGTAAAATCTTGTCATCTTGAGGAGTTTCGCAACTTTTACAAGACCCCATTAAAATATAATCTTAATATAATTTATATAGATATTAAATTTATAATCCTGAAATCAGTTTTAATTACAATACAAACTTATTTACTTCTTAAATATGGATCTTCTAATAACCCACTTCATCATATATATAAAAATTATATTCTTTATTTTGCTTTTCTTATCCAAGATTAGAGTTATTTCAATAACCATGCTTACTTTATTCCTATACAATAATATATCTTCAAAGTTCCCTTTTTATATATGGTTCATCACCCCAATTAAATTTTACTCTTCAAAACATTTATGACATTAACACTATTTCTATTATTATAGTTTATAATATATGTATTTAGCATCATTCGTATTTTAATCTTTAGGATTTATAATTCTTAGAATTTATTATTATACTTTATAAATAGGTTATAAATACAAGTTAATTCAAAGCTCAAATTCATCAGTTAATTCTTCTTCTCCCTCAAAAAAATACCTATGATCCTTCATCTTTTGTCGATATACATAGACAAAGCTTAGTACACTTAAAATGACCATAGCCAAAAGGATATATATCCAATAAGTTGGACCCTCTTTTTTATATTGGAAAATTAATTCTATAGTATCTGAACTAAAAGAATTGTAAAGACTCAATGAATAATATTAATCGTTGTGAGCTCTTTAAGTTGATTAGCATGTTAAATAATTTGAAGAAGTAAAATTATATATATTTAGTGATCCATTTGTTAAATCCACAATTTAGCCCCCTAACTTATTAGACACTATGGAGATAGCCACTCCTTAGGGGTTAGGGAGTGATTAATTAAGGCCTCCCATCATCATTAAAGGTTCTCTAATGTTGCTTTAAATTTTGGTATAATTATAGACAGCAAAAACACGCTCATTTTATTAGGCAAACAGTAGTAATAATATACCTTTCATTGCTAATCCAAAGTATTATTGAGTATAATTTCCATATGGGGGGATTGTTTAGACTATAGTCTATAACTGCAGTTCTTTTTTGACGTATAAATCTTTGCTGAATGTCATGGTGAAAATGAAAGTTGTGGCATTTGTGGTTGTTAGAGCCAGCAGGATCTCGTTATACTTCAAAGCTAAGGGAATTATTTGCAGCATAGCCGTTTATTTCAATATTAATAGTTTTTTATCTTTTAAGATAACATTCTAAAAATCCTTATCCAAATGAAGTGTGTAATTAATCTAATTTAAATAGCCAAGGTTATAATAAAGTGCATTATCGCAGATGAAAAATATAGCAATAATTTGCTCACTTTGAGTTTGGTTATAGAGATATTGAACTGCGAAATCCTCAATGCCTTTCTTGCAAGATACATTTTAGACTGTAATATTGCTTAAGTTATATAGATTGTATACGTAAATATACTCATATTTACTTGATATTACATTCTAGCCAAGTACAAAGGTTAAATTCTAAAATTAAACCATTTTTTTAATCACTTGGCATGATAATGGCAAAGCAGCATACCCAAAAAGTTGTGTAATATTGGCTCCTGAAATTTCAAATTAGATTAGGAATGTTATTTAAGAACTAATACAAATTGTGTATATTTTATTTTAATAAGATGCAGAGGCCATACACTTTTAGAACTAATAGAGATATTATGTTTGCACTCCAGATTGCACTCCAAGTATTGAGGTGTTGCTTTATAAATAGAACTCGTTATTCACATTCAATACTATTGTAAAGTTTGGAAAACTATAATTCTATTAACCTTAAAAATATGGATATAACTAACATGCGACACTTGATTATTTTGAGTCTTACTCATTAGTTTACAAATCATATTTAAGAATTTAAAAATTGAATAGAAAATCTAAATCGATTCTAAAATGCTCAGCCTTTTGAAACTGGTATGTTAAATTCTTAGAATCCACTTCAATATCAATTAGTGGATTTATAATATAAATAGTATCGTCAAAATACTATTTTGATTCAACATTTAATGCAGATGATACAGCAAATATCTAAGTTAATTCTGAAATGTAGGTAGCATTTATAACATTACTGCTTATAAATTGTTCAGTTATTGCAACATGCAACAAATAATACTTATTAGAAAAAGTAACATAGGATGTATAATTTAAGTCGATGCAACTGAAGTAATTCCCTGTGAATTTGAATCTAAAATACTAAGTACTGTGGTAAGGCAGAGCGGGACTATAAACTACCATATAATTCGCTTGAGAGCGAACATAGAGATGAGCATCATCAGAATAAATTGGAACCCCTCTTAGAATTTACAAAGGGGGTAATTACTTCTAAAATTCAGGTTTCAAAATGTTGTAAATTTTATATACTTCAAATTCAAGCATATCATCCTCCAATAAATTTGAAACCACTATCTATTCATTAACAAGATTCAATGAATAAATTTCATAGTTAACAAAAGTAATACTTATTGGTATAAGACTATTGTTATAAGCAATATCAATTATAATAAAGTTATCCCTGTTATTAATAAAAAAAATAGATGCTAGGTTTAACTAATTAGTAATAATTGATTTAGGGTTGAATTCTAATCGTTTTTCGATTTGATCATAGAAAAGTTGGTTCACTATTTCTTCATCTAAACTGAAAATAACATCTTAATTAAACGTGGTTATAATTATTCTCTTATCAGGAGTCAGGAGAACTAAATTTTTGTAAGTTAATAAAAACTACTCAAATGGTTAACAACAGATAACTGTTTCTGAAAAGGCGATATTTTAGCCAAATAATTGTTCGTCGTAATTAGCCTAGATTAATATCAATTCAACACTTCCTTAATTAATAGCTACTGTAAAGTTTGATAAATAATAAAATGAAATTTCTATGAAGTGAATCTTTTGATTAAAAATATTATTATAAACTTACATGCAAGTGTAATTACTTTAACAAATATAAATATACAAAGTCAGATCTTGAACCCCTACTAAAATTAATCCTTCTAGAGAAAGTTGAGTTACATAAAATAGTTTAACTAAGTCAAATTCTTAATCAATCTAAACATTTAAGAGTTCAAAGGTCTCATCATCGAATTTCCCTAATTTAGGATCAGAGATGTTTGCATTGATTTTTTATAGAGGACCTGAAAAACTGTCCACTGCATATTAAACGATTGAATTTTGCATAATCACTTTAGGCAATTTCTGATTGTACACTTAATAGATATTGGTGTCATTCTTTGGCAAAAGATTAAATGTAATTTGAGATCGACAAAATCTATTTAAAAAGGGCAACTCTATTTCAAACGCAGAGATAGAAAAATGACCCTTTGAGATATTAAGATCAAATATTCCTTTTAGTTATGGGTTCTGAATTGTTGAAACTGTTAATTTGTTGCTAAATTCATATAAACGGTTAGTTGCTGGATCTAAATAGGAATATATTTATGTGATGTCATTAGTGTTTCTTGAAAATGTAAACATGGACTTGCGATTTTAGGATTGATAGATGATTTCTGCTGAATTCACAGTAAAATAGTTATCTTATTGAATGATTAAAAAATATTAACTAATTTGGACTTGTAAAGTAGAGTAAAGACTAAAGTCAAAATATGTTAAAATAAAATCTCCAAAAAAATAAATAGAATTTTCCCATGCCACATATTTTTAAACAGAAGAACCATAATCAAAGCTTGTAATTATTAGTATATCCAATTATGAGTTTAAAGTAACACTAGTTCCAATTGTTATTGTGAGTAGCTGCAGAGGTGATAAATGCATTGTTGGCACACTAAATTTAAGTTCCTTGTCTATGATTGCCTGGTAGATTCCCACATTGGGAACTAAAATATAGATGAATCCTTTGTCTGATATATCGAAATCTAATATTTGATGCTACCACTCACTAGTGTTTTTATAATGATCATCTTCCCAAATAAAGAGAGTTAGAGTTGAGTACTCAGCATAGAATTGCGCATACAATAATGCTTCTTTCTTTTGGGTAATAAATGATCTCATCTTAGTTTTCATGGGAGTGGGTGATGTCAACTTCTATATAGAAACGAACTTATTTTGTTTTTAAAAAAGAAATTACAATACATTCTGATTATAACAATTCAGCAAAACTTCATTGTTGATCGTGTAGATTGCATTAAAATACGTCCAACCATCAGTTAGTTAGAGATTTGATACCAAATCTAGATCATTATTATAAATATTTAGAGTTTATTCGTAAGTCAAGACAGCAAAATGTGTCTTATTTGAGTCGATTGACTTAGTGGTGAAGCCTTCATTAAATTTCCATATTTACCATAATTGTCTTTGGAGACAATAGTTTCGAAGGTATTATAGAGAATAAGGTTGTTGGGGCAGTTCTAACAAAAATAGGACAAGTTCCTGCCACTAAATAATGTGTCCATTGGAAGTATGTAATTCTCTCCTTAAGTTGGATAGATGTTTATTTCATCGATTCTGACATCACAGGCTTCTGAAATCACGATCAAGAAGGGGAGCCACATATAGATAAAATCTGATATAAATATAATAATTTTAAAAATAAATGCTTGCCAATTAAGCTCCCATAGTGGTTCCAAATAACTTTTCAAAGGAGTAATAGAAAATGATGTTAATATTTGAATTTATTAAAGACTCTAATATGTGTTTGAATATTTTAAAAATAAAAACAATAGGTTAATAAAAACAAATTAAAATTTGATTAGTATAATTTATATATATACTTAAGAAGAAAAGAAGGCGAAATAAAGTAAAAATTGATTCTTTAATTATTTTTATATAAGGCAGCATTTAAATTATTATATTAAATGAGTGAATTCGATAGTGGGATAATAAGTTATGAAACCCTCATTTCTCTGATCCAAAATTTAGTGGATTGGTTCCTCTATGCAATCCCAACTTTCTCGGAGCTAAGTATTTATTTACTAAATATGATTGTTGTTGGAACTACTAATAACGAACAGTTTTAGCAGTATTTTCTAACTCATTTGGGGATAGATTATTAGTTCTCATAATTACGGTAAATGGAGAAGTGGGAGTGGATTTAACCTGTGATGCCATTCTAGTATGACATGACTTCTTATTTTATTTTTGTCTTTCAGTCTGTGCTTCAGCCTTTGAATTTCTAGTTTTGATTGAAGGCAACTTGGTTTACAACCACTCAATTTTTTGGGATGGCATCTTGATTAGTGGACAAATCGGTAAGGATTCTTCAAAATGGAAAGTAATTTAGATGGGATCAGGATTGGAATGATGTGATACACAGTATTAATGTATATAAAGTCCCTTGTTGAAAAGCATTGATATTTTTTAATAAAATAAACATCACATCAAGAATCTCTACTTAAAGAATTTCTTTAGACTCCAAATCTAATAGACACCAGATGCAAGAAGGACAACAATTTATAAAATGGTAGTCTAAGTGACTCTTCTGCTGATGTCGATCGATTGAGTAGTTAATTTGTCTTCTTGTTCTCGATTCAATTATTAAAGCGAAATGAAATCATCTGTTCTGTTTTTCAAGGCTGAAATTCTGTCTATAAAAGGAATAGTAAAAAGTGTGTGATACCTTTGATGGATTCAACGTGAGTCTTATTTGCAGCATCTTGGAGATTGTGATCAACTCCCTGTTGTATTTTAATGGAGTATTTGTACTCATTGACACTCCAAAATTATTTGGACTTGATTACACAGAACTTGTATCTGCCCACTAAAACGTATGAGTAACAAAGGTACTTGTTTTGGCTGTGAATGACAATTTGTTCTTTCCTTCCACAGTTTTAGCAGTTTTCACTATATTGCCATCAGGGCCATAGACATTGAGAGTGATTCCATCTTTGATCATTTTTGGGATGTCTAAGTGGAGAACGAATGAATACCTCTTTTTTCATTTTTGGCCACACCTTCTGACATCAATTCATGATATATCACTACTATCTAAATGATGAATAATGGGGACTTACAGTTTGACTAGGCACTTCATCTGAGAAGCACTTTTCAACTCCTTCTTTGGCATAGAAACTAATGCATTGATTCAAATTGAATAACAGAGCTAGCAAAATAATGTATTTCATATTAAATGTATTTAATTATAACTCTGTTGTATTGTGTGCATGCTTAGTTTGTAATTTAATCACTAATACAAACTGACAGGATATCTACATACAATCCGCCTTGGATGCAAAGGTTTATGGACTCACAAGTGGCAGACAATGATTTATTGGCAGCAGCTAAAACGGCAAGCTCCTTCAATGATAAGTTAGAGCATGAAGTCAGAGTGGCTGCTGATTTAGAACCTGTTCCACATTTGGGAGAGTACCCAACTAAATTAAAAATGGATCCTAGTAGAGATCCACCATCGCCTAATGCTGCATCAAAATTAGAAGAAAAAATATAACAAATGAAATAAGTAGTGGCTGAAGAATCAGTATTTAAAGTTGGTTGGCAGGATGATGACAAGTTGTACAACAAAATTATCGAGCATCTCATTGAATTAGATCCAGAAGAATAACCAGACTTTCTATTACAAATCTTAAAAAACGAAATGCGTTCAAACAGAACTCGAGTTGTCTAAAGGTTGAAAGATATATTGGCTATGATCATGGATGAAACCATCCCTATTCCACTCGAAAAACTCTACGAAGTATGCATTAGAGCCAATATGGAGATGGAAGTTGAAGAAGTGTTTTTAGAAGAACTCAACATTTCCCTTGATCCCATAAGAAATGGAGAGATTGGGGAAGCTGAGTAATTGGTTGAAGAATTGCAAGAACTAGAATAATTAGAGGATGAGCAGATTCAACATCAAGAATAAATATCTGTACCAATCGAATTTCAAATTGTTTTGAGAAAGGAACCTAAATTTAAGACTGATAATAAATTGAATCCAATTGAGACAAGATCAGTTAATTAAGTGCATATCCTAAATGACTAAGAAATTCAAGATCATAATAAGCAAAAAATTAAATAGTATACAATGAGATTAGATGATTTTTTCATTTCCCATCAAGGAGAAGAAAATGTAGAATAACCAGAAGAATAATAATAAGAATAATAGGAAGGAGCAGATTAAGAATAGTAAGAAGGTGATTTAGAATAATAAGAAGGTGATTAAGGGGGTGATTAAGAATAAATAGAGGGAGATTAAGAATAAATAGAAGGAGATTAAGAATAAATAGAGGGTGATTAAGAATAAATAGAAGGTGATTAAGAATAAATAGAGGGAGATTAAGAATAAATAGAAGGAGATTAAGAATAAATAGAGGGTGATTAAGAATAAATAGAAGGTGATTAAGAATAAATAGAGGGAGATTAAGAATAAATAGAAGGTGATTAAGAATAAGTTGAAGATAATTAATAAATTGATGAGCAAATAGCAACAGAATAAGAAATTTAATTTGAACCTGGACCTAGAGAATTATTTAGAAATCCATAAATACCTTTCGATCCAATTGAAGAAATCATTCAAAACGGTGGATTTATCCCTCATGAATTTATGAATCCTCAACATAGAGATGATATTTATGTAAACGACCATCAATATATTCCTCTCACTCCAGAAGAAATGGTCTACTAAAATAAACCTATTATTCCACACGAAATCTTCAATCCAATTAATGAAGACGATAAGTATAATACCTATGGCAATAAAAAAATAAATAAGGACCCTTATTTTCATTACAATCAAGGAGCCCAACAGAATTCAACCGAGAGATAACCTGATGTAGCCCAATCAATAAATATTGTGCAAGGAGATGCTGAAATGTAATCAATCAACATTGTTCTTGACCCAGTTTAAATGCAATCAATAAACATTAACTTCGATGAAACTTAGGCTGAATAATACAAATAATAATAACTCTATCACAAATACAGAAACCAAAAGCACTTTATCAATCGTGATAGCTTCCATTATCCCAATGACCCTCAGTATCCGAATATTCACACTGTTCAAGATCACACAAGATCCCCATACTATTACCAAGGTTATTACACAGGGGAAGTGCCTCCACATCCATACTAAGTGTACGAGCCTCCTTAAGAAGAACCAATCCAAGAAATTGTCAATGAAGAAATTGTTTAAGAAATAATCAACGAAGAAATAGTGCCTCCTGAAGAAGCAAATTTAGAGAGTCCTCCAGAAGAAGGGGCTACAGAAATACAACCTGAAGAGGGTGCTGGAGATGCACCACCAGAAGAAGGAGGAGGAGGAGGGGAAGCTGTTCCAGAAGATGTAGCTGGAGAAGCTATACCTGAAGAAGCAGTTGGTGAAGCAAAAGCTGAAGAAAACATTGAAGCCAAGGGGGAGGATGGCACAGATGGTACAACCCCTGAAGAAGGTGCCATTGAAGATGGAAATGTTCAATAAGAAGAAGCTACATAGTAAGAAGCTGCTCCAGAAGAAACACTTCAAGAAGGAGGAGGTGGAGAAGAAATTAAGGAAGCTGAACCTGTCGAAGATCAGTAATAGGAGTAAGAATAAGCCGGAAATGAAGTACCAGCAGATAATGCAGAAGTGACAGATTAGGTTATTTAAGAAGATCCACTACCTTAAGAGTATGAACCTTGGATAAATTGGGAGGATGTACCTGATGAAGAGATCGAATATTTAATTAGTCGATTGATTGATCCTAGGTTTTATGATCCTCATCATCCAGATTACAACCCATAAGATCCCAGAAATATTGTTTTCACTTCAACTCATTTACAAAGATCATAGGTGTATTTATAAATGAAAAACCCTTTATTTTATTTACCTGGCTAGGGTCCATATGCTAAATTGAAATCATGCAACACACCAGAAGACTTGCTAGATCAAATCACACCCGAGGATCTTCATTCATTGGTCAATGAATGGAAGAAGAGAACTCAGCATTACGATAATATTTCAGATGCTGAATACAGAACAAGACACTAATAATAATCATAATAATAATCCTCCATATATCGTCCTTTTCAGGAGTCCTCAACTTTAGATCAAGCTCCAATTGATCAACAAGAATTTCAACCAGGAGAAGTGCCTAAGTAAAGGAAGAGTTCTGATACTGTGCCATATGAATTTGCAGACGAAGATTTTATAACACCAAGAGACATTGGTAAATTTGGCAGGAAGAAACCTTTTCAAATGTAAGGATTAGATCCCAATGATCCAAGATCGATCCCTAACTTTAATCCAGATAAATCAAATTATTTTGGCAATAATGAATATGTTGATGAGAATCCTATTCTTAAAGTAATTTAGGGCAACAAAATGTAATAGGAGGAAAGAGGAGACTATTAATAGATGTATCCTGATGAGTTTCATCGTCCTCCAGATTTTGATGATGATAGATCCTATAGAACTGGCAGAGATGGAAAAGTATATCAACACAATCATAGAGGAGATTGGCATGACGAAGATTACTATGATGAATATGATGACTATTACGATTATTATGAAGATCGAGATGGTGATGGAATCCCAGATGTATTTGAATACGAAGATGAATATCCGCCGTATTATGAAAGAAGATAGCCATATGCAGATGAATACGATAGGAGAAGATAAAGTCATTATGGTGGAAGAAGGCATGGGGATTATGAAGGCAGAGGATATAATGATTATGATGATTACGAACATTTTAGAGGACATGATGGTTATGATAAAGGAAGAAGAAATAAATACGGAAGAAGAGGAGGATATGATGACTATAATTCAAGAGGGCCGAGAAGGCCGCATGGTAGAAGGTACGAGTTGGGGGATTATGAAGATTTAGAATAGGATAAAATTGGAAGAGAATTAAACAGATCGAAAAGAGATATAGGTAAGAAAACTAAGTACTAGAAGGGTGATGACACATAGCCTAGAATAGAAGAATTCCATATTTATCATGATCTAGATTAGTATTCTTAAACCAGGAATATTAATGATAAAAGAAGTAGGGAAGAAAAAGCTATGCAAGATCCAAAATATCATCCAGGAAATATCAATGGAGTACCAAGGATTAGAGATACAAATAGAGATACAACTAGAGATTTCGATGATTATTCTAGAAAAGGCAAACCAGAGGATAAAGATGAAATGGAAAGTTCTGGCCTTGCATTTGCTAATTCTTTAAAAGAATAAGGAAGATAGAAAAGAAATAAAAAATTATCAGATGAGAAGTTGAAATAAATGGGATTAAAGAGTCCTAAGAAATAAAAGAAAAATCAGAATTAAAAGAAGAAAAAGAAGAATGAAGAAGGTGATGAATAGACAAACAATTAAAATTAATAACAAAATGAAGAATAATAATAATAACAATAGTAATAATAAGAATAATAAGAATAATAATAATAATAACAATAAGATTAAGATTAATAGTAGAATAAATAATCGTAATATAAAGTATAAGCATTAGCGGCTAATAAATAGAATAATGTAAATAGTAGTGATTCACTTGTTAAACCTTAAAATAAAAAGACTACTTAGAAGGAAATGTCAAAAGCTAATGAAATTGAAGAACCAGATCTCAAACATTAAGCGAGGAACAACGCAGAAAAAAGCGATGAAAATAAAGCTCTAGGGAAAAATGAGGAGCCTCTGTTGAATAAGAATAAGAAAGCCAAAACTTTATTACAAATATCAGATGAAGATTGTTCGCATTTGGATAGCAGATCTAAGACTTATACCTGTATTTAATGTAATGTAATTATTGAGTATATTTTAGACTCAAAAATCTTATCATTTGAATGATGACACCTGGTATTTAATCGGTTTAGCTTAAGGATACAAAAAGGAATTCAACACTGTATTTAAGTTGATCAAGGAACTCATCAATCCCCAACAACTCTATACTAGTTTTGGAAATAATAATAAAATCTGTTTTAGCAGTTAAGAGAAGTAAATTATTAATTTAGACAAAATCATAACCATATTTTAAGGGAAAAAAGTGACTAATACTTTAATTAAGTTGCCTGAAAACCTATTAATGTCATATTTCTAATTATCATTCAGTAACCAAGAGTTTTCTGATTTTGAATTGGAAATTGATGACAACAGCATTCAAATTGATAAGGCTGGAGTCACAGTATCTAAGATAAATATTATCTGGCAGGCACTTTAAGTGTAATTAGGATATCAAGGCATAATTCATTTGAATAGAACTGAGAGAAAATTTGACTACAGGTAAATAATTAGCGAGGATTGCACAAATGAGAATCTTAGAATCTATCTACACTTTCCTCACGATTATCAATTTTCAGTTTAAATGATCAAGCAAATATTTAATCAATAATATATAGAACTTTATGAATAATACTTATTGTAATAGATAGATTAGAAAGATAGATGGGTTGTAGTGTAATTCAAATCAAGATAATGTGAAGAATCAAGTGAGTATGGCATATCACTTTAATAATGAATATATATTTATTAAATTTTTTAATTAAAAGATATGAAATATATACTTACAGAAGAGCATGTAGATATCCCTGAGAAGATCGAAATCAAGGCAAACTCAAAGAAAGTCGAAGTTAAAGGTACTGATTTTAGTTAATGGTTTCAGGACCAAGAGGAATCTTGCACAGAAATTTCAAACATGCTTCCATTGATATTTAAGTTTAAAAGAAATTGAACAAATAAACAAAGAAGGAGAAATCTAGAGTTAACATTAGAATGTGGTAATCATACAGAAAGCAAAGATGTTAAGTGAACTCAGTTGCTGCTTAAATAAAGAATATGATTAGAGGTGTTACTTCAGGATATAAATTCAAAATGGTTTTAGCATATGCTCACTTTCCAATCATCATCAATTTATTAGAAAAGGGAGCAGGAGTTGAAATAAAGAACTTCTTGGGAGAAAAAATAGTTAGAACAATCAAATGTTTACCAGGAGTAGTGATCACTAGAAATGAAGCTGAAGAAAAGAGTAATCTAAATAATTTAAATATTAGATGTTTTAACCCTCACCGGAAATGACCTTAATAACGTATCATTAACATGCGCATTAATTCATTAAGCCTGTGCAGTTAAAAATAAAGATATCAGATAATTCTTAGACGGAATCTACGTTTCAGAAAAGCGTTTAGAAGTTTGACATTGAATATTATAAAGTATATTATGACATATATTTATATTGTATTATGGCTTATAAAATGCTGATGTCATATTTCTTCCACTTTGTAATCATGATTTTCAAAGAAATTGATTTCTTTCTTTTTTCTGGAGTTGTACTTCTCCAAAAATCTTAATCTATTTCCAACGATTCTTTCAATTAGCTCATCAGTAGTCTGTTTGTGTACAGCTTTGATTTACTAATAGATTCCCAATTTGATAGGTAATTCATAAGGATCTTCGCTGGTTTTTGAAGAGCAACTGCCTTCAACGACTAAATCAATTTTGAAATTTTTGATTAATTGTTCATTCACTTTATATGGAACTCCCATAATAACTTCATCGACATATTTAATAGCCAACAAATTTAAAACTCTCTCTTACAAATTTAAAATTGGATAATTTCTTCCTTTTATTTTATTAATAGTCTAGGAATTTAGGAATTTTTTTAAATACCTCATTATCATAAACTCCAACATACAAGAAATCTCCCATTTCCTTGGCTTTTCTTAGAACATCCACATGACCTTAATGGAGAATGTCAAAGGACCCATCAATATAAACGATTTTGTCACCGGATTTTGGTTTCTTGTTGTTGCTAAACTACATGATTCTTCTGGTTGTGTTCAAAATCTTGTTATTTAAGGTTTATTCAATGGAGGCTTGATCTATTTCCAAGGAGTTGATGTTGGATGCTTCGACGATGGTTTACTGTTAAAATACTTTCTGAAAATATTTAAACAAGAATTACCTTTTCTTCCCACATCCCTTCTTTGGTCATCAATAACATTCTTCCCACTATGTCAGTTGTACTGATTCCTTCTGTTCTTTTAAAAATTCTAAAAAAATATGGAATGATAAAAATAATTACTTCATTCTTTTTGCATCTTTAAATGGCTAATAAGCATCCTTTCCATCAGCAGTTTAGACTAAATCATCACCGTGAGCAACATGGGAACAAGAATGTCGATCTATCTATTCTATTGTTGGATCGTAGGTTTCCTGGATAACTACTTCGTCAACCCATTTGCAGCCACTAGCTAAGGCCAATCTTTCCTCATCAGTCATGATTGGAGGGCCTTTTGCTTTAGCTATGGCATCGGATTTTATCACTCCAACAACCAAAGTTTCGCATAACTCTTTGGCTTAACGAAGTGCGTTGAAATGTCCAGAGTGCATTAAATCGAAACATCCATCAAAATATAGCCTTTTGACTTTCTCTTCCCCATAACTTGAAATTGGGAGTTATGATAAAAATAGGTCAGCCTGGTCTTTAGCCATATCCCTAATGTGAGCATTCTCTGCACTGTACTCTTTGGCAAGCTGTTGTATCTTTTGTGCTTGCTCATTTTTAAGAATATGATCAATAAAAAACAATGTATGGAGGTTATTTTAATCCATTTAATTTAATTTTTAATTAATTCTTTCATTAGCATTATAGCATAGATGTCTTGATTAATGAATAAATAATAAAAATAATCAACAAAACTAGTATGTCTACATTTGAGAAAGTAATCCAGAAATAAAGAAAATTAAACAAATAATTTGAGTTCACACACAATTCAACAGAATCACATTCAAATGCATCATTCTTCGATGAAGAGAGGAGTTAAGATTTTTCTGATAGTGACATCTCTTATTTAGATAATACAGAAATGTCTTCGAATTGCACAGATGATGTATGCTCATGTTATTTAAAAAATTAGTCCAATATACCACCTTAAAGCTAAGACAATATTGCAAATTTCAATAGTATGCCTTTGTAAGATGTGGCTCCGATGAAAGCAAGGTCTGCCAACTAAAGAATTGTATATCTCATGAAAGGGATTAACAATAACAATTCTTAAACTGGCAAGGGCATTGCCATTCACGTGCTTGGACAAGGATCCATAGGTAAATTGAATAAGAAAGGGAAGAAATTAGAAAAATGCAATAAAAAATAAATTCAGAATCTTAATAATCAAATTAATATAAATAATAATAATTTATAGGATTAACAATCACAACAATCACCATCTTCAAATTTTAATTCTAACTAATAATCTATTTCTTAATAGAATAAATAAACTTGTCAAATTTAAAAGGTTATACTAGCATACCTTATGGTAGAAAGTGATGTATTAAAATAAGCTTAACAAAGAGCTTAAAATTTTATTGAAAAATTCATGCCAAATATTAACGATAAAGAATTATAAGTCAATATTCAGGAAACCTATAAAATCATGCTTCTCCCAGATTAGATTATTCAGCAGCTTGCTTAAGTCTTAAGTGAAGAAGAACGCTTGCTACATTTAAATTTGTGTTTGCATCGTCTTAATTTAAAACATAATAAACATCCATTAGCTGCCAAAGCGGCAGATAAGATAACGATGAATTTAAAATAGAGTTGTTGAAAATGAATTCGAAAGACAGGCAGGAAAAATGAGGCTTAACATTTGTAGCTCTCATGAGCAAATATATAATATTATAATAATATCATAAATTAATTTACTTTTCTTGCATTAATTATAATATCATGTTTAATTAATTCACGCATTCATCAAAAATTATATCTTCTTATTTTATGAAAAAGCACAAATTTCTTAAATGTTTAAATCAAATTATGTTTTAGAATTTGTTCATAATCAATAATTAAGCGATATAAAAAAAATTAAATGTTTTACAGTATTCTAAGAAGCTAATATGCATATTCTAATTTTTAGAAGGATGCCATCAAAAATAGATTTTTTTTTGGTTTCCATTAAAGTTACTCCAATCCTTTGAAAACTAATTTTGTTAATATTAAAAATATTATGTATTAAAACTATTATAAATATAATGCAATTAAATTGGAGATTAATTTAGTTCTATTCAAAAAACACAATGAATGTGACTATTGGACTGCTTTTATATTTATATGATATTAGTTTAATACCCTCTCTTGTACTACTTCTTGTGAATGGGATGATATTGATAATCAGCTTAATGATCATTCAAAAAAGAAAATTAATTCCAAAAATATATTTTGACTGGTTTATGAGTGTTACACTAAGTGCCCATATATCATATTGTTGTTTTTTAGATAAGGATTTAACTAGAACTGCTTATATTTTGCTAAAAGCTTAAGAAATTTAGATGGTTAAAAAATAATCACCCACAAAATCCTTGGTGTTGCATTTTGTTTACAACATTCTATTTGTTATCTTATTCATTATTCATAAAGAAAATACTATTCTCTATATAGTCACTATTTATTGCACTGTCTCACTTTATAAATTAAAAAAGGGTGGAATTATGTAATAAAATTAAGAATTCGAATTGCCAGTATAGATGACAAAACCCACACAAAGAAATTCCGAAATAATAAATTTAATCCAAGACTCTATAAGCAACTCCTGGTTGATTAGATTATAAAACATACCAGTAGGAATAATGATTGTAAAAAAGGATAACCTTCAAATCATGTTTTAAAATCAATCTCTGCTCTAAATGTTTGATGGCATTAAAGATATAACAAAATTTTTAATGAATGAATTACAGTTTAAACTTCAAATCAAAAGAAAAAGGAAATAGGTTAAAGAGACAAGCATTAAAGTGCCAAAACAATCTCCAAATCTACACAATAGTATTCCACAATTTTTTAGTTGCAATAAAATGCCTAGTATTTCCAAGTTACCAAATACTCTAAATGAAATTTTGTAAGAATTACAAAGTGGGAATCTCGATTAATTTTATTCAAAGGAGAACAATATAGAACTTTTGGCTTAATTATCAAAATCAAAGTAACCTGCCTTTCATGAAGAGGATTATGCAAGAAGTATCTAATGCAAGATATTTTGTGGTTAGAATGATCTTGAATATTTGATTATTATGGATGACATTTCCTTGCAAAGTTATCTATAAAAATTAGAAACAAGGGAAAAATTTTAAGTAAGAATTATTGATTCCTTTTCTCATGAATTAAGAACTCCTTTGAACAGTGCCAAATTATTTCTTGATGGTCTTTTGAATGATCCTAGTATCAATGAAGATCACAAATAGAATTTTATTTATCCTGCTTCAAATGCGTTAAAATTATAAGCATATTTAATTAGGGATATTATAGATTTTACTTAATTTCATTCACAAATCATTAAGTATAAATTTGAAGAATTTAATTTTGAAGATATTGTCTAAGAAGTAAATGACATTTTTAGACCAATTCTGTAAATGAAATGCCTTGGTTTACACATTAATGTGAAAAATTAAGTACCTCCTTTAATATATTCAGATTTTGATAGGATAATGTAAATTTTGGTAAATTTAATCTCGAATTCAATCAAATTTTCAGAGAGAGGTTTGATTACTTTAGATATCTCTTGCTATGATACTACTCTAACCTTTTGCGTTAAAGATCAAGGAGTGGGTATTGAAAATGATTAATTACAGAAAATCCAAGAATTTTTAAAATCCTTCAATTTAAACAGAGATTTTTCATGTCATGATGAATGGTAAGGGCTAGGATTACTTGTAAGTTAAATGAACTTATTTAAGTTAGCCCCATTAAACAAAACTTAATTGAGAATAAATTCGAATGGATTAGGTGACGGAACATAAATTATCTTTAAAATTAGAACAACTTAATCTTCAAATACTCAAATAGTAGGAAGTACAACTATGAAAAAGTAAACAATAAGAACCGCATATACAGTACCTGATCTATGTATGGGAATTTAGGGAATATTAATTATTAATAATCCTAAATGTGACAATTTGCTGTTTAAGAAACGACTCTAATAAATTCCTATTAGACATCACTCATCAATAGCAAATTATTTTCGGCCATAATAATCGATTGGGTTGTTAAATTAATACGTAGTAGAAGAAACTGATATGATGCACGAAGAGGATACATAAAAAGGAAATCTTTAAGAAAATTTAATAAAATTGAATAATACTGGTAAATCATTCTCTATTTTTATCAATAATCAAGATTTAAAAGAAAAATCTATTAAAAGAAGAAAAAAATCTTCATTTAGCATATCAGAGATGGATAGATCATCAAGTAAAAGACCAAATACATTGATCTCCAGATTAATTTAAAGAGAAGAATAAGAAATAGAAATGGAAGAGAAGTTTGAGAATTTATAATTTCCTTGTTTATGTGCAAGAATATTGTCAGTAGATGATGATCTCTTTAACCAAAAAGCTTTATAAGTCATAATTGGTCAGATGGGTTTTAGATTGTTGATTGTAATTAAATTAATTATTTAGGCATATAATGGACATTAAGCTATTGAATTGATATAAAGCACTGAAAAGTGTTCTGAATCTTGCAGCTTATTTCGTTTTATTTTAATGGATTGTTAAATGCCTATTATGGATGGGTGGACAACCACAAAACATCTTATGGATCTCATAAGAGACAAAATAATCCCAGATATACCAATTATAGGATTGACTGCATTTAATTCAGCAGAGGACATCAATAGATGTTTAGAGGTTGGAATGAGAGATGTTTTGACAAAACCCTTAAATATAAACTAGCTAAAATAAGTTTTGCTAAAAATATTTAATTGATCCATGTATTATTTATTTACTTCGTATACTAAAATATAAATAATTTAGATTAGGTCCAACATATTTGGTTATTATTTTGTTGATATTAATTAGTAACTATTTCAAGTTTTAAATTAATAGGAAAAATAAGACGATATTTTCTGTCAAAAATAATATATTTAAAATATACATTGATTTTTTCAGACTTCATCAAAATTTTCAGCCATAGTAATGCTATCATTGTCTTCTGGAGGATTTACTACTTAAAACAGCACATTATTTATTGTAACATTATATTATGTAAGAGAAGCTTATTAAAAAACTATATTATTATTTTACAATATGGATTATATGGGCAAATTGGTATAGATCTTGGTCGAGTTTGATTATTTACATAAGCTTTTAAGTCAATGTCTTTCTGATTTTTCATGTTTTTATTTGGCTAGCTTCCCATTTTTAGTTATTTATATTATTTCATAACATGAAACCAATTTTTGATTTAAGTAAGATTTATGGCACATGCATTTAGATTGAAAACATACGTTCTGATAATATAATTAAACTACCCTAGGTTAATTGAATCTGAAAAACCCAATTTGAATGTTATATAAATAACAAACTATGATTAAGAAATTATAAACAGTTTGAGTAGCAGTTTTATAAATTTTATTGATATATACATCAGCAAATAAAGGATCCGTTTTCTGCTTTATCCCTACCCTAGATAAAGGAGTGACTAATGTTATTCTTGATGTTTTTATTAGTTTTTTTTATTTTTGGATGTGTTGAAGAATAAATTATATACATATTCTTTTCATTAAATAAAGAAAAAGATTTAATTTATTTTGAATTAAAATAAAGTTCATATGACATTCATCGTGAAAACAAGAAAAGTATTATTGAATAAAGTCTTGAACAGAAGATAATTGGTATGCTAATTTGTTAAATTATAAAGAGTGTTGAATTACTCCATCAAATTAAGCCAACCCCATCATAAGAATCTGTTGTCAAGGAATTGGCTAGCAAGTATAAAGCTGATGAGAGAAATGTTGTTGTCTATGGTCTCAGAACAACATTCGGAGGTAACAGAACTACAGGTTTTGCTCTCATTTATGACACCTAATAGTATGTGCAATAATTTTAATTATTCCAGGTATTTACTTAAATTCGAGCCAAAATTCAGATTGAGAAGAAGAGGAATCATCCCAAAAAGAGATGGAAGCAGAAAGGGTTGGAAGGAAGTCAAATCTAAATTAAAGAAGACAAGAGGAGCAGAAAAAACAAAGATTTATATGTCAAGAAAAACAGACAAGAGAGAAGTCATTAGAGCTTAAAAGGAAACATATCTTAAGGGTTTTGTTGGAAAATGATGATCATAAAATATCAATAGTACATTATAATAAAAAACAAACTAATAATAAGCACATTTTCATCTTGAATTTATTAATGTAATTATTACATTTACAATTCATCAGATTTCTAATTATTTTCCCATTTTGAATGAATTTTGAAAAAGGAGAATTTTTACCTAGACAACTATTCTATGATTTCAAACTTTTAACCAGATATATTAATTTTTATACATTATTCTTTATTTAATTCTCTTTTATTTAAAATGATTTTACTTTATATTCGTTTTTAATAATTTATTTTAATTATTATGAAAATTGCAGTTCTATTGTTGATATTGTCAACCCTAGGCATTTTTGCAAAAGATGTCACGAAAATTCATGATTGGATCTAAAAGAACATTCAATCTCTAGAGAAGTATATTTAAGAAACCGATATGTCAAGCGATATGTTATTGGGCATCTAAAGAAATGATTAAGCCAAAAAGTAAATCTCAATCCTAAAACTAGCTATTAAAATTGGATATTTTCTACAAACCATAAATAACATATAGAATTAACAGATGGACAAGTCAAGAAAACAAGTGCATTTGGTCCTGAATCCGAATATTTTACAGAAACAACCTAAAATTTGGTTTTTTTAGGAACTCAGATTAAGGATAAGGAATGGATTAAAATCTAAATGAGCAAAGGTAATGAGGATACCTAAAGAATCGATATGTTTTCTTAAGATAATTATTAAGGCGTCAGTTTACTCAATTCAAATATTGAAGGAATTTTGAATAGGTTATTAATTGTTGAAAAAAAGAATGAAATTATTTCATCCTATGAAGAACATGGAAAGTCCATTATATAAATTTCTAATTTATCTGAAGGCTAAGCACTTTTTTATGTTCTTTACAGTTAAAATTCAGAAGTGAGTGACATTGAAAAGTTATTTAATTACATTGTCAAAAATGTAATTGATCTTGATAAGGAAACAGAAATTAAAGCAGATGAATAACCAGTTGACAAAGATAATGGAGAAGAAGAATCAGATCCAAATGAAGTTGAAAAAGAAAATAAAAAGGAGGGCGAAGAAGATACAGAAGGTGAAGAAAAAGGCGATAAATAAGAAGAAGAAGTTCATGATTAAGAAGTACCTGAAGAAGATTGTCCTGGAGGAGAAGAAGATGATACAGTCAAAAATAAAGTAGATGTTGATCCAACATAATAATTACCACCTCAAGAGGATCATAAGAATGTCAAAATCTAAACCAATAATGTCAATTCAGATGAAACAGTTGAAGTAGTAGAAGAAAGTGAGGAAGAAGAGGTAGAGATAGTTCCACAAAAGACTACAAAAGTTGGTGGTAAAACCAGCCTTCCTCCAAAAAAGAATCAAGAAGAAGATGAAAAAAGCGAACCAGAGCCTCCTTCTGAAGAATATTAAAATTGTGCTGGTGAGGAGTTAGATACAGTAAAAAACAAGAGAGATTTGAATGCTAACGTGGAATCTAAACCAGACAAAGTATTTTAAGCAAAAGAAGTCAGCATTAAAGAAACAATACAAGAAGAAGAAGGTGAAGGAGAGGGAAATAATGGCGGTGAAGGTGCAAATGGAGGAGATGGAAATTCTGAAGAAAAGGGTACAACTGAGGGAGAAGGAAAGTCTGAGGAACATGGTACAACTGAAGGAGAAGGATAATCTGAAGATCATGGTACATAAGAAGGGGAAGGGAAATCTGATGAACATGGAACAACCGAAGGAGAAGGATAATCTGAAGACCATGGTACTTAAGAGGGTGAAGGAAAATCTGAAGACCATGGTACAACAGAAGGAGAAGGATAATCGGAGGATCATGGTTCATAAGAGGGAGAAGTAAAGTCTGATGAACATGGAACAACTGAAGGAGAAGGATAATCTGAAGACCATGGTACAACTGAAGGAGAAGGAAAATCTGAAGACCATGGTACAACCGAAGGAGAAGGATAATCTCAAGACCATGGTACAACCGAAGGAGAAGGATAATCTGAAGACCATGGTACATAAGAGGGTGAAGTGAAGTCTGATGAACATGGAACAACCGAAGGAGAAGGACAATCTGAAGACCATGGTACATAAGAGGGTGAAGGAAAATCTGAAGATCATGGTACAACAGAAGGAGAAGGATAATCGGAGGATCACGGCACAACCGAAGGATAAGGATAATCTGAAGACCATGGTACGTAAGAGGGTGAAGTGAAGTCTGATGAACATGGAACAACCGAAGGAGAAGGACAATCTGAAGACCATGGTACATAAGAGGGTGAAGTAAAATCTGAAGATCATGGTACAACAGAAGGAGAAGGATAATCGGAGGATCATGGTACATAAGAGGGAGAAGTAAAGTCTGATGAGCATGGTACAACTGAAGGAGAAGGATAATCTGAAGACCATGGTACAACTGAAGGAGAAGGAAAATCTGAAGACCATGGTACAACCGAAGGAGAAGGATAATCTCAAGACCATGGTACAACCGAAGGAGAAGGATAATCTGAAGACCATGGTACATAAGAGGGTGAAGTGAAGTCTGATGAACATGGAACAACTGAAGGTGAAGGATAATCTGAAGATCACGGTACAACCGAGGGAGAAGGATAATCTGAAGACCATGGCACAACCGAAGGAGAAGTAAAATCTGAAGATCATGGAACAACTGAAGGAGAAGGATAATCTGAAGATCATGGTACATAAGAGGGTGAAGTGAAGTCTGATGAGCATGGAACAACTGAAGGAGAAGGATAATCTGAAGATCATGGTACATAAGAGGGCGAAGGAAAAGCTGAAGACCACGGTACAACCGAAGGAGAAGGATAATCTGAAGACCATAGTACATCTGAGGGAGAAGTAAGGTCTGATGAACATGGAACAAATGATGTAAAGGAAGATACTGATAATTAGAAAAAGCACCCTGAAAATGAGACGGAGGTAAAAATATATATAAATTTCTATAGGAACCTTGTGTAATTTTATACTCAGAATGCCACTACACTGGAGATGAATTAAAATTATGCGGTGCTCATCCTGTTATTCCAAACGATATGAAAAATTTTAAAGTTAAATCTATCAAAGTACCAGAAGGAGTTTAGGTTACATTCTTTAATAAACCAAATTTCGATGATGAAAAATTACACACAAAAACAGAAATGGAATGCCTTGAGACACCTTTAAGATTGAATTTACTAGAATTGATGAATAATCTAAGAATGTCAAAGCAAGTTAATATAAACTCTATATCAGTCACCAAATGATAATTGCATATTTAGTTTATATTTACAAAATATTCTTCTTATAATTAGATCTTCAGTCTTGAAGATCAAAATTTTCATTATAAATTTAATTATTGACGGACCATATTGCTCTTTTCTAAATTTAAATATAAACATTTATCTGTTCAAAATTATTTAAAATTTGATTCTTTAGATTATATCAAAAGAATTTTTAAAATATAGAAATAAGAGAAGAATAGATTTATTCCATGCAACCTATGATCTTAATTTTATTTGAAAATACAAGATATTTTTTTGTTTTTTAAAGACAAATCGTTTGCTTATTAGATATATACTCAAAATACACAGAGGCGCTTTGGAATTACAGCCTAATTCTTTAAAGACTAACTAGTTATTATGTTATTATGTTATTATGATATTATTATATTATATTATTATATTATTATATAAATAATATTGTATTTTAAGGTTATTTTAATATAATGAATTTGAAATTGATAAACTGTTTATGTAGCATAATTCAATTTGATAAATAATAGATTAGAGATTAAATATTGATAATAATTTAATTAAGAAAAGTTATAACTTTAAAAACAACTATAATTCGAATTTATTTCAAATTGAATTTAGTTCTAAGAGTATTATTGATTTCAACTATGTCAATATAATTGAAATATTTTCATAACGATATCGCATTAAATCAAAACTGAATAAATTGAAAAATGTTATTAATTAACTGAGTCACAGAATTTTTATATGTTGAGAAGAGTAAAAATTAAATCTTTGTATGGTGATTATAACATACACAAAAATTAGAATCGAATAATGATACTTTATATTCCAAAATCAAATTTAAATAATTATCTTCGTTATTTTTCTTTATTCCAGTTTTTCTTTTCATTACAACTCTATATGAAAAAATTTGTCCTTCCCCTCATTTCAATGCTTTAATAGTCTTTATTAAATATTTTTATTTAATGAAATAATAGCCATTTTTGGAAGTAATAAATTATTTTATATTTGGAAGCCAAAAACATCTTAAGACAAGATGAAAGAACTGAAGATGAAATTTGGCATTTAGTTAGAGCAACCAAACCATTGAAATATTTTAAGGAGATAAATTTATATCGAAAAAATCAACTTTAATAATTACATTATCAAACATGCCGAGTGATGAAATACATATCCTTTCAGCCTGGGCACATCATTTTTAAGGAGGGTACTCATATACAAATTCAATTCAGGTCAACCTGCAAATAACTTTTACATAATTTTAAATGGAACAGTTCATATATACTAAAAGAAGAAGTTTCTTTAAATTGAGATAGAATAATATGTTGAATAATACTACATGCTGGATGAATAATAAAAGAAAAATCACCAAAGAGAGATAATTGACAGATTAAATCAAATCTTAACTTTTAAGTCTGCCAATCAAATTAATAATCACATTTCAAAATTAAGATAAATAAGGCAATATAAAGATTACCTTAAGGAGACAGGTGATCTTTATCCCGATTAATTTAGTGATATCAATTATTTTTTTGAATAAGGTGTTTTTACATAAAATTTGATTACAAAATAATCATAAGGAGAGGCATTTGGGGAGCTTGGATTAATTTTAGAATAACCGAGATCAGCAACGGTATTAGCAGCTGACTTTGTTGAATTGGCTTAAGTTGATGCTTCTTCCTATAAAATGATATTGTAATCTGCTTAAGTTAGTTCTATTAATAAAAGGCTGCAATTTTTATATGAACACTTTCTACCTTCAGATACTAAACAATAAACAGCTACTTAATATGCTTATGATTTTAAAAAGATAAAATTTACAAAAGGAAGAATAATTTACAAATAAAATGAAATTTCTGATTGTTTTTACATAATATATAAGGGAGAAGTGGAATCATATAAAGTAAATGAAAACCAAAGCGTAAAAATCTCTCGAATGGGAGTTGGTAATATTTTCGGAGCAATTGAATTTAAAACACAAGGGAAACGTGAATACACTGTAATAGTAGTATCTGAAAAAGTAACACTATTTTTACTTAAATACTATTAATTTTAAAAAATGCTGGAAGAAACTCAGAGTTTGTAAGAATTATTCGAAAATCATACACTTTAAAAAACTCAACTGTTGAAAGATTAAATAAAGAGAACAATGAGTGTAAAATTAAAAACAGAATAGTTTGAAGGGATTAATTCTTAAAAGTCACTTCTATAATAATAACATTCAAAACATTTTTAATCCGATCGATTATTAAAGAAATTAGTCTCTTAGATTGATGATTATAAAAAGAAAGGAATGATTCCAACCAGAACTAGTTTTATAAAATAATAATAATAACTATAATCAAGTCTAATGAATGTGTAAGATACTCATTTACAAATGAAATAAATTACTTATAAAAGAGCATATTTAATGCCAAATGATGAAGAAGATAAATTAAAAAAATAATAAAAGTAAAGTATAATCTTACGATCTATGTTTAATGATAAGGATACATCTCAAGTAGATAGAAAATAAATAATCTCTTATTAATTAATGAAGTCTCATTCAAAAACCTAATCTAAATTAGAATAATTAAGAGCAGATACTGAAGTTAGTGCATTTAGCATTTCTAAGACAGATTGCAGTCTTGGAAATTTGGATAAGAGAAAGTAAGACAATTAATTGTATGATTAGAAATTCATCCCTCTCGCCTTCTAAAAAAATAGTTGTTTCGACTAAGCACAATTTATTTCGATCACGCCCTAACAAATTTTTTTTATTCTGTTAAAACTATTTAAATAGAACTAGAAATTGCAAAGTGATGGAATGATTAATACTAGAATGATAATATTGCAAGATATAGTTCAAAAGAGAAATATATATATTTATTGCTAGAAATATAATTATTTTGTTTTAGAGTATTATATTAATGTTATTATTCAATCCTATTAGTATCAGAAATTATCAATTTGGCTTTATGATTTGTATTAAGCTGTGAATTTTTCCAAAATGTTGAAATTTGAATTATAATTTTGTATTTTTTGTTCTACATCATTTTTTTATTCATTATCTAATTCTGCATCCGAATTAGATTCAGATGACAAAGAAATTTCATGTAGAATAAGATCCTCAGATTCTTAAATAATGAATTAAATATGATCCCCTGCTGGATCTCTTTCCGCTTTATCCTAATTTATTAATGTTGATTATATTTGAGCTAAGGTTGAAAGAACATAATTTCTTATTTCCTAGCTCTATCCAAACGATTCTTCTGAAAGTTCTTCAATATTATTTAGTCCCATTAATTCATTCCAACATAATCTTTAGTAGGCTTAATAATGTTTTTTTCCAAATAATATAGATGGATGATAGGTTGTATTTACTACGTCTTTGAGGCTTTATGCTTATTTATACAACTCGATGGAGTCATTGATACCTTAATCAATTCCATATTAAGAGCCTAACTCATTCATTGAAGATTCATCATCTTAAATGTTCAATCGTAAAATACTTTCTAAACTATCAATTCTTAATTAAATATTAGGAGAAGACCCAAGGGAATTGAGAATAGGCAATGACTATTGAGTTTCCAATTCTTGTTGATCAATTGAAAATTATGTTTCAAACATATTTCTTTAAATTTTTTATTGAAATTTATAAGAGAAAAAAGGCCCTAAAATTGCTGAATCTCTGAATATTTATGATTTCACCTAAAAAATGTCTATTTATAAATTCACTTAAGAACTGCACGATTATAAAAAAGGTACTTTTAATCATTTAAAATTTAATTTATATCTAATAGGATTATCTTCATGATTTCATTCAATTTAAATTAATAATTATTCTGGCTATAGAGACCTTAGAATCGTTAATATTGTTAATAGAGTAAAGTGACATTTAAAGTTAATACAGTTATTGTTCAATAGATAATAAAATATTTTATTGCCAATACCTATAATATTATAATATTTTATAAATAGAAAAATGCATTCAAGTTCTCCTCGAGGAACAAGTAAAATTTTAGACAACTCGGACATCGGAGATGAAAGAATATTTAGCATTAGAACTGAAAACCACAAACAATCTCTAATTAAAAAGAAATACCAATTTACTGTTTAATAAATAGATAACGATGAATAAATTGAAGACATCAATTTACTTTTTGATGATCGACAATTAAAAATAATAAATGATTTAGCTTTTGCATAGATTGCAAAGATTAAGGAAAAAGCAAAGAGATCTTCAATATCTAGGAAAATGAGTGTTATGATTCAAAAAAAGGAGCAGGAAGAAAAATAGCCAAGTTGTTCTTATATTAAAGTATTTACTTAAGAGGATAGAATAAGAATAGTTTGGGATCTATTCACAATGTTGGTGATCTTTTTAGCCATCTTGATATTGCCAGTTGATATTTCTTTTAATATTTAATCAACTTTCTTAGATGATTTTAATCTTTTTAGTTTGGCAGTATTCACTCTCGATATATTTATTAATTTCAATACAGCCTTTTAGCATAAAGGTTAGTACGTTTATGATCGTTCATTGATTATTTAAAACTATTTAAAATGGTGGTTTTGGATAGATGTAGGTATCTATAATGATTAATATCATAGTCTCTACATTTCCATTCGATTTAATTGTCGAAGCAGCTACATCAAGTGTTGAGCAGGTAGATGAAGATGAGTTAACTTAAGAATAAAGTTAAGCTCAAAAGGATTCATTCGTATAAACAATGAAATTACTTAGAATTTTAAAATTTTTTCGATTAATCAAAATTATAAGACTTCTACGTGTGTTAAAACTTAAGTAGCTCTTTAATAAAATAGAGGATTATATAGACATTAGTGGATCTGTTGTAACCATTTACTAATTGCTTAAATTAACATTTATAATGCTTTTCGTAGCACATTGGCTGGCCTGCATTTGGCATTTCATAGCTGAATAAGAAAATAGTTCAAATGGGTATAGCTGGTTATATATGCTACAATATCTTGCTGACAATCAATGGTACATAAAATACGTGGCATCAGTTTATTGGGCTACTGCTACAATGACTACTGTTGGATATGGTGATATTGTCCCAGTCACTTCAGTTGAGAAATTGTTTGGTATCATAGTCATGTTGTTGGCTTGTTGTGTTTTTGCTTACATAATGAATAGTATAGGAGGCATCTTTGTTAAGTTAGACACTAATGAAAAAACCATAAGGTTAAGACTTGGACAAGCAAATTAATTCTTGAAATCTAATGAGATACCAAAAGATTTGTAAGCAAGAGTAAGAAAATATTTAGAATATAAATATGAAACCGAATCATCTTAGGTGAATGAGAAAGATGCTTTATCAGTTCTCTCATCTACTTTAAAAGACGAAGTCTTATAGAATGTGAATTCTTCTCTTATTAAATAATCTGCCTTGTTTAATTCTGGTAAATTTGAGAAGGAAATATTATCTTAATTGCCATATCTTTTGGAAGAGCAAATTTATGGACCTGAAGAATGTATATTTTTGGAAGGAATTGATCCAATAGAAAAGGAAAATGGTAACAATATCTAAGATAGAAATTTGTATTTTCTAAATTAAGGCTAAGTGCTAATTTGTATTTAGAAGACAATCACTTGTTTAAAAATAATTGAAGGTGGGGCTACCTTTGGTGAATTAGCATTCTTTACTGATAAACCAAGGAGTGCTTCTGCATACACATTGAATTTTGTTTATGTTTAGATTCTTAACAAAAAAAAGTTCTTTGAAAAATTGAAACTCAATAGCAATTAAAACCAGATTTATTTAATGAATAAACACATAGTTGAAATTAATAATGACTATACTCCTTTAGGATAATGCTGTTTTGCTTGTCAAAGTGCTTCTCATTTCGCATACGAATGCCCAAAACTTCATTATGCCATAAATCAGGAGAGACGTCTAGAAATAATTAAAGAGGAATAAAACAATCAAGCATAACATTTAAAACTATTTAATAAATAATTTATTAGATAGAATAAAAGAATTAAATACAACTCGAGAGCTAATTCTCAATTAACTAATATTGTAGCTGATGAAATCAAATTCGTATATAATCATATCCGCGAAAGCGAAGATGAATTCTAAACCTAATTGAATCAGTAAATTAAAATATTATCATTAGATCAAATTGTGACGAGGAAGAAGATGAAAATCCTTTTAAAATTAGTGCAAAAGGATAGCTCCCTTATTTTTCAGAAGAAAACAATATCGATAGAATGTGCAATTTTCCATTATTCTTCCCTAATTATAACTATGATAAAATTATCTCATCATATAACTAATTCACTAAGGAGAAAGTTAGTTAGAAGATTTCTGGGAATAAACCATAAACAATTAAGAAAAATAGAAGTCACAGAGTCAGTCGGTCTCATTCTGCAGAAAGAGCTGAATATTTTTAAAAATTGGAAGAAAAGTGCTTTGCAGAATAATGATTATTTAAATATTGATTTCCTTCATTCTTTAGTAAGAATAAAGAGAGTTTTCTCTGATTTAATTTATAAAATATTCAATCCTTTATTCATACTTAATTTTACATTATATTATGAGTATTATGGCTATTTTCAAAAATTGCTATGAACACTTCAGGGGCAAGTTTTCAAAATAATACATGCCTGCTCAATCTCCAAAAATGCACTCGAAAAAAAAGGTGCTTGTTTTAGATTTAGATGAAACCTTGGTTCATTGCGAGTTTAAGGAAAATAATAGTTTTTAGCATGAAGCCCTACTGAAAGTAAATCATAAAGGATAAGAATACAAAATCTATTTAAGAACTAGACCACACTTAAATTAATTCTTAATTGAAGCTAGCCGAGATTACGAAATAATAATCTTTACTGCAGGTTACGAAGTTTACTGTGAGAAAGTGTTAGCCTTCATTGACAACAATAGATTGATATCAGATTATTACGCTCGAGGAAGTTGCCAATTTATCAATGGAGTTTGCTTCAAAGATTTGTCATTACTAGATAGACCTATGGAGGATATAATTTTCATAGATGTAAAAATTCCTATAAATATTAGAATAATCCTAATGCCTTTGATAGATGCCAAGAAAATGGATTACTTATACCCTCCTATCTTGATTCAGATGATGATGATTGTCTTCTAAGATTAATTCCTTTTCTTAAATATTTATCAAAGAAAAAAGATCTGAGACCTATTGCTTAACACCTTCATTAATTTGAAAATAATATTGGAACTACATTATTCTCAGAAAACCAAAAATCTTTAGAAATCTAACAAGAAGCAATGGATGAAGACACCTTGAGTGAAGGTAATGTTGTAAAGAAAGATAATGATATTACAGATTTAGATATAAAGCACAAAAAAACCTAAACTCATTTAGAAGTAGTTTCTAAAGTTAGTAATAAAATAAGAAGTGCTACTCTATTTTCTGGATGATTGAATTATTAAAATAAACCTCATTTTTATTTCAATACTCAATTAAGTATTTTTATAGTACTTTTATAAATTTATTAATATTATGAACAAGATAATTTTACTCTCACACCTGTTTATCATATTAACATCCTCGAGGAGGGTTGGAGAGTCAGAAATGAATTAGTTTTCATGCATAAAATCAATTTGCAAATAAGAACTTTAATCTTGTATCTAAGATGAGTATTGCTTTTCAGTTATTCAACTTTGTAATTAAGATTTTGATGATACTGAAATTGCCCAAAATGTAAATAAAATGTTAAATTTAGATGAAAAATTGTTTGAATGATGATAACAGTTCAAAAAAATATATATAATGTATAACAAATAAATGTCTCAAAAAACTCGATGCCAATTTTGGTTCAAAATGATTTTATAATTAATAAAAGTATTCACTAAGTTAACTAATAGAAGAATCAATGTCACGCTATTCCAATAATATTTAGTTTATTTTTGCTAATTGCCAATAACAAATTTATCAAATAAATGATGTTAAATGGAAATAGTTTATTATAAAATTACATTAATAATATATTTAATTGATGATTAAACAATCCACAATCAGATTTTTATTTTTGATGATTTACTTTTCTAATTTTTAGAATACTTTCATTGCTTATTACTACTTGAATCTTAGTTTATACTAGGAAGTGAACTAGATATTTTTTTATTTAATTATGTCAATTTTGAAGATAATTTGTCCTGCTTTAAGTGGTTTTATTATATATCACGTTTAATTTAATTTAAATTTTCTATTCATAGGATAATGGTTAACAATAGTTTCCTATATCTATTTTATAGCAAATATCTATTAAGAAGTAGAGGATTATCTATATTTTGCTATAGGGTTTTAAATTCTGGGTCAATAATTGTAAATCATAATTATTTTAACAATGATTTCAAAGCATTTCAATTAAAATGAAATACCTTAGTAACAGATTTATTACCAAATTTTAGGTAAATTTCAAAATTTTATTAATTTGAATGTGGTGGTCGATTGTTGTGTGTCTTTTTATTTTTCTTCCAAGAAATAGTCACTCTTAATTAGAATAAACTCAAATATGAAAAGAACATTTAACTAATATTATCTATGATTCCATTTGTAATACTATTATCTTTGGCAATATGCATTCATAGATCATTTCCAATATTTAGGTAGGATATTTATGAAAAAATCCCAGAATTATAATAGATTCCAATATCCAGTAAGAGCAATATGTTGTAAGCTATGAAAGATGTGTGTAAAACTGATGTAATTCTTATTTCAGCTGCTGCCAGTGCTGTAATAAGTATCATTCAGATCTGGGAATAATTTAAACTGTCTTTATTCTATTATAAATACAACAAAGATACTAATGAAACCACAGATGTGTGGTTAGTTGTTCTGACTTTTACAATTTCTGAATTCCCAATTATTTTGTGTATAAATAAAGTGAAATTTAGCTTTATTGATTGCCAATAGACTGGGACATAAAATAAAAAATTAGATGGATGCTCTTTAATATTTAACTAATGCTACATCTAGTTCTTTAATTTACTTTATTCTAAGCACACTTTAGCTGATCTGTTATAATAGTTTAAAAGATCTCAGATTATTCATTTCAATTCTAACTATCACAATGTAATAATACAATCAAACAATCTTATCTGTAAATTTCAATATTATCATAAAAGATCTCAAGCACCATATTAATTGGTATTCAAAAAGCAAATTAAAGGACTTTGGGATTATCATTTGGAATTTTATCAATGTCTACAAACATCTTTGAAATCTGGGTTATTTGTGTTTTGAGTCAATGGAAATTAGAGTGTAATATGATTAATAATTTCAAGATTATCAAAAACTGGCTGTAATATATGGATTTGCAATATGTTACACTATTTTGGGTGCTACCCTTGCAAAAATGTTGTAGTTTGTAGGCATGATCAAAATCAGTTAACCTGAGTTAAATCTTGATATCTTTGGAAGGATAAATACTTGAAATAATCAATTTATTAACATTATTTATAAAAAAATTGTAAATTAACCTTTTTATATATTTTAGAACCAGAATTTCTTAAACTAAATAAAGAAAAATAATCATTTTGTTTGGTTTATTTATTTTGGTCTGAAAATAAAATAACTCAGTAATAAGAAAAAAAAAATTATAAATTTTTAAAAGTTTGAATTAATAAATTGCATAATTACATATATTTTAAAGTTAATCATAGCTCATATTAATATATGATTGATTTGATTATAGCTATACATTTAGCTTCAGTTAGAGATTCCTAAGGCATCAAAATAAATGCAAATTTACTAGCTTAGACCAGTTTTTGTATTTTGGACAAATTTTATATTTATAAAGTACCCTAAACAACTAGAACAGATATTCCAAAGATTAAATAATAGAATTGAGCATTTATCAAGTCATTTTGTAATATATCAATTGTTGATCCTAAAATAGTATCATAAAACTTAACAACAGCTTTGTTAATGTCGAAAAAGTATTCTTAAATATAATGCTTAAATTCTGGGGTCGATAACAAATATTCAGTTTCATTTTAATCAGTATTTCTGAGTCCTTGCAATTCTTATTAGTAATAGGATTAAAGGATCACTAATAATCTATTATATGAATTTTATATTTACTTTTAAAAAATGCCATTAATTCCATTCCTAAAGATTTCTCTATTGTTATCTCCATTATTTGGAGTTGGATAATCTGGGAAATAGTAGAATTAATTATTAGTGAAATTACAAAATGGAAGTTCCTCTGCCATCACAGAACATAAGTCCTCCTAATATAAGGCTTAGAGTATTTATTTATCACTAGTAGATATTTTCTTAGAATTTATTATACTTTAGTAAATATATTAGTTAACTTCTTAAGCTTTCTCTGATTTTATTTTGAATTAATCTAATAATTCGGTTTCCAATGTATGAAAATATTTATTTGGATCCAAAAGTTCAGGATTTAAATCTAGAAAACCCAACTCACGGACTTTCCCTGATAAAATTGAATTAGTTTTTATTAGTTAACTTAAAATCACCAAGGAATCCAAGTCCTATTTGAATTAAACAAATTAAATTGTGAGTGAAATTTCTTATTAACTTGAATCTATGCCATACTTCATATACAAAAAACTTGATAATATAAAGCTTAAAAGTAATATAAGATACATGAAATTTTTGAGATATATACTTAAATAATTAAATTAGTAGTCAAGCAATTATAGATTCTATTTATTCTTTTTGGTAGCAGCCATATTATTTTACACTTTAGTAAGAATGCCTTATTGATCCTAAACAACAGTTTTTTGATAGCATTCAATCAAATAGTTGGTTCTTTTCCATCTATAGGGATGAAAAATTAATTATTTTGCTTCTTTAGCTGCACTGATACTCAATTTAATTTACTCTTCAGATATATAACTTAAGAGCTTGACTTACAATTAAATTATTGAAAAAGGTTTTTTCCATAATTAGATTAAACAAAAGATGCCTCCTGATACAAAACATAACTTAAAACTCAATAAAATATAGAGTATCGTCATAGTTATACCTTGTGAGTTTTAAATCTCAACAACAATTTCATTTATTAAATTTTAAGATGAGATTATTTGGTTGATAAGATTAGCTTTGAGAAATTAAAGTTTATAGTATTGATCTATAAGTGAAAGCCTATTAATTAAAGAGTCATTAAAACTTTGAACAATGTGTTAATATAATTCTTCAGTATAAATATCAGCAATCATGTCAAATTATATTATTGTTACTACTAATTCATTATAGTTAAACTGAGTTGGAATTCTAACAGTTAGATTTTACAGTCTGTTCTCATTTTCTAAAATAGAGAATCTGTTTTTTAAATTTGTCATCATACTTTCCATTTCATTTCTTATACTTTTAGCATCATTTATATTTCTGTAACTTAGATACGGTCCGTAATCTTTCCCCAATAATGACCTTTCTAAATCCATTTATCCTATAGTAGCAAATGAACAATAGAGTCTATTGAATTAATCGGGGATTTTAACCAAATCAATATCGTATTATAACAATTAATTTTGTAAAGATAAAATGCTTAACATTACCACTACCAATAAATATATACTAAAATATAGGAATGTAGTAATAATCCAAATCTTTTTAATAGAAACACATTACCCTTTATTTTGTTATAGGTCTCTGATTTAATCCTACACCTAAGAGTTAGTATTTTTTGGCTGTCGACTTGATTATGATATTTTTTAATCATCAAATTCTATTATAGCATCACTTTTTTGTCTTTCATACTAGCTGCTATTATGCTTATTAATAATCTATTAACTGTTTCTATTAGATAACACCTATTCATCTTTTCTATCTGTAGTTATTTCTTTGATCAATTATTGCTTTTCTATCACTCTATTAGTTAATAGTGCCATTTCAGTGCTTTTTTCTAGTTCTGTAATTAATTTTGGCGATATTTGTATAATTGGAGTTTGAGCACGATCATGATATTATTTGTTCATTAACTCTTCCTAATACGTTGATGCTTCTTTATCAAAACTGAGCATCGATTAAACATCCTTTTATTATTTTGACATGCTGCAAATGTAGTAGAATTAACCAGTAGGCAATAGATGCATTTAGATTTGAACTTCATACTAAAAAACACTAATCATATAGGATTGATTAGACAATTATCTTTTAAAATATTGCAAGAATTCCTGAAAATAAGAGGCCTCTTTACTAAAATGAGGATTAATATTTTGGTATTATTTAAAATAATATAAATATTGCATGAAGTTCGCTAATATTGATAATTCAAGAATCAATTAATTAATTTAACCTTTATCATGATCAAAGTTAGAATTCTAAATTAAGGTATCTACATTAGGAATCCAAAATTATATATAACATTCATAAATAGATTAATCTATTGCCGATTAAAATGATTAAGTGGAACCATTGTGAGTCTGACTGTTGATTAAAATAGAATAAGCATACTTAGAAATTCCTAAGATTTTTCCATTTTAGTCAAAAAGAATATAATCTTAATTTGACTTAATTTTTTACAAAGACGTTGTCAAGATAAAGTCTTCAGATTTTTCATTTATATGCAAAAAGCTTAACATTATCGGAAATATGAATCCTTCATAATCTTTACAAAAAACTTATTTTCCTTAATTGTATAAAGTTGAATTTCCTTTATTTATAAACTTCTAAATAAATTTATCATGATCTTAACTGATAAACTTTGGCATATACAAATTAATAAGAGTAAGATTCTATTTTTTATAATTTTCATCATATCCAAAAAATCTACTAATCTCTTCAGTATTAGATTTGATCATTTTTCCTGTTTATTCTAAAATACTGGAACTAATAATAATTTAATCATTATTCAAGATATTTAAATTTAAAAGTGATGAAGTGATTTAATTGTTTTCCATTCTTATCAATTCCTCAATGTAGATTTCAACATTTTTAGTTTACTAGTAATCATTTAATAGAAAAGAATAGTAAAGAGATAGCAATCTTAATTCTACAATATTGAATCTTTTTAATGTTTACACTTTTAAGATTTATCCCATCTCCTAAGGTTCTAAAATTGAAAGAATTTAGTAATTCAATTTATTAAGGATCTCATACATTTTAGTTAAATCGTTTACAGTGTTCTCTATTTTATCATACCCCTATTATAATTAATTCCAAATGTATATCTTTTACTCAAGTAAACTAGTGAATAGGCCAACGTAATTTTAAAATAAATTATCAGTCTCCTTGATCTTAATAATTTAATAATGATGATTTTAGGCAGACTTACTCTCACCTGAATACAAATCTTAAATCTATTAATCGTACTTTTTACTAATTAAAAATCCAATTGTTTTAAAAAACAATGAATGTTTTCTATTTTGAATCTAGTATCTTTTTGTCTCCAATAAGCTTTATAAATAAGTTCCCTAAATTTCATGCTTTAATAGGATTCTATATAACTAGATTTCTTCCAAATCACCAGTTTTCTCTAAATTTCTTAAATGAAACTCTAGCAATTGAAGTATACTTTAAACATTCAAAGTCTACACATCTATAAACTGTTTTATTATATAGTCTCCCACTCCCTTTTAGATTGAAGTTTAATTATGGTGGTTAATTATCTCTCCTAAATGTAGGATTAAGGATATTGAAAGCTTTTACTGGAATATATTGTCGCAAATAGTTGAATAAATTTTCATAAGGACATAGGAACAGAGAGGTACTATCAAGCTAATAGTATAAAATTGAGTGTATAAAGACTCCTACCAAAGTGCTATCCTAATAACTACTGATATAAGAAAAACTGATGTTGCTCCTATGTAAAAGAGCTATAATTATTATTATCGATAAGTACATTTATTTTAATGCAATATGGTTACATAATAATGGCATCTATAAAGTATACAAAACTCAGCAACAACAATGAATATTTGGATACATAATCAGAGCATAGTGAAAACGTAATAAAATATAAAAAATCGGCAAGTACAATTAGATAATTATAAAATGAATATCGTCTAAGCATATGTTGTTATGAAATGATAAAGTAATTACGCGAACAATAAACAATAATCAAGTAGTTAATGTAAAGTTATACACCCAATGGTACAGTAATTGGCAAATCAAACTTTTAATTTAGATGATGTATTTCAGTGTGATATAAGATTAACAACTAAAAGTATGAAATATAAAATGTAAAAACTTTTGAAATTATTTACCAATTATATAGGGAAAAGCAAAAAACTATGAACATGGTTGAATGTAGAAATGTATATAATACGCTAATAAGAATATTTAATTGGACTGAATTTATCATTTCTAATGGTTTTTAAAAAGTAATCCAAGAAAAAAGGGATCCACTAATATTTAAGTAAACTTCCTAAAACATAATATTATTAATACATCTGAGTGTTTTGTCTGAGATTATGAAGGCCAAAATAGGAGATATAGCTTTTACATTAAAAATATTGCTATTATCATTATATTTATTTAGGACTTTATGTCGTGAAAATATAGATGATCTAATAACTCTGCTAGTCTCAAGTGAAGTATTTTCTTAAGGTATTGTTTCATAGCTTTATTGTAATATAATTTATATAATTAAGATTTTAGTTTTTCATATAAAAGTTAAAAATTCATTTAGTGAAATTAATTTATCGTAATATTAAGATTCTTAATATACTTATTATTTAACACTAATGAGTATTGATTCAAATTTGATTGCCAATTTCCTCAATGAAATATATATTTCTTTTTTATAAATGTCATTTGTGCTATTTTTAGATCAACTTGGAGAATCGCACTTTAGATGGATAAAATGGAGAGCTAATATAATCTCAAACTCTACAAACAAAAATTTGATTTTTGATCATCATTTTGATCCTTTGTAGAATCATCTAAATTATATTTGACTCCTCAAATAAAGAATAAAGAAGATTGTGTTTGTTAAAATGTTCCATGGAAAAATATTAAAAAAAAATTAATTTTAAAATTATTATGGACATAAATAAGTTTAATGGAATTGTAAACTTTATTTTTCCCTTTTAATCAAATATATAAACTATTTCGATATTTCAAGCCTGTCCTCACTTTTCACAAAATACCCTAAAAAGAAATATTAGATGAAATTAAAGAATTTTAAAACAGTTGCAATTTCTTCACCAGCCAAAATCATACTAAAATTAAATTTCAAAAAATATTAACAACTAAAACATTCGAAAAAAATTATCGTTGATAGGGAAGGAATGGAGATAGTAACACTTTTACTTTTGGCTCACTAAAGATTTTGTCTTTTCCAATAGGTTCGAGAATCATAATCATTATTTCTTATAACAAACATAAATATCATTTCAGTTAATCAGTAAAAAGTAGAACTCGTTTTATTTAAATCATCTTAGATAAAAATATTTTAGTCCAAGCTATTTTACTATTAAATATTTTTTTTATTTAAGCAACATGGCTATTTAGTAGCAATAATATTTCCTCTATAGGTTTCCAAAAAGGATCTATGGTGACTATTTATTGTCGAAGCCTAAGACCCATGTAGACTTGGTTTATTATTCCTATCAACAGTATCGCTTTGGTTTTCTTAATAATCAACCTTAAATTGCCCTACTCCCACCAAATGATTCTGTTTTTTCACAAATTAAATTTAATTTATAGGAAACTTGAGTTCAGGAAACACTTATTTTGGATAGTAATTAATTGTATTATCCAATAAATATGTATAGGTGTTATTCTAGACTAATATATTTGTAGAGCTTGTGTCATTCAAGTTTTATTTTATATGAAAAGATAGCTAAACTTATTCCATCTTTTGACTCTCTTGAATAGGCTGAGTGGCTCTATTTTTGATTGATACTGACAAGTCTTTAAACCTAGGTCGTTTATCTGGGTTGTTGCTAAGCATTCTTGCTAAAATGGATAGTAATTAAAGGGAATATTAATCTGTTAAGGATTTTAGGGTTTCTTTGTATTATTTATGAAATTCTAAATTTTAAAACTTGAAACATACTTTATTTTGTCATAAGTTCTATTATGACTGAGGCTAAATCATAAACATCCTATTTTAATAAATAATCAGTTAATTATTTATTAAAAGAATCTAAAATTTTAATTGTGCTCTCCTCATTTACAAAAATATTTTCTATACTAATGTTACCATGAACACATTGGTTTTCTTCCAAGTAATCCAAGACATCAACCAATTATTCTAAGAACTTTTATAATATATTTTATAATTTTACCTTCCATATATCAATTTCTGGAAATGGTCCTGTTCGTTCATCTAAAACTTTCTAAAGAGTGCAGGGCTGATATTCAAAGAAGAAATTCTAACTTTCGACGCTTCCACAAAATGATGGCTCTGTCTATGTGCATGCATAGTATTAAAGTAAATTTGGATGTTACAATGAACATCTCTATTAATGAATCTATAATAAAGTAGAATCGGAGTGATAAATATGTCTTGTCTAGATTTATTCATAAAAATTACAAATGAAAATAGTTTTAATGATGAGTTTTCTTTAGTCTTCCATATTTATATTTTTCCTAATGAAGGATGAGATGTCGCCTCGCAAAGGTGAATTTAATCATCTAAATCCTATGTGAATGAAAGTTCTGTGTGATAGTTTATATAGGCTTAAATATTCCCCATTCTTAACGTATTATATAATTTTATTAAATATGATAAGCAGCACATTTATAAATACAAATCAAAAATAAAATATATAAATATAATTGCAAAATCTATTTATTTAATGAGAAACATATTCATTTTTAATATTTTCAAGACTAAAACATAATCTAAAATCATCAATATTTATTTCGATTTAATTAGACTTAAAAACTAAAACCTCTGTATTACAGCCTCATTATCAAAATGAAGTGTTTTTATCAATTTCCAATTCCATTCCTTCAATAATGAGAGGGAAAAAATAACAAGCATAAAAATATTAAATGTGTGATTTTAAAAATAAAGATTTTTTTAATTAAATTTGAGATGTCTTAACCATAAGCAAAAGGAGGAAAAACATAATAAGCTAAGCCAGAAGCAAAGGCCTAAGCCCCAGCTAAAGTTGTCAAACCACAAGAAACTAAGGAAAATGTGATGAGAAAGATTAGAATTGAAAAATTGATGGTTCACATTTGTGCTGGTGAGTCTGGTGATAAATTGACTAAAGCTGCCAAAGTTTTAGAGGATTTAACAGGATAAAAGCCTGTGTTCGGTAAGGCACGATACACAGTCAGATCCTTTGGTATCAGAAGAAATGAAAAGATTTCTGTATTCTGTACAATTAGAGGAGATTAAGCAAAAGACATCTTATTTAGAGGATTAAGAGTTAAGGAAATGGAATTGAAAAAGAGAAATTTCTCTGAATCAGGAAACTTTGGTTTTGGTATTCAAGAACATATTGATTTGGGATTGAAATACGACCCATATACAGGTATTAATGATATAAATATCGCGTAGGTATTTTCGGTATGGACTTCTATGTCGTCTTGTCCAGACCAGGTTTGAGAGTTGCTCAAAGAAAGTCAAGAAATGCAAGACTCGGAACTGCCCAAAGAGTGAGCAAAAAGGAAGCCATGGAATGGTTCAAATAAACCTTTGAAGGAAATGTCTATTGATACATTAACATAATACATTAAAACATAAATAAATTCCATCTACATATTTTATACCATTTAAATTATTGAATTTTCAAATTTTCCAGCTGATAGTATTCCCAAGGATCCTCCTTCTATGATCATAGTAGTGTTTGGAATATAAATTGATTATTCATTTGATTGATTTAAAATACTATCATTTTAAAATTCATGCCAATTATTGAAATTGGTATTGATTTAATTTGCAATGTTTACTTATAATCTATAAATACTTATCTAGTATAATTAGTATGCAAGTATATAATAATAGTCACTTGATTTAAATTTAAAATTCCAAATTTAAAAAGTTCAATATCTATTTAATCTTGATTTTTTATTCAATTTTGTAAATTTAATTGTATTCATATCGTTACGGAGATAATCATTTTCTCAGAACTACTTTGGTATTAGAATGTACAAAAACATATTTGAATTGAATTTTAAAGATGTATGCATTTATTAATAGCATTTTCAAAGATGAAATTGAATTTATTAAGACCCTGTTTCTAAAACTTTTGAATTTAATAATAATATAGAAATCAGAAATAATCATGAAATCAAAGGTATTTAAATAATTCAAATATTATTGCTATATCAAAGTAAAATGAATCGGAAATTAAACATGATATAATTATATATATGAGTCTCTTTGAATGGGAATCAAGCAATCAATTATATATACATTATTAAAATGCTAGTAGTTTTGAGTGAAAATATATTAATAAATACAACAAAATTCTTTCGCGCTTTTCTTGTTAATAAAATTAATGGATTTAATCAACTGTTAAAACCCAAACCATGATTCACAGAAAAACAAATATATTTGTGTAGATCCAATTTGTTAGACTTAACAAAAGATTGGTATTTTACTTAATGTGACAAGGTTGTGCTGATTGTTTTTTGGAAGATCATGTTACTCATTAAAGGAAGACTGTTGAATAATTTCATGATTAAGTGAAACAAAAGTTGGATTAATTTGATTAAATCGAATTCCAACCGATTGCAAATGAAGTTCAATAGGATTTGGAGAAGCAAATTGAGAAAGAATTAGAGAATTGTCTTTCTTGTATATAATATAGATTTACAAGCATTAAAAGCGATTTGAAGAGCATGTTGGATGGTGAGAATGAAAAATTATTGGATAGCTATAATGCTTTGCAAGAAAATAAAAACCAGGAGTTGGATTCATTGAGAAATGTGAATGATGTGCATTCAATAAGTCAGGAGGAATTGAATGATTTGGTAAAGTTCTATTAGGAGGCTCCGAAGATCTAGAAGAATTATATAAAGGCTTCTGAGATATTTCAAGATGAGAAATAAAAGATTAAATTAAAAAAATAGAAATACTTATGTAAATTACGTGCAATCATGCAAGGACTCATGAAAGATTTCAATGATTTGATGACAACTAAGAATTTGCAATACGATGACTTCAGTGAGTTTGAAACACCTCAGAAGTCATCCATGTCTCCGAACAAAATGAGCAGTTTTGTCGAAAGCACAAGATCTTCGAGGAGATTTTACATGAATTAATCAAAAAAGCTATTGTTTGGACGAAAAAATGAATGATTAGTTATTTTTTATTTATTTAAAATTAATTTCTCATCAAAAGAAATTCAACTGATCCTTGAAAAGGGGGGTTAAGCACATATCATTATTATTCTCCAATAAATTTTATTTTTCAAAAATAAATTTTATTTTATGTTTGATAATCGAAATCAATAGCAGCCAACAATGTTTGGTGTCTAATAACAACAACAATAACAAGTGTTTCCTCCTTAATATTAAGGAGTAGACACATATGCTTAGAGAAGTCCTCCAAAAGCATAGGGGGGTTCTTTAGGTTTTTAATAACAACCCTAAAGCAGCTACATATAGTAGACACCTCAATAAGGCACATAAACTGTGTATGAACACAAAGTTATTACTACTGGTTAGGTTTAATCTCCAACAATTCATTAAAATCCAGTGGCATTTTAATAAGTTTCGACAATTAAAAGTAAAGGATCTTATTGTATTGATTGGTGTGTGTATTTCATTCCAATCCTTTTCTTTGTGGCTATATTATGCTTTATGAGCATGATAATAGCTCAATAAAACAGAGATTTTAATCAGGAACCAATTAACAATGTCTTGAAATCATTTAGTCACAATTAAGCATTAACCCCAATAGCTGATATAGTAGCTCCACATACTGTAAGTTCATCAAGTATGCACAGCCATTTCTAACACAAAGCAGTGACAGAATTATGTCCTGAAGGATTCACTATATCAACTTTGGGAGAATGGCCAGGAATTAATTCTGGATGCATTTGTGATAAATAAATCAAGAAGGAAGGATTTTGTTGGGCTAGAAGTGGATGTGATTCAATAGACAGTCAAGATTCTAAATCATTTTAAACTTGGAATGGGGGAAGAATCTGTCAGAAACTAACAGTAGGCTGGTCAAAATTGAATGGCAATAGTTGTTCTGAAGGATACAAGAAATGTGGTAACGTTTGTGTTCCAACTGGCGGAGATCTTACAAAGAGCTGCCCACTTTCAGATTTGACATTATTAAGTTATGATCCAACCACAGATTCAGATCCCATATCATTGAACACTTAAGTAGTGAAGATTGGTGACAAATGGTATAGAAAATCATATGATGGAATTCCAATTGTCTAATTTTAAATTATCCCTGGAAATTCAGAATAAAACAAGAATTCAGCTCCATGTTTCAATGATATCACCACAACAGCCTTTGAGTCTTAATAATCATATCCATTATTGAAGAAGCCAGCAACTGGTTGTGATGATTTTGGTAACTTCTAAAATGAAGCTGTTAAGATTGATACTCTCACAGCAAAGAAGGTTCACGACTAAAATGGAATATTATCAACACTCCATGGAATCCCAGGATACTTGTCATACGAGGTTGAATCTGATTCATACACATTGGAAGGTATCAGAAGAATAACAGTGAATCCAACTTCTGAATGCAGCACACTTTCACCAGGCGATGTCAATTAGATTGTGGAGGACAGTGAAGATATCTACACATACAGAAGATGGTTCAGCATCATAATCTTTTGGATTTGTGTAGTCGGAATAGTGTTGTTTGTTTATCTTTATTTAATTAGAAGCAGAGTATATTTTAATATCATATTTAGAATTTCCAAAGTTTGAATGTGTCATAAATAAAGTAACCAAAGATTTTGATTCTTGTTGCTGTCATTGTAGCTATATTGTGCATCGTATTTGGATCCCTCTATTTCTATAACTTGAGTGGTGATGTAAGTATTGTGATCTGATTGTTTAGGATGGTTTGAGAAATGTAGATTCAAGATTCAAGTCATAATTGGATAATGAGTGCTTCAATGATAAAGGAATCAAAAATGTAAGTCCTTGTATTTTATTTTTAGGCTATTTAACAATTGCATAATTTCGCTTATTCATAATATTCTACTATTGGCCTTTGGGTTACTTGGGCATTTTGGCTGAGCATAGCCTTCTTAGTATTGTTGATTATCTTGATTGTCGTTTAGAGAGGCTCACATGGCAATTTGTGCATCAATCCATGGTAATCCAATTGGGTTTTTGGATACAATGAATTTTAGTGAAAATTGATATATATATATATATAATTTAAATAAAATGGGAGAAAAGAAGGTCGATCGATTTGTCTTCAAGATGAGTGACATGTTGGGAGAGGGATCTTATGGACAAGTAATAGAACTCAGCACTTTTAGGTCTTTAAAGGTTAGGATGAAAAAACAAAGGAATGGGTAGCTATAAAGATGCTCAAAAAGGCAGTCATTAATGAGGATGAATATTTGAGAGACGGGTTATTGAATGAAATCAAGATCATGGGTTTCCTGTAGGGTAACAATGTTGTCAAGCTAATTGATGTGCTTGAAACACCGAACAATTACTATATAGTCTAGGAATATTGCGACGGTGGAGATTTCCAACAGTAACATTTGAATTATACTTAGTCAATTGAAAAAGAGGAAATTCTTACCTCAGAAGGAAGCCATGTAATTTTTTGTGGACGTTCTTCTTGGCATGATGGAATTAGTGAAGAAGGGAATCATTCATCGCGACTTAAAGCCAGCTAACATCCTTATAAGCAAGGGCATTTATAAAATTGCAGGTAAGATATCATGTCCTAACGCTATTTCTAGATTTCGGATTTTCCAAAGCCATCGATAACTTTAGGAAATAGATGATAGAGTCTATTGTCGGTACACCTCTCTATCAGTCTCTCCAATTACTGAAGGCTGAGAAATACACTTCTAAGAGTGATATTTGGTCCCTGGGCTTCATCTTCTATGAGACTCTCTTCGGACAAAGTAATCAATTCCCAGATAATCTCCTAGCTCCTTGGACTGCTAGATCCATCCCAGAATTAGTGAAGAATATCACCTCCCAGCCTCTGAAATTCCCTCAGGATAAAAATGTCGACCCTTAAATCATAGACATGCTCAAAGGATGTCTGCAATTGCAAGAGAAGGACAGATTGGGTTGGGATCAATTGTATAGACATCCTTGTTTTTGCTAGAGTTTTTCATTTTACACGAATCAAGCCAAGCAACTGGAAGATAAGGCAATGTTTTTGGTTTAAGATCTGAGATTTAAAGTTATGAAGGATAAGATTGATTTAGAAAAGGTGTTCAACAAGTATGACAAATCAGGAGATAAGTCACTTGATATGAAAGAGTATTCTGAGTAATTTTATTAGATTAACGTTGTTGTTGCATGAGATTGATCCAAAATTGGAGAGAGAAGAGATCGAATACATGTTCAATAAAATAGATCTGGATGGAAGTAACTCTATTGAGTTGAATGAATTCAAAAAATGGTTAGAGGAGAATCAAGTTTAAATGTCCATGAGAAACCAGCCTAAATCTAATTTTTCAAGAAGAGGTACTTTGGAAATGCCAAAGGTTAATCCCAACAATTCGGATTAACCTGTACCAGAATTTGATAATTCATAGACATAATAATAATAAAGCACATCTCCTACTTAACATTCATAATAAATAGTAAATCAATATCAATAACAATAACAATATTAAAAATAATATTCAAATTAACAGTCCCTATAATAGTAATAAGTATCATAACCAATATAACCATCCTAGCACTATCCATAATAATATTAATAATATCCACCATAACAATAATAGTATTATCCACAATAATAATATCAATAATATCAATATCCTCCAGGTTAGTAGCCCATGACTGCCTCTTAAAGTTAACAAAATTACCCTATTTAACCACAACCACCCTATCCTCAAATGAACAATTCATAATAGTACAATCAAGGCTATCAACAACCTCCAGCTTATGTACCAAATCACTAATATCCCACACCTCAAAATTTAGCTTAAGAAAGAGCCATGATGACCATCTAAAAATTGGTTATTGCTATTGAAAAATATAATATCAACATTTTCGATTTATTCAGAAAGTATGATAAATCAGACTCACAAACCTTGGATGTGAAGGAGTTTGGAGTTATGCTCAGGTATTCCGATTAACTAATCTTATTCCATAGGAAAATCGATAGTCAATTAACAGATCAAGATATTAGCCAGGCATTTTGGATTTTTGATGTTGACCGAAGCCATGAAATCACTTTCAAGGAGTTCTAAGATGGAATCGTTTAACATTTAAACCAATGGAGAGCCCAATCTTCAAATTAGAACAATCCAGGATATCCATACCAAAAATATTGAAATATTAAAATATAAGTTTAACATGTTTAAATAATCCAATAGATTCATAAAAATGATTTATAAAATCCCTAGAATCATAAAACATAATATAAAGAAACAGCAAAGCCATACTAAATTATCAATTATTGTTAACATCTGAAAAATTAAGTTGGCATATAAACTCAAATTGTATGAAAAATTAAGAGTTATGATTAGTTCTCATAATAAGAAGATATAAAAGAGATGCATGTGAATATTATAGTATTTACTGAGATTCAAATGAAGATATGACAGGTTCTGCTGTGAATTTCTAAATGCTTAATAAGTTAAAAAGGATTGGAATGTCAAAAAATTTAGAAAGCTTTTAAAGGGTTTGATCATACCACAGAATATAATAACATAGCTCATGAATTGGATATTTTATAAGATGCGTCCAAGCAATATAACTTAAAGGTATTTGTTATTTAAGGATGAGGATTTTATAATAACACTTTATTGAGTAAAATGTGAAGAGTTTAAGTGAGAGTCAATCAAATAAGACATCAAATGGTTAAAATTAATAATTATTATCCTGTTCTCTTACAATTCTGCTTAACACATTATTACACCTTTCTACTCTTTCAGATACATATAATTAACGTTTCTTAATATTATATGAAGAGGACTAGTTTACTGGTTAAGAGTTCTCTTGTAATTTTTGGTTAAACTGAATGACAATTTTTCTTGAATTATGCTTAAAAATATAGAATTAAGAATCAGAAATTCTCAAAGTAGTTATAATGTGGGTTTAAGCTCAACCATGCTATGCTCTAATTTCTTTTAAGTCAACTTAAATATCTAAATTGGCTAAGCGTGCAGTTGGGAAAGCTATAACTTTCTGTTTAATTTTTTGTATGATTTTTGTGAAATTTGTGAGTTTTGGAAAGCCAAAAACTGCATCTGATCTACTAGGATCGAAGATCATCTTATAGGAATCGAATAATAAGAGTCCTCTGATCAAATAGTACTAAAATAATAAAGAAAAGTTAAAAAATTTTAATGAAATTTTAGGAGTAGGATTATGTCATGTAAGTCTGTTCAAAAATACTATTAAATTGATTTAGAGCAATTAAGGTTCATGGAGATACAATGTGATATTAATTATTAACTTTTTATTATTATATATCATAATTGAGTAATTTCTATTCATAGATTGATTGAGAATAGATATTAGAAGCAAAAGGAAAAATATTCTACTTGGTCTAAAATGAGGTAATTTATTAGGTAATAGAATTTGGAGAAAGATTTAATCCTTGTAAATAGATGATTCATAACTTGTCATTTGATTTTCATTATTATTATAATTAAAAATTATGGAAAAGAAAATAGTAGTGGAAAGTTTGGAACCCTCTATTAATCAAGAAGGGTAGCTTGTAAAAAAATGTGAAGGGGATACTGATAAAATTTAGTAAGGTTCAATAGATAGTAATAATACTTTAGTTTATCTTAGAATAACAACAATTAAATAACTATTAGGAGGACGATTGTGGTATTTATCTGAGTTTTATAATTACAAGGTTACAATTAATAGCTCAAGTTTCACAATGATGATGTTTAGGTTGAAGAGGTTCAGAGTTATGATGCTGAAGAAATAGGTACTTATCTAAGCTTATTATTTCAAGAACAACCTGGTTTAAGTGATGAATAGGTATATAACAATGAATAGTATTAAGGAACTGACAATGTAAATTTTGATAGTGGTATCTATCTGAGATTTATAGTTAAGATCAAAATTAATAATTATTTTCTAATGAGGGCTTTATTGTTGATTAGACACCTTCTGAATAAGAACATAGAATTGATAATAGATAGAGAACTCTTGTCTCAACTAGAGTGCCTACAAAATTTCCTGGGGAAACCAAGAATCTTCCAAAATGTTTAGCTCGACGCATCAAGGACTTCATAACAAGTGTAGTGAAAGATTCGGAAGATCCTGAAATTAAAATGATATTAAATAACCCAGAAATCAAGAGATTTCTTGAAATGAAATCTGAGAGAATCTCCAAACAAAAACTTGATCTCTTCATTCAAAGTGATATTGGTAGTATTTTTTGTAAAGAGTTCTTTGGAAATTGTCTGTGGAGTTATGGAGTAACAAAAGAGGGCAAAACTAATGTGGAAACCTGTTTCAGATACAACATTTAATATTTTACAAAGACAATTAAGAAAAGAAGACTAAATTGATGGCTTTTAAGAGTATTTATATTTTAATGACAATAATTAGTATTTCAAATTATTAAACGATTATTTTTTTAAAATGTTTAATAACTATCAAGTGAACTTAGAAAGACATAGTGGATTAACCAAATTCCTGAGTACTCTTAATGAACAATAATAGAATGAGTTGCTCTCTGTTATTTCAGACATTTAACATCTCCTTAATAAGAACATGGAAGAAAAGGAGAAACTATTGAATGTAGTGAACAATATGCAAATTCAAACTTAAAATAGTTTGGACTCTGAGTTGTTAAAGTAAATACAATGTCTAACTTAGAAATGCAGAATTGACTAAATCAATTACATAGCAGAAACACATCATATCTAAACAGATTGAAGAAATAGCATAACTAAATTAATTTGTAATCTAAAGGAAAAAAGAGAGAAGAAGTCTTTATTCATCCCCACTCCAAACATCAAATAAGCAAATGATCTAATAAAGCATCCTGCCAGTAACATCCATAGATTATTACCAAAAATTATTGGAAGAACAATGTAAGAGGGAAGATTCAATGTTGAAATTATGGAGGAAACTACAGCAACAAAGTTTTGAGAAAGTCAAGTCACTCTAGGAAGCCGTCGAATATTATCTAATCGATCAGAATACTAAATATGAGTAGAATTTAGCTTTGTAGACCGATATAATCAATAAATTGGAAGACTAATTAAACAAGTATAAAGTGGCTTTAAAATTGATAATGAATTAAAATTATAAAAAACCAATTTCAGAGTTATTGGCAGTTGCCTAATCATTGAATCAAGAGAATGAGATTTAAGAATTTGACTATGAGCAATTAATAGAAACTCTTATAGATTTTAGTCATAAACGAGACTTGCTTTATTAGTTACAATAGAAAGAAACTGAAGTAGTTTTATTGAAAAATAAGGCTACTAATAACGAAGAGTACGATAAATTGAATGAACAATATAATAAGTTGCAGGAAGAATATAAAATTATAGACGATTAAAGGAAGGAGTTGTTGAGTTTGAGCTAATAAATGAATGATAAGATTACACTATAATCAAACCAAATAAATTCAATGAATGAATAAATTGCTCAATTAACATCATTGTTTGCAAAGTCTTTATAAGATTTGGAGACAGTTTAAGAGGAGAATGAAACTTTGAAGAAATGCTAATCGAATTTCACAACTCGAACAAGTGAAGTTCATAGTCGATTCTCAGTCGGATTAGATGACAAATTAATTAAATGTTTTAATTCAGTATGTAGTAATTATAATTCACAATCAACAAGACACAACAAAAGTAAGAATAGGAGTATGCTAAGTCAATTAAGTAAATCATCTTATGGGGATGGTGAAGAATTGTGTAGTTTATTGGATTAAGTGTTGAATCAGGGCTTCTCCTTGAAAATAATTGAATCTATAACTTAGTTAAGCAACACAGGATTACGTAAAAGACTCAAAGATCTTTTATTTACTATCTACAACAACAATAATGAAATGGATGCTTTATTTAGTTCTCTTGGCACTTTAATGAGAGACTTAGAAATTCCATTTCATGATTTCGAAATAATTAATGAAGGTTTCTTAAGTAGTACTTGCAAATTGGAACGGAATACTAAACAAATTTGCGAGTTACTTCATCATTTAGTTAATAGGAATAATAAATAATAGACAACTAAACATGGGGCTCAATAGATTGGACTGTTATCGAAGGTGCTTCTGCAATTATGTCAAGGGAATGATGACACTATTGTTGAGCATATTGATAAGCATATCGAAATCTCAAAATAACTCAAAGATAAAAAAAATAAGTAACTTAGGGATCTCCAATTCAGTGCTTGCAAAATGATTATGGATATCTTTAAGAAATGGAAACAAAATTATATTCATATTACAACCATTTTATTTAGTATCCAGAGGGGGTTACAACAGGATTAAGAAATTCATATCCAATCCTATCTCAATGAACTTACCAAGAGTGACCTAGGCAAGAGTATATAAAAAGAATTGAATAAATTATTTCAATTACTTATTTGAAATGCAAGAATCTAGAGTTTAATTGGCCTTGCGAGAAATCGCTTTCATTAGGCAATCCCTTTCTTCGAAAAAAAAGTACATTCCCATGAAGGATGCTCTCAATAACTTTTAGAGAGTATTGGAAGAGAATAAAAAAAATGGTGTGCAAGACATTCCCAGAGCAGAAATACAAAAGTGTCTAATCCCAGCTCAAGGACAATTGAGATCAGCCAAGTTTCACACTTCCTTTATATCCTTCCTTCTCAAGCTAATCAATTTGAAAGTTATTAACGATGTAATGGCACACTCCTAATTTATAGATTTAAATGATAGAAGATGTCCTTGACTACTTTTTGAAAATCAAAGACATCCAGAAAGAGGAACTCTATTATAAGCTCATCTAAAGTTTCAATACCTTTGTCCATTAGGATTTCATCAATTTCGGCAATTATAGTTTTGTTGAAAAAGTAGAATTTTAATCTCATTTCTAGTGCTTAACCCTAGTCCTGTATATGAAGAACTCTAAGATTCCTATCATTCATGGACCAGCTGCCACTTCCTTATAAAGACTAATCGAATTGCTTTCAGATTCAACTCAATTAATAATAGCAGGACAGGGCTTTGATGAAATGAACATTGTCTTAGATTTGGATAATCAACAAGAGCAGAATTAATAATAAATGGCCTAACCAATTGATCATTCAAAGGAATTTCAGAATTTGCATTCTATGTTATCTGATTTAATCAAATTAAGTGATAATGTCAGACCACACTGGTATCCTATTTTGGTTCCTTTGGATAGAGAGTTCGGTTTGACAAGCATCAACAATTTTCTTACCAGCATGGGGAAGTTCTTCATATAGTACAAAACAATATCAGAGTTATTAACAGATAATCTAATTTTAATTTTAAAGAAAATCATTACTACTCCCTTGTTAAGAAGTTAGGTAGTCATTGAAACCTATAAATGTCTAAAAATATTGGTGGAGAATGAGCAGTCAGAAGTGGTTTGGACTATTTTGATAAGTCAAATTAAACAAAATGAACACTCCATTAATAAAAACTTAGCTTTTTAAACATTGATATATTTTGTTTAGAATCAAGTATTTTTGAATAAACTGGTTTAATCACTCAGCAACGAAAAAGTAAATATATCATTGAATTATAATATAGAATATCATATTGGAGATTATAACAACTTTGTCAAACTTGGCTAAGGAAGTGTAGGAGCCAAGTGAAGCTGAATGGAAAAGATTGGTCGAATTGGCTCATCCTACAATCAATTTAGTAGATAATAGCGAAGTATATCCTAGTGATAATGGTTTAGTTTGTAGAATGTTAAGTGAATTTTAATCACGATTTGCAAATTCATTATGTGTTTATGCAGATCAATAAAAAATATAACTAGGAAACCTAATAAAATTATAATCAAATGACAAATTTAGTCAACTCATAGAATTGACTTGGAAACACAATTTGAGGGCAATCAAATACCTGTTGTTGAAGGAACTGGATGAGTAGACCTTGCAAAATCTGTTGATTGCTTTCTAACAGTACATCAACATCGTGGGATCCACCTAAATGAAATCTGCATAGAGTGCTTTCATCAAAACTATTTGCGAGTTCTGTAAACCAATGCAGGGAGAGGAGTTTGCGAAGAAACATATCCAAATAAACAAAATGGTATTGAACATAGCAAACTGTTTAGGAAGTATGATTATTAATAAAATGCCTTAGACTTATTGGAATGCAGCAGTTGGATTTGCATCTTTAAGACCTTTGAAGAGTGCGAAAACCATTACTTAAGGAATAGGCTAGCCAAAAATTCAAGTTAGGAGGAGTAGATCAAGACCTTCGACATCACAATCCTATTCCAAAGTCTGGATTAGTTGTTCTCTTAAAGTCCTACTTATGGCAATGAACATCTGATTACTGTCATGGATGCTATTAATCAGATAACGATTGAGTGTTTGGAATAGCAATAGACGATGGATTAGAAAAAATCAAATGTGCAATTTGGAGAATAGAAGAAGTATTTTTCACTTTCAAAATTGGTTGAATTAATTAAATTTAACGTTTTTAGGTTAGATGTATTTTGGGAATTGATAATTGCTCATTTTATATCGGTAATATCATCACGTAATACCAACTTAGTTTTGAATGCAGCCGATACTTTATCTTAAATTATCTTTTATGGTTTCGAATATTTAACTAAATTCTATAAAAAGAACCAACAACAAAACAACCAACAATTTATTAAGGACAAATGGTCTAACAAGGATTCTATATATCAATAAACTCTATTTTAGCCATGGGTGGACATGTGCACATTAAGATTGAATGATATTAAGGAGATCATTCTCGCTAATATACTGAAGATGATTCAAAATAATGGTCATGAAGTCTCAAATAAGGGTTGGGATTCCATCTTAATTTTATTATTAAATATTAGTTCAGAATAAACCACATTATTTGTTAAATAAGGACTGGGATGCACTGAATAGATCATTAATTAATTTTTGTCTAATTTGGATGGCAAATAAATCTTTTAATTATTCGATATCATTGATAATTTCAAATCAAATTCAAGTATTACTTCATTATTATTATCCTTTTAGATGAGTAGAATATCAATTTTTAAATTTGCAACATGCTTTGGCATCTTGGAGATTACATCACCAAAAATAATTCAAATTAGGAATAAGGAAACCTACTCACAAATGAATAATTAGAAATGAATTTAAAGGAGATATTTCAAAAATTGTCAGTTATTGCACTTGATCCAATTCCTGAGATAAGACATTCAGCTATTCATATATTTAGCAATCTACTCATACATCTTAATTCATAAAACTAATACCTTGAATGGAAGAAGATTTTGGAGGAGATCTTTTTGGAATTAATGCATAAGATCACCCAAGTGTTCTAGGATAAAAATCAAGCCAAAGAACTTGATGTATCACAATGGGAGGAGACTGTTAAAAGTGTCTATTAGGCATTTGTTAAATTGGTCAAAAAGTACTTTCTGGTCATTGAGGAATCCTCACCTAATAAGTAAATGAATATTTGAATCTTATTTAGAGATTAAGACATTGAAGCAATAATCCGTTAATCGATCCCCGATTTCATTATTGTGTTTTAATAGAGCAAGGCTTTATTGAGTATGGAAGCAACGAAGCAATTAAGAGAATTATTTTTATATCAACCAATAATTTGTCTCTAAAATTTTGATGAGATTTTGAATCAAATTTCAGAGATCTTCAACTTCCCTTCTTCAGATATCAAGTATTTAAAAACAGTCATTCTACATATAACTCCTGATGTTTTGGAGTTATTAAATGACATTATCAAATTAAGCAAAGACATCTTGATAGAGTAGGTCATTGACACCTACTATAAAATCTTGGAATTCCCATTGATTGCTCATATGAAGATTGATTTGATTCAAAATAAAATCTTTTTTGAGGACAATTTAGCACCGAAACAAATTTTAGTAACCTTGTCCTAAACCTTGCCAAAACAAAGTCCTAAACTAATACCAAGAATCATCTATAACGTTAAAGAACTGATCAAAGACCCTCCTAATGATAAATATAAGCATATGCTATTGAAAAGGCATTTCTCTCAATTCAATACGATGATGGATAACAACATCCAACACTTCTTTTAATTTTCAGAACTCTACGAATACATTCTAATTACAATGAGAAACAATGATCAATACATTTACTATTCAGAACTACTGAATGAGGATAAGTCTATCTATATGATGATGGCTGAGAACTATTTATCTAGAGCAAAAACCTACCTTCAAACCAATAAGGAAGATTCCCTCAAAGTCCTTTAAGCATTGCAACAAATCCTGCCAGACAGATTCCTTTTAGATAAATAACAAGGGTAGAACAAGATTCTGCAACAAGAAAATCAATCGCTGGAACTCTATTAGATTGAGTTAATAACAGAAATCTATAGAGGCAATCCCCAATTGTCAGAGACCTCTGAGTTTCAGTAATTTATACAAAAATTACATGAAATGTCTGCCAACTCTTAGATAGCAATAAACAAGTTATGCCTCTTGTCTTAAAATCAATTTGTCATACCATACTTATTGGATGCAAGCCAAAAAATATTGGAGAGAGGGATAGGAGATGAAGGGCATAATTAAAAAATAATCTTAGATTTGCTAAACAATCTTCAATCGATTTCTATTCCTGATAATTCATTTCTATTATTCTAATAATTAAGTGGTGACTTTATAGCCTATCCTGAGACATCACTTCTATAAAGTGAATTTGGACATCTATTTTATCTAATGCCTTAATTGGTGTAAATAATAACGCATAAATCTGAAGAAATCAGAATAAAAGTAAAAGAGATACTAGAACAGATCTCAAAGATTATTCTAAAATAATAAAAATGAGAGTATAAATATAAGCATAACAAATTGTTTTGAATTGTCAAGAATTTAGTTTAATTTAGAAATTAAAATCAATAATCATTTTTAATTTTCAACGCAAAAAACGTGGTTTTCTGAATCAGAATAATCAACACTCTTACTATTACTTTTTTTCTTCTTTTCATTCATTTATTGTTAATCCTCGATTTCCTCTTTCTTTGACTACTCCTCTTCTTCCTCTACTTCATCATCTACCTCATCATCTACTCCATCTTCCTCACCTTCATCCATCTCATCTTACAACTTCTATATTTCAGCATTGTCATTAACAATACAATCACTCATTTTCAAACCATATTTCACTATGGGAGGCAATTAATTGGGTATTAACCAATCCATATTGTCTCCTTTTTCTATCTCTTCAATTTCTTCTGCTCCATTCATTTAGTAGTTTTACTCTTCAATCAAGGCCTTTTAAGCAGCCTATCTGTCATCAATATCTTCAACTTACTTAATGGCTTAATCCATTTTCTCATCATCAAAGAGTTGAAATGATTTTAATATTTATTCTGGACTGAACATACCAGATTGCATCACAAAATCATCTAATTATCTTTTCTATAACGATTTCAAAAAGATGTTCTCTTCAATAGTAGAATTAGTGATTAATCTATATATCGTAACTGGTCTCACTTAACCAATTCTATGACATCTATCTTGAGCCTGTTTATCCATAGCTGGATTCCAATCAGTATCATAGAATATAACAGTATCAGCCCCAGTTAAATTCAATCCAATTCCTCCACTTCTTGTTGATGATATGAAGCATGTAATATTCAATTAATTAAAACTTTCAACTATTTTCTGCCTCATCTCAACTGGTGTAGATCCATCCAATCTTAAATAAGAAATCTTACTTAGAGAGAGTACTGCCTCAAAAATATCAAGCATCTTAGTCATCTATGTGAAAATGATGATTTTATGATTCTGTGATTTTAATTTATAGATCAGAGATACTAGAGTATTCATTTTACCACAATCATATATTAAGAGTTTCTTATTTGGGAACAGCATCCTTTACTTTTAGATCATATAGAACAAAGAATCGACACCCTTTGGTGTAATATCTTGTTATTATGCTTGATAAGGACTAAAGTAGATTTCTTATGGTAATGCATCGACTTTTCTAATAACACAACTAAATTCATTAAGAGTGTCCTGCATTTTTTCTATTAAGTAATCTACAGTCGGCATCAAGAAGCTCTTAATCTTATCTTTACAACAAGAAAGTAAGTCTGGATTGTAAGTCAATAAAGCGTGATAGAAGATGATTTTTAAATAACTATTTGACATATTTGATTTAAATCTAGATTAAACTTATTAATTTTCTAATTCAACCCATCTTTTACCAAATTTAGATGCTTTTTTGTGTAGAATACGTTGTTCGAGTAAATTTGAATAGTACTACAACACTTCTTAGGAGGGAAACCTTTGTTTAATGAATGTAGTGTGTAATTTGATTGGAGATTATTTCAAATTGATTTAAATCCTTTTTGGATATGTAAATTTGAGAGCAGGAAAAAAGAATGGTTATTCTACTGGTCTTTAATCAAACAGTTCAGGATGATTACAGACTTTTCTTAATTATTACACCTTGTTCATCATAGTAACAAAATCTGTTCCTTAGATTTCGAAGTTGCCAGAAGATTGAATGAATTCATCATATAGATATTTCTATCTCCTTGATAAATCGCATTTCACTATTACCTCTCTTTTCTCTGGCAATTACTTCTCTACATCCTTCTTCAACCTTCTCAAAACAAAGGGTCTCAATATATCGTGCAATTATCTTAAGACTTCTTCTGAAATTGTTTTGTTTTCTGAAATGGCTTTTTCTATACTCATAAACCATTATAAAAAATCTTAATGGCTGTCAAAGATTGAAGGCATTAAGAAATGAAGTAAACTCCAAATTTCTCCCAAATCATTCTAAAGTGGAGTTCCTGTTAATAGCAATCGACTTCTTGTATTGAAATTCAATAAGACTTACCACCTTTGAGATTTAAAGTTTTTAATATGCTAAGCCTCATCCAATATCATGTAATACCACTTCTTTCTTTTAAACACTTTACTATCCTATATAACAATCTTATAACTTGTTATACAAACATGAAAACTGTTTAACTAACTCCACCCCTGTCTTTTCAATTTTCTCTCTTTGGGTGAACCAAAGTAAGTCATTATTTTAAAAGCAGGACACCACCTCTTGAATTCAATCTCCCAATTCATCAAAATACTTGTTGGAACTATCACCAAATGAGGACCCCAGATTTATTTATTTGCTGCCAAATATGCTAATAAAGCAATAGTCTATATTGTCTTCCCTAAACCCATCTCATCTGCCAAAATTCCATTCATCTATTATTGATGCAAACTCGCCATCCAATGGACTCCTACTAATTAATATATTCTTAATTGTCCATTCAATAGAAATGGTTACTACTCCAATAAACCTAAATTATCTATATTCTTTTACTGTCTTCAGCTTCAAATAGAAATGGGAATTATTTAGATTTTTTAAGTACTTTCAAACATTTGTCTGCATCCAATATACTCTCATCTACTTCCTCATCTTTAGATTCAACCTTAGCTATTTCGTATCTATTTTGTCCCACTTTTAATAGGTCAATTACAATATCTGTTGTAAATGAGTTAAAATAATACTTGATTAAACTGACTGTATTTGTTTTTTGAATCCTGGCCATGCATTTTGTCTTCTTTTTAATTCAAAATAGAGCGTTTTGAACTTCTCTATAGGTATCAAATCGGTTTCATCCTCTTATTATGCATTTTAATATTGGGATAACTTCTATCCAATTTCTTCTGTAACTTCTTTTAATCTAATAACTATGTCTCCTAATTTTTGTTTCTGAGTCTCCTGTTTTATTTTATCATCCTTAAATTATTGCACTTGCTTCCTTATTTACCACACGTATTTCCAAAATTCTCTCTATACTGTTTTGCCTACCTTTTGCAATTGTCTAAATTGATTCTTTTCTTCATTCTTTATATTATTTTCACTTTTACCCTCTCTTTCTCCTTGATTGCCTCGTAATATTTTAACCTTTTATTAATTGCTTATTCTGCTAATTTCTTTGTCTTAAATTTGAAACATTCAAGTCTCCTGGTCATATATTATTGCATTTCATTCTACTATCGCTCAAAATAATACCATTTCATTTAGAATATAATTCCATCTATATTGAGTATTTGTTTTTGGCTCCGCTTTTTTTTCAGGTAAATTTCCATATTATTCCCTTATTTCTTTCAACTGTTCTTCCATTTTGAATTTCTCCTCCAACATCTGGCTCCTTGACAATTTGCCTTATAATTTTTGCGCTTTTTTTATTGACTTACTTTCTGATTCAGACATAAATAATATTAATTTTATTCTAAATTTTTAAAGCATATATAACTATTAGAGGAATTCCTATGTTTCATTCGAACCATCATGGCAAGGAAAGCCTTACGATTCCAATAACTTGATGTCCCAGCTAATATTTAAGTTGTTCAAGAATTTTCACTTTCAGGCGGCCAATCTTAATTTGACTTAGAAAAATCAACGAATTAAGTAAGCAACTCGAAATTCCTTTATATTCTTAATTTTAATAGAATAATATAAACTGTCATGTAATTTAAATTAAAATTATTTAATAATTAATTAGATAGTAACAAATATTTCATCTTGTTTGTTAGAAATTGTTGAAAATTAATTAATATTGAATAGACAAAAATAGCTGACTGTATTGGTGTTATCTATAAAATAGTTTTAAAAATTAAAATTCATATAGATTAAGAACTGAGTAATTACGTATTATATTCTTGTAAGTTCTTTTTTTAACGGCATCAGAATTTATTAATTATTAAAGATTTGTAATTTTATTTATATAATATAAACCCTAAATGATTCAATTAAATTATTCATATTTATTGTTCTAAAAATGGAACTAAGTAACAGATATCATATCGTTGACCATCCTTCAATGGATGATCCCATGTTGGATGAGGGATATACAAGGTAAGAGAGAGAGTTAATTAAAACTTAGAAAATTTGGAGCATATAAGCCGAAATTTCAAGGATCCCTGCCAGGATATTATCCCTTTGAGTTCAAGGATTATATATACGTGATCCTATTCACCCTGGTAACTTGTGGAGCATGCCTTCCAATTTGGTATGGTCTTGTTGAGGGAGGTAATTACATTAGTTCTATAAATAGCCAAGGCCAATTCCATGCAATTTAGCATCATAAGTGCTGTGATTTTTTTCGGCTTTTACTTTGTATAAGCCTTGGCCACCTATTATGGAGGAAGGTTGAAGAAGGTTGTTGAGAATAAGATGATTTAAGACAAGTTGATAGAAATGGAGAAAAAAGAAGCTGAAAAATAAAAACTATTGGCAGCCATTTGATATGAAATATATTCATCATTTATTATTTTTAGCCAATTGCTTTTTAATCCAGATGTGTTCCTTGGCTTCATTTACAGTTAGTCTCTTGCTAGGTTAATTGTGTAATAATGCCACTATTAGATCTTTGGCTTCTTCGCTTACGCATTGCCAATGATAATCATCCATGTTGTATATGCCATCAATAGTGTTCTGTATGATTTCTAATGGTATGTCAGAATCAAATGGCAAGTAACCACTTAACATATAATATAAAATCACTCCAAGTGCGAAAACATCAACAGAAAATGTAATTTCTTAAAATTGTAACATTTCAGGGGCTTAGTAATTACAAGTTCCACAGTGATAATTTTGATATTCATTATTTTTTTGGATCTTTGAGAGATGATTAGCCAAACCAAAGTCAATCAATTTAATTTGTTTAACAGTGTTTTTATCCAAAATCATCAAAATGTTCTCTGGTTTTATATCTCTGTGTACTATTCCAATCGAATGAATGTAGGACAGAGCATCAAGCAATTAATTAAATATGATGGCTGCTTCACTTTCATCTAAGTATTATTTATTTTAAACATAATCAAACAGATCTCCATCTTCAATTATTTCTGTAATAATATGAATCTGATCTCTATTCTCAACCGAATCAATCAAATTAATAATGCAAGAGTGATTTAATAATTTAGTGATGCTTATTTCATGTTTCACAATATCCTACTCTTCTTGAGGAAGATTCATTTTATTAATTACTTTTAAGGCATAAAACTTTTTATCGATTTTAGATTGACATCTGTAGACTATTGAGTATTTACCCTCCCCTATTTTATCAAGAATAGAATATTTCTTATTGACTTCTCCATTAAAATAGAGAGACAACGCTCTTTGCCATTCTCTAAATGATATTTCATCAGAACAATGATAAACCTTGTGTTTATAATGTGGATTCATATGAAAGATTTCAAATCCAAACTTCTGATTAACATGATCCACTCTTTCTTCAATTATCAATCCACTCAAACAAATAATTTCTAAGTATTTAATTACTGCTTTATACTTGTAGGTTTAACGTCGTTTTTCTTCTAAAATTCCATCAAGATATTCGGATATAATTGACAGAACTTTGTTTTTATTTTGCTCTTCTATGAAATTCTATATAATTCTCCTTGAATATCTAAAGGTCTATGTTTAGTTAATTATTTACAAACTCTTATATTTGGGTATATTATTGTTCATTCCCCATACATCAAAATTGAATACACAATACAAAGGCGTAATTAAATTCGGATGTTGTCTGACAAAGATCGTAAAATCCTCCAAATGAATTGGTTAATCATTCTTTGCCTTATAAACCATTTCAACATATTTTTTAATTAACAAATTCAAATTGGCTTGCATTTCAATCTTCTGCCCATTCACCTATAGAATCTACTTCATTTGCATACTTGAAATGTGAGGTTGATCCCAAATCCTTTCATAGGTATACCATCTATTTATGCTTTGCTGTCTAATGTGAATATCTAATCGATTGATTGTCTAGAATTTTGACTTTGCAGGACATCCATTTATAAGTGATTTTAATGGTCATTTTAAATAGGCTCTCTATTTTCTGAAATGTTACTGTACTTTCTGAACATTTATACTATGAAGAATGAATTGAGAATTACATGACATTTTGAGGAAATCCTCGCTCCCTTTTCGAGGCTTTACTTTTGTTGTTCTATGATAGGCGTTTATGATTTGTTATTCTTCTAAAAATAATTGATCATTTAAAATGACTTTAATTTCCTCTTTAGAATAATTATGCAACTAAATTATAAATTGAGAAATACCATCTGTAAAAAATCAGTTTTTGCAATTCCATTTTGATTTTTTAAATCATACAATTTGAATAAGTTCTTAATTTGCTGATCTTCTGAACATTTTATATACATTTACAATCCTGTAAGAAATTCTTCGAAACTCATGTAATCCTCTTGTTTGTGAGTAAATTTATTGAATATTTATTCACCCCAAATTCCCTAAATTAATCATCGCTATTCTACAAACTATTATTTTAAAATAAGTGTTGAAGGTGTCTCTACAAATTAAGTGATTTTAAGAACGGTCTGCCAAGTCTCTGTAAATCATAAACAACATTTGCAATTCATAATTATCAACTGCATAATAGAACGATAAATTACATATATTAATAAATTTACTAATTACAAAGAGATACTCAGCATTTTTCTTTCTTTCCTTCTTCTAACCCTGGCATGCAAAGGTACTTCCCATAAATTTATTAATTAAATAAATTATTCCCATATTTTAATTGTTCTGATTTGTTTGCCAATTAATACTACTGCATTCCCCCATATGTATGACTAAGTTGCCTGGGATTTATTCCTTTAATGAGCCTAGACCCCAACAAAACTTAGCAACATCAGAAGATTTGAGCTGTTTAATTAATTCGTATCAATTATTAATTAATTCCTGGAACTCAAAAACAATTTTTCTTGTTGACTCCAAACTCTTGCACAGTCACAATTTAACAATTTTAGGACCATCGATTGACAACAACATCTTATTTTTTTAATTCTGGAAGTGTAATTCAATGTTTAATAAATTTTATGGCATAATTAGCATAAGAAGCTGAAGTCAGCTAATAAATTCAGAAAGTGCTTAAACAATCTGTATCCAAGAGGGAAAAGAAATCATTAATCAAATCCATAAAAAAGAGCTCAATTGCGCAAACAGGCAAGGCTTCCTCGTTACAAACCATCATTTCTGTCTCCAACTCGATGGTCGGCACAAGTACTTTGGTTTTCCCAGTTCTATTTTGTTAATCCGGAATAGGCTTGGGAATTATGATAGCCATTATCATTGGGTTGATTTCGTGCAGAACAACTCAATTGTTAATTGTACATAATAAAACAGATGAGGTATACTCAATTCATCAATAAATAGATGGATTTGCCAGACACCTTGTAAAGAGTCCTAGGGTCCAAATGGAAAACCGTCTTCAACATTAGCAATGTCATCCTCCTCTGGGCAAGTGGAATTATCTATATGATCTTAATTTGCAATCAACTTTACCCCTTAATTTAAATAATATGTGATAATATTGGCATTGAAAGTGCACAACTAACAGAAATTACTCTCTCTAAACTTTCATACTAATGGATCGGAATTGGTTACACCTTATTTATATTGCCTATGTTTTTCTAAAAGAAACTGGGAATCATTTTGCAACTACTTCCGTATGGAATTATTTCAGTTTTCTCTTTCATTTTATTCACCATATATTAAGGAATTTATATGTTAGTGACAGATCATTAAGGAGTTGTAGATAATTTGAAATGGTTTAGTTGGGATGTATCCACTATGGCTGGTACATTTGCTTTAGCTTTATTGATATAATCTATGGTTGTACCAATTATGAAGAATAATATGATCTAATAAAATAACAATCGCGATATTGCCATTGGATTTGGATGGACATGGTTTGTATATTGTATGGCTGGCACATTTGGAGCCTTTGCTGTTGCTGGAGCATTAGCAAATAATTAAAAGTAAGACGGAAAAAGTGGATCTACTCTTTTGGACTATTATCCATCTGACAATCCCTTAGTAATAGTTATTTAAGTTTTACTCTTCTTATAATTGACCCTTGTCTTCCCTGTTTTACAATTCATAACGAGATCTTAGTTCTTCGGTCTCATCTATGAATTGGAAAGATAACCCAAATGGTAATTCTATGCTTTTTCATTGACCTATGCAATAACCTGTCTAATAGTTCAATGTGTTGAAGTTGACTTGTCTTTAATCATTAGTCTATGTGGGTAAGAGAATTTGATAATATTTTACAGAGCTGTTATTGGATTGTTCCAAGAATATATCATACCAATTGCTTTGCATCTGACTTGTTTGTATAGAAAAAAAGCTACCCAGGTATAAAATTAGCCAAATTACAATTAAATTTAAGCTAGTGTGGAATCAACAGAGTATTTAGTGGATTAGGTGGATTTCACTAAATTCTCACTTAACGATGAAGTTTGATTTTGTTTTAATAATATTTTAGGAAGATTTGAAGTGTAATGATCATTCAGGACTTTTAAAGCGTATGCCTAAAAATCTTAGAATATCTTTATATTCCTTTATCCTAGTAATCGGTATAGCAATTGGAATTGGCAAATTGATTGATATATTTAAATGATGTATATGTTTTCATTTCATAGAAATTATCTTCTACATTTTTAAATTGAATATCATATTTCAGGGAAGTAATAACGGTTTGGTGTCTGAAATTGATAAATAAATGTTAAAATTATTTATTAATTAACAATATATTATGAGAATAATTTTGTCATTATTGATATTTAGATGCACAATCTGTGAAGTATTAACTAATAATACTACCGTCTCTCATGATTTACAATCAGCATATCAATACTTGATTGAAAATGAAAATTAGTTGATACTTGGTTAATGGAAAGTAAACTCAAAACACCCGGTTTACTTAAGCATCAATTTTGATAGCAAGAACTTCATTTTACAGGTCTATCTCAGACAGAATAATAACTAAAGAGAGCCTTACTTTATGAGACTGAGCTACTTATTGAATAATAGTTCCTATTACTTTGATTCAGTCTAAAAGTATCTATATTATGTTAATATTTAGTCGAATGACTTGGAAAAATGTCTTAACCTAAATTACTCTGTAAATTAACAGAAATCATACTCCATAGTATTGCAAAGCAACACTTGAATTAGAAATTCAAAAACCAAAAAATCTTCAAATTTATAGTGATTTTGACAACGCTTGTTAGCTGACTGAAGAGAAAATATATCTATACATCTCTCACAATTCTATGCAAATGTTAATCTATTTAGCACTTATCATTTTCATTTAAATGTTTCAAATATTTAATTCACATCACTATTTTAATTCAGACCCTAGACCAAATTAGGGAGGATCAATCACGATGTCAATTATACTTACTCAAGACATTTATATGTGCATATTTAACATACTCCTATTTGATACCATAGGATTATGCTTCTATATTCCTTGTTTAGGTTCTCAAATGATTACCATTTTATTTGATCTAAAAATGAAAGTTAAATTAGCAGTAATAATTTAAAATAAATATATAGCAAACAGCAAACTATGATATGAAGGAAATTGTATTTTTTTTCGTTTAGTTTCTAATCATTACATTTTTATTCCTTTAAATATAAAACTCATATGGATAAATCCTTCTGAATTTGATTTTGCTTCCTTAAATATTATTCACATTTTTTACAGGAAAACGATAGAGATTTAACTCTAACTATATTGGAATCCTATTTCCAAGATTGTTATTTTCGCTATACTTTACAGGATATTCTAATAACATTTTAATGCTTAAATATAATATAGTCATTTTTGGAACCATCATTCTAATTTTTCTAATATAATCCTTAATTTACTATTTTCAATGTCATTATGGATTGTTCATCCTTTCGAATAAAAAATTTAATTATCTCATCAAGTAGACAAATGATCATTCCAAAATAGATTGTTCAATTTGTTTGGTCAATCTAACAAGTCCCCCAGAACTTATCCTAAATTCAGAAGAACCTGTTCATATCCAAACTTTAAATATGGCTACTTAACTGCAATTATTAATGAGCACTCCATGCGTAAGACTTAATTCTATTCTTAGAATCATATATTTCATCCCTTTTGTTTGATATAATGGATGTAAATTAACCTTACGTGCCCACTGTGTAAGAGTTCGCTTCCTTAAATATATTGATAGAGTATCTAAAGAATTTAATATATCATGAAATATACTAGTACTTTATTAATTAATATCATATATATGCATTTTCTCCTTCTATATAGAAACTCTTATAATTTAAATTTTGGATCAGAAACATCTTCAATTTTATATATTTATACCTTAAGGATAAGGATTAATAAAAAATGATTATAAAAATTATATTAAAAATAATTCAACACTTTCTGTAATTGTTTATTTAACAAAATTATTTTCATACTCTATTTTTCAAGATAATCCCTTTGAATTAATGGATAAATGTGTGTGTATCCACTAGTCTATTCACAACAATATCTCATATACTCTAATATAACTTTGATTAATTATTAGTATTTACGACACATAATATTCACTTGAGAATTAGTTAAAAATACTAATATTTGATTTAGAATCAACAAATTTTATAGAATGATTGATAATCGATAAACAGATTGAATCTCATTTATCATATGTACATTTTAAAACGACTAATAATAATTTATAATAAAATTTTTAAATATAATTGTAGAACTGTGAGTCTTAATGCTGCATATCAAGAGGATTTCTTTAGTTCATATAAACAGGAATTAGTTTTTTATTTTTTTTGCAATATTTAAAAGCAATCTCCTGTAATTATCTTAAAAGTTTCATTTTCATTTATTCAGTTGTTTATAATAGTCTATATTAAATCGGCTTATAGAAAATAGGAGGTTTCACTAAAATTTATACAATTTTCATTTTTTTATTAATTGGTAATATATATGAAATATTTAAGCTTATAATTAAAAAATTGTGATAATAAGTAATGTAAACAATTAGCTACAAGGTTCAAGAAAGTAAAGTAAAAAATAATATTGATAATAAAGAAATTACAAAATTGTCATTGTTATTCTAATTGTGATAGAAGACAGGATTTATTTTCTAAGATAGTCAGTAAATGTTTTAGTGGTAAATTGTGATGATTTTTTTTAGTACTTCTTCTATTTTGTAGAGAGTTTGAACTTATTTGATGATGATATTTAATAACTTGGATTCCTTCTTGCGAAGATTCTTAGACTTGAAAGTTTTCACTTAATTATATTAATCTCTGAAAAAATTTTTGAGGAGCTTTTAAGGAATTATCAAAGCAACCTGAATGAGGTTTAGTCTATTATTTCATTGAACACTTTAATTTTTTAAAGTTATTTTTAATAAATCTAATATCATACATCCTAATTTATACGCTCAAAATAATTTAATTATTTCTTTTTAATAAAGATATTTTTAATTTATGGTAATTAATATTGTTATTTAAGATTTGTATCTTGTCAAGACATGAATTTTAGAAAACCTGCTACCTTGCCTTTGCTTTAATGAATGTAGAATTTCTATAAAATGAGGAATTTATTAGGAAATATCTTACATCCTAAGAACAAAATTGACTTGTCAATGTTAGAGTACTCATTTTATCTACTTTGAAACATATTTGACAATTAAATTGGGTTTGGCAGAGAAGAGAAGGATGAAAATATTTAAATTAAAGAAATCTAAATGAATGAAAAATGAGCAATGTTATGTTTATGGATTAATGAATTTAATACTTAAAATATGTCCACTTGAGAGCATTATTAGTTATTTATAGCATCCCCTTCTTTTACCATAAATTACAGCCAGATTTGGCTTCATAGAATTGATCTTTAAATACAATAATGAGATGAGGATAGAGTAGGCAGTACTACATTCAATCTGTTATCTAGATAGTTTGTTGCATTTTAGTCACTAATAATTTTGCAATTGAAATATTTCTCTTTTTTGGACTTCTTCAATTCCTAAATCACAAAGACTGATAATTTCACTTTTTAAAGTCTAATAAGAATCATAGATACAATTTCAATTGTTAGGTCTCCAAATTTGAGTATTTTTTAAGCTAGATTGTGAGAACAAACACAGTTTGTATAATTTACATCTAAGATTTCAGGTTTATGTAATTGAGAAATAAAAATGAAGGCTTGAAAATAGAGTAGGATATCTCTTCTGAGGAAGTCTGAAATTATAATTGCAATATTTTGAATCATTATGCTGAATTGTAATTTTAATAGTTTATTAAGTTTTTGAGTGTATGATTAATGTGATTTTTATGATTGTTAATTAATGAAATAAGTTATTCTAGCAATTCTATTTTTCGGATTGTGCATAAATGCATAGGTGGAGAGACATACATTGCAAGGAGCATTGAATTTACTTGAGCAGGCTTAAAATGATGTGTCTATTTATGATTAACAAGAACCAAGATTATACACTTGGTTTTGCTCATTAAGAGATGGATTTGCAAGGCTATTCCAACCGATTACAGAGAATAAATTGGCAAGTCATTATGCGTTTTTTGGATCGGTTCCTGCTGTTATTTTCATGGCTGGATTCATGCCTATGATTCTATTAGTCGTTTTTAGTTATGGCATGTTTAAATTCATTACATATGAACCAAAGAAGATGGAGTTTAAATATTCAAAATTACCAATTAAGGATGTTCCAAAGCCTTAGAATAATAAACTCTAATTTCCAGCCTTTGGCTTATTCAGTTTTATATGAATATCTATTCAAAATTCTAAATATATATATGTAATATGCTATCAAATGACTTTTCTATAAAGTGGCATATTTAATTTACATTAATTCAACTCTAAGGTTTTATAATGTAAACATTCCTCAATGTGCATTATTCATGAAATCAACAATAAGTCAATATTTATATATAATCTTCTGATTCATATGCACATCCACAAAAAGGACATTCATGATTGCCATCAATTCAATTTTGATTGTCACTTTGAATGCTGAATCATTCCAAAGTTTCTTTCTTTTACTGTTTCTGGAACCAAAATCAATATTAAAATATACTTTGTTACACTACAATTAATCTAATATACGTATTAATAAATGTAGGGAGCAAGGCTACACAAGGAAATATGATTAATTATATTCACATCCTATTTTCTAGTAGTTCCTTAAAAAAAATCTTACGTTGATCCATAAATAAAGAGTATTTTATGAAACGAAATTGACTATCATTATTAGACAATATAACTAGTAAATAGAAAATTGCTTCCAAATCTATATAATTATACTGCTACAACGATATTATGATTATTGATTTATGTCCAAGTAGAATAGATAAAGACTCTATTAAATTTTTTATTTATCAATATAAATAAAGAAGGTTTAAAATTCTGAATAAAATTAAGTTTAACTTTACTTTAGCTCATTCTTATGATATTTAATAATTAATTTGCAGTCTGCAATTTAAAAATTAGAATACTTTTAAGTTTAATAAATCGCATCATTATATAATATTATTTTGTAATAATGTCTTTCAAAATCTATGATATTGAGGAGGTAAATAATGCTATGGAGGATATTGATGCATAGAGGGGTGTACTGGATAAGGATAGATAGATTAAGCATTCGGAGGTGGACTTCTTTAAGCTCGAATATCCTAAACAGGTAATTTCTGATGATCTTAAGATTCAAATTGAGTTTTCTTTTCCTGGATGGTGACACGCAATGGTTCCTTGATTCTGCTACCCTAAAGAGAATTGATTTTAGTGCTTTCAGTAACATTGGTAGTAGGCAATTAATGAATGCCAATAAAATCAGGAATTGATGTATGCTGAACTCGTATTATTGAACCTAAAAACAAACTCAACTCAGAGCTAATATATATAAATTAAAATACGCTCTATGTTAATCGATTTAGACTTCACTACTGACAGTTGGAAATGCATTTATGTACTCCCCTATCTTTTTATAATAAACATGATTGTCTTCTTAAAAGGTTGTTGTGAAATAGGGAATGAGAGCTGTTAAACAATCAGAACTCTAAAATGTATTTAACATCTATTTCATTGATCTCCATCTCTCTTCAATCATTGATAGTAAATGTTTAGCATCTCTCTCTTAATTATTCACATTCTTCTTCTATTTATGTTAGACTTCATTCTCTAAACCATTGAAGAATTGTTCAACGACATCTTATATACGTTTCTTAATTTCTCTAATCTTTTTTATAGTTTTATCTGCATGAACCTCAAAAGTATTCACATGCTTTTTGATATCGTAATATGAATTAGTAAATTTCTTCACTAAAAGGATATAATCTAAAGCTTACATTCATTATTAACATGATCACTTGCTTGATTTAATAAGACTTCTAATGACTCAAATACTGGATATGTGCCTTCGTTGACATGTTCCTTAGAATGAAGATGTATGCAAAGAGGACATAAGGGTATTATACATTGAGGTGCTCGACACATGTTAGATATATAATATCCTTTATGGTAGTAACATTCCACTTAAGGAAGATTGTTGGAATCAAAGAAAACTGTTCTTGCTAAATTGTCTGATAGTTTTTCAGGTTGTTGATAAGAATCCTGTTTCCCTTCATTATATTCATCATCCACATGTTATACTATGTTATCCATTAGTTAGTTGTTAAAATTAACGAATAAAAGCAAATTAAATTAACAAAAATAATTCACAACTCTTCTCTTCTAATAGTGGAATGCATTTTGTTGAAAGTTCTACCTCCGCCAAGTACATCATCAATAAATGTTATGATATCATTTGTTTCTATTGAATTTTAAACAGCATAAGTTTATCGCTTTGGTTTGATAATCACAGCATATGAAGAGGTCTAATTTGGTTCAAATTTGGATGCCAATTACCTATAATGATCAAATTAAATACTTAAGAGATCCATAATAGAATGAAATATTTTCATTTTAATATTTACTTGGTATTTTAGATATCATCTCTAAATCTAATTCATTTTATATTAACAATAGGAAACATAAGTCCTTCCCTTTCGATATACATTATTCATAATTTTAACCAGTCAACTGTTAAATTACTTTCTATTATGGTTCCTTCTTCTATCCATATGCAAATTATCTCAGAAACTTAACAATCTAATCTTTTTTGAATTCCGATTCAAACAATTTGAAATCTTGATCATTTTAAGCAACTATCAAACTCGGATACTCTGTTATCTTGAATATCTATGACAATTGTCTTTCAGATTGTCTAATCATAGCAAATTCCAATTTGCCTTTGAATTCTTTTGAAAGGGCCTTAAACAAAGGAGGTGTTGATTTTTTATTGGTAAATAGAATAACTTTAGGTTTTGATTTTTCAATATACTCTTGGAAATTGAAACCACTTAAAACAATAACAAAATCTTCCATCAAATCAACAGCCTCCTTTGCTAATTCATTTAATTCCCACTTTCCCTTATACTTAATTGGTTCTGCAGAGAGACGAGATGCATAAATGGAAACAGAGGGATATCGTTTGACTGAGAACTCATCTTCACACAATGCCTCATCATCTTCACAATCAATAGCAGCGACTCTAAAAATACCTGCGTATTTTTCAGCCAATTCAATTATAAGTTTCTTATGTTTCTATCCTTCACCATTTGGTAAATAGAAATATATTAGCCAAACTTCTTCTCTTCTGTAAAATCGAGAGAGATTACTCATATCAAGTGTATAAACATCTGTATTTTCAAACAGATTTTCTTTTTTTCTCTGACCTTCTTCCTCATAGAAGTCTTGATTGCCAAATCCACCACCTTAATTACCAAATCCTCCACCACCTTGATTTCCAAAATTAAAATGAAATTGCTGGCGACCACCACCACCACCGCCACTGCCTCCTCTAAAGAATTATGAGAACATTTCTTCGAAACCACCTCCAAAATTTTGATATGTTCCTCCACCACCTTATTATTATTATTGTTCATGCTTATTGACACCCTCTTCACCATATTAATCGTAAATCTTTCTTTTCTCTGGGTCTTTTAATGTTTCATAGGCATTCACTATTTTTTAGAATTATTTCTGAGCCTGTACAAAAATAAGAATAATTGATTACCTTCTCCTCATTTCCCTTGTTTTTGTCTGGGTGATATTTCAGAGACTATTTCTTGAAGGCCTTCTTGATTTCAGCTTCACTTGCACCCTTCTTTAATCCTAGCAATTGATAATAATCTTCTCCAGCCAATACAAGCAACAAGAAAATTGCCAGCAACACGAATTTCATTAATTTTAATTTATTCTAGAATTTTATTTAAATAACAGACAGAATTTAAAATGTCTACATCCCCTACAGGTGTTCAACGTTATGACAATTCTCCATATGTCACCAAAAAATAATATCCACAATATCCAATACCTCAGCAATACCAACAATCAACCCAACAACTCAATCAACCAGATTATTAAGATGATAGGTATCGAGAATTCGAGGAAAGAGAAGAACAATACAATTATCAGATCTAAAAAATGAACGACTATATCCAAGTACATAACCCTAATCATAATAGCAATTATAACATGACTTGGATGTATCCGAACATGCCAAACAGGGATTTGAAGCAGATTATCAAAAAGTAGCCTATGAATTATAGATGTACAAGGATCAATTAAAGAAATTATACACCATCTATCAACAACAAACTGCTCAATTCGAAACTATCAAAAAGAAAACACAAGAATCAAATCTAAATGCTGAAAAAACATATGAAAAGCAATTTGAAATTAAAAATGATGTGCAAAATCTCATACTGGATAGAGATCTTTTGCTTAATAAATTAGAACTGGGTGATAAACAATACAATTTTGATGTCCAAAGCTTGACTCAGCAACTCAATGATAAGAATGCGGAGATCTAAGATTAGAGAAAAAGAATTAATGAATTAACTGAATTGAAAAGAAAGGCTGATGAGGAAATAGCATCCTTAAGATTTACACTTGATCATCAAACTGCAAGATTGGAAGCAGAATTGAGAGAAAAAGTACTTAAATTAGAAGCACTTGATAAACAATTTGCTGAAGCCCTTTATCTCAAAGACAATGAATTAGTAGATGCATTTGATAAGATCAGAATCTTAGAACATGAAGTTAGACGTATTTTAGATTTGAATAGAAGTTACGCCTAAGAATTGAGCATGTTGGCAAGAGACAATAGATTTAAATAGGAAGAGATAGCCAAAGTTAGAGAGGATGCAGTATTTTATCATATCATTTCTAGAAACCTGCTATGCCATAGTAAATTAGTGTCTAATCAGGTGGTATGGAGCCTAGAATGCCACCAGCATGGGCTGAAAAATTCCATATCAAGATAGATGCTTGTTTGGATTTATTTGAAAGAAATCATGCAAAATCATTAAAATAACTGTGTCTTAATCTCTGGAAAGCAAAAATGGAATTAAAAGCAAGAAACAAATAGAATAAAGCCATGGTTGAAGAGAATTCAAATCTTGGTAAAAGTGTAGTTGTAAGTGGAGGAACTGATATGAGAGTAACTACATATTTTATAGATTCATTTGTGGCTGCCATTACGTTTGCCAGAGATGCGATATCTAATGTTGTTTTTGATATCTTTGTCAAAAGTGTTAATAAAGCGAATAATAAAAAACTCAACTCTTTCGTTCTATTCTTTGAATCTCTTAAAGAAATGTAACAAAAATCTAGCAAAGGATTGTGGCTAGCTTTGGAAACTTATGCCAAATTGAGAAAGGCTTTAAGACATTCTGTGCCAATCCTTATAGATGCAAAAGTTCAGAATGGATTACTCTAGAAAGTGGAATTAGCAATGGGTAAATTGCTGAAACATGATATGGATTTCAGAAATAATATTAATAAATGGCTAGAAGGGACTTTAGCCTTTACCGTTTAAAAGAAGGAGGCAGAAGCCTATGACAAAAATAAAGATTATCTGTTCCTGTTTAGACTTCTAACAGTTAAGTATAGGATCAAATTCCCGCTGTAAGGAAAGACTTTCGAGGTCGATGTGGACATTGAGACCACTTTAGAACATAAAATTTGTTACGCCTTAAGAAAAGTAGTTAAATAATAATGATTATTAAATTTAATATGCGCTCACTAATATGTAGATTTCGTTTTGCATATTTTGCCAATGTAAACACCAGATTCTTAGAGGTCGATCTCAAAAATCAATTATTTAAACTCAATCAGTCTTAAATAGAAAATCTAAGAGAATCATGCAAAGGACTTGATTGCAAAGATGACATTGTCAAAGGATTGTATAAAGATATTCTCACGAATATCCCTAAGTTCAACTCCTTCCATGCTATAAAAAGTATAATGTATTTCTACTTGCAAAATGAATGTAATAATAAAGAATTTTGGTAATAAATTGGGAACAGATTGACTAAATTATTAAAGGAAAATAAAAATTTTAATAATTCTTTCTGCCTTGCTTAGCTAGCATACATCTTTGGACAACTCAGAAGAAAAAACTACTTATAAAATAAGAATGATATTATTGTATATCAACAATGTAGCAATTTCTTAATTCATCGCTTACCAAAATTTCTAAAGGATTAGACCCCATAAAATATAACCCACTTTATAGCATTAATAAATCAATATGAAATTAAACCTGAGTATGTTGATAAAGTAGTGGATACATTATTAACCCAATAGGACTTTTCAACTTTCAGCATTTTTGACATTCAATTTCTATTGTGGAGTCTAGTTTCTGGATCAAATAAGCAATTAGTGTAATTTAGTATATAGTTATTGGAGAACAAATAAATAGTAGACAGAATTAAATCTGATTTTCATAAACTGAAAGAAGACTAATAGGCTAAAGTCCTAATTGCCTTAGGGCAGTTTCGATTTAATGATAAAGAATGTATAGAATAAATTGTTAAAGATCTAAAAATATATAGTACAAGTTCATTATTGTCGCTTTTATCAAAATATTTGAAAAGTCCCATGAATCAAATCTTATATTAATATTAAATAGTAATTGCTTTGAAAGAATAATTTGATGAATACTTTCAAATGGAAGACAAAGATTTATAAAAATCTATATTAGGTATCAAAACATTGCTTTACATTCCATCACAGATTAATAGTGAAGTGAGATAGAAATTTTTATAGCCAATTAAATAATATGAAAGATTTATCCTTAATAATATCGAACATTTTACAAATGAATCCCTAATAGATATCATCAATATGGCAAGCTTATTCGAGTCTGAAAAATTAATCCTGGAGAAGGTTAAAAATAAAATCTAAAATTTTCATATGATCTTAGAAGATAGTGTATCATTCTTATATTGCATTGAAAAATACTCTCATTAATTTCATTAATAAATTAATGATTGTTTAACAGCCCTTATCAATATTCATGCTCATGAAATCCAAACTCTAAACATTTCAAAGCACCTTTAATTTGTTATCGCTTTATAATTATTAGAAGATTAATTTCCAATAGCTAAGGTGCTTTAGGCCTATTATGATGACAAGAAAATATAAATTAAATTAATTGAAACTATAAAAAAAGATTAAATGGAAAAATTCATCTCGAATTTTTAATTTTAGAGGTAATTCAAGTATTTTTAAGGATTTATGGAAAACAACTTTGAATACAACTTATTCCTATTTGAAAAACAAGGTTTATTGAAGTATATCAAAGAAAGTCGTGTCGGATGTTATCTTATTGATTATAGAATTTGGGATATTAATATTGAGAAATTAGATATATAAGAATTAAAATAAATGCAAAAAAGTAATGACTTGTAGACAGAATTTCTGGAGGTTAAATAAAATAAATATGATGATGCTACAATAGATAGAAAGGATGAAATAGGTAATACTTTTATTGAAATTGATGGATCCTGCCACTTTGATATTAGGCTTGATGTAGTAACTCAAACAGTATATAAAAAGAAAATATTGAATAAATATTAAATCAATCTTAAATCAATACCTCTGAACGAGAATAGAGGTATTAGCAATAGTTTGTAAGCAATTTTAGATATAATTGGAAAATGAAAAATTTATATGTTTTATAATTAGATAAATAATATGGTATCATTTATTGATATTTATCACTTTATTCTCACTACTTCACATTTAAATCATATCATTTAATTAATTATATTTGTTTAATTGCAAATTAAATGTTAAAGATTTTTCGATCAACATTTAATTTATGTGTAACCAAGAATGAAGTACAAAATAATTGCCAGTTTTCAAATACTTTGAAGAATTTACATAGTGCAGATTGAAATCAATGCCATCAAAATATGACTATGTATTGGAAATATAAGTTTTGATTCCAATCAGAGAGGATATTGTAGAAAATTTATAAAATATTAATAATTTTTATACAGTTCATCCAAGTCATCAGATTATTCTATTATTTTCTTAGAAAAGTAGCCCCACCATAATCCATGAATTAATAATCGTTAATGTAAGAAAATATGAAAAATTCCAATCTCATTCTCTACTCACTATAAAGTATGCATGTGAAGCCTTCAGATATATTCTCATTTACAAATATTAAGTTCAGGTTGAATGCACCTTTTATCTTAAATATTTTATATTAGATTATTCTTGTAGACTTTAAGCAAAAATCTTTCTGATTTTTTAATTAAGTTGATAAATAGAATAATGACATTTACTTTTTAAATTCCAATTATTTTCATATCACAAAATTATAAATATATCATGCTACCAATATTTAATACATCCAAATCAACTTCAAGGAAGTTAAGGTATCGCCAAATTGCTTGTCTCTTGTTAAATCATATTAGTAAATAATAGTTGCATTTATTAAGAAACCAATTATAAGAATATTTTTGAGCAAAACCAAAATTTTAGAAGATTGCTCGATAAGAAAACCTTGAATAATCTATAAAAACTTAAAGAGGACATTCAAGCTAAACAGCTAGCTTTGCAATATTTTTCTAGTTTTTAATTGATATCCGACATATTAACATCTTAATTTGAAGCAGATTGTTTAGCTGATATCCAAAATCTATGCAATTACCTTTCAATATGATTATTTATTGTACATTTTATATTTATGAGTTATAAAGATGACTCAACTAAAAAATAATTAAAAAAAAAAGATCTCAATTAGAATCTTTGCAACTATTTTACAATATACATATAATAAAGAGGATAAGAGACAGTAGATTAGCTCAACCTTTCCATTTCAATGTTCTAATTATTAATCTTCTTAAATTATTATTTTGATAATAATTAGAATATAATTTTATTTATTCTTCAATAATTATAAAACATTAAAAAAGCTAGAACCTTTTAAATAAGGTAATAACAATAGTTTATTAAAGTGAGCTAACTGAAATAATATATATTATAATAAGAATTTGATTTTATTTTAGTGTTAGTTCTTTTTGTATTACTTGTGTACAAATAGAATAATGATCACAATATAATTTTTGGTTAAATTACTTCAAAAAAAATTATTAATTAAAACTTGGAGACAATAATTCAACTGATATCTTATCTATTATTATTATTATATTATCAAGCAATCTTAATATTATTCACTCTGAAGTATTTTAATTTTTATTCTTTAAATGCATTAATATAAGGAAGAAAGCTACTATCCATAAAATAGTTTTTACAATGAAAATGACGAGAGAATTCTATATGATCAAGAATTTGAGTAAAACAACAATGATCTTTCTTAATAAAATGAGAATTTTGAATTCAATTCATTCAATGAACAGTTTTAAGGTTAAACCAATATAGAAAGAAGCATCAAGAGGCTTGAATTCGACTCAGATTAAGGCTAGGATCAAGAAAATTCACCATAATCATAAAAAAGTACAGATAATATTGGAAATAAAACTAATATTAAAAAAAATAGATCTAAAAAACCTTAAGAAGAATTTAAATAGGGGCCTATTGTTGGAAGAAGTGAAAAGAAGGAACAGACAAAATAATCCGAAACCAAAAATTTGCCCAAACTCTATGCTAAAATAATTTTAAATCAGTTAGAAAGTCTGAGCCTGAAAAACCCAAAACAAAACCCTTAGATCAAGAAGAAAATTTCTAAATTTGCCAAAAAGTCACCTTCTTTGAAAACTTTAAGAGAAATGCTCCAAGATCCTTTGATTAATAAAATATCAATTGAGTATCTAACTAGCTTTGAATTTTTCGATCAACTATTAGGATCAGAGAGATTATAAGATGTTGGACCTCCAATAAAATATTTAAATAAATTTTATCAAGGATGCCTCAATTCAGATGCTTTGAATTAATGGAAAGAATCTTGAAAAATTATATCAAAAAAGCAAAATAATAATATAAGTTGTCTCCAATTAGTATTATATCTATAAGTGATGTGAATGAAATTCACGTATTTTCAAGAAATACCACTTAACATCATTAAACTTAACATATTAAATATTATGATAATGATATTAATTTATTTATTCATCCTCCTTACTTATTTTATTCTTCTTTGTTAGTCTCCTATTGATTCTATTATTGTTCCCTAAAAATTTCACCCTTCTTATTTGATCCAATAATCTATCATCATCTTCTTTCTGCTAAGCTAATCTTTTTTCTTATTCATTCTATTCTTTATATTTCTCTTCTTTTTCCTTTTGTAATTGTTCTTATCTACTTATTCTTTTTCTTCTCTTTTAATTATTTCTATCTTTTTCCACTTGTTCTCTTTTATTCATATAAATTTGAAAGTTTCCCTTTCAAGCTTCAATTTTAGAGGCTAGAATAATTATAATTTCACTCCTTAATTTATACTTAACTTCCTTTTTGTTAACCATTTAGTAACATCTTTATTATTCTCGAAGTCATCTAGAAACATTTGAGTCTTTCAAGTAAAATAGAAGATGTGGAAATAATTAGTTATCAATTTTGAATAAATGAGCACCTCTAAATATTATGAATATTCTATTAACCTTTATGTATAATCTCGAAAGATCTTGTACTTGGTATGATTCCTTAACTAAAAGTACAAATACTGTTTTGGATAGAACTTTCAATCACTATAAGTAATAAATTAATAACTACATTATTAACAAATCAATGAATAACTTTATATATTTTCTTCATCATGATGCATACACCAAGCATAATCTTGACAGTTTTAACAAACTACAAAGTCTAACATAATTGCATCTTGAGGAGGAAGCTTTTCTAGCTTATAATCAAACCAAAAGTAATATTCTTTATATGTCTCTCCAACAGTTCTGTTTGTTCTAGTTATTCAGACATAATATTAATCAAAATAAATATTAAACAAAACTAAGGACAACTCAAATTTTTTTAGGAATTATCTTGGAAATCGGAACTCTTTACTGCTTATCAACCAAATGCTATTTCAGGAAATTTAGTGATTATTACGAGTTTTGCTTGTGATTTATATCTCTTCCTAATGTTTCTATTGTAACTTTTTCATTAAATCTTTTGATGACTATGATAATGGACACTGCATACTTTTTTTAGATTTGATTTCAATTGGAATAGTAGTTGCTTATTATATTTGTGGCATTTTAATGGATTTAATAACTTTTTCAGATAATTTTTCATTCAAATTCCTTTGGAATGATTCATCAATTTTATTATTAGTGAAATGTGACTAAGTGCTGCTACTTTATTCAGGAGGTTCTTCTTCAAATAAATTTTTTTGTTTAGCTTTCAATTGTATTTCCTTATCATTTTTAATTTTTTGCTTAATCTATTCCTTCTACTATTGTTTCTTCATGTTTGCCTATGTTTTCTATTCAGCCACTTATCTTTTTCTTTGAACCTCTGCTTACTTTGCTACCTCAAAAGGTACCATCTCAAGTTCTGAGTCACTACCAGACATTAATAATTAATTATAAAATATAAAATATATGGATATTCATAATAAACACTTATTATATATTGAGTATGTTTAATAGTCCTCAATCTATTAAAATCTATGTTTTCTAAAATCTATTCAATTTGGAATAAATGATTGAAGCATATTATAGTAATGCAATACCTATAAAATATTCTAAAATAGATTATTCAGAAAATCTATTAATCAAAAATATTAATTGTCCTTCTATAACATAACATTGAGATTAGAAATAAAAAATCTTTAACATATAATTGTATTGGCAAGAATAGAGTAGATATTAGAATTGTTGAAATGGAGATTTTTCATTGTAAATCACTGCCAACCATGTTACACAATTTTTAACATTGTTAAAAGCAAGTTTCCTTCCTCTATAAGTTGTAGTATAAAGAATGTATAATTAATGTATAAATTATATCATCTCAACTGCAATTATTTTGTATACACAAAACATATCAATCTATGTTTAATTCAATATCAAAGTTAAGAATTTTAATTAACCAATTTTATGTTTAAAGTAAAATATTTATAAAAATTAAAATATATGCATATATATATATATATAATTTCAACAGTTTTATTGTTATTATTTGATATGATTACCTTGTACTTCATAATAACCTCTTAAATTATAATATTAAATAAATTACCTGATGAGAGTCGTATCAGGTTGAAGGTGATTTGTGTTTTCTATAGGTAATTGATCTGATCTAACAACTATAGTCAAATAATTTCCTGGTGTAAACTGATCTATTTTTTGAGATGCACATTTATCTTAATCGATTAAATTATAATAATTACAATTTTACTCCCCCAATAATATTTATTCCAATATGCCTATGTCCTTCTCATGCTTTACTTAAAATTTCCCCAAATCTATTTAAAGCTCAGATAGCTTTAAGCCTCCTTAAAATATTTAGAGATATTCCTTCTCATTTAATTTGATTTCTAATAGATCATTTATTAATTTAGTATAAAACTTATTTATATTAGAATATATGCATAACTTCCAGCTATTTTATTTTAATTGAATTATCTGCTAATTCTTGTATTTCTACTTTTTTCTATTACAATAATCTTCCACCATTTCATAACCTATTTTTTTAAGCTAATCTTATGCTTCCTCATAAAACTATTTTTTATTGTTTTCTATCTCCACAAAATAAAATGCGTTTGATAGGTATTTTCCAAATTTAATCAATCTATTGCATAATGGTTCCTGATAATTTTCTTCTAAGTAATTTAATTACGATTGTGACAATACAATTATCATCTTACCCAATTCAGATATAGGTTGAGGTTCATCTAACTCTGTTTTATTGATGAATTAATTAATTCTTTATTAGATATTTTTTTCAAAGTACATATAATTTTATATCTCCATAGCCAAATACTTACCCTTTTCATCAACCTGCAATTATTCATATTATTTTTTTGTAATTAATCCAATCTATTAGTATTATGTTTGCTTTGATTCTATTTCATAAGAGTCCTTTAATTCATCTCTAAAATCCAAAGAATTTTAATTTAATCGTACAACGAAGCAAGTTGTACCTGAAAAAAATTAATCGCAAATAGCAGAAACATATTGATAATTCAATTTAGTATTTATTGTTATTTAATCATCAGCAACAATAAACTCTAAATCATTAATTTAGATATCTTAATTTATTAAAAAGTCTCTTAAACTTTATTCCCAATCTTTTAAATGCAATACCATCTAATCTTTTAATTTATACACAATTGAATTTTAATCAAACCCTATTTACAGTATCTACCTAACAAATTGATGTGAAATGTGATGGATTGAAATCATTTAAGAGACCTTTTCTTCTTCAAAGATTTTGTTCTTTTTATTTTGAACTTGCGATTTTAAGTTGAGATCATTGCAAAATTCTTGCAATTCATTCGTATCACTATTATCAATGCTATCGAAACTATTTTAATTTTTTTTTAATGATTCCATTGAATTATAAGTTCCCCCATTTGAATAATCTGATTTTTTTTGAAATTAATCATTCATAGTTCCTTTTTAAATCTATTAAATATTTTCTTTGGTTACTCTTGATTTTTGTTCGAATGAAAAACTACTTGAATTTTTATCATATTGATATTTAGATGTACTGTCTGGATGAATAGATTACTCTCTGTATTCCTAAGGGATTAATTACTCTTTATCTTTAATTATTTAAGGCAGGATAGAAGATTTGCATTATTGAGTATTAAGCAATGAGGATTTATTACTTTGGAATGATTACGATAAATATGACATCTCCAATTATTTCTTCTTCATTATTTAATTAAATTTCAGCCTTAATTCAACAATATCTTTAATAACTTTTGAAGCTTGAGTATTTTCTCGTTGTTTAGAATAAAATAAACATTACTTAAATCTGAGGCTGTAAACATAATTTTGAATTTAAGTGTCGAATTTTCGATCAATCTCTTTAACTAAGGATAGAATCGAATCGAGTTTATATAATCTGACAGGCAAATTGCATTTTTTCTTCAATATTCCTTCCAAATCAAAAAGGAACTTGTCAAAGTCTTCACACAGATCAAACAATTCCATATTGAATATTTCCAAAGATTGCTAATTCAAAAAATCATTAATATTTTGTTAAGCCTATTGGCAATAAAGTAGATTGGATGAATAGATTTTGAATTGAATTTTTCTTCCATCATCAACCAATTTAATCAAAATTTTATTTTGCAATTGGAATTATTCTACATCATTTTCAGAATAGAAAAGAATAAAATCAATATAAGTCATGGCAATTTATTAGAGAGGGTCAGCATCATTAAAGTATTCTTTATTCATTGTCGGCCTTAATTCAAGTTTTGGAGTAAAGGTATTAGATTGATTATACTCAGCAATCCAAGTTTGAAATAATTTAGAGATTTTTTATTCTTTCTTCTTAGGAACCCAGGCAATCACAAAAGATTCATATTTCTCAAAATCAAAATCCTTTTAATAGCCAGTTTAATCTTGCAATTGCTTCTGTTCCTTTATCAGCTTGTCCTTAACAAATAAGCAAGTTCCTCGATATTTAGAGTAGAGGTCCTTGTAGTTTTTGGAATAGAATATGGAAGTATATGGTTTATAGGAGTATATAGTTCGTTGATCCTTCATGACATAGATCATTTTGAACTCTTGGAAGGCAATGTATTCGATTTTGAATTGGGCTACTCGCAATTAATCTTCATCATGGCCTATGTCATAATGGGTGAAATACCTGCCAAATATATAGCATTAGGTTCAAAAATGAGATGAGTTTTAGTATTTTGAAGTATTCCTGTTAGGATATTGACAAAGTTCATCCAGATGAATGTTTCAGTGGATAAGTAGAGTTATTTTCTATGTAGGATGCTGCTGTTTGAGTAGACAGCACTTTGGTTGTTTTTATGAAACATTAATGAAGTGAGGGAGTGTTTGAGGTTGATTTTTTATGTGAAGAGAGAATTTAGGATGGTTTTATTTAGGTGTTGAAATATAATAATTATTATAATATTCAATCAAATTGAGGACGATCCTCTATTTTGCCATCTATAACTAAGGTAATTGAATAAGTTACTCATATCTTCGCATTTCATTTCCATTTACATATCTGAGACAACTGGCATTTGGAACGGGAAACCAACACGAAATTGTGGTGGTATTTGCAATGCCCCATATTGAATCATCTAATTCAAAGGATGGTATTGAAAGTAGTATGGCTAAGGAAAGAATGGCTGTGGAGGTGGAGGAGGATGAGGTTGTTATTGTCTAACTGGGATCATAACTTCCCTCATTTGTTGGGTTTTAATTCGCTTTGCGGGCTGAGGTTCAAGAGGTTTTCTTCCTCTCTTTTTAGGTTCTCCTTGTTCCACTTGAACTTTTGGCTTTGGACCCCTTTTTTTAGGCATCACGACTTTGGCAGGGTAAGTGCTGGAATCGTTTTAATTTTTATTTTCATCTCTTGATTTATAATCTTCATCTATTATTTTGAGTATCACATGGACAAAATCATGTCTGTTAAAGCAATTTATGTGATCCGAAGATTTTATATGCTATGTTTTAGGAATATCTTCATTACTTCCAAATAATCTTAATAAGGTTTACGACACACTCCACAATACCTATGCTTGCGGCCGGGTTTTGGAATTTACTAAACTTAACTAAATCGATTACCAATTTGGTCTTCTTCATCGTATATTCTTGGATCTTTCTTTGATGATCTTCTTTGTATTTTTGCATGCTCCTCAAGTAGTCATTCTAATGTAAATATTAGACAGCCAATTCTTACTCTGTCCACTTCTAAAATGAAACCGGGCAAACATTGTTGTTCATCTTAATTAAAGACTGGAACGATATTTTCAAAACAGGCCAGCTATACATTATATTATATATCTATTACAGCATCGTTGTACAAGGGACAGAAATCTATGTTAGTGGGTGACTTAAACCAACACTTTTAATTTTTTGGATTGAGATTAAACTAATGCTCTTGACATCTTGGTTAGCACTTGCGTTTCCCCTATCCTGAAATTTTCTCTCCAGCCATTTAAATTAATTATAATATATTTAGATACGATTTTTCCCTTTTTTTCTTAATCAATAAACCCCTTGACATCATTTATTTAACTCACTCATTTGATTATGATCATCTCTTGCTCATATTAAATCTTAAAATATTAATAATAATGTAATATATTGATCAAGGAAGTGCCATATCAACCAAATCAGTCTCAGGTAGAAGATTGCAAAAAAAGAACTCCCTCTTCTATTAAGTACCACATCCCATCTCATCTAGCAATCCGTCCTAGAAAACCAGGAATTTACTCAAAGATATGAGAAGAACATCGACGAATTGAAAATCTTCAAAGATGATCACCAACTTCAACCATACAAATAACATTTCTCAATTAGAAATGCAAGATTTTTTGAATAACTAGAACAAATAGTCAAAGTTGAATCATCTCTCAAAGATTTTGCCAAAGGGTATTTTTAATCTATAATTGCCTTAGTTATGAAAAATATGGCTTTGTTGTCTCAGAGTCAGGGATATTGTACAAGGAATGGGCTCCTGGAGCTAAGGAAGTATATCTAACTGGGGATTTTAATAATTGGGATAAAACTCAGTATTCTTTGACTTCAGATACCTTCGGAAATTGGGAGATATTTCTGCCCAGAAATGAAGATGGAACATATGTGATAGCCCATGGTTCTAGAGTGAAGACTTACATAAAGAATGCCAAAGATGAGTATGTTTATAAGATACCTGCATGGATTAGAGCAACCTGGCAAAATGAAGAAAATAAAGTATTTTTGATTTATAAATTTATTTTTCAGATGTTTGATGGAGTCTTCCACAATCCAGAGAATAAATACGAGTTCAAGCATGGTAGGCCTGTGAAGCCAAAGAGTTTGAAAATATATGAGGTGCATATAGGGATGGCAGGAATTGAGCCACGAGTTCACACTTTCAAAGAATTCACGCAGTAAGTTTTACCAAGAGTGGTTAAATTAGGATACAACGTGATTTAGATAATGGCAATATAGGAGCATGCGTATTATGGTAGTTTTGGGTATCATGTTACGAATTTCTTTGCAGTAAGTAGTAGATTTGGCAGTCCAGACGATTTGAAGGAACTGATTGATACAGCCCATCAATACGGGATACATGTATTAATGGATTTAGTACATAGTCACGCATCTAGTAATGTGTAGGATGGGATAAATTAATGGGACGGAACAGAATATCAATATTTCCATGCGGGAACAAAGGGTAATCATGATTTATGGGACTCCAAAGTGTTCGACTATTCTAAATGGGAAGTGATGAGATTCCTGCTCTCAAATTTGTCATGGTGGATCAACGAATACTAATTTGATGGTTTCCGATTTGATGGTATAACCTCCATGTTGTATGTTCATCATGGTAATGGACAGGGATACACTGGAGGCTTACATGAATATTTCAATGAACAAGCAGACCTAGACTCTTTGGTTTATTTGATGTTGGCAAATGATTTAATTCATGAAATCAATCCAGATGCAATAACTATTGCAGAAGAAGTATCTGGATATCCTTCATTGTGCAGGACAATTAAAGAGGGAGGAATCGGATTCGATTATAGAATGGCTATGGCAGTACCAGACAAATGGATTAAATTGTTAAAGGAAATAAAGGATGATGATTGGGATATGGAAGACATCACTAACACTCTTACGAATAGAAGACATCTTGAAAATTGTATCTGTTATGCTGAATGTCATGATTAGGCTTTGGTTGGAGATAAGACCTTGTCGATGTGGCTGTTTGACAAGGAGATATACACTTAGATGAGCACTCTTACACCAGAAACCTTGGTCACTTTCAGAGGAATGGCTTTGCATAAGATGATCAGATTGATAACCTTTGCTCTTGGAGGTGAAGGCTATCTAACTTTTATGGGGAACGAGTTTGGCCATCCTGAATGGATTGATTTTCCAAGAGAAGGCAATGGGTGGTCGTATCATCATGCAACAAGAAGATGGGATTTAGCTGACAATTAAACTTTAAGGTTTTCTAAACTATTATAATTCGATATTGAGATGCTCAGTTTAGAATCTAAGAATCCCTGGTTACCTGATGGCCAATAATGGGTTACTGAGAAGCATAATGACATGAAAGTCATCATCTTTGAAAGGGGTTCATTGCTTTTTGTATTCAACTTTCATCCCTCACAAGTATGCATAATCATATTTAAGTTAGTCTTATGAGCATTTCAAAGTAGGAACCAAATTTAATGGAGATCATTTTATAGTTTTGGATACCGACGATGTGAGGTTTGGGGGACATTCAAGGGTTTCTCCATAATATGATAAGCCATTCACCTTAGTCAGAGAAGGGTGGTAGGGAAGACCTAATCATATACAAATTTATTTGCCAAATAGGTGTGCTATTGTTTTCAAATCAAATGAGTGAATTTTTGTAATGTAAAATCAAAATAATATCGAATTATGATATAACGATAATTAAATTTAAAATGTATTCACTTTAGAAATTAGTGCCTAATAATAAAATTCAAATAAAACCTGGAGCATTCTCATAACACCAGAAATTAAACCAAAGCGTTGATGGAGTACTGCAGATTCAATAAAAGTCATAACAATAACTTCAAACTCAGATCTAAATCGTCAATAAAAAAGAGCCTTCAAAATAGTTAAATAACAAATAAGAACTATTATAAATTCTTGGAAACGCATAGAACAATTAAAGATAAACCAAATCAATTTCACCCACTACCACTCCTCAAAAATAAAGAAGTAACAGAAAATTGAATTTTAATCAAATTACTGAATAAGATGCACTCTTCCTGAATTCAAGCAATGCCATGGCCAACATGATCATTGAAAATATCCTCAATAAAGATGAGTACTACTAGAAAATTCTAAAAGACAACCAAGATTTGAAAGACTAATTGACAAAATTGTAATTAACCCTAAATGAATTAAAAAAAAAGTATTAATCATCAGAATTAACTAATAAAGATCTGCACCAAAATCTATAACGCGAACGTCAGCTCTATTAGAATCAATTACTCCATATCAACGAACAAATTCAATCCATGAAACCTTTGAAATAAAATCTATAAATGGAACAGAAGAAAAGCGAATCCTTAACTAAACAATTATAGGATTAAATAGCAATCAATAATGGATTGAAATCATTTATCTGTGATAATTGTTTACTCTGTATAGAGTTTCTATCCTTTTTTTAGAAAATTGTGTTACATTTCCAACCCTAAGTCACATAGGCTTATGAATCCCTCATTTAAATATCGAAACACTCAACAGCATTTATTCTAGAGTTCATTTCCAAAACTTAGAATCTCAACTTACCAGCACTTAGGAATTGTGTGCTGCCAGAGGAATTCGATGTCAATGGCTTCTTTTAAACTGTTGAATCTTTAAAATTGAATGAATCTTTGGAAATATCCTTTCGAAATAAAATCAACAATGTTACCAAACATTCAATTCAAAGAACCAATAACACTCCTCCACCTCCTGAACCTCTAAAACCAATTCGAAATGCTTCGGCTTCTTTGCATGAATAATATCATTCCTTCTTAGATGCAAGTGGGCCTTTATCTATAACATAGGCTAACCCATATTTTACAGAATTAGACACAATTGAGAAGCAGAGAGTGTTAAATAAAGAAAAATAAAGGAATCAATTAGCCTTATAGTTAAATGCAGCCAATAGAATGAACCAGGAAATCTGCGAGAATTCTAATTATTTTCAAATTGTCTAGGAGAGTAATGAAAATGAGACTATCTACATGGATCAGCACGTATTCAGAGAACAGGATAAATAATCAAAAAGAAATAAGGAGAACCAATAATAAAATTGTTAATATGTTATAGCAAAATATGATTATAAAGCATAAAAAGTAAAGAAATTAAATTGATTTAGGCAGGATGTAGATTTAAGTTTTAAGAAGGGAGATCAGATTAAACTGTTAAAGAAAACAACGAATGGGTGGTGGTATGGAGAAGACAAGAATTAAGTAAGAGGGTACTTTCCACATAATTTTTTTTAATCAGTAGGTTGATTGTAGTTATATAAATTTCATTTTTTATCTTTGCTCTCGATAGCATACCTATTTAACAATAATATAATATCTTAAGTAGTTTCAATTACAAGATTGCTATTCTTTCCTATTTGATCTGAGATGGAAACGCAGTGGAATTTCTATTATCATAAAAATGACATGCTTACTTTATTTAAAGGCATATTAGCAAATTGAAAAATCTAGATAATTTTTTCTAGCCATTATCGATCGAAAGAGATAAGGCTTGCAAAAGAAACCAATCCTTTCTTATCTACCTCATTCACAATGATGATCTTCAACAATTCCTCGATCTGTTGATATTGATGTTTGATTTTGATGGAGTAATTATCTTAGGTGATTATAAAGTCATCTAACTCTAGTCTTAACTCTTTTATCAGATTTGAAATAAGGATGTTGGCAGCAGCATTGGAGTCCTGGATCTTCTCTTAAAATGACATAGTATAGATAAGATTTTTCTAAGAGAGAATGAAATGCTCTTGATAAGATAATTATTGCAGTTTAGCTTCAACCATTTCATCCTTGTCAATAATTTATTAAAACGTAGTTTAGTTGTTTTACTTAATAAATAAGCCATCTTGGGCAATCATATACAGATTGTTGATGGAACCAAAGGTTAGTTCTAGAAGTTCGCATTCTTGATCTGATATCAAAATCAAGGTATTATTTTCATCTTAGGCCAATTGTTCGAGTGCTTAAACTAATTGATCAATTTTATGTATTTTTTATTTGAAACTTTCAGTATAAGCCAAGATGATTACTCTTTGATTATCGTGTTATTGATTGTTATTGAATCTGGAGATTATCTTGGTGGTTTCAATAGAGCAAAACTATCTGTCCTTCAATCCTACTGTAAGTTCCTTGGCTGAATCATACAACTGTTTATCAAGCCAATAATCCTCACAATAGCTTAGATGATCATTTAATCTGTGAAGCCAATCATTACTGCTAGGTACATTAATAATTGAAGGCAGATCATTTTTAATATAATCAGAAATGATTTAAGCTGACATTTTGATATTGAAGGGATTGATTTTTTAATGCTCTACCTTAGATTTGCACCATTGGCTTAAGATGATCTTTGCTCGTTGCTTTTGTGACTGTCTGACATATATATACTCCAAGTGAGTTGATGAAATGACATCTCTCAATGAAGTTTTGATTAAAACATCAGCCTTATTATATAATCTGATTCGGTCTTATTGAGAAGCATCTTATATTAATAGAATTAATGGTTTCTAGTATTTATTATTAATGGATTAAGCTAAGTTGGTTAACTCTTCATGAAGTAGGAGAAGCGAGGTATTATTTTCAAAATCGTCTTCATTATTTTTGTATAATATTTGGATCAATTAGATTTGATGGAGTCCAGATGAATGCAGTTATTCTACAATTTAAAATTTGAGATTCAGTCCACTCTAGACAGAAATACTATCAACACCTAGGAGTGTGATTGAATCTTCATTTATGCAATCTTCTGTAGAAATCAAATTATTTAATTGTTTTTCATCTAAACCTACATTTCCATAATCAAGTATTATCTTTCTGCCCAACACCTCAATTGTAAATGCAGTCATTCCTGCTACTTATGTTAATTTTTGGTATTGGAATGGAATGCACTATATAAAGTTGTGTAAATCCTTCAATTCAACTAGTGAAATCAAATCACTCATTAATAATGATGAGAGCATGATCTAACTGAAAGTGAATGTTCTAAATTGTTTAGGATTCGGAAAGGATCTTCTCATGACAGTGCAAATACGAGGTCTGTACTCATTCTTCTTTATCAGCCCTTCCTTAAGAAAAATAGGAATCATAAAGAGTTGGTAATCAAATATGAAGATCGAATGCAAGTGAGTGAATTGATTATTAAAAAGTGTGCAGAACATGGCATCCTGTACAAATCTGGCAAATATTTGATTGATGGTCATATAATCATCTTCTGATTCGAATTTCAAATGCGGAGTTAAATTACTAAAGACTGGCTCTATAAATTGGGAGAAACAGGATAATTTGGATTCATCCAATTGAATGCCATAACACTTATATTGATCATAACTAAATTTGATAGGGAATGCATACATGTATTGTTAGATAAGATTGAATTCTATTTCATCAGGGATTGTAATTCCCAACCATCCAATCCATATGGCTTTGAGACTCAATCGATTGCTAAATAGATCGTACATGTTGTTATAATAGGGATCCTAGGTGGAAGTGAATTTATATTTATTAAGAATGTCTTTTTATTAAAGTGTAAATTAATTACCTTTTTTGGTTCTTACTTAAATTTATTAATCGATAGTGGTTATTTAAATTGGTATCTTCAAGGTCAAGCATATGACAAAGGAGTCAGTGAAAATTTGAGAGGAAGATTGGGACCTCTTTCTTTTGTAATCAAATACGATATCTGGAGAACCGTACTGCTCTGAAATCTTGCGGAATTTCGATATGGACTTTTACTTTTGCTTGCCTTCAAAATGAGTCTATGAATGTTTAGTTATATGTTTACTCTGATAATGTCTCTCCAATCACTTTCCAATTAACGGATGGAGATCTACGTGATTCCTGTAATTTTCTTGACCAATTCTGGCAGGCTCTCGTTGTCAGACTGTAATATAAATGTAGTTTAAATACTGAATCTAAATCATTATTAAATGGGTCGTAATCCCTGGACCTACTGAGTCTTTACACATTCACTATAATGGATAAATTGAGAGATCTTACTCAAGTCTTCCTATACGAATTCATGAGAGATTTCGTATTTCTAAAAGGTTCTGACATTCATTTCTTCCTTATTGAAAGTGATAATCAAAAAATTGCGTCTGAAATCACATTTGTGTAGCCGATTTGGAACCTCTTCCCAAATGAAGTTGTCGCCATCTTGTATTAAGCACTTGAATTCCAGTCTGACAGCTATCGAGATGAAACATTGATCATACTTGGATCAATTTGAATTTTGCTTTCGTGAGTCCATTCCGGATAGGTACTGTTGGTTGTACTCAACATCATTGAACGATTTGGATCCCAATCTCCAAGTAAGACATGGTTGCCACAGATTCTGACATTTTGCAAATATCTCGTCTCTGCTATTACCTTAAAGCTTATATATGACATCTTAAATTATAAGTAAGTATATTAAATTAGAAAAATGAAGAAGCTCATTCTGTTTACATTGATCTTTGCGATCGCTCATTCCCTTGGATTCCCCTCCTTTTACCATCGTTCCTCAGTATTATTCACCTAAAACAACCCATCTAGGATATTCATGTCGAAATCGCATAAACCCTACAAAAGTGTGATGGAGTCGAATTGGAAATGGTCAGAGATTACCCCAAATTGTCCATGGTCACTCTCAACAAGAATCAGAACAAACCAAATAAGGGCTTTGTACTCTTCGGAGAACACGCAAGAGAATTGATCTCTCCAGAAACGGGTTTGCATTTTGTCAAAAAACTCTGTAGTGAAAATGAAGAAATGAAATCAATCAAAGACAATTACGAATTAAGAATGATAGTCAACCTAAATCCACTCTCAAGAGAGAAAGTTGAATCTGGAGATTTTTGTAAAAGAGAAAATGAAAATGGAGTCGATTTGAATCGAAACTACAAATCCCATTGGTCTAAAGTACATAACACTAATTACTCAGGAACACGACCCAGAAATGGTAAGAACAGCTCCTGGACCCTTTGCATTCTCAGAAGCCGAGACCCAAACAGTGAGAGATGAACTCAAGAAATTCTCACCCCACGTTTTCTTCTCCATTCATTCTGGCACCCTAGCACTCTTCACTCCCTATGCTTATAGCAAAGAATAACGTAGAGCATAAATTCCTATATTTAGCATCCGAGAATCTCTCCAACATGATGCAGATCCTGACAGAAGTTAGAGAGAAACATTGTGAGACTTGTAAAATGGGATCTTGTGGCCATGAAATTGGATATCTTTCACCAGGTACTTCAATGGATTATGCTTATGATGATTTGAAGGCAGACTATTTATAGTTTATCATTTTTAGATTCCCTATTCATTCACATTTGAAATCTATCACGGAGGCCTAGATGTTAGAACCAAAAAGCATGCCCTCAAATTTTTAGAAGTCCAATCCTCCCATAACAAACATAAAATCACAGAAGAAGATAAATTAGATTAATTACTAAGAGACCATTCCTGTTTTGCCACCACCTCCACGTATATCAAACTCTCATTATTAGCAAAGAAATGCCACCTGATGAATGTTTCAAATATTTCAATCCAGAAGAGAAAGAATAATACGATTTCTATGTTGAAAATTGGTCTAAAGCCATAACATTATCATTAAATAGAGTGGCCGAATAAAGGCAAACATAACAATAAGCATGATACATTTACAATTTATTTCATCAACTTATCACCAATATTCTATTCACACAAATTGTGTCTTCTCACTATTCCTTCTCAGAGTCAATATCAAGTATATAAATATCAAGTAAATTATCCCTGCACATCCAAATAAAAAACAATAATATATGAATTTAGGGAATTGATTATGGTTATCCTGTTTTGGCTTTTCATAATTATTTGAATATTCCACTCCACTTATGTATGGGTCATTCACATGGCGAATATAAATGGACAAATTCTCAAATGTTTGTAAGTTGTCCTTTCCCAATTCTTTGTAAATAAACCCATTGTTATAACATCCCCCTTAGTATTATAATTAATTATCCTCAATGGAAACCTTCAAACAGATCTCCGCCAAGTATTGTATTGAATCACCCTTCCAAAACCAAGGTATTATAGATACTCCAATGTTATTACTGCATTGTGGTAATTCTTAGATCATTTGTTATTTGAATCTCTGATTATACATTAGTTGCAGACATAACTTTTTTGATTTTGTGAGTTTGGCTATCTGATAATTAATGTATCCAAAATATTCATGAAAACCTGTTTTCTGAAATAGAGTAGTGGAATTCAATAGCAAGTAGGGATCTCTATGAACCTGATTGAATTTGAACCTTTCTTGATTCAATGAGCCTTCAATAATGAACTTTTTAAAATCTTGTTAATTTAAATCAAGTTCCCAATCCGAGGTTTCCTAAGGTGAATTACAACTATACTTTTTCAATTATGTATTATTGTTCGAATTCTTGCTATTAATATGGAATAATAAAAAATGAGCAAGAGAATAGAAGCAGCAAGAGATCTATTATGCAAATAGTGTAAAAGATAACGCAAAATATTCTACTCGGTATGAGTTATTGTATTTTTAAACAATCATATCTAACTAAATAAACTTATAACATAATAATTATTATCTATTTCTATAATGCTAAATAACACCCCTCTGTCCTTGCATTAAATGGCAATTCAATTTGTAAGGATGTAACCATCGTAAACACTCATTAACATGCCATAAGTAATAGTAAGCAAAGTCAGCACTTTTATTATGAATTTAGACTGAGGGATACCAAATTATGAGAAATTTGAATAATATATTATTATATTTTTGATATTCACTTCACATTTTATGCCATCCTTTAAGATCATCCTCATCAGAATCAAACTCTTTCTAAGAATGTGTTTATATATATAGAAATACCTTTTTAGTAGACTCAATACTTATTTTGATATTTTCTTATTTCTTCCATTGTTCGTATTCATACGCTTCCTACTACTCAATCTTTTTGTCTCTCCATTCCATTGGTAATTGCCAGAACTATGAATTAAGAACGCTTCATACTTTCAAAGACTTCTCCTTTCCACTGGTAACCAACATATGTTTATCTTCATACCACTGGAGTTTGGTGATGTCAGTATTATGAGCCTTAATTACAACTAAGAATGTCATAGCTAAAAAGTACATATTGGTGCAGCTTTTTTGCCACTCCACACTGTGACTGTACCGTCTTTATTGCCAACCATGCATTCTCCTCTGGAAGGTGACCAAACTATTTCTCTCACTTGTGGTTTATCTTTCAAACTTGCTGTTTATTTAGTAAATTTTTCTCTGCCAGACTTACCAACTTCGAAGATACCAATTTCACCTTGGTCGAAACCTGCTGTGAATAAATAGTTCTTGACAGGATCAAAAAAGATTCCTCTGATAGGAGAGAGTGTTTGGGATGCCACTGAAACAGCCAAAGAGGGACCCATAGTTGCAGAGGTAATTTCAAAGACGTGAACGTAACCTCCTCTATCTGAAACAAATATTCTTCTATTGTCTTTATCAGCTGCCAAACCAGTCAAACCATGTTGACTTGGTTAGATTTCAGCAACAGTGATTTATCTTTAAAAGTCAAGTACTTTATATTTCTTATCTTCTGATACAGAATGAATATGGGAATTTATGGAATCATAAAATACACCCATCACTCTACCCTAATGTGCCTTGATATCTGCTTACTAAGGTTGATATATGATTGAGGTACTTCATCGTATCTGATAAATTGACTCTCTTGAGGTACTTTAAGCAAATTCAATTTTCCCTCATCTAATCCAACGATTAGAGTTGACGTCACTGCATCCCAATACAAACATATTGCTTATGATGGATAGGTTTTATTCCACATTCTCTCATACTTGAATTCGTTCTCATCATTAGTCTTCACCCAACATTCCAAACATCCAACAGCCAAGAGAGTTGGAGGAGCTTCCTTTTCCCATGGCATTTTCATATTAGTTAAGTAGGCATCGAATCTGCTAGCCACATTCATGTCAGAAGATAAGACGAAAATGACATCTACAATATTGTGAATTGATTTTTTTACTCTGTGATCTCTCTATATAGAAATCTCTTAATCCGTGAATGAATCCTGTAATTTCTCCTAACATCTTGGGTGGATTGACCACTTATTCTTAAGCATGCTTCTCCAACTATAAAAATTGTTTCATCTGCTCAGAATTAAACACATCTGGTCTTTTTAATAATTCCTACTCTTATGCATATCTTTTTACCTTAATGTAATAATCCAGTCCCACTCTTCGCTTCTCGATGTCGACATGTTCCTTCAACTTAAACAATGTTTTCCCTGGCAATGGAGGCAAATTCGTGAACACCTATAATCAATGAATAATAATCCCACCTTCTTCAAGTTAGTATTCAGATCGTCAAATTCCGAATACCTCTTCTCTAATGTCCATTACTACCCATCCCTCTTGGATACCAGCAAGATGAATAGGATGACATTACTATCTATTTTGCTCATCTGATACTCCTTCACCTCAGCCTAACAATTATTGAATTTATATCAACCTTTAAAGCCACTACAGATTAATCCATTAATTAATATATTATGTATAACAAACATCATATCTCTACCAAGAACCTTGACGGCCCAAAATTAGATACAACCCAAGTTCGACGTAAAAGCTGTGTTTGTGATCATTGCGGCCTCACTGCACTCAAAGAAGATCGTCTCCCCAATCAACTATGCGAAATTGCCCATCACAAAAAAGCCAGATTAGAAGAAGTCTTCCTTAGCAAACTTGATGGAACCAAGAAATACATGAGAAATGATCAAAAAAGAAAGAATTTCAGAATCTTCGCAAGAAATCCCTTATTCATTCTACGATCCAAGCCTGACCTAGATGAAAGTATGCATTAACAAACTTCACCCACAAAAACTAACACGCCTGAACAACAACGCATGAAAACTGAACATCCTCAAATTGTCCAATCTCGCACTCATAAATATGTCCCAAGTTCGAATTGCTTTCTCCAAAATATCAAACAATAAGTCCTGCGACAAGAAAAAACCATCAACAGATTGCTCAGAGATCGCAAGGCTGTATAATCTCTATAATTCTCGCCAAGTGGTACTATACCCATCAATAAATCTCATCAAAAAAATAAAAAAATCTACTTGAAACAATTGAAACCTTTACCCAAACAACAACAACTCCAAAGCAAATTTAAATGTCTCATTAGAGAATTCTTCAACTCCTCTAAAGCCAAACAATGCTGAATTTGTATATATATATAATTTTGTTTGTATTTATTACTTAATAAAATCAATGCAAGAAACAGAGCAATCAGAAAAAAATATGATAGGTTCTCTGCTAGACGGTAATTACATTTCTTATCTCATTAGAGGATGAGTCAGAATGTTCAGAATTCAGATCTTCCATCACTAAATCCCAACAGCATTCTCAATCTGTAAACAATTCTCTCTATTAAACCATCTAGCCTGCCAAAAGCTTCAAAGATGTTAAAGAAAGTCCACTCGTTCTTGATGATCCAGGGTATTATCGTCAATATTAAAAAAAGTTAATAAGAATTTCCTTCCAATGATCCAAACAACTTTTATTTTACTGTCTAACCAGCCTTCATCCAACAAAGGTAACACTCCATGAGTTACGAATTCCACCAATACATGGTCTCTCAATCTTCAATCTATTACCCTTATCAAGACGGATACTTCTCATAAAAACGAACCAAGAGAATGCAATCGTCCACAGATTCAGAACAAACCATAGTAAATCTCCCATTCCTATTGTAGTCACAACAATGCTAAGATCAATATGCGTCCCTAATTATCCAATAGTCCTTCATTTAAGGAAACGACTTTTAGAGAGACAAAATATTTAAAGCCTTAATCGATGATTTACCACTCCTCTCTAAACACAAATTTGGAAATTATGTCATTCAGAAAATTATAGAAAACAGCAATCAGAACCTCAGAACCCTCATCTTTGAATAGCTTCACCCTTACCTCATCGACATGTGCTATGACAAATTCGGATGTCGAGTCATCTAAAAATTACTAGAGTTCATTTAAAACCATCAAAAAATACAATTAATCTAATCAATCAAAAGTCAAGTGTTGAATCTCATCTTCGATCAATGTGGAAATCATGTAATCCAGAAAATCATAGACTTGGCATCCGAGGCTGAGTTCATAATTGACATTGTCACAAACAACGTCGATCACATCGTGTCTCATCCCTATGGATGCAGAATTGCTTAAAAATGCCTTGAAATCTTTCCCAACCAAAAGTTACAACAACTCTACATCTCCCTTATACCTTTATGTGAGAGATTACAATTTTGTCAATACGGGAACTACATTGTACAGCACATGATCACCCAAGGACCGCCTAAAGGATTTGAAGTAATTGGGAAATTCGTCAAAGCCAGAATTCTGGAAGTCAGTTAAGATAAATATGCCAGGTATTTATTTAGATTGAATTTCGTTAAGCAACGTGGCTTAGAAATATATAACATTGGCATCAGATGAAGATATTGCAAGCATCTGCAAAATCCTGATGAATAATTGCGTACCACCAATGTTACTAATTTTAATCAATAATTAATTTGGTAATTATGTGATGCAAAACTTCTATTCGAAATGCAATGACAAATAAAAAGAAATAATTCAGATCTAAATCAATAAATATGAAGAACATCAATTCACATAATTTGGTATTTTTATCCCTTAACCCTATTTCTAGGTAGACATTTCTTATAATTTTTGGCTAGGTGTCAATCTTGTTGATTGTTTTATCTATATATGTTAAACATTATATACATTTAAAAGTCATTTCAAAATTATAATTATAATTAATAAAATTGCCCTCATTATGATTTACAAATTTCATTATATTAATTAGGTATAAAATGGTATCAATATATAATTAATATAAAATATGCTATTTTCTATCTCCATAGTCATAATAGCTCTCTAATTATGTTTTTTCTCCTTCAATATTCGATATTAATACCTTCAATCTCTTTGTTTGTGGATTTATTAAAAGAAGCTAATTTTCTATCAAGAATGTGGAGATCTTTCATAATACATAGTATAAATGTGATATAGAAATCATGAAGAGGCTCAAAAGGGGAAAAAACTAAAATATAATTCAGATCCAAAATTCCCCTTTCATTCATCAATTTATCTTAAGACTCAAATAGCAAGATCAAAATATGAAGAGGAAGATTTTCCCCTTCAGGAACAATTGGTATTGGATTTAAAATGAGTATAATTGTATATTGTATTTATTAACCAATAACGTATATTTTGAATTAATGATAAAATAATTTATAGTTAATCATCATTTAATTAAATTAATATAATTTGATTAATATAAGTTAGATACTTGTTTACAATTTTAATGAATAAACTTTTATATACTTAATTAATTAATTTTCAAAACGAAATCGTAGTATTCGATGACGAACTTTTATTAATGACTTATTATTTGTGACAATACAACTCATTTTCTAACACTTGTTAAAAACGATATATTATATATGAATTTTAAATCTACAGTAATTGGTGCAGGACCTGCTGGTATCATAACAGTGTGTTAATTGCTTAAAAACAACATGACTCCGATTGCATGGGTGGATCCCCAATTCAATTGTGGAGCTTTGAACCAGTTTAATCACATACCATCCAACACAAAAGTATTTTTTAAACATAAAAATTAGATTCAACTATTCCTAAACACCTTAAAGAGAATGGGATGGATTGAGGATCATAAGGAAGTAGAAGACCCCGCTGAAGTATGAAATTTTAGTTAATTTAGGTATTTAAAAATTTCGACCCAAACACTACTTGTGAACTCGGCTTCTCCTATGAGATGTTTAAGAAAGTCATGGTGATATTGGATCAAACATGCAAAGGGTTACTAGCGAAGATGGAAAGTGTTGTAGAAAAAATAGAGAACCTAGGCCACACTAATAAAATTACATTAAAAAATAATTGTTAGGTATTAATAATGACGATTATTTTATTAGTTCGAGAGCGAATACGTCTTCCATTGTACTGGTTCGAAAAGAAATACAATAGAGACTGTAGATGCTTCACTCTACAAACTTTACCCTACCCTCAAAGAAATTGACCTCTACGCTGCCATGAGTCCAGAAGATGTTCATTAACACATTACAAATGAGGATACAGTCTGTATATTTGGTAACAGTCACTCTGGAATTTTGGCTGCAATGAATCTCTACAACTCACCAAATAGGCCTAAACACATATACATTTTCTAAAGAAGACCAATCATTGTGGCCGAGTATTTGCCAAATGGAAAAATCATGAATGACTCTACAGGTCTTAAAGGGAGAGTGGCTGAATGGGCCAAAAACATCCTAATTGGAGAAAAGCCCAAGTGCATCTCAGAAATTGACTCAGCTGAGTACAAGAATTACATGCCATTGTGCACCAAAGTTATTGTAGCTACTGGATTCCAAAGAAATACTCTACCTATCATATCCATAAATGACATGGAATTGATCGATAATAAGATTAATTATGATGATGAAAATATGACATTAGTTTACGGAGGAAGAGAGATCTCCAATAACTATGGCTTCGGAATTGCTTTCCCAGAAAAAGTACTTGATGCTAATGGATCATATCAACATGCTGTTGGTTTCTATAAATTTATGCTCACTATTACTAAAGTGATTACAAAATTATAGAGTTGATTATAATTATTATTTTGTTCACTAATTATAATTAACATAACTTCACTCAAATATATTTCTCTTAATATTGTTAAACTTTTCAATCTATAAATTTTTAGCTTCAACTTCTCAGTATAATAATATGTTTTGATTGATTAACTAGCCTAATTCAAAATTTCAGTAAAACATAGTAGATTACCTAAATCATTCCATAATTCCAGGCTCAGCTGTGTTCTTTGAATCCTAAATGAACAATCTCAATAATATCTTGCATAAGCCGACATGGAAACTTTTAAAGATATATGTAGATAATAAATTGAATGATTTAGATATTAAAATATTGGGTAATGATATCATTGAGTAATAGTTGAGGATACTTTATAAGAATTTACAGTGGATTATTAATTTAAAACGAATTATATAATAATAATCACACAAACAATTAAGAAGTAATCCTATCAGAATTTGAGCATTGCTTAATTAGATTTCATTAGCATGGACAAAGAATTATAAAAGGTAAATTATAAAAGGAATATTCTATTGTAGTGACAAATTCTCCTTAATTTAGGACAGTAAATTTGGATAAATGTAATTGGATGATAAAATTCTTAGTGAAAATTTATAATTAATATTATTTACTGATTGCAAGTGATTAATTTTAGTTTTTTGATAAGAATAAATGAGAGTTGTTGACAGAACCCTTGGTTTGATAGAAACACAAAGCCTCAACTCATCCAACTGAAGCAGTTCGAAAAGAAAATAGTTGTATACTCTCATAATCCTCAACAGCCTGATGGGATAGGCAAATGAACTCTCTTATTAATTAGACATATAAAAATATGAAAATAAATAAATAGTAGATTTCACTAATAATTTAGGAGCTCTTTCAAAAAAGTTAAATAATTATGATTATTCAAACATCTAACTAAGGAGACTAGAAGTATCACATAAAAGCATGCAGTATTAATTACAAGATTGAATTTTGGAACTAAAATAAAAATAAGATCTACAAAGTTGAGGAGAGTAAGTGATTTATATAAAGACAAAATAAGAAATTTTAATTTATAGATAATTAAGATTAAATAGTAAATTAAAAGGTATAAATAGAATCCAAGAAAAAAGAAGTAAAGGATAAAGTTATGTTGAAAAATACAATAACTCATAATAATTTTAATTTGAAATATCTAGATCAAAAGAAAAGCCTTTGTAGAATGTATTTTCATCTTATTAGTTGAAATAAGAACCTTAGAGAAGATATAACAGATTTTGGATGAAGAAGCAAAGAATAAGAGTTTAAAATTATTAAAATAAGAGAAAAAGAGATCTCAAACAATCCCAAGATGGTGATATTAATATTTTATGTGTATATCAATGGCTTGATGATTAAGGATTACTACGTAATTGTCTAGCCTTCACTGGATGTTTGGCATGATAGTCTTCAATTCTTTCTTCAATCTCTTCTCTATAGGTTCTAATCAATCCTTAAACTGGCCATGCAGCTGCATCTCCAAGAGCGCAAATAGTATGTCCTTCAATTTAATATGTTAATTCCTTTCAATATAAATAAGATTTAGAGTACTTCTAATTAATCAATTTCAGCAAAATCAGCATTTCCAACCTTCATTCTTTCCAACAAATCAACTAACCATGAAGTACCTTCTCTGCAAGGTGTGCATTGACCACATGATTCATGTTTGTAGAATTTGCTCAATCTTAAGATAGCATCAATAATATCAGTAGATTTATCAATGACAATGACAGCAGCAGTTCCTAATCCAGATCTAACATCTCTCAAAGCATCAAAGTCCATTAGCACAGTTTCACATGTCTCTTTAGGTAACATTGGGACTGATGATCCTCCAGGAATAATGCATTTAAGATTGTCCCAACCTCCTCTGACTCCTCCACAATGTCTTTCAATCAATTCTTTAAGAGGAATGGACATTTCCTCTTCAACAGTACAAGGATTGTTAACATGACCAGAAATACAGAATAGTTTAGTGCCTCGATTGTTGGGTCTGCCAAAAGATGCAAACCAATTTGCTCCTCTTCTAAGAATGGTTGCGACAAACTGAAACTGTTTCAACATTGGCTAACAGTGGTTGGACAACCCCATAAACCTGCATTTGCTGGAAAGGGTGGCTTGAGTCTTGGCTTTCCTGGCTTTCCTTCCAAGGATTCAATTAAACCCTATTCATTTTTATTAAATAATTACTGTTTCTTCTCCACAAATGTAGGCACCTGCTCCACTGTGAACATAGACATCGAAATCGTATCCACTTCCGCATGCATTTTTACCCAAAAATCCCTTTTTATAGGCCTCATCCACTGCTTATTACAAGGCATTAGCTTCTACCCAGAATTCTCCTCTGCAATATATATATGCTGCTCTGGCTCTCATTGCAAATCCCACACACAAGGCTCCTTCTACTAATTTATGAGGATCGTGCCTCAAGATTTCTCTATCTTTGCATGTGCCTGGCTCAGATTCATCTGCATTTATAACCAAATAAGAAGGCCTTTATTTCATAATTGCATTAATCAAAATACCTTCCATCTGGATTGACTTTTGGCATGAATGAGGTATTTCAAACCACTTGGAAATCCAGCACCTCCTCTGCCTCTAAGACCACTCTTTTTGATTTCATCTATAATCCAATCTTAACCCATTGTCAATATGTCCTTTGTTCTATGCCAGTCACCCTATGATTATGATTATACTTACTCTTTTCAAGGCACCTTGAATATAAGGATCTCCATCGCGATAGACATTAGTAAAGATACGATCTTGATCTTTCAATCCTCCATGATAGTATTTAGGTTGAGGGACCCATCTTAGAAATAGCTGAGCTTATCTAATAATCATTTTAATAATAATAATTATGTTTAATCATTAAATCAAAACTAATTTCCAATAGTTATTCTTCCCTTCATTGTCGTTTAAGCAAACCTACCGATTATGTGACAACGATGCTTTTTTATTAATGAAAGATAAGTATTTAGTAATTTCATTATGTTTCAATTCAAATATTGCCCCATCTTTTAAAATGTTATCATCAAATTCAATTGTCCAGCATCTACTAGAACCTTAACCACAATAGACTATACCCTCTTCATCCATCTCTGTGGCCATAAGATATCTTCCTGTCAGAATATGGATTAACTAAATCATTATAAGTCAATTTACATCAATTTTATCCCCAGAACGAATTGGCAACTTGTCTGACTCCAAATGCCATTCACAATAACAGCCCAATTCAGGATTTAGGTTGGTTAAAGATACTTCATACGAATTGCTTCTTGTATTTGTTAATCTCATTATACATCATTTATTTACTTAATTGAATGAGAAGAAAGTAGTTTAGATATGTACACATTTAGAATTTAAAGTTTGTTATCTACAGCGATTGCATTTCCTAACATTACTGTTTGTCTCTACATTACTCATATTGAATTACTTAACTATCTGGATTCTGATAAAATTGGCTGGCTGTAAAAACCGACCGATCTTATTAAGAGTATATTACAGAGTCCTCCTCAGGAATTATTGTGAAAGTTGTTCTTGGGTTGGAACCTCTCGGATTGCTTTTACAAGGCCAATTCACTATATTATCACCTTTCTAACATACCGAGCCCATTAATTTAATTAATCTTATAGTAATAACATAAGCACACATTAAAGTATTCAATAAAATCGAAGTTAAAATAATCCCCTTTATGCTCTCTCAGATTAGAGTCAAGACAACCACTAATAAAATAAGAAAAGTAATTTAAAGAGATTTTGATACTGTGAAACTGTATTCATAAAGTGAATAATAATAATTTGAATCTAATCGAATCATTTCTTTTTCACATAAAAAGTGGATGCTATATCATACGCACCTGGTCCAGGCATTTTCGTATTTTCGGAGCAACTCTGTGATCTTTTCTCACTTCCAAATACAATACTCACTTGAGGCTTCTTAATTTTTAATTCTGTTTCATACTCCCCTGGTCCCTAAAATGAGACAAATAATCATACAGGTATTTATATCCTATTGTAACTATCTCTTTTAGCCTGACAAAATATTATGCTTTTAGTTTCTCGAAACTCTCCAATAGTATAAGATTAAGGTCCTGGACCTGAAGCTTCAGTCTTTTCTCTATATCTCTGATAGATTGAGTATTTGGGAGCAGTGCTAGGTTTAATTGGTTAATAACTTCCTGGTCCTGGAAGTGCATCAAGTTTTGTATCTTATCGTTGTTTTTTGCCTATTGAGTAGGCAACACTCTCTTTGATTGCTTAGACCTCGTAGTTGCCAGGACCTGGAGAAACGGACTTTTAAAAAATGCCTTCTCTTTTGCTTGTCCCAATTTTAAATGATTTTACTCTTTCTTACCTGAGTTGTTCGTATGCATCAGGACCAGGAGTGATCATTGATAGAGTTTTCTCTCTGCGAGGAACCATCTTAAATCCTCCATCAGTTTTTAATAAGGAAGGAATTTCATATTATCCAGGACCTACATGATTGCTATAGATTTTTCCTGATCTTGTTTATTAACCAATTATGTATGATTGAACATGATTCTTGACTTCAACCTGATAATCTCCAGGTCCTGGGGATAATTTCTTTTCTTCCTTATACCTTTTCTCACTGCCTATTTTGAATCCTATTCTGGAGAGCTGTGAGATTTCAACCTTGTATGCTCCTGGGCCTGGTTTTTGTTATGATTCTTTGTCTTTTTAATAGGCTTTGCCGTAAATCAAAGTTTTTCTCTATGACGATGGTAATCGAGGGTCATATTGACCTGGGCCTGGAAGGTTTTTAATAATGGGGATTTCTCTGGAGTAAGTTCCACTCATAGTCCATTTCGGAGCGTTGGTATGTGAGACTTCTATTTTGGGTTCATAGCTGGCTGGACCTGGAAGATTTTGATTGATTGAGGTCGTGTGATCTAAAGAAATATAAGAGGAGCGTAACTTCTTTTTGAATTTCTTGATGGTACTGACATGCGAAAGGGGAAAAAATAATAGTCAGATAAATAAATATCTAATTAATTATGAGGGTTGTTAGAAACTCGTTAAATCCATCTAGAAACTTAAAGAGTATTAGAAAAACCAAATATATTTATATTAAATAATAAATTTCGTTTTACGTAGTATGAGTTCTCCATAGGAGGGTGATATTAATTTAGTAAAGGAATTGATGTAATTAAGGACTAAGATGCATTCCGGAGTTGTCTATAGATCTTGGGAAATCTGTTAAAGGAGAATTTGGATCTGCTGGAAACTTTTGCTGAGATGTTTAGGAAGATGCAGTCAATAAATGAATTTTTTGATCTTTATGAAGCTTTGCATTATGAACTGAAAATCAGATGCGAAGAAACCTTAAGCATTATTGGATAACTGAACAATCCCCAAATTCTGGGGAAAAGCAATGAAATACCCAATATTATAACTAATGATCAAAAACCATCAATCCAAGAGTACAACATAATTGATACCCAAATTTATGACCTAGTGATGGATATCAATATGAGTTCGTCTTGGAAGGTAGTTGTTAATCCAATATTTCAAGTTGTTGGTGAACAACAATGAACTGAAGGGAGCTAGAGTTGCAGTGCTTGGTTTGTATGACAAAGGGAAAACCCATATTCTAAATCAATTAACCAATCAAAATCTCCCCACAGGATCCAAAATAACAACCAAAGGCATCAGTTTCAAACAATGCATTGTTGACAAAAATAATTCATTTGTGTTGATAGATACAGCAGGTAGTTATGCACCTGAGAATCTTAAGAATTTAAAAGAGAAATAATAAATTGAAACTGCAATCCTGGAGATATCATTCGAATTAACTGACTATTTCATTTGCGTTGTCAATGATTTCACAAGCATTGAAGTTAGATATTTAGATTAATTAGCTCGTAAATTAAGCACCTCTCTCAAACAATTTAAGGAAATTATAGTAATCCACAATCTTAAAGATATTACAAATCCAAATCTGATTCAGCATGTTTGGTAAGTATAAATTGAAAAAATCTTAGAAGGAAATATATAGAAGTCTACTGTTGAAGCAATGAATCCTTTCACAAATCAATTGGAAGAAAAGTCTGTTCTGTGGTTCAACACAGAAACGAGTAGACACATATGTATTGTAAATGACAACTCTGATTTGGGCAAGAGCATTAATCCTTGGACTTATAGTCTTCTCAAATATTGGTTGAAATTGGTTGTCGTGCCTCATCAAAAGAAAACACTAAAATATGATGACATTGTTGAAGTTTGCGAATTAAAAATTAGTACTCTCTTGAAAAAGCAAATCAAACTAACCATTTAAGATACGCATCTACCAAATGAAAAAAGAATCGTCAAGTAATAAGCAACCTCCCCCAAATTCACTTAAAATATTTCCACAGCTAAACTGATGTCTACACCTGTAGATATTGACAATGAGGAAGGTGAGGAATATGAACCCTAGATCGATATTATCCAAGGAACTCAATATATAATCCTTATCGATTTGCCAGGTGTATCACTTGAGGAAGTAGAAATCTATAGGTAGAATGTTTCTACCATTGTTCGAGGACATAAAAAGATCTCGATGTATACAAACAAAGCAACTTATATCAAGTAAGAGAGAAAATCTGGTCCTTTTGATTTAAGATTTAAGATCCCTGATGAGTATGATCCCAAATGGAGATATTATGGAATGAATAATGGGGTTCTTGGGATTGTTTATAATCTCGATTCAGAGGACTCGATTTTACCAAAAAAGAATTAATTTTGATTTATACACATATAATTATTAACAATGTATAATTTTCAAGATTAATAATTATTATATGGATTAGAATTAGCTAAATTGAGATATTCGAAAGAAGAAGAAAGAGCTAGAAATAAAAAGGCTCACTTTTTCTAATAATAACCATAAGTATCTTTAATCCTCCATAATCAAAGCATTTCAATCAATATGAACATCCATCATCAATATTTACCAGATCATCATTAGATAGCATTCCACTTGCTCAACCTGGAATGGTAATTCTGAATATCAATATAGCCAGTAATCCCTATTCCCTTTACAATGATGCCTTGGCCAATGGAATCGTAAATCTAAATGGGTTTTGATTTCTAGAAATCTAAATAATAATAAGAAATTCGCTAACAGAGAATAGAAAACATAATGAATCTAGGTTTAAATATCCATTAATTTTTAAGGCAAACCTAAACCAATTTAAAAGCCTGGGGATAAAATACTTTACCCTCATGATCCCCAATATTTTAATAATTCCAGATTGTCTTCTTTGGGGTCATCATAATTAAGTTAATATCCATAATAATACTAATAACAATACTAATAATAATAATAATAATACCAATAATAATAATAATAATATTAGCAGTACTAATAACAACAGTTGCAAAAATAACAATAGTAAAAATAAGAGATTGATAAATTACTTATTTCTAATTAATATGACAAACATATTCCTTACAAAAAATAAGAATAACTTAATGATAAACAATTAAAAGAAGAATTCAAAAGTTCTCTTCATAAATCAAAATTATCCAGCAGTTTGATGAAGAGCAGTTCTCATTCCAGCTAATAAAATTTTCTCAAGAAAGCTAAAAAGAAATTACCCGTTTCTACCAAGAAGTTTAGGATATTCAAAGCATCAATAATTTTCATTTCATATTACATAAAAACCTTAAATTCTGAGATTGAAAAAAAGTTAAAAATATGCAGAGAGAAAGATGCTCAAATTCCAAATATATTGGATTATCTACTAGGATAGTATGAAGGAGCTTTAGAATAATAAATGATTGAATTCTTGAATAATAAAGTCGACTTTAAAGTAGAAATTGGAAAAGACAAAGAAAATCAAGCGAAATATGATAAAGTTTTTGCTTTCATTATTAGATTTCTCACTTAAGCATAGACTGTTAAAGCAGATGATATAAGTCCTTTATTTTTTGATTTTTTAAGATCTATTTGCATTCCTAATTAATTTCCCCCTCTTGATTACTTTATACAATATGAAGTGGAAAGGATCAGATTCAATACTATAGGCTAGATCGGTAAGATTGGCGAATCAATTCAATTGATGATTATAGAAGGAGTAATTTTACTCAGAATACTTGTTAATCAGATGATTTTCAAAGCGTGGGAATATCATCCATCCTAAAGTGATTAGGATGTTCTGTTTTTTGTACATAGAAATGCTCTTATTGTGGGATCAATTCTTGTACACATATATTTAGAAAGATATGCAAATGAAATCCCCTTAAAATTTGATTGGAAAAAAGTGAATTGGAATAAAATTAATATTCTTCCTTAGATTTTTGATGACGAGCCTGATGGTAAAAAAGCAGTCATCAAGAATCTTCTTCCTATCCAAATAATTTCTCCTTATTTAAAGTATTTGGCTGCTCAAACAAAGAAGAATAATGAAATTTAAGATTTATTGAATAAGATCATGTAAGGGTATTTGAAAGAGTTAAATAAATAAACTGAAATTTTCTTAAGAGATAAAGAAGAGAAGCCTAGGATGATAAATTTAATTATGAATACGATCTATAGAGAAATATATGTATCTAAGAAACCAAGAAGATATGATTCTGATTGATTAATTCTATCTCAAATAGGCATTTATAATATGACTTTTTATTAAATTTAAGTTTTCAAACGATATTATTAGGTTATTCAGTATAGATAATTAACAGATAATCATTTTACAATTATAATAATATGATATAAATATAACACAAAAAAAAATATTGTCATACATTACATTAAAGCAACTCAAGTGCTTTTTTTTCACAATTAAACATAGCAATTATTGATGGACCTTGTGATAATCCTATTCCTAAGTATTCACCTTCCTGATCTTTAATCTACTCAATTTTTTCGTTGTTTATAATTTTCCACATAATTGTTCTATGTTCACATTTTGTAATCATCAATGATTGATTCTAATTATATACTATTTTCTTTATGTATCCAAAATTTGGATTATTTTCATAACATAATTGATTATTATCTTCATTAATTTACCATATCGATATGTTACCGCCGAATGTACCCACTATAAGTGAATGGTATTTAATGAAATGAACAGAATAAATAAAACTTGAACTAGGAACATCGATTTGACTTAACTTACTAAAAATATTATTTTCATTTTTCCAAATATACACTTTTGTATCTTCACTTCCTGAAGCTAATAAATGATTATCATCTGATAAACTTATACTATTTACAGCAGCTATATGTTCAGATATAGTCTGAGATTCCTACCAAATTTGATTGCTATTTTTCCAAATAAATATTTTAGAATCATGTCCACATGATATTATTAAGTTATCATAATTACTAATAGCTAATCCTAAGACAGTTGAGGTGTGTTTATTCAATTATTTAATGCAGTCCCAATTTTAATTTTTGATTTCATATCTCCACAACCTCAATGTACTATCTAGACTTCCAGAGACAAAAAAATGCTCGTTCTTGCTATAACAGATTGCTGTAACTCTCTTAGAATGACCATATAAAATGGTTTCACTCTACAATTTACTGTCGCCAGATAAATTCAAAACCATTAAATTCTTATTTTAAATTTAATTATAATTTCCTCCTCCAATTACAATTTTAGAATTATCAAAACTAAAAGCAATTGCGTACACAGTGATATTAGTTTAAAATTAAGATAATTGTTCGAAATCCTTTTTTTAATCAGTACCACCTTTTTATACGGGTTATAATAATTATTATTCTTCCTATTTAGCTGCTTATTGGGGAATCACCTTAGCTATTTGAGGATTTGAATGCAAAATCTCATTAATTTATTGAAGTTTAATAGTTAGTTTTTGAAAATTATCTAATTAAGCTATTGCAAAACTTGGTACATTAGTAAGATTTGAATTCAGAGTTAATTCTACAATTTAAGACAATTCTTCTTGATTGTAATAAGTAGATTTTGATAGTTTCTAAATCTGTTCGAATTATGAATGTATTTTTTACCACTTTTCATGCTGATCTTAGATTGTTTTATGCATTTGTTGAAATGAATGTAATGCTAAATCTGATGATTGCACAATTTTTTACAAGACAACCATTATCTGTTGATTCTGAATTACTTTTGATTGCATAGATATCATTTATTTGAATTTCATCAATATTTCTTCTACGCTAATTGATTCCTTTTTAATACATTAGAGGCATTCTGTTTTCATGAATGCTTAAGTGTTCTTCTCTAAATTTATATATAGTTTGTCGAGATTATGAATTTGGCACTTCTCAATTTGATAAGACATTGCGAATCAATGATTTAAAAGGATATATTAATTAGAATTTTAAATTTTACTATACATTAATAAATTTCGATTATGTTCTTTCTCTGTATTGTTATATTTAAATATATAAAAGATGTAATAATCATTGCGATGGTTTAGTCTACAACTATAAGATCTTCTCAAATTGGGATTGTATTTTCTATTTTTCCTTTGTTTGCATAATTTATTTTCCAGATTTAGTAATGTTAGCTGTTTATTCGGAATTCTCATAAGTAGGTTTGTTTCCAAAGTTTTGCAAATCTGAAATAGTGAAATCTGTATATTGTTTGTTTCTAACTTTATCCTCTGTTTTCTTGAACTCCATATTGATGATATCAAATATCTGCTCTGTCTCTTCCTACTCATAATCCCACCAACCATCCAGCCAGCCCTTCGATTCTAATTCAGGATAGACGTAACCGTATTTTCTTTTCATCTCAACCATTCTTCTCGGAATCGCAACATTATGTATATACCAAAGTAAGACTAAAGCAAATCCCATCGGATAGATGAAAGTAAAAGTGAATTTTTTAGGAGTCATTCTGGGTGACCAAAGAATGGAATTTTTGTATTTTTCCATTTATTCAATTTAGTCTGCAACAGCCAATTCATAGGGTATTTTATATGGATTGGTCATTGAATTTCCTCCTTTGATTCTAAGTTTTGGATTCTTATTCATCACATGTAGCACAATGGCTTTCCTAGTCTAGTTTTAGATTGGACAATTACTTCGACAGGTAAATTAGCTTAATAATCATAAATAGTGGGAGTCTTGATGAGTACCTTTTTAGGATTTAATTTAAACATAATTATTATTAATTAAATATAATAGGAGGATGTAGAAGAGACAATTGGTAGAGGATTTCGCAGAATCTAAGTATTTTGACAATGATGATGAGAAATTGACAAATGAGCAAGTGAGGAAAAGAGAGATGGAGCAATTGAAAAAAGATGAAGTACAGAATGATGAATTGGACCCTTTGGACACTTATATGCAAGATATAGAGAAATAGTATTAATAGGATTTGGCTGAGCCAAAAAAGGTGAAAAAGTTTGAGGTTGAATAATTTGAGAATGAAGACCCAATCCTATCATAATATGAAATAATCAAATAAAATAAATTGAATTAATAAAGTAATCCTGTTTGTATATGATAAGAAAAATAAAAGCAGCAGAATGGAGAAAGTGAGGATTCAATGCCAAGTGATTTTGAAGTAGATGAAATAGATGAGGTTGAGAAAAAGAAAAAAAACATAGAACCCTTGCAACTACTTGATCATTCTTAAATCTAATATGAGGAATTCGAATCAAATTTCTATTAAGAACACGAAGAAATAGCCAATTTAAATGTAGCTCAAGTAGAAAAAATAAAGCGAGAATATTAAATCCATGTTAAAGGCAATAATGTACCAAAACCAATAATATCATTTGGTCATCTCTAATTGGATTAGAAACTAGTCAATAAGATAGTAGCTTAGAACTTTGAGAAACCAACTGCAATTCAAAGTTAGGCTTTGCCATGTGTATTGTCAGGAAGAAACGTTATTGGAGTAGCTAAAACAGGGTCTGGTAAAACTATAGCATATGTTTGGCCAATGCTTGTTCATGTGAGTGCACAAAGGGCAGTAGAGAAAAAAGAAGGTCCTATAGGATTAGTAGTAGTACCCACAAGAGAATTGGGATAGTAAGTCTATTTGGAAACTAAGAAATATGCTCAATTATTTCAAATCAGTGTCAGCGCTCTATTGGGAGGTGAAAATAAGCATCATTAATGGAAGGAATTGAGAGCAGGAGTGGATATCATCATAGCTACTCCTGGTAGATTGATTGAGATGGTAAAGAAGAAGGCGACGAATTTACAGAGATGCACCTACATTGTTTTGGATGAAGCTGATTAGATGTTTAGTTTAGGCTTTGAATATTAGATCAGATCAATTATAGGTCAAATAAGACCAGATAAATAAATATTGTTATTTACAGCAACGATGAAAAAGAAGATAAGATAGTTATGTGTAGATATGCTTATTGATCCTATTGTTATTACGATTGGTGAGAATGAAAATTAAGTAAATGAGGATATTAAATAATTACCAGTAATTGTCGATGATGACGAAGGAAGATTGAGGTGGCTATTGTAGAATTTGAAAACATATTTGTAAAATGGCAAAGTATTAATATTTGCAAATTAAATGGGATAATGTGAGTCATTGCTTTCAGAAATCAAATAAAAATTAGGCATTTAGGGACTCACTCTTTATGGTGATAAATTATAATACGAAAGAACTTTAATCATTAATCAATTCAAATAACATGTCCATTTGTTAATTGCTACAGACATAGCATCAAGGGGATTGGACATTAAGGAAATAAGAACAGTCATTAATTACTTTCCTCCTAAAGATGCAGATATATACATCCATAGAATTGGAAGAACAGGAAGAGCTGGAAATTGTGATGGCGTTGCGTATTCTTTGGTGCAGAAATAAGATTGGAAATTTGCAATTATGTTGGTTAGGAGTATCGAATTGGCAGGACAGATTGTACCTCAAGAACTTGAAGAAATTGCAAATCTGGATGATCATTTTAAAATGGATAGAATGAAAAAGAAGATGGGTTATGATTATGCTAGAGGTAAAGATGCTAGCAAGATTCTTCATTAGGCTCTTAAAAGGCAGACCAATTCAAAGGCTGGATTGGGATTTGATGAATAGGAACCTAAGAAATAGAAAAAGATATAATAATAATAATAGAATAATCCAGGCAATCTAGAGACTCCAGTGAAAATACTCCCTGTTGTTACCTTGGCTTAACCTACTAAGTCGATTGGACAATTTAGAAATAAATGGTAAGATTTCAACCCTTATGAAAATTACGACAATTATGCTGCCACTGTTGCTGTGCCTGGATAATTAGAGAGGGATTAAGTCATTTAACATTTTTAGGAATAAATGAGAGGGTAATTCAGAGCTGGATTCAAATCTGGAGGTGTTGCTTAGACCACGAATAAGAAACCCGTGGTTAAATTTTTGAATGATCCTAATAATTAGTCTAATTAGCAGCAGAAGAAATAATGAATTTCTTTATTTATATATATATGATCATAAAATATTTAGATGCCAACGTCTAGTTTTAGTTTATAATGTGAACATTTTGAAATAAATTAAAAAAGATTTTAATTTTTTCTTGAAACAATTATGGTAAAAACTATATCGATCTCAATTTTAGGCAAGAGGACCAAAGAAACACATGAAAAGAATCACAGCACCCAAAAGTTGGATGCTTTCAAAATTAGGAGGAAATTGGACCACAAGACCATCATAAGGACCTCATAAATTGAGAGAATCAATTCCACTTTCTGTCATATTGCAACATAAATTGAAATATGCCTTGTATGCTAGAGAATCTACCATGATACTTGCTGATAAGGACGGCAACATTAAGGTTGATGGAAAAGTGAGAACTGATAGTGGATATCCAGTCGGATTATAGGGTATCTACTTATCATATCTTCCTTATAGATGTCATCACAATTGATAAAACAAGAGAAAGTTATAGAGTTTTATATGATGTTCAAGGCAAATTCATCTTAAAATCCATCAAACCAGAAGAAGCTAAATTCAAACTTGTCAAAGTCACCTAAAAGAAGGTTGGTCCAAACAATGTTCCATACATTGTCACCAATGATGCCAGAACCATCAGATATCCAAATCCAGATATCCATGTTAATGACACTCTTAAAATCGATTTAGAATCAGGAAAGGTTGTTGAATTCCTCAAAGAAGAACCAGGTATTACAAAATTACTATTCATTTTAGGAAATTTATGTTACATCATTGGAGGTAACAATATTGGAAGAGTTGGACTCATTCAACACAGAGAAAGACATCTTGGATCATTTGATATTGTCCATGTTAAAGTAATCATTCATTTCCACATATCCCTAGGATTCTAACGGAAAACACTTCTCCACCAGAATCAACAATATCTTCACTATTGGTAAAGGCAAAAAGTCATTGATCTCCCTCCCAGACGATAATGGTTTGTATTTGACCGCACTTGAAAAAAAATAAGCCAAAGATCACTAGGAAGTTGAAAAGTAATGATGATTCATTAAAACATATCAGTATAGTACAAAATTATATATCTAATCATTCATTTTTACTTCTTAATTCTATTCTCTTGATATAAATTATCAAAATCTATTTATGGGTTAAAAGTTATTCATCAAAAATATTCTATATCATGAATAATAATCATCATTATCAGATATTTCAAAGTAGCTATCTTATTTATTTTAAAATAATGTTTGATCTATATTAATTTCAAATTATTTGATTATTCTATTCTTTTTACTAATAACACTTTCTCATACCCTAAAATTACATCTATCTAAGTTACTTATAAATTAGCGTGAATATTATATTACAATTTTAAATAGGCCGAAGATAATGCGAGTCTTATCATTTGAATAAAATTTATTGTCTTCTCTGTTAAATTTATAATTTTGATTTAATTCTCTTTATCTGGAATGTCGATAAGTAAAAGTGCTAATATCATAATAAACCTAATTAATAACCTATTAATTGAATTTTATATATTAAATTCTTATTTTTGAAGGGATTTTATTGGATATAGTTTAACTATTGAATTTACTCAAATATATATCCTTTGAATCTCAAGAAGAATTTGAAAATATCTCTAAGATATTCCAAAATTACTGTCTTTATCATAGTGAGAAACAGGTTTTTATACCTCTTTAGTAATTGGAAATTCAAGGGAAAATAAATATATTTGCTTTATGAAAAATTATTGTTAAAATTAATTAATACATATTAAATCATTTCCTAGATCTTATCCAAAGTGTTGCTCCTAATATTATAAATATTGAAAATTCCGAAAATAAGAAATGACAGTAAGTTTCGATAAATCTTAATAATACAAATAATTAATACTATTCTTGGTAGCATAAATAAAAAAAGAAACATAGTAGACAAAACTGACCCATAAGCAATGTAAACATAATCCATTTCTAATTAATAATCCTTTTAAAGGTTTCATTTCCATTACTATAATATTTTGAGCATTCCAAATTCAATTTTGATATTTAGTACAGTTCAATAATACCCAAATATAAGAATATTAGACTTCCATTAAATAGCACTAGTCTAAATAATTTAATTTACTATAATTACTTCACAAGTACTAAAACTACTGTCATAAAACTTTCTAGCAATCTCAATGAATATACTATATTTATAAACATCAACACTAGTAAAGATATCTTAATAAAGATGTTCGAATAGCACTTTAATTTGTTATGTTCTTTGAAATTCTATGTACAAATCCAACAGAATTCATATTAACATTTACAGGTCATATGATTACATCCTCCATTTTTAAAAATCCTTCTTTAACATTTTGGACAATCCTTTATAGTGATAAAATTCAAAAATATGCTCCTTAAATTCCACTTTTCATCTTTTATCTTGAATTGATATCCACATTCGCATTCAAAGTGTTAACAATTGTGCTTTATTATTCCGCCATACTAGCAATCATTTTTGGGACATAACCTAATGTCTTAAGTAGTTTTTATATATTTTTCTAGTAAAAGATCATTCAACCCCCCCAAATTGGACATTAATCCTTATACTGAATGTTTACTTTGACATGAACCTGGACAATGAATTTCCTCAATTACTTCATAATATTTTGCATCAATTGATTTTAACATACAGCATGAACAGATTTGACAACTGCATTGCAATTCTAAAAGTTCTGTTGTTTCACAACAAATAGAGCATTCCATTTATTCAGAATAAACCAGAATATATAAAATATAAATTTTTTGAGTATTAAAATTGAATTAAATATTAATATATTTTTTCTTAAATTTATAAATATTACTTTTTATAATGTATAATTATCATTTTTAAGGACTGAATTTTAGACATTTGTAATTTTATTTAAGACCCATTTGAGTTTCAATTCTTTTTCAATTAAATCTCTTAGAATAAAGTTATTATGCTATGATTCTTATAAATCAGTAATTATTTTTGCGATCATAAGATGAAAAGAAATAGCTGTTCTCTCTATTGTGATACCTAATGAATCTTTAAACGCTTTTCGAATTAATATATAATAACAGTTGTATTAGAAACAAACAATTACTTTTACAGCATTAGAAATCAAAAAATATAAAATATTAATAGATCAGAATGTCGATAAACAAGTAACTTCTAATTTAGCATATGATTACCAAAAAAATAATTGATTATTAAAATCAATTTAAAATATCTAATAATTATTGATATCTTTAATTCTTATTTGTTAATCTGAATTACGGAAAGATTTATAAATATAAATAAAATCATTCTTTCATATATTAATATTCATCTTTAATAGCCTTTGATTTGTTCCTTTTTGGATTATATAATACATAGTGCTAGAACATGAAGATTAAATCGAAACCCAAAACTATCCAACTCAAAATAAACTTAACAATGTTCATGTCAACTAAATTAGCACTTTCTTACTAACATAAAAATATATATACTTCCATTGATTTGATCTATCAGCATTTGTAAAAAGGATAAAATACCTCCAATAAAGGCTAATAGTATGTTGAATATACTCCAGCCAACTGTTGACTTACGTTTATAATTCAAATACACCTAAGGAATATTTTTTATGAGAGTAACAAATAATTTCTCATATCCCATCCAATATAGGACATTTAATTTTTCTTAAGTAAATATCACTTCCCAACCAAAAATGCATGTCAGAATTATATACAATATCGCCTATGCCCATAGAATTATCAAAACAATTATACACCATAAGCTTACTCCTGGGTTATCTTCTTTTTTATAATAATAAGCTGTTTGGAGTATAGTCAGGATTGTGATTACCACTGAATGAAGTGCAAAAATAAGATCCTATAAAGTAATGTTTCCAGTGAATGGCCAACCGTTCTCCCCTCCTTTTAAATAACCAGACAAACTGTAAGCACTTAAAAATAAATATCCAGTTAAGTTAAGTGCTAAAAATTCAAACGCAATTCCCTTTACGCTTTAAATTTACACAATAACTTACTTCTTCCACTTTGGTGAATTTTCCAAAATAACTTTATCCATTAAAAACTTAAAAGACCAACCAGAACTATATAGCCACCAACCTTATCACATTACTTAAGAATATCCAAGGGCCTTTACTATTAGGCTCTTGCGAAGTTATATCTGGTAAGCTCAGGATTCCAATGAATTTATAAAGATAACCATTTGATTAGAAATAAATTTTATAATTGAATCAATTATATATGTAAATATTTTAATTGAAGTTCTAGCTTATAATTTTTGAAAATAATTGTAATTTTAATTTTAAAATAATTGATTATCTTGCCTGTTTCATTTTAGTTTGGACAAACTAATATTTTATTAGATAATAAAATATTAAAAAGTCACTACTTTGTTTCTTACCATTTTAATAAAAACAAATTTTTACAATCATTTAGTATTTTAAAATAGTTATTTTCATTATTGATTAAATTAATTTAGACATTTTAACTGATTGAAGCAATTTAATATCATTAATAAAGAACACATTAAATCAAGAATGGTTTTGAAGTAATCAATTAATGTAATTTGTCAAGATACTAAATTTAAAAAATCAAACAGATTTATCAATATCAATTATTCTAGAAAAAATTAAGAAACCTTTTATAAATATAATAATGATAAATTAATTATAAAGCAGCGATTTATAATCTTAAGACAATATTAAAATTTAATGAAATTCATACCCTTGACTTAACACTATTAAACTATAGCGCTTATTTATGAGAAATGTGCTGATATATCAAAATAAATTGATTCTCTTTCATAATAAAAAAGATTGAATGTTTAGATAGAAAACGAAGAAACAATATCATAGATTAGGACTAATTCTTAAGTTCTGGAATAAGAGAATATAAAAAAACACTGGAATAATTTACTTTAGGAGTAAATTAATCAGAAAAACGAAAAATAAATAATGAAAAAACATCATAAAAAATAACTAAATAAGAAAAAATCCAAAATATTTGGAAAAACTATCGGGAAAGGACAGTTAAAATAAAAAGTTTAAGCAACTTGCAATCATTGTAATAAAATTTTTGAAACATAGAAACTTTATTAAAGACATCAATATTAATTAATGTATAGAAAAAAATTACAGAATAGGAAGTTGATTAAATTAAAAACAGATACTAATTAAATTGAGGATAAAGAATAAAATGAAAATAAAATAAGCTTAAACCCAAAAGGCATCATAAATCATATTGATTCAATAGAAATTTGTATATGAAATGAAGTTACATTTTTAATCCTAACTAATCTATAATTCTAAATTTTCTATTAATTTTAATTACACAAAAATATTTAATTGAAATTATATTGTTCTGTTTTTGAAATCAGACTCACAAATAAGTCAAATAGCAGTAAATATCAAAAGATATCAATATTGCTAGACATTACAAATAAATAAAAGAAATTCTAACTTTTCTTCCAAATTTATTTACTAAGTAGCTTCTATAGAAAATAAATTATATTTAATATATAAATTTGTATTTCATTTTAAATAATCTGATCAGAATTATGTGCTAATTGATTATTTATACCACTTAATTCTTATAAAGTATTATCCAAAATTTGTTCATGATTAGTTTCAAACAGCGCTAATTATTTTTTCAACTACTAGAGCCTATATATTAAATATTACGTCTATAAATATTATTCTATTCAATTTTAATTGTTTTTGCAACAAACTAATTATCGAAGATTTATAAACACTAATACTAATATAAAATTAAGTTAAAATTGTATCAATTCTCTTAAAATTTCCTTATTTATATTTCCTGTGAATCACAATCCCATGTTATCAAGTATTCTTGATCTTAACTCAATGCTCCCCAAATATGCCCATAAGTATTACTTCCAAAATCTATGACTTATTCTAAAAGAAATTAAGATTTATTTTGGTCATTTACTGGAAGTTCTTTATAGAATCGTATTATGTTTATCGCATATCCATTTTTAATGATCAAAAGCTATTTGCTAGAATGATAAATAGATGGAAATAAAAAATCGCAAGATTATCCACCACCTGCAACTTCAAGTCATCCTGTTTTACAATACAATCCATTTTCATCTTTTGAGTAGATGTGCATATGATTTTATGAATCCTATTAAAATGTGAATATACTATCATCAATAGAACATATTCGATAACCTTACTAATCGACTTTTATTTTCTAGACTACCTGCCAAGGAAAATAATTTTTATTGCTTACTGGTTCCATAATCAAGATTTGCAAGTCCTCCGAACAAGATAGCAATTGATTACCTGTTTTACTTATTGATAATCCTTTCACATCATTTTTATGCTCTTTTATTATTTAACAACAACACCAACTCTGCATATTTTGCCATACTCTTATTTGACTATCATTCGAACTTGAAAATAGAACATCTTAATCAACAGGGTGAATAATTAAATTTGAAATCCAACTAGTATGCCCATATAATTATTAAATATATTTGGCTGAAGAGAATAAAGTAGTTGAAGAAATGCGAATGGTTGAATCAATTGCACCAGTTATAAACAAGGAAGATTTTTCAAATAAACTAATTGCTGTGCCATCTTTTCTAAACATATTTAAATGTTGAAACTGCTTAAGCTTTCCCAATTTAAGTTAATAAACTTTTATAGCCTTGTCAGCAGTAGCCAAAACCAGTAAATTATCCTTACTTATTGCTATTGCACTACTGTATTCGTTTTATTTGATAGTACTTTCTCTGATTATTTCATAAGAAAAGGGTTTTCTAACCTATTACATATTAATGTCAGACATATAAAATTAATTTATATTAATTTTTGATATTCGATTTCTAATGTATCTGTGTTAGAAGGTAAATTCATTAATGAAATTTCATCTCCATACTAAATTGGCAATTAGTAGAAGGATGAAAAATTAATTCCAATTAACTAAATCATCATATAAACCAATATAAATGCATTAGAGCAAAATATAAAATAATAAAAATTGTATATTTATAGATTATTCAGAGGGAGAATTTAGAATTATTACCTCACTTGGCTTATTTAAGTGAAATTTATAATCATAAATTTCATTATATATTGATGACTCTGAGATAATTCCTTAAACTGATAAACCAGGTCGTTTAACTATTTTAAACTTAGATGAATACAATAACCTGTTACTTATCAACAGAATGGGTTTTATACACTCTTAATTTGAGTTTATCTTTCTATATTTTCAAATATACAAAAACCAAAAATACCATTATTGCATTTATCTACCTATAATTTAAATTATGATTCATATCTTAATTCTCTAATAAGTATCACTAATGTTAGAAATCTTATCTGGCTCGATGTTTTTATTAAGCTAACTTACGTGAGAAATATTAAGAGAATAAGCTTTTAAAAAATTAATTAAAAAGTTACCGTTTTGAAATCCTTGAAATTATCTTATACCAAAAACGATAATCTAATAAAAAAATAATAATCTTACGCAGTTATTAAAGAGTATTGTTAAAGTTTATTCCCACTCTTTTTACAATATTGCTGTTCTAGATTAGTATTTTTTTCAGCCTTTTTTAATACATCATATATTTATTCATATATATATTAAATTTTTAACAATTGGGATATTCAATTAGATTTTATTGAAACTTTGTTAGAAGAACTTAGATATCTTGGTGTTTTATGCGAATTTAGTGATTTTTCTATATATCACAATATTTATGATAGTAGAGTAAAGGGTTGCCATAATTCTAGAAACATTTATTGATTAAAAGAAATTTAGAGCTTTAATACTCAGTTAAATTTTGGTTAATTCTTTATGCTTGTATAATAATTATTAAGCATTTGATATTTTACTTAATTAAATAATATTAAATTTTATAATTTAATTAAGTTAGATGAAAAATGAGCATTATTAAACCAATTAACTTATTTTCTAATTATTCAATGTTTGATGTTAATATAATATCTAAAAAAATAATAGTTGTTTTGTCATGCTTAAGGATAAGAATGATAGATAATAATCTTAAGAATAATCAAAGGAAACGTAATTCACTTATGAATTGCTTCCTCAAATTTACATTCAAAAAAAAATGTGTTGGGCAATTGCCTTTGATTATCATACAAAATTTTTAATAACGGGAGCTGAATCCAACATCATAACTATGCAATTCAAAAGTGGGGCATTAAAAAGGATTCAAATTATTTAAAAACATGAATCCTGGATAACTACCCTTAATTTCTTCAGATAAATGCCATTATTTATATCTGGATCATCTTGCATTAAAATATGGTCTTAAAACTAGTAAGCCAATCCAAAGTTTCTAATGAAATTATCAGAGCACATTTCAAATATTCAATGTTTAGTACTTCGTAATTTAAACCCGTTGGTTATAATTAGTGGTTCTAAAGACAAGAATATAAAATTTTGGTATTAATAGGAAGCGCAGTGGATTTGTAAATAAACAATTAGAGAGCATTCAAATACAGTTTGTGGGTTGTCTTTAAATTAAGAAGGCAACACTTTAATTTCTTGTGGAGAGGATGATGTTATCAACATTATAAAATGTTAGGATGATCATCAATGGAAGGTTGTTTAAAAATTGGAAGGATAGGGTGTTAGATTGTCATTTATATCTAAGGACATATTTGTATTTTAACCATGGTAAGGTAGTAAACTTGAACTCTATACATATTCAACATAGAGTGGATTATATTATAAATATCAGGAATTACCAATTTAATGATGTAGATAATTCTGTGCTAATTTATTTCCATGCTTCTTTGTTTCTTCAAAGAACATTTTATTATCCAAAAATGGTTATAATTTGAATTTTATCAAATTCAAAACCAATTCTTAATTGTTTGAGGGTAAATTAGAGTAAGCTATCGATTTCAATTATCCTAATAATTGGTTGGGGAATATCTTTGGCACTATGAGCGAAGGAGGAGACTTTTTGATTACATGGGACAGCAAAACGAAACAAATATAAATTCGGGAATATAAAGAGTTTTAATAATAAAACAAAACATCAAGTTAAAAAAATTGTTAGATTTTTTGATTATATTTCTTATTAATAAAAAATAATTAACTTTTATTATAAATTATTAGTTATTCTTTGAAGTTGAAGCAAAGATATTCCTTTAGATTATATTGTAAAGTGCTTACCTAAATATCAGAGATTAAGAAGCTAGAGAATATGATTATAACAATTAAGGTAATTAAAGGCTCTTTTAACTCTAAATAAACATTATAAATATTTGAATTATGATTTAGCTAAGATAATGGGAAGATGAAAATTAAAATTTTCAAAGAAGAAACGTTTGGCCAAATCAATTATTAAGAATCAAAGACCTACCACCTTAATAGAATAGTAGAAATCTAGAAAGCCATTTCTATTGAAATGATTTTTAAAGGATATTTTCTTCGTCTATTTTAGATCCTTTCATCCTTTCAACTCAATCTAACTTTAATTAAACCAATAGTTATTTCTCTTTGACTGTAGAAAAGAATTTTTGATTTACTTCTCTAAATTTTCCATAATCAAATTCTTATTTAAATTTCTTATACTAATTTTTCTACATCTTTGATATTTATCATTAAACAAGTTTATTTGTGATTAATGAATAAAGAGTTTCCTATCTTATTGCGTTGTTTATCTATTTAATTTAATAAGAGTGAATTTAAATTAAATTAAATTGAACATTATTCTGAGATATTAGTCTAAAAATTCACACACATTTGCAAATTCACAAAAGAGATTATTCTAAGTAACATGAATATCAAAATCTCTAAATAAATTAGGTGATTAATTTATCAATTCTGCTTTTATTTAGAAGTGAAAATGAAGATTTTAGACTACTTTGAGTGAGAAATATGGATAAAAGTTATAAAAAATTAAATCCTTAAAATTTTACCCTCTAAAATGATTCTTGTACCTTTAGATTATAAATTTGGCTGAGACAGTAGTATGCCTTAAATGGGTTTAGGATTTTTCTAATTCAACAAACTTTTATGAATCACCATTGTTTTTAGTTTCAAAATATTTATTTAATAGACTATCATTACTAATACTTATTTAAAATTCAGAACAGCAAATAATTTTTATATAAAAAGTACATGATTTCAGATAATATATAAATTGCATTGATAAATTTATTATTATAAAATATTTTATTTCAACTAAAGAAATGGGAGTTTTTTAGAAATTTTTCAAATTAATTATTATATAATTGAACAACAACTACATTTTAGATTTAAATATTTCTTAGAAATAGGATGAATTAATGATTCAATTTAAAATATCCTAATATTATATAATCTTTTGCCCCAAGATTAAAAAGATTATTAACCAGAGCCTTTGACCACTGTCAATATTATTTTTTCATGTAATATCTTGTATAAATTTAATATTTTAGATACTTCTTGTAAAAAAAAGTATTTAATATTAACAATAATGTTAATAATTATGACTTTACTCTATGTTACTAATGAACCTATTGTATATTCCATTAACATAAATTTTTAATAGAAAGATAGTAAATTTTGATCATATCTATGCATTAGATTGGTAAAGTAAGGCAAGATTCTTGGATTGTGGATATATTAAATATTTTGGATATTTAGGGTCTCACAATAGTATAGCTTTTGGAGGAATAACATCATTTTAATTAAGCACCATTAAATGTTAGTCTGGATGTGAAGCATGAGTAGATAATTATATGAAAAGCTGTTAAGAATGGAAACAATTTAATTATTCTTTAGATAAGAAATCAAATTACTTTTCTGAAGGGTGGACATTTACATATACTACCGATCCTTAATGTGGTAATTACAAATTTTTTATTGTTCAACTCAATTAGCTATTATCGATAACTCCCTCCTCATTAACATTTATTAAACAGGTTCTATAAACAGAACGGTGTTTAAGTAATTATAGACTATGGGTAATAGATAACTACTAATGAATACAATTAAAATAAATTTGATAAATAAGTCCTTCATTTTAAGCGTAAGACACATCAACAGAGATATTAATAAGTAATCATCCTGATCCAATATTAAGGCTAGATATAAAGACTCTAAATGCCCTTGATAACTGCTAATTAAGGGATTTCGAACTTTTTTATTGTCCAATTAAATAACACCTTATCAAATGAATGCAAAATAATTATTATCATTCATTTCATTTTAAGAATTTTGAATGCATTAAAATCTGAAGGATGAATAATAATTATTAAGCAATATTCAAAATTTTTACGTAAAGGGCAAAGAAAAACTGGAGAGCATTTTGTGAGATACAAAATCAGTAAGAAATTGAAGATGATCATTTTCAAATTCTTTTCTCATTTTTAGTCAATGAGTTGATAATTCTTCATAAAGCAATTCTTCCTTGAAGACAACAATTTCATCTTAATATTCCAATCATAAACATAGAAGCTCTTAAATAATTATTTCTTAGATCTTCCGACCAATAATTATCTCTCTCCCAAAATTTTTAATTTATAGTTTATTAATTAAAATGGAAATAATGTGTTCAGGTACTAGAATAGTGTATTTACCTGTCACTATGGATTAAATTCGAATCGTTGCTTATTAAAAATAAAATGATGACTTTGACATGATAAATATTGTTCTGTTAATATATTATTCAAAATTCTACTAAATTACAATATTATAATATAATTATATAGTTAGACTGATAATCACACCCTGACCTATTTTTCTGCATAGAATTTTACAAAATCAATTTAAAATTCTAGCAAAGAGTTTGAGGAATATAATTCTATAATTAATACATAATTTTAATTCTATAAATTGGGATTATTAAGCAAATCTGAAGTTTATTTTCAATTAATATTAAAAATAATATTTTTTTATGGAAAGCTAATTGAGCAATCAACTTCAACGTTAGATTGAAACAGAGATAATAAAAATAATAGATAAATGTCAAGGACTTTTATCTACTTTTAGTGATACTACAAAAAAGAATATAGAAATTGTTTTATTTGTAGGATAAACAGGAGCAGGAAAGAGCACTTTATTCAACTTCCTTTGCGGAGCAGAGTTCAAAATTCAAGAGAGAGTATTAAAATTAAGAAATCCTTCTAATAAATTTTCAGAGATGAAAGGTGGAATGAATTCTGTTTCAAAAGAGCCCAATTATTATTTTAATTCAGAATATAATCATTTATTAATTGACTTCCCTGGTTTTTAAGATACAAATGGTAAATTAGATCAACTGTTAATTGAATTAATATTTTAAAAGGTAGTCACTTAACTACCTATTAAAGTGATATATGTTATAAAGAATAATGAAAGCACTCTGCCTAATAGAGGAATGTAAATAATAGAATTTATAGATTAATTATTTAAAAATAGTAATTTAGATATTAATAAGTTTAATTTATTATTAAATTGTTATTTAGAAGATTTGTCAAATTTTGAATTGAAAAGAAATATAAGAAGAGAATTAAAAATCAAAAGGAAAAAATTTAAAGGGAATCTCAAATTGCAATTCTTTCATCTTAAAAGGAATAATTAAAATAAGAAGTGAATAAGTAAGGGTAGCAGACTTAAAATTTATAAATCTAAATAAATAGATAAAAATAAGATAGTATACGCCTATAAAAATAAACTCGTGATTAATACTATGTACAAATGAAGTTATAAAAAAAAGTGAAAAGATAAGAAGATCATTATTACCACCTACAAAATGAATTGAGAGAGATTGAAATTCGAAATTAAATTAAAGATTTTGTAAATCTCTTGTGGTTGATGGATACCATATTTGATTTTTGAAAAGATAATCTATATTAAATATTTATAATTATGAGATTTATTCCCTTAACTATTAGCTTACATTTAAATTATTGAAATTGAAATAAGTGATCTGAATATCTTTAAAGTTTTATAGAAGGACTCATCTGGTACAGATCTAACTTAGCCTCAAAGTTATTATTTTCTATTGATTGGATTATCTAATTCCATCATATCTATGAGGAGTTCATTCATCATTTCTGTTTCTTCATGAACTTCAAAATAAATTAGACAATTGATCTTGTTTGATTATTTTATTTAAGGTCTCTCCAAATTTGATGCAATTAATAGTTAATTTGATTTGGTTCTCAACTAAATCAGTCTTCCCAGTATTTTTTGCTTGTTGAAGCTTAACAATAATTAGAAACAGAAACTCTTAATATGCACATAAAGCGAAAATCCCTTAGTATATATTTTAATATAATTGAATAATAACTTATTAAGTTTTAAAAAATATCGAAATCTCATCGAGAATCATTTAATATCACATAAACTTAAATACTCTGCACATCTTGATTGAGCAGGAATCCATCTGCAATTCTCATTAGGAATGCTAAAACAAGCTCCTTTATTTAACCCATTTGTTTCCTTACCACATTTACAAGTACCCTCTTAGCGAGTCCGCTTCTTTTGTTAATACTGATGGATCTTTATTAGGCTGAATAATAATAATTTAATATTACATAATTCGTGAGAATGCTCGCATAAACATTAACTCGATCTAGAATTCCAAGTAAATTACTCCCCTAAAGTTTCGATAGAAATACAAAAATTTTGTGTTGGAGAACTTGCCATACATTTGGTTGTATTTAGTAGTAGATTTGAAGTAGCCTACACAATTTGATCTGATGATTCTCTCTAGGGAACTAATACACAAACATTGTTGATTTTATCAAAATAACACCCTTCAGTATTTCTTGTAATCTAAGACCAATCAAACGAGTTCAAGCCGAAAGTATTACAATAATCTCCCGTGTAAGTAGAATTTATACTGTTCACACACCCATAAAAATCAAAACTATATTTACAAACATTTTTGCTAAAAGTTACAAAGACTACAAGTTCCTGGATTAACATATTTGAGTTCAATACATGAAATTTAAGCTATTTATTCTTTACTTCTAATGTTTGTACATTAACCTCTAAACCATCTACATCTCTATCCAACCTTTGTAATCATAGTACACCCATATTTGTTTAACCCCTGTTGCAAACATTCAATTTCAGTTAAATTCTCCTTAATTATAATTTCCCATAATTGCTTATTGCTGTTAAAATAACATTCTATAGCCTTGTTATTTACAAACTCAGAAATCGAAGAGCATGCCGATGGATTTGAATATTTTAATTCTGTGCATTTAGTGACTTAATCAATCACTTCTACTATTTCACATTTGTTAATTTCTTCCCTCCAACGACAAGACGTAGCTTGTGTGATTTAGACACATCCTGTTAAATTCAGATAAGGAGAAGTACAGATCTCTTATCCAATACTTCTTTCACAGAGTTTAGTTGTTAAGTTATATTTACCTCTTAAATTCTATTTTGAAATCGCTTAACAAACGTTTCCATTTACTTAATAATACTATCCATTTTCCTTAGGCAGAGGGCAATCTAAATCATAGTGTAAATTATACTATTTGATTATACAAGCTTCTTCAGTTATTGAATCATTACAACCTAAATTATTTAATTGATCATCTCCCAGTTCAGAACAACCTTCTTTGCTAAAATAAATACTAAATAATCATTTGTTGGTACAATAATAATGAAATATTTTTATAATTGTTCATTTATCAATTATTATTATGATCGAAAGCAATAACATTGCAAATAATTAACTCTATAAATAAATTTTTAATTCTTTATACTTCAACAACTAACTTCATTAAGACAATTTGTTGTGCAAGTTTTGCTTTAAATTTGAATTCGGAGATAAACATTAATGATTTATTTCGTCATAGTAACAGTACATCGGCATAACTCTGCAAACACTGGGGTTATGTTTTTCAACATTTCACTTAATTCAAATTAGGAACGCATCCTAAGTTTGTACGCTTTGTTTCCACATATGCATTTTTAAAATAATTGAATGAACCTAGTTTTTTGACTTAAAATCCCTTTAGTTTTTAGAACAAAAGCTTCTTGATCCAAAGGGTAATGGTTACAATGCATTCCAAATGCGTTTGTTTTTATGATGACTTATATCCACAACTAATATTTCATATGATTATTTATTTTTTTTAACATTTATTTAAAATCTAAAAAAATTTGTAATTGGATATTTCAAACTCCAAAAGAAGTACAAAATGAAAAATCAAGAACATTCTAAATTTATTAATTATAATTAAATTTTTGAATTAATTTACACAGTTCTATCATAAATACTGTAATATACAAGGCAATTAAAAAAATGATCACTTAAATCTTTTAATCACTATTAAACATAAGAATATGTTTACATTCATGATTTTGGATGTAAATTGAATCTTTCAGTTTATATAATTTAAAGTCAAATATATTTTAAAATTAAACTAATATAATTAGTAAATTAAGTTGATGAAATTAATATTATATCTAATACATTTATTAAAATTAAAACTCTATACAAATTCAATGAATTAGAATATATATCTCTTTTGCATATTATTCCTAACGGGATAGATTAGAAACGAAACTAAAACTAAGAATAAGCATCATCTAAGTTTTACACTTTCCATAATTACACAAATTAATGATAATTTATAAAGAGTATGATGAATCTATATATCATTCTCAATTATAACAATTGAATAAGTAATACCTACCCAGCCACTCCAAAGAAGAAATATAAAGGTAAGGTCATATTCAATTAACTTCTTAATTATTGACTGATGTTACTTGTTCCTATTGAAAAATGTTGAATATCCTTTCCCATAACAATATTACACAAATAGTAATTAAAAAGCATAAAAATTGCCCAAAAAATAGAATATTAAAAGTATTAAAGTTATCATTATTTGCAAGTATGATAATGATAGTGTAGTAATTTTTTCGACTTATAATTAGTATTTTGATATTCTCTCCAAATTATCTGGAGTATACTTGCAAAAGCAACTAACCAATTACACTTTTTATGCTGATTATAATTTTCGAATTCCATAATATGAAACTGGAAATAAAGCGTTTATATCCTACAAAACCAGCATTATTTTGGAAATACTCCTTAAATTTGTATTCAATTATCAATACTTGATATAGTCGAGAGGAACACTAAATAGATATTGAAATGTTGAGTTTATAGTTACAAAAGGTAAACATATCATCCAATAATTTAATTCTATGGAAAATAATGATAACCTCCAAATTTGTGGTAGTTTCTGCAATAGTTTGATAATTAGAATATCTACGATTCAATATTACTCATCAATCTTGTTCAACAACTTTACATTGACTTTAATTTGATCTCAATCACCCATTTGTTTATGAAAATAAACATATAATCTCTATATTTATATCGACTCTTCAAGTGTGTCTGATAGCCACACTAATTCCTCTATTTGGGAGGTTATAATTGGGATTATAGAAGCAATTGAAGATTAATTTTCATGGGTGTTTCATGAACTAAGTTACACTTGCAAAATTCTAATACAGTGATATCTGATCCTAGAGGGGATTATAGCATAGTCTATCGTGTTCCCATCAGGCAGGTAGTTATTAATTTGATTCAAATAATAAAGTATATGAGATTTTTAAGGTGATACTTTAAAATTTGGTAAAATTTACTGATTAATATATAATGTTTTTAAAATGTTGAATTTATAAAGATAAATACAATATATTTGAATTTTGGATCCTAAACACCTTAACTATATTTTGATTTAATAAAATTGCTTTGGTGCTTTTAATGCATAAAGCTTAAGCCAAGAAATATGTGAATGGTTTGATATTCTTTAATAAAAATGCAAGTAATTTTTTGGAATGAATTTTACTTCAAACTCTCCTTTCGAATCAATACATTATCTGCCTTATTGTATTGGTAATTATGGATATAGGCTATTATTATGGGGACACAACTGATGAAGGTAATGCAAGAATAGCATGCAGTTCAATATTTATTCAATAAATTTGTAGTTATTCTGCAAATATTTCATGACAACCACTTACCTGCTCACATGTTACAACTCTCGCATTCTAGAAATTAGGTGACATCAATTGAAGCGGATATAATTTTTTCATTTTTTATAGATTCCAATTATTCTTTAAATATGCTATTAAAAAATTCTTAAAATTTAATATGCCTGAATAATGTGCTTGTTGTTCTAGAATGATAATTAGGCAAATCCTTATAGTCTTTGTCTACTACTTAGACAACCCTACTTCTGATTCCTCATATAAAATTTCTATTTTGAAGATAAACGTAGCTCTTAAGATATTGCCAAATTAATATGATTATTTTCACCATAGCGAATGGCACTCTTCCAATGAAAGTGATTGATATAATCAATTGATTTTTCAATTCAAACCAAAAAATGCAAAAATAGAAATGTAATCATTTCCCTTAGGTATCTAATTATTTTAATTTTGGAAAAACCAAAATAATAAGTATCTCAAATTAATAATAAAATGAAGCCATCAAAAGTTGCTATTGGCTAAGCCATTTAATTTGGAATTGAAGTTTTAAAAAAAGGTTGAGAAAGAATTATTATTTTTGGAGAAGATATTTTGACGTATCATAGAGTTAGAGAAAACAATTTTTCAACAAATCAAACCAATTGTAAGGAATAGATTGTAAATTAAACAAATAGATTCGATTACTCATGTTCCATCCTTATTTACTACCGATAGAATTATTTTTAGGTTTGTATACTGTAATTATTAGTTTATATTATGTATAGATTAAGTTATAATAAAATAAATTATAAAACTCATTAAAATATCTAAAAAATTTTTTTTTGATTGCATTTAATTAGGTTCTAATATAATTAATGTAAAACATTTAATTCTGCATGAGAATAACTCTTTTAAAAATATATAAAATTGATTTTAAGGATGTTTATTAGGTAATTTAGTAATTTAAAAAGTTACGCTTGAATTAACAAACGATTTTGAAATTCTACTAAAACTCCACACTTTAAGTTGGCTTGATAATTAAACACTTTGCTAATAAGATTCCAAATAATTTATAAGATTAATTATACGAGAACTGAAAAGAGAGCTGAAATTGTAGAATTGGAGGGTAACTATTTTAATTACATAAACTATTGAAAAGGCGTAAATTTAGCCTAAAATAATGTTAATGTTTTCTCTTTAATTTAAGAATGTTTGTTGAATAACAATTCACATATCAAAAATCTTAGAAATAATCTTGATTTGTAACAAATTTTGATATGGTCTAATTTCTTGAATCATATTTTTTTTAAAAAAGAGTGGAAGGAAATGTCAAATTGATTTGATGGCATTCTAATTTAAATAATTCATGTTTATAAAATGCTTTTGTTTTTACTAAAGAAAATAATTATCTGTAGGAAATTTTAAATATAAGAAACAAGATTTCCAATAATGAATAAAAATTAGATAGATAATTTAATGTTTTACCCATATTAGAAATTAGTTGTTAACTAAAAGTGAGGTCAAATGAATAAAATTATAAAATCATGATCTCAAATGTTTTATGATTTACATATTGATAATATAATTCATAAAGAAGTGGTGATTAGAATTTCTAAAGCCTTTAATACTGCAAATAATATCATTTCTAAAAATAATGAATAAATTAATAGACCTTCGGTATAACAATAGTCAAAATTTTTTGGATTGTGTTTTATTGCTAAATTCTAATTTTCCAAAGATTCTCCAAATCTGTTCATTTTTATTAGAGTAAAATCTAAAAAATATCGTCGATTTTAATTGTACCTTTTAGAAAACAAGATCCAAAATCTATTGGATTTCTGAATAATGCTAAATCACAATTATCCAAAGCTTCTTCAAATCTGTTCATTTTTAGTAAAATAAAAGCTAAAATATCATCCATTATAATTAAACCTTTTACAGAAAAATATAAATTAACTTCTGGATTTTTTTCTATTGCTAAATTAGAATTTTCTAAAGCTTCTTCAAATCTGTTCATTTTATATAGAATAATAGCTAAAATATCAACAATTTTTAATTGAACCTTTATGACAATAATACCCTGAATCTTCTGGATTTTTTTCTATTGCTAAATTTTAAATTTCCAAAGCCTCTTCTTGTCTGTTCATTTTCTGTAAAGTCTCAGCTAAAATATCATCCATATTTACTTAAACCTTTATTATTAAAATATCTTGAATCTTCTGGATTTTTTTATATTGCAAAATTATAATTTTCTAAAGCTTCTTCAAATCTGTTCAAGTTACATAGAGTATTAGCTAAAATATCTGAATCTTCTGGATTTTTTTTTATTGCTAAAATTAAATTTTTTAAAGCCTCTTCATATCTGTTCATTTTTTGTAATGTCTCAGCTAAAATATCATCCATATTTTCTTAAACCTTTATTATTAAAATAACTTGAATCATCTGGATTTTTTTCTATTGCTAAATTATAATTTTCTAAAGCTTCTTCATATCTGTTCATTTTTTGTAATGTCACAGCTAAAATATCATCCATATTTTCTTAAACCTTTATTATTAAAATATCTTGAATCTTCTGGATTTTTTTCTATTGCTAGATTATAATTTTCTAAAGCTTCTTCATATCTGTTCATTTTTTGTAATGTCACAGCTAAAATATCATCCATATTTTCTTAAACCTTTATTATTAAAATAATTTGAATCATCTGGATTTTTTTCTATTGCTAAATTATTATTATCCAAAGCTTCTTCATATCTGTTCATTTTCTGTAATGTCGCAGCTAAATATAATCCATATTTTCTTAAACCTTTACCAATATAATATATTGAATCTTCTGGAGTTTTTTCTATTGCTAAATTATAATTATCCAAAGCTTCTTCAAATCTGTTCATTAAATGTAAAGTATAAGCTAAAATATCATACATTTTGTATTTGTACCCTTTATAAAATAACTTGTTGGATCCTATAAATTTGTTTAAAAACAACTTTCTAAAGATTCTCCAAATCTGTTCATTGCAAGTAAAATAAAAGCTAAAATATCATCCAAATATAATTAAACCTTTTACAGAAAAATATAAATTAACTTCTGGATTTTTTTCTATTGCTAAATTAGAATTTTCTAAAGCTTCTTCAAATCTGTTCATTTTATATAGAATAATAGCTAAAATATCAACAATTTTTAATTGAACCTTTCTGACAATAATACCCTGAATCTTCTGGATTTTTTTCTATTGCTAAATTATAATTATCAAAAGCTTCTTCATGTCTATTCATTTTCTGTAATGTCACAGCTAAAATATCATCCATATTTTCTTAAACCTTTATTATTAAAATATTTTGAATCTTCTGGATTTTTTTCTATTGCTAAATTATAATTATCCAAAGCTTCTTCATATCTGTTCATTTTCTGTAATGTCGCTGCTAAAATATCATCCATATTTTCTTAAACCTTTATTATGAAAATAATGTGAATCTTCTGGATTTTTTTCTATTGCTAGA